AATTTAAGCTGAAAATTCAAATTAAATTTTTTTTTAAGAATATTGTGTCCTTTAAGAACATAAAATATCATATTATATTTGGCATTTTAAAAGAATATTAAGAGAATATAAATCCGACCTCTAATTAAATGACACAAGATAAGCGGACATCCCGAAGGGAATTATCAAATTTTCAAAAAAAAAAATTGCTATACAATTTTTAAATGTGTTAATTAATTGTTGTATTAAAAATCAAAACAATAATTTTCCAAACTACATTATGACAAAAGAAAGAAAATTAAAAAAACGTTTACATAATTAAAATGATTAAAATAAAAGTAGTTATAAAAAAACGTAGTAGAAATAATAAAGTGGTGTTAAACTGAGAAAAAAGTATTCAAAATTTTAAATAATCTGAATTCTTCAAACTTTTTTATAAATAATAATATCGTTAAAGTTTAATTTTTAGTTAATAATATTATCATACGGTGGAGGAAGTACATCAAGATGATTACCAACATTTTCATTATTCACCGACAAACTTAGGAAACCATGGAGTTTGGAGTTTTTGATTGACATTTTTTGTTTTCATATTATAAAGAATGCTAGGTTAAGCTGTGGCTCATTTCAATGCCAGATAACGGTAAAATCTCCAAATGACAAAACCGACGATATTCCTGGAATGTATAAACAATGAATTATAATTACATTACAAAAATTGTATATTATAAAATGTTTAAATGAGCTAACCTGTCCCGGTATCTTTTTTTCATGAATATACAATATACTTATTGATAAAAAAAAGGAACACTTAAAAGAACGAGTTTCTTTTTTTTAGGAACTAGGAACGGAAACGTGTTTTTATTATGAATGAGAACTAGTTTCTTTTTTGCAGTAGGACGAGAAACGAGAACGAATTCCTTTTTAAAAAGAACTTCCCCAACACTGATTAGAGGTTATGAATTTAAAACAAATTTATAGACAGGTTTATAAGATAATAAATAAATGAAGTCCACAACGTGCATGCACTTGAGTAGCGGGATTAAGTACGGAGATTGGGAGCCCGGGTTTCAAATCATGAAATATTAAAGGCGATCTTTTTTCTCATAAAAAATTTATATTAATAATCAAATTTAATGTTTTTTGAACGTTTTTAATTCCAAATTTTATTTGGCTAGATAAAAATATTTAATTATAGATTTATATCTTTAATCTCAAGCTGAGACCTATTAAAGTTTCAAAAAACTAAAAGAAAAAGAAAAGTCTTTATTTTTGATTTGTACATTTAAATTATAATGTCGTGTGCAGTAAAAATTAGCTGTTATAACGAAAATCTAGCACAGATTAAACATTAAACACTATCGATATTCTTTAACACTAGAGATTATTCTATACAATCGAAACGATTGTACCATTTGTTTGTTGAATATTCCTCGAAAAGAGAAATGCACTGTATTATGTCCCACCCACCGTTGACCGTACCAACTTTTAATTATTTTTTTACCCATTTTCCTTTTTGGTTTTGACCGTGTCAGTATTGAATAAGAACAAATGGGTGGAAAGTCTACCTTCGATGGAATTAATTCTAAAAATGTTCCGTTGTGACATTTTTTATGATTTTTATACCATAATTAATATCTTAAAACCGAATTTTGGAGAGGCTGGATTTCAAAGGAAGTGAAGCCTAATCTAACGGCAGGGCGTACAGTTGAATAAAACCAATATTTAGCTGACAAAAATCCCATTTTTAAAACGCAAAAATCCTACATTTGAATGATAATTATTTTTGATGGGTATATTTTGTGGTAAATTAAAAATTTAAGATCAATTAGTTGTTTATCAAAGTGAGATGGAGTGGTTTAATTATAAATGTTTTTTTAAATTTTTATTGAAAAATTCCAATCATTACGCTAAAAATGTTAATTAATATTTTTCAGTCAAAATAGTTTAGTTAAATTTTTTTTTTAGAGTTTATATTTATTGTATTGGCCAATGTAGAATCATTACAAAAAATATTCTTCCCCTCTTATTTATAGTAATAATGCAACATTACCACAATAAACCCAAGTTTTCCATTATTTATCCACTTTTTAAAAGGTATTAGTAAAAATTGCACAGTTTTACGCAATTTTGAATACATACATGTTATAATTCAAGTTATTAAAAATCATTTTAAAAATAATAAATGGACGTTCGCACTCATGCACACACACTTGCATACAGTACTACAGTAGTGTCAAGGCACTTATAATACATGGTGAGCCCAGTTCGACTGTTATCACTAGGGTCCGGAACTTGATGACCTAAAAATCTTTAAAAAATGCACACAAAAAAGTATTGAAATAACTTAAAAACATCATAAAATGACCCTAAAATTACCAAAAAATATAATATTTTCAAAAAGTACGTTTTTTAATAATAAATTAGCGTTTTTAAATCATTTATTAATTATCATTTTATTCATCAAACAATGCTAATATATTTATACATTAAATATGTTTTTATTACTAAAACGATTAAATATTATGTAAATATTTTTAAACAATAAATGTGTTACATTGTACCACCAAAGTGTGTTTAATATTTTCGGAAAGAAAAGATGGCCGATTATTCGATAATAAAGTTTTGTAGGTAGAAAAACTTCTTTCCACTTCCACAGGTATGATTGGTGCATACTTGATAAGTTGGTCAACTTTTGGAAAATTGTTTCTGATTTCTTCCGCAACCCTATGTAAAGCGTGAGCCAAGTATATTACATGTTCCATTTTTGAATAAAATACCTTGATGGCTTTACCTGCTTTGATCTTGTATGGTACAGCATCACTTAATAAAAGTAATACATGATCGTGTTTTATACCATTTGGCCAAATAATTTGAAGTGATCTATTGAAATATTTTGAAATTGTACTATATTTACCTTTTCTAAGACTTCAGTATTTATTAAAAAATGTTTTCCGGGGCCATTCAACTCCAAAGTTTCCACAACAACAAAATTTTCTCATTCTCTACTTAAAATCTAATTTTATCTTCAGTTTTCTGGTAACACAGAAAATCATAGCTTTTTCTTAAAGTTTATTCATCGAGAATTAATTTATTCGTATATTTCTCCAGAAAATGTTTAAATGTTTCATTCTGTAGTTTTTGCAATGGAAGATTTGCGGATATTAATGCCCAACACAGATCATCATTGAGAGATGATTTTTAGATGGTTCGGTAACTAAACTTTGTCGTACTAGTACTTTTTTCTTGGTTTTTCTTTTTCAGTTCAACTCCATTATTATGTTTTTTACGCGAAATATGCTGTTCGATAAGTTAACCATATAACCGAAAATGACCAAAAAATGCAAAATAAAAATTGTTCCATTGAATTATACATGACATAAATCACATTTTTTTAAAGACAAATCTTGTATAAACGCATCAGAAAAAAAGATGCAAATGCATCAAGTTCCGGGCCCTAGTTATCACATATATTTTACTTTTTTTTTCCTGAGACAAATTTAAAATGGACGTCATAAAGTTACCCAGTGTTACCACTAAGACTAATTAATTATTAACCATACATTTTGATAAACTGTTGTGAATGACATTAATAGATACTTATCAAAACGCCGTTCCCGCTAAAATCAAATGCCGTATTCTTCAATTCAACAATATTTAATATAAAATAAATAGAAACAATTATATTAGCAAATTGTAAACAAAAACATAATGATTATTCTATTGAATAGAATTAAAAGTAGAACAAGATTCCTTCAATGCATTTCCAGTCTTACATGATTTTCTTGAAACTAACGAAGTTAAAATTGATAAAGCAACAGCTACAACTATACAAGATTACCTCAAATCTTTAGCTTCCAACCTCAAGTTATTTTTAATTATTTATTTTTCTTAATTACAAATTAATATTTATTAATAGGCATAATTGAAATCATTTTTACACTGTTTTTAGAAACTACTTCCCTAAAATTGAAGAGGAATTCAATTGGATCAGAAATCCCTTTGAAGAAGATTACTTGAAAAAATTGAAAATATCAGCAAGTGAAGAAGATTCGTTGATTGAAATGTCATGTGATCAGACTTTAAAATCGTATTTTAAAAGTACACAATTAGTGCCATTCTGGTTAANTTGCACTGAGAAACTTGATGGGCTTTTCGACAACTTATTTATGTGAACGTGCTTTTTCTACTTTAATTTATTTAAAAAATAAATATAGGAATAAACTGAATGTTGAGAGTGATTTAAGACTAAAACTGACAAGTTTTAATCCAGATATTGACTTTTTTGTGAAGAACAAGCAATATCAAAAATCACATTAAATTGTTTATCTTGTGATAAAGTTGAATTTAGTTTTTTTTTAATAAACAATTGTTATTTTTTAATTTTTAAAATTTTTTATTCCTAATAACTATATACACATGTATATATGTTTATAATATATATTATATATTATAATTTTATGAAAACGTATATAGGTATGCTATGGGTGGGCCTCAAATATTTTTTTACAAAATTAGTGGTCCGCGAAACTAAAAAGGTTGGGAACCGCTGTTCTATTCCATCACACACTATCCTATGAATTTATTATCTCCTATGTACTTTCTATGCTTTTCATTTTCTATTTGGAATAATATTAAATTAGGTATTAAATATAAATAAAGTTACGAAAAAGTGTTCGATATTAGGTAAAATATTTGTATTTTAATTTTTTATAATTTTAAACATTAATAATTATTATTAATATAAAAACAATTAAAAAAACACTTCTTAATAAAAATAACTATTAATTTAATAACAATAATTGTTTCATTTTTTCTTAGTAGGTTCCTAGTCGTTTCTGTAAATACCTATGCCGTTATGCATTTTGTACATTTAAATACACGCAGTTTACTAAAAATAAGAAAAACCACAAAGAATACAATACAATTAACATTATTATAAATAAGTAGGTACTTACTGAAATATTAATTTAACAATGCAGCAATATTACTACCACAACGTACGTATTTAAAGCCACCAAAGCACGTATGACTATCTTGTTTTAACAATATTTGTAAAATATATTTATGATATTCATCAGTTTATCAAAATGTACGGTTAATAATTAATTAGTTCTTATGGTCACACTGGGTAAAACTTAGGACGTCCATTTTAATTTTATGATCGAAAAATACAATATTTAGTGGAAAAACTGGACTCACCATGGATTATAAGTGTCTTGAGTAGTATAAAAGTGCATTATTTCTTTGTATTGGTTATTGAAACTAAAATGGACCAACTAAACTAAACTGGTTCAAGGTAAAAATATTTCGAATCGTTATTTGGCCGCTTAAGGCACTCCAGAACTCGAACACGCGTCTTACTCACCTGACTTGGCACCCTGCGATTTTTACTTGTTTCCGAAGATAAAGTCTGCCTTAAAAGGAATCCGGTTTGAGTCGATGGAAGAGGTGAAACAAAAATCGGCGGAACTCCTGAATGGTCTTATGAAAACAGACTTCTAGCACTGGACCTCGAGCAACGGAAGAAACGAATGAAACGGTGTGTGAAGAGGGGAGGAGAGTATATTGAAGGGGAACATTTGGTCGTGGAATAATTTTTAAAATAAAACAATTTTTCATAAGCAGTCTCGTTATTTAATAGCCAAACATCGTATCTATCATAATGGTAACTCAAAAAGAAATTAAAAAGATCATGATAATATTTCTTTCAAAGAAGCTTTAGATTTTAAGAAAAATAAATGTTATACTACTTACCACTTTTAAATTCTCTGATATAAATAAGCCAGCCTCCAATACCTATCAGATATATTAAAACCAAACACTTTTCACGATGACTATTTTCCTATTAACGAAAGTCAACGTTTTTTAATTCCAGGAAACACTAACAGAGATCCCAACCCATAATAAATAAAAATAAAAATGTTTCACCTTTAGAGCCTTTCTATTCTTCCCTTAAACCCTTAAAGACAGTTATCTAAATAGCTAAATACATTTTCCAACCAACAGGGATCTATGGATAATACCTCTAACGACTTTTCTTGAATTAATGCTCTATCTCGAAAATTATCCTTACTCATTATTAGCTATCCCTAACAATTTACACTCAGCCCAAACTAACACAGCCTGCCACTAGCTATTAGCCAATACAATCTAATAATTAATCAATACATTTTTATTTCAAAAATATATTTAAAATAAAAAAACTAATAAACATGATGCCTTCTTTACTAAAAATCTAAAACAAACAATGGCGCAATCAATTTTACAGTGGAATGTCAGAAGTCTCCCAGTTCTAGGTAAATAAAAAAAATTATAATTTTCGTTTTCCTTCCCATTAAAACCCAGACTTGAAGCAAGTTTCGGCTCAGTCTCTTCTTATACCGCAGTGTTATGCTATTCTCAAAGTCATTTGGTTTATCTCCAATTTAGACCTTAAGAATTATTTAATGCCCTCAGATTCTAAGTCTTGTTTACTAGTCCTTTAAATCTAATTCCTTTAATTTTTAAATTTTCCATTTTAATTTTGCAAATAGTCATTTTTAAATTATGTTATGCAATCAAATTACTGAATCCAATTTATATGAATCCCCAGCCAATTGGTATTCATGATAACAAAGTGGCTAACAGGTTAGTCAAATTTACTTCCTACTCTATTCTATCTTCCTTTGCTCAATTACCATGGACTGATTTTACCTCTATACTACGCCGTCACACAACAATCTTTGATCCAACTACTAGAATAACCTGCCGGAATAACAACCTAGATTTACCCATATCTACTATTGTCCATTTTAACAGACTCCACATTAGTCATTCGCTTCTTCCTGATCTGGTCTACAAACTTAGCTTAAATGGACTCTCCCCTCTGCACACTACACTCAACTGAAAGTGTCTGCGACCTCTTTCATCTATTCTTTGACTGTTTCTCATTATACTCAAAGTGTTTAATTTTGCTCAGTTTCTTGAATTTCATAACAACTTCTTTATACTCAACTTTAAATCCCAATTGATCATAATTATGGTAATTAATTCAGTATTGGAAGCTGGTTTTGTGATGAAATATTTGTGTTTATTTTTTCTTTAGCTTAATTTTGTTTTTCTAAATAAGTGTCGAGATGCTAGTCATTGACTAGAAGCTAACTAACAGAATATCTATTTACCCCTAAAACCATTAGTATTATGGATACTGTATATCAGGTGGGCCACGTATTTTTTTTTAAATCTCGGTGGCCATATACAGTAATATGTCCTCAGAGAATTTTCTAGGTGTCAGACCTCAGCCAACCGAATTCTGACTATTAAATTAATACTTAATAATCAGGCTTAACAACCAATTCTCTATGAAATAGACATGTAATCTAATTTGTTTTATCGCATTGGATATAAATAAGGTGACTAAACTCTTTGATAGAGATGTTCAATAGATACTCTTAATTGATCAAAACAGAAAAAATACACATTATGCCTAAAATGTGTTAGTGGGCCATGCATAAAGGCAAGGTGGGCCGCACGTCACTCACGGGTTGAAAACTCCTGCAGCTGTATATCATAAGATTCAAGTTATTTTAAACAATTCTTGAAGAGGTCATCTTATAAGAAAAAAAAATGTAGGTGTCGCGATTCATAAAAGGCTGAAAACCATTACAAATTTTAAAAATTGCGTTAAAAATATGTACCAAACAGAATAATGGTGTTTACAACTCTAGAAATTGGGGAGAAATAATAAAATAATTGATGATATTGAATAGGTTTACTATGCATTTAAAATAAAATATATTAGAATGGAACAATAAATTATGACTATTAATAATTCATGTCAGTTTATTTTAAATCAGTATACTATTGACAACTAGATTATTAACAAGTTTTTTTTAAAATTTTAATGCCCTAAACTTATTTATTTATAATCTATAGGGTAGTATGCATATTTAGTGGTATTTTTCGTCTTTGAGTGGACTAACAGAATATGACCTTGAGATGGTCAATGACCAATTGACTCCTCCACAGACTCCTAAGTTAAGATAGATTATTTTCATTGATTAGCAGAAAAGGATATTTCTATCAACTCATTAAGGATCACACAAATGTTGTCTAAATAATTTATGTATTACCAATTTACTTTAATCTGTTACTTATAAATTGTATTTGAATAAATACATGTTTAAATATTTAAATCTCTTGACCACAATTAATGAATTTATATCAATTACAGTAATCTATTAAATTCTATTTAAATGTTTTTAATATTTTATTTTAACTAAGAATAAACAATAGTAGTTGTAAATGTAGTACTTATAATACTGTAATAAATATAATCAGTGTAATATAATTTTTATTCATATTTAAAATAAAATATTACATTACACTTCTTTACTAATGCTTTTTTTATTTTTTAAATTTAAAAAAAAAATTATACTTGACACCAAATATTTCCCCTATTCATTAAGCAATCATTCCTAATTTTTATTTTATGAAAAGATACATAATTTATAATATTTTAATATTAGAACACTGGAATATTTTTTTTCACTATACACATATTTTGTCAAAAATTGATTGGTTCAAACAGTAAAAAGGGGTTGTAAAACAAAGTAACAAGGAACTTTAAATAAATTCAATCAATTTGGCAAATATCAGTGCAATTTTCATTCATGGATATTACGATAGGATATAAACTATCATACAATTATTTCAAAATAATAAGAAAAATAGTAAAATACAAAAAAAAAGGATAACTAACACTTGCACCACAAATACAAAATTATATAAATAAATCAATTAAATTTAAATAACAGGAATAAAAGTAACATTAGATTATATATAATAAGATGGCTTTAACATTTGATTTACCGTTTCTTACCTTTATGGTTCCATAACAAATTACCTCCGCAGTCTTTCCAAGGGGACTAGTTTATAATAATGTTATAATGATATATGTTTTATTTTTTACTCAAAAGTAATTTTTAAAAAAAAAGACATGTTATGAAACTATAAATATAATTTTGAATTATGGGTCTATTTAATTAGAACTGTATGATGGAGGAGGTGCTTCGGAATGACCAGCAGTATCTTCACCGACAGCAACAGCATAAGAAGGTGGTGGAGGAGGAAACTTTTTCATGTTAAAATCGTAGTCTGGACGTAACAGGTTCTGAACAACAAAGTTTGATTCTATATAGTGAATAGTAGGTTGAGCTGAAGCTCGTTTTAAAGTCAGATATCTGTAACAACTCCAAACGACAGCAACAAAATATCCCTGAAATAAATGAACAATGAACAATACAATATGTATGAATAGTTACAAGAACTTAAACCAGTTAAATGTAAATAAAATAAAATAAATATGAAATTTTAAAATAAAATGTTTTCATATAATCTTGGTTTAACTGTCAAGGAAAAATAACGAATATCTTAAGGGAAGTCTCGGTTTAGCTCAGATATCTTTTGTACTGCCACTCACTACTTACTTTTACTTTTATTTATAATTATTTAAAATGTTCCTTAAAAAAAAGCCAAATCTGTCATGCATAAATAAATAAATAATTAACAGTTATAAAATAATAATTTAAATATTGCATTTAAATTGAATCAATGTCAGTTATAATTTTATTAAAATACATTTATTTTACATGTTTTGTAACTACAGTTAAACTTCGATTACCTGTCTACAACGGAACTTAAAGGGTGACGGATAAAAGAAAAAAAAATTCAGATTGTATAGTTTATAAAGTATATGTATGTTAAGATATTTAACACATATATAAATGCATAATAGCAGAATATAAATGATGATATGGTACACGAAACATGACATAATAACTTATTTATAGATAAAAATAAGTGCGTGTATACCCATAATACAAATGTACAATGTTAAATTTTGATTATTATTATTTTATTACCACAATGCTATTATGACGATGGACGGAAATTGAATGACAAATAATTGAAGTTTTACTGTAGCTGTACCTGAACATTGCCTATGTTAAATTAAATGTCTGTTGATATTGTCCATATTCTCTATCCATTACCATCACCATAACTATAAACTCCTGCTACCCCTCACTCACAGACAACCAAAACCTACCCATCTCCCTCCATCTTCCCTATTTCACTTTAACATTATTGTAATGATCACCCATTCTCAATATTATCACATTTACCATAAGTTGTTTTCAAATAAGCGCTTTACTTCCTCAAAAATAATGTTCCAATATATGTTTTTAACATCTGTGTCACCAAAATAACCAGAAATAAATAAATAAAATTCTCCCAGACTTAATTTGCTATAATCATTAATGCTTAATTCCAAAATGTGAAAGAACAATTTTTAATACAAATTAAACCTTTCCCAAGAAGTGTAGATCATAATATTGAAAACCATGTCCAAACCTGTAATGGTTCTCAAGATTAATGTGTCCAAAATGAAAAATACTGTAAGGCACTTTATTTTATATCTATAGGTAATAGAAGATAACTATGAATTTATTAAGTAACAATTATTTTAGCTAGAAATAACTGAAACAAAAATAATTTGTAAATTTCAATATACAAACCTTTGAAATAACAGAAAATACCAAACAAAAAATAATGATCAAAGATATGTATTGAGAATCTATTGAAGAAACAGCAGGGAAGAGGGTGGATTCGGTACGGATCACTAGACGATGAAATTCTGGCAAGTAACATAGATATCCCAAAGTTGACAATCTAAAAAATAAAATAATGAATCAAACTATAAAAATAATTACTATTAAAATATTTTACTCACGTAGTCACTAATAAATCAAACAATTGCATACTAAAGAATGGTATTAACAACTTTGGTTTTCCCTTAATAGCACCATAAATCATGACAATAGTAATAGTTAATGTGCAAAATATCAGAAATAGAGCAACATTGATTTCCTCTGAAAAATAAAAATAAAACACATTATTAATATAATTTTTAAACATTTCATTTTAACCACAAATTAAAATTATTTAAATGATTGATTTCAATATAAGATTAAATTAATATAATATAATAAATGTAACTGCTCTATCCGAGCAATTTAATTTTTATATGTTATATGTATGTTATGTTTGTATAACTAAAGAATGTCATATTTTAAATCCCAATATTAACCAATTATTTAATTTACTTTCTACTAATTTAATATTTGATTTTAATAATGTCATAAACACTGATAAAAATTTATATTAAATTAACAAATACATTACAATAAAGATAAAATGAATACATTTACTTTTACCATAACGTATTGGACGCCCGACATACATTCCATACGTAGCACTAGTATAATAGTGTCCATTCCTTTCATCAGGTTCACTTCCATCATCTTGTTCATAGTTTGAGAATGTAGAGCCATCAATAGTAGCAGCATTATCATTAATAGATGGCATGTTACGTTCAGCTAAAGCAGTAGGTAATTCATTAGGGTCTGGCAATGTTCTTGTTATTTTTAACAAATCTGGATGTCGTAAAACCACTCCCATTGTACTTATTGCAAGTAGCTGTAACATCTGTAAAAAAAAACATAAATAGTAAGTAATAAAATATTTCTTTAATTTAATATTCTATAATTATGTATATTTATTTATTTTGTACCAAATGCCATAATCCAAGAAAAATGGTTCCAGTCCTCACATGACAACAAAGCAAGCAGCGCCATTCATTTTTACGACGACGTTCAATAAATTTTATTGCCGAACTAGGAGGTGGTTGAGATTGCATCTGAAAATAAATGTTTAGATAATTAATTTATATAATAAACATTAATATCAGTATATTATAAAAGTTTTAATTATATAAGTTTACTATTAGCTACAGCTCTGCAAATCACTGCACATGAAAACCATTATCATAAATAATACTAAGATATGTAACTGTCTTCTTGAAGCTTTTAGTTCTGAGCAAACAAGGAATGAATTGGTTACTGTTTTTTTTTTCTGTCCATTTAAGTACTTTTTATTATAAACCTTGCTTTTATTATCATTTTTAAGTGTTGTTTTTGGTAGCAAATTTTTTTTAGTAGGTACATATAATGAGGTCATATTTTTGATTTGTCAAGTAGTTCTCTTAATAATTAGGAAAAAACATGAAAGTTTACAATGACCCTCCCATTTCAAAAATATTAAAAAAGTTCAATTTTATTTCAACTTCCTACTCACTTTAAATACAAATAATCAGTGATTGAATTAGAAAAATAAAAGAAATTATAGACTAGATAAAAATTAGAGTCTTTTGCAATTACTAAAATAAACCAATAAGGGAACTTTCTTCTTTTTTTATTTTTTTTATTTAAAACAGTGATTAATTTAAAAAGATACATTCTTTTCTTATTACATAAATCAATAATTAAATAATTGGTATTTATAACAAATTTTTACTTTACTTTACTTTAATTTACACTTTGCAGCAGTCTTTATCATTTGGCATTTATTTGGTATATTGTTATGACAATATTAGATATAGTTACTTACATACCTGTAATTAACTTATTTAAACTTAATTTACTAAATTACAAACACATCTTCGGTACCTGTGTAAATAATGTCACATTGACAGTGGCGTGCCCAGAAATTGTATAAGAGGGAGGGGGATGTAGCAAATAATAATTATGAATTAATCATAAAATCTTCTTCTCTACCCAAATATACATATAATATAATCACTTACCTTCCCCTGCGTACATCACTGTATGTTAATGTAAACCAATTTCATTATTTACCAAGACCTTGACCAAGAACTAATAGAATTTGTATTTCAATAAAATACTTAAGATTTAAATTCTTAAATGTATAAAAGTATTAGTATTATATATTTGAAATTTGTTGACACTTTTATTTAATTAAATATAAAAAATGTTTGTTTAAAAAATATATTGACAAAGTGTTAATAAGTTTTATTTAAGCAACTACTTAGTTTTGGTTTACGCCGTAATCAGTTTGCGATAAACAATGTTATACGATGGTTTACACAAACAATTTAAAACAAAAAATTAACAATATAAATTTTAAAATAAAAATAAACATAGTCATTACCTGATGATGGCGTAATCCAAAATTAAGTAGTTGCTTAAATAAAAATTATTAACACTTTATATCAATATATTTTTTAAAAAATTTTTTTTTATACATAAAGTATTATTAATACTTTACTTTACTTTACTTTTATTTCTTTATTAATTGATTATCACATCCATTCCATATTGCAACAAATAATAACTATTATTATCTATAGAGGTTACCTCAGGAGTTTTTTTTTATTATGAGACATGTTTTTAAATAATAAATACTATTAGGTATTGTCCTTGAACTGTGCTACAGACTACCAATATTATTATTTTGACGTTTTACTTTCAGTACTAAGCCATTATATAAAGCAAACAATTTTTGTCGCCCAATAATCTGTTCACACAATATTCCATTTATTTTTTATCTAATATAATATTTAATTATCAATTTATATTACTAAAGTACCTTTAATAATATTATATAGATACCTATACATTTTAAAAATGTATTTTAGGTAGACTATAAAATATTACTTATAAGTTATTAGGTATTTAACTGTTTTAAATATTATTTAGTGCTATGTACTAGTATTGTGTGCAATGTCTCAATTGTATTCAAATTTCAATTTGTAAAATACATTCTGAATTTGAAGAATAAACAACCAATAAAAAAAAAATAATTAAACTAGATACTAATAAATAATGATTTTCCTTACAATATATATATATATATGTATACATACATACATGGGTGTTTCATAATGCAAATTAGGTTTATGTTGTATGTGTATAAAAAGAAGAAAAATATAATTTTAAATGATATTATGCAAGTCTAAAAATACAAGGTATCCCACGAAGATATACCCATTGTAATATCTCTGGAGATAATAATGATAACTAAATGCTTTTTTTTAATAATCCTCACTAGTCACTGGGATAAGGTCTACAAATCTTTGTATTACAATTAATTTTTTATGTTTTGATAAAAAAAACTTAAAGAATTACTCTTTTTTTTTACTATTTTTAAAAAATTTCTAGATAACATAACAATTTTATAGTTTATTATTAGTATTCCTCTACAAATTTTAACATATCAATTTTTTATTTTCAGTAAATTTGTGATTTTTAATCATTTTTTAAAGTTCAGAGAAAAGTGCCTATAATTATATAGCAGGCTGTCATCGCATTCGCGAATTGGTCATTGTTATTAGATATTACTAAATGACTTTACGCTTCTTTTCTCCAATTTAAAAAATTATTAAAAATCATAAATTTAATGAAAATAAAAAATTAATGCATCAACATTTTCAAAAGAATAAACTCTATAAAATTTCTATCTTTAAAATCCAAAAATAATAAAATTAAGTTTTTTTTTTAAAACATAAAAAATTTATTTCAATATAAATATTTTTAGTTTTTATCTCTGTGAGTAATATAAAAAAACAAAATTTGATTATCTTTATTATCTCCAGAGATATTACAATGGGTACATCTTTGTGGGACACCTCATATAATACATTATGTGTCAAAATTAATTGTATAATAATACATATACAGTAGAATCCAATTAATTGTATTGAAAAGTTGATTTATTAAACACATTTTTGTATTACAAATGTATTATTATACAAACCATATCCAATATTTATGAACTAAAAAAAATTACTTATATTACATATAATATTATGTTAACCTAATTATTGTTTAAAATTTTTTGAAAATCAGTTATAGTACTTTGTCTATAATTGGAACAGTACAGTTTTAATATAGGTAATTAACAATATTTTGTGATGTTATTGTTACTTCTAGCATATTTATATGAACGTTATCCAATTTATGAAAAAACCAATTTTAATTTTAAAATACCATAGTTATTTCCGAATTATCGTTGTAACTGTTATCTTTAAATCTGACCAAAATTACTGCACGTGAGATATAAAACTAACCAAGTACATGGCTGTGAAGTTTTATCTGAAATATTGTTATAAACGGCATCATAATAAACGGATTCTACTGTTATAAGCAATTATAATAATTAAAAATCGGGCGTTAACTTTACTGCCCCAAATACACACGGGACACACCAATGTGATGATGTTAAAAAATATAATTTTCTTTTCTTTTGAAAACTAAATATAATATTATATACTCTTTACTTAGGCACATTTACTTTAACTAAATAATATATTACTGCACGCGATATTTTTACAGTAATAAAATGACATTATACTTTCTAGATGATGGACTAATGCAAAATAAAAAATAATAATAAAAGAGAGATGTGTAGGTATTATAACAAAACTGTCATCGGAACAATAAACATCAATATTATGTGAAATACAAATTTAAAATTACCATATGTCGTATTTTATTTTACGCGAGTAACAACGTAAGCACTTTGTGACAAAAATTAAAACCGTCCAAGAACAGGTGCCGTAATTATAGAAAAAAAAAAAAATAGCGAAACAAAACGCGACGATTACGGAAAAGCTTTAGAACTACGTTGCGAGTATCGAATCTAGACAATTTCGGTCGGCTACTAACGATTTCAAGCGAATAGCGTTGACCACGGATAGCCTGCGGATGTCTGTAATAAACAGCAGCACCTCACCCGTTCCTCTCCATCTAGGATTATTAATTATTACGATTGATACTTTCCGTCCATTACGAGGTTGGCGTCGAAAAAATCGTAATAAAAATATTATAACAACAATAACACAATGTTATTGTTAATTTTATCAGTGGCGAAGTTGATTCGTCTCCTAGGAGGAGGGGGAGGGGAGGGCAATATGCGTAATACGTTCGGTCCAAACGGCGAACACCCTTCGGCCTTCATAATAAAACGATATTATTTACTATCGACCTGCTCGGGCCCCCATAAAGCGAAATATTTAAAATATGTAATTTACGTTAAAATAAAATAATTTTAATAATTTCATAAGAACACTAATGTAATGACTAATGAACAGAAACCGAAATGTACTGGGAGAGGAAGGTCACTGCGTTTTATACGAGTATAGGAGGGTTTCCCGGATGGCGGCAGCATCCCGACCTCCCGACGAAACAGGTAAATAAAAATATTAACGTCGTTCTTAAATAAGACTTAAAAATATAATAATAACATGTAGTACTACGGAAACGACGAATCGACTTACCGTTGTGCACGATTCACGACTGCTGATCGGATTTACGGATTAATTGGACGGCGGCTCAAACAATAACATTAATAGTATTTAAGATCGAAGAATATGGGACGCGACTAATAGGTGACAATAGAACGTAACGCACTACTGTTGAGTGGTGACCATGAATTAAGTAACTGCTGCAGCACGAAAACTCCGTGTCTGTGTGTGTGTATGTCTACCTCCCGTGTGATTGTGTGTGATGACCGTGGCCGTAGTGTTAGTAAATTGTATGTATGTATAGGTATATTATATTGAGTATTGACGTTCCCAGCCCAGAACGGCGACTGCTGAATCAGTGGTGCCAGACGAATAATTTGGATTGTACAAATTAACATTGTACGTTAAAATTTGATGTTGCAGATTATAATAGAAATAAATAAAATTGAATGTAAAAAGTAAAATGGTTTTGTATAAAATAATTTGTTTTCCTTTATGAATTTCGTAAACATTAAACATTGTATAATAACATGGACTAAGATTAATATATATAAATATCTTAGTATGCGAAAATAGTAAACGTGCATATGGGAAGAAAGTATAAATCTTTATTGATCCTAATTTTTGGCACAAATAATAAATAATATTATTATTTTCCGAATTTTTGATTTCGATACGCGCCAGGCGGCCGGTATTACATCATTTATGGTTGATACCACACCATAATTATGTGTAACCACTGTGGTAACTAGTATTACGAATAAAAATCATAGAAATATTAGTTAATAAGTCTATGATCAAAATCATAGATCAAAGTCTTAAAAGATAGATAATACATTTTAATACACCATTATAATAATATGTACAAATTAAATTTGTATCACAGATTACATTATATTATTACAATACCACAACGACCATGAATATACAGACATGTCTGCAAAATAACACTGCGTCACCGCTGATGTACATCATAGAATAAAATATAATATTACTGTCGATTTTTTTCATCATACAATCGTAAAATCTCAAAGTAATAATAATACGACACCACGTCTTGATAGCTGCCAAAATTAATATCAATTTCAATATGGCCGACACTGGCGTAAAATGCGCAGTGATAGTGTAATTTGGTTATCTTGCTGACATGCTTGTATATTAAGCCAAGACGACGGCCATGTCGCGAATTGCGATCTGGTAGACACCAGGCCTACGTTTTTCGCCTAGCCGTTTTGTGGGTTTTTTTTCCAAATTTTGATTCATAACAGAAAACAATTGTAGGATCACCGTAAGCGCACTAGATGGTTATTTAAATTTTTCCAGGTACTTACGCTTCAGCAATCAACACGGTCCGGAAATGTTAGATTCCGTACGTCCTCTGTCAGCGAGCTGAAACAAATCTTGTAAACACATAACAACATGGCTAGACCGGAATTCAAGCCCGAACTGCACAAGAAATATTTTCGCCGCTCGCTGGATCTGTTACCCAGCGAATCCGCGATGTTCGACTATTCACGGCTCACTATACTCTATTTCGGGCTCGTCGGTCTGGACATACTAGGTGGTTTGGAATCGCTAACCGACCAGTACAAGAGGGATATCGTCGATTGGGTGTACAAGCTGCAGTTAGTGCCCAACGAGAATTGCCCCGAACACAAGTGCGGTTTCATGGGGTCAACCACCGTGATAAATTTGAAAACCGATCCCAAGTGCGACAAGTATTGCGAGAGTAATGTCGCCATGACCTACATGGCGTTATGTATATTGATCACGTTGGGAGACAACCTGAGCCGTGTCAACAAAACTGCTGTACTCCGGGGTGTAGCGTCCCTGCAAAAATCCGATGGCAGTTTCAGGAGCAACTACGAACACGGCGAGAGTGATTTAAGATTTATGTACTGTTCACTGGCCATATGCAACATATTAAACGATTCGTCGACTATTAATGTAAATAATGCCATCAAATTCATTTCAAATTGTTTCAATTATGATGGAGCTTTTGGACAAAATCCAGGAACTGAATCCCATGGTGGTTCTACTTATTGTGCAATCGCTTCATTGTCTTTGTTGGACTCTTTGAGTCTAGTACTAGATAAAAAAAAATTAAAAATTTTAGAACGGTGGGCAGTCAATAGACAAATATGTGGTGGTTTCCAGGGAAGACCTAACAAGGATCCTGACACCTGTTATTCTTTCTGGTTGGGCGCCACACTCAGTATCATGGGATCATTAGATAGAATACATAAAGATAGAAATAGAAATTTTGTTCTTAATAACGCTAACCAGTTGACTGGGGGGTTCAGTAAAAACATGGACTCTATACCAGACCCAATGCATACCTGTTTAAGTCTTTGTGGATTGAGTTTAATCGGTGATGACAACCTAAATCCCATTAATCCAGCTTTAAATATTACTGTTAGGGCAGCTAATTACTTGAGACACATCCAATAGTAAATTCCAATCTGTAAAAAACTAAATAATTATTTACTGCTACATTTATACATTTCATATTATTTATATTTAATTATAAGATATATTACAACAAATTTAATATTGAATTGTGTGCGCATAAAATATGACTGATGTATATTTTTTATTTATTTTTTTGTAAATTTGCAAACAATAAGAATCGTTTAATATGTTGTGTACTAAATGAAAAATATTTACTCTAAGGATAAATGTAATTTTATATATTATACCTTTTATAATTGTTAATGTATTAATTTATATTTTATTATTTTATTATTTGCGCATATCATTGATAATTAAGTATCAATTATTTGCATTCACAGGTTTACAACACATGTACCCATTATGCTGTGATGTTAATAATAATAATATAAATTAAATAAAAAGGTGACAATCTAATTAAACTTTGTTAACATAACACTGTATGTTATATCTTTGTTTATTTAAATTTATACAAATAATATGTACAATCGATTATAATATTTATGTGTGGAAATATATTGTTTAATATAAAATTTATTAGTACGAAACAGACTTTAGAAAATATAAATTGGTACCTACAGTTAGTTTATTTCGCTTAATAAATACACTTTCCTAATAATAAAATGTATACATATTAAGATTTAAAAACCAAATCCCAAATTTATGCTTGTGCATCATGGGTTTTGTATTTTAATAATTAAAAAATAGATTAGATTGAGATTTATAATATAGTGCTATCAAAATTTAAATTTTAAAGTATAGTATTTTAATTTGAAAAATTGAACATAAATGTAGTTATTAAATGAAGATACCTAGAAAAATGTACCTAGTAATATTTGATTATTACAATTTACTTAGTAAAAACTATAAAGGTATGTTCACTTTGTGTGCATTGACATTTATACCACTTACGTTAAAAATCTGTTCGCTGTGGATTTATACACTTATAATAGCTTTGCTTACTGTTTCGAAATAAACAAGTATTACATATGTGAGTGTCTGGACATCAAAAATATATTTATAAAGAAAAATTATTTATGCCCATTCAAATTTGTATTGTATAAATATCAGCAAAAACAGTGAAAGGAATTACTATTAAAAAATTATGTATTAAGTATTAAATTATTACTACTAACAGATTATTAAAGAACCATGAACAAATTAAATAAAAAAACATACATATCTATATCTAGGTAAAATATGTTGAATCATGATTATCTATACTCTTGATGTGTTTAATAAATTAATTATTGGTTTTTTTTCCCCCAATAAATATAATAAATTGATGATTGATGATCTAGCTCTCAATGCTCAGATTCATTCAAGTTATGGTTGTAATCTGAGTGCTATCATGTACCATATCGAATGCACTCAAAATATAGCTGGCATGATAGGAATAAATTGCAAATTCTATTTAGTTACTAGGTTATATTATAGTAAATAATAAAAAATAAAATTGTCATATTACACAAATTATCATTAAACTTTCTTATCATTATTATGTATGTCTATAATAAAACAATACAGCACAGGGCACTGATCTAGTCAACCAACATGATTTTGTATAGTTAAATAGGACAGACTTTTTGAATCGTCCAAATTTGTGTTACTAATTATAAATTAATAAATTACATTTTGAATTTACTATGTTATTCAAGTAGAACTTTAATTTTGTGTGCATTTAATTTTAAAGAAAATTAAGGAATGAATGCATACTTTATTTTATTTTATAGGATTTAAATATTAATAACAATGTTTGGTTAGTTTTTTTATTCAGTTAACTTTCTTGATATCTCAACAAAATAAAGATACTTAATAAAATATTTCACTTACAATATCTAAAATTATAAGTTATAGAATATTAAATATATATTTATGTATATAATAATAAAATATTTAAAATGAATAATATGATAATGGGTTTATATCCAATTAGTATATACTTACATGTAATTGTTTATGTAAAAGATAGGTACCTAAACGATTATTTCAAAATATTATTTGTGTACCTACTACTTTAATTTTTATTAAAATTTCATAATAGGTAGTGAGTACATACAATTTAAATGGTGTATCTTTTTATAATATATAAAATTTGTTTTGATAATATTCAATAATTGACATTATTACCCCATTTTATAAAAAATAAAAACTGACTTAAAAAAGAAAGCCTTGTGTAATTGTACCATAAAAACTGAGAAACTGCATATTTTAGTTAAAACTAACTGGTAAATCGACAATCCACACAATTTCAATTTATTTTTATTTTTTTTGCTTAAACAAAAATTAATTAATGGTTTATTTAAACAATTTATTTTTGATATGATCAAGTAAATCAAATAAATTAAAAATATACCACACAACTAACTTAAACAGATTTCACAACAAATTTGAATATTTTAAGAATCCTTATAACACTACAAAACAAATATTATTATTAAGTAAAATCAACTAAATATTTTTGTTGCGTGTGTGGTAATTAAAAATCACAGTTTTCAATCACTTTGACAAAAATAATACTACTGTACAAAGCACAATTCACATATTATAATGTTATCATCTATATTTTTGTTGAGCTATTCATTGGAGAACAGTATCAAAAATACTGGTTTAGTATTTAGTTAAGTTTTAAACAGACTAAATATATGCCATAAAAAAAATTTTCATTTTTCAATGTCTTTATGATTAGAATCATAAGCTATTGAATTCTTTGTTTAGTGATCAATAAAACAAAATATAATAACATTTTTAAATTTTAATCATATCAAATAATTGAACACTAATTTTGAGTAATATTTATTCTGACATTAATAAATTTACTAAAGACCACTTAATCTATTGTTATTTTTTCATAACTTTCTTGAAGATAAAAAAAAAATATGATAAAAAATGAATATATAAACAAATAATGTTTTTATTAGGCATCAGTTTTATGACTAAAAAAAAAACTATAACATATAATATATGTTTATTATTATTATTATTAGCGGTATAAGTGATCAGCATGTATATTAGCAGCAATCTCTGATTCCCATTTATCACCATTGTTTAATAATTTTTCTTTGTTGTACAAAAGTTCTTCATGAGTTTCAGTAGCGTACTCAAAATTTGGACCCTGAAAAAAAATTGGTACAAAATGCAATATACATATATAAAGTAGATTGAATGCAAAAAATATATCATAATGTAAAGAATTATATTTTACTTCAACAATGGCATCTACAGGGCATGCTTCTTGGCAAAAACCGCAGTAGATACATTTAGTCATATCAATATCATAGCGTGTAGTACGTCGGCTTCCATCAGCTCTTTCTTCAGCTTCAATAGTAATGGCCTACCAAAAAAAATAAAAAATAATGTGTTACAAATATAATGTATACATTTACTCAATTCAATATTTTTATGAGCTGGATTCCTAGATAGTCAAATTTATCCAAATAGGAAATATTAATAAACCTACTTATTAGTAGTATTAACATGAAATAAATAAATATGTTGTATACTTTGTGTAATTATATTGCTGGACCTCACATTAGTATTGATAACAATACTTAATTCAATTGACTTTAGTATGTCAACCAATTTATATTGAATACATTACTTCCTCATATAGAAAATTTGTTAGCATTTGACAATATAATTTTTAATGTAAATTATTTTAAAAACAAATAATAGTGGAATAATTTATTATTAAAGTTACCTAATAGTTAGAACACATGTAGTTTTAATTTTGAAAAATTAGTGTAAAAATAAAATTTAAAAAAAAAAAAGGTTAGCAAAATAATGATATTATAATATTATAATATGTAGAAACCAACATACTATATTACAGAAAATGTACAATGTTAGTTTTATTAAAATCCAGTGTCTTATGTATTTTCATTCAAATTCATGATCTAATTAATTGTATAATCAAGACATCCAGTTCATAGACTAGATTAATTTTACAAAGAATTAAAATAATTGTGACCATGATTATCTAATAAACCATGGCTGTAACCCAATATTAATATTATATTCTTATAATTACGAATTAAAATTGTAATTTTACCTGAGCTGGACAAATAGCTTCACAGAGTTTACAGGCAATGCATCTTTCTTCACCAGATGGGTAACGTCTAAGAGCATGTTCTCCTCTGAAACGCGGAGACAGAGGTCCCTTTTCAAATGGATAGTTAATAGTTGCTGGTTCTTTGAAAAAATGAGCCAAAGCTACAGCAGAACCTATATAAATTAAACATATTTTTATAACAGCATTTAGTAATATAATATATTTTAAGTTTCTTTCTATTTTTCAATAAAGTTCAAATTTTACAGAAATGTATGTTTTATTTAATTACTTTTAACAAACTACTAAGAAATTTAAAACATAATTTTTGAAAAAGATGTGAACAAGCATACAAGTTTTAATTCTAAACTCCATTTAATTTAGTTTTAAAATTAAAATAAATATAATGTACATACTACATACATCTCTAATAAATAAGTATATTACTATTGTATACTAAAGACAGCAAACTAAGATAAACTATCATCACCCAATTACTGAGTCATGGATATTTTATCTTTTTGTAAATGTCAATCTTTTGAATTTTTACAAACTACTAGAAAATAACTAGACTTTAAATGTCCTTTCCCTACAAAAAAAAAATCACTGTAGGTTTTGCCCTCATCTTGGTTTATCATTGCTGAACTAGACTAATTTTTAGTCTAAAAAAAGACTATTGAAAAAATACCTTATAATAGTAATAGTAGTAGTTGCTATAGCCAGTATAGTACAGACAGATAGAGAAAGAAATTCTATGTTATTATATATATGATAATACATAATAAAAATAAAAATGTAATTTGTATAGCGTAATTGAATATTTTTACAGAATAAGAATATTACAATATTTTGATTTACTTACAATAAGCATCATCATTGAGGTGGAATTAACAAATCATAGTATGAATACAGATAAAAATTATAGAAAAAAAAATTAGAAGTGAGACATTCATAACTAAGAACCAGTTGGGTTTTTATGCCAGAGAGATCAACGATGGAACCGGTGTTTTGTGTGAAACAAATTATAGAAAAGTACAGAAAGAAAAACCAATGTATGGTTTTTATAGATTTTGAGAAAGTTTATAATAGAAGAATCTTGGAAAAAAATATCAGGGAAAAAAGGAACAAACAAAAAAGACCAATGGAAAAAGAAATGGACATACTTCCCACAATGAATGGACTACTGTTGTAGGTGAAAAGTTGGAAGGGTAGGATATAGAGTGGAATTGAATGCTTATCTGGATGAAACAATTAATCATTGCTAAAAAAAAAAAAAAAGATTCTGGGCGCAGTTCAGTTGTAAATGTTTTAAAAAGCAATAATATTTACAATTTTTGTCAAAATTTGATATTAAAATTCTTATAAAAAAAAAAAAAAATACTATATTAAACTCAACTTTTTCTTGTTGACCCCTAAGTATAACTTATAATGAACCTCCTGTTAAATTGTCAAGTATATTTGTTTGGTTTAATAATTTTATCTGCAAATTACCTACCAAATACAAATTATGTAAAAAACTCATAAAATTTACATTTTTATAAAAAGCTCAAGAATTTCTCAAATTTTTTGAAAATTTTAGTAAATCTATAAAAGGCAAACATATGTTTTCTGTATGAATTTCAAATCTCTGAATATTTTAAACTGAATTACAAAAAAATAAATTAAAATTTAATATAATATAATAAAATCATTATTTTCGTAAATTGTCCAGTGTTTTTTCCAATTATTATGAAAACTGCTTGGAAAATCAAAAAATTACCTTTGTAAAGTACCAACTAGATAAAAAATGTTTTCTTTTTTTTAAAAAAGGTACTTGAAAATTAGAGCAAGATTTCTAACAGAAATTGTATACTGTAGATAAAAAAAAAAAATAAAATAAAATAAACATCGTTGTAAAACTTAACTCACTTTGCTTAGAATCTAAAAGAACAACAGAAAATAAGATCAAGGGAAAAAAAAGAATAAATTAAAATCTTTAAAATAGTAATTTACTATCATGACTATTAATAATCAGTAACAGAGTACATTAAAGCCTTTAGAAGGTACATTGATATCAGATTCACTTGCAACATGATTATGCTTAGTTGTTATAGAATGGTCAGTTTTTAGAATACTAGTTCTTAGGATTTCAGGACAATTTGTAGTATTCTTTGGTAAACATTACCAAGTAAAATAGTTTTTTCCCCAAGGACTTGGTTGTACAAGTATACTCTTCAAAGCCTATCACCTCACCACCATTATTAAATTTAAAAATGTCCATTAAAATAAAATGTATGTGACTCTACAACAAATGTTCACTTAAATAAAAGTACAGAATAATATTTACTAAACTTTTCACGTATACCTATGAATGTCAACAGACTTCACTCAATTCACAGAACATCACAACAGTAAAATTTACCACTTAAGCTATAGATACTTTCCCAATTTATAAGTTAATATTATAATATTATATAATATAGAAACTGGAAACCATATTAAGACCTAATAAAATAAAATTTATACTGGATAATTATTATAAATTACAGTCTAGTACAATGTCACCAGGCACGTATACAGCGAGTAATTCAACTGAAAATTAATAGTTGTGTAATTTATTTATATAAATTTAATATTTTAACATAAAAATTAATTATTGTAAATTTGTATGAACTCCCCCTCTCAATTTTTATTTTTATGTACGTGTCTGAGTGTCATCAATAATTAATAATCATATATATAGATATGTTAATTACTAATTTAAAGATTTTAAATTTTTGTTCTTTTTTTCCTATTACCATAAAAGTGCTGAGAGAGGTTCTGATGTGGGCATTAATGAGAACAGGAGTTACAAGATAGTGTTAGTTTGACAGATGATAGCCTAAATTACGAGTAATAAGTATATGTGGAATAACGGAAAATTTCAAAGTAAGAGTAAGTTAAATGAGAATAAGTGTAGCAGAGATGAAAATACTTGGGTAAATAAATGGAGTGACAGAATAAGATATGATAAGAAGAAATGAGTACATAAGAGGTAACTGAGATGTGATGTCGATAGTGGACAAAATAATGGAAAATAGACAGAGATAGTTTGGGCATGTCATAAGGAGAGGAATCAGAAGCAGTAAGAAATTTAACAAAAATGGATGTAAGAGGAAAGAAGACAAGAAGATCAAAAATAATGTGGTTGGGTGCAATTGAGGATCAAATTATATAAGGACAGCGGGTTTATGCAAGGACGATGCAGGGGATCTGGTCAAGTGGAAGTAAAAAACAAGGGTGGACGACGAATAGTTAGGATTAAGAAGAAACAATGTCATTATAAGATGAATGTAGTTTTTAACAATGACTAAACTTTTAATTATCGTGTATACATTTTTTCTTTTGTGGTAAGTATACTTATATTACAAGTGTTTAATAAATGAATAATTAATCTTGCTAGTTTCACCACTAAGAAAATATATAAAGATACCTAAGTACCTAACTTCAAATTAGAAAACCAATAATGATTTTATTTACGGAATAAAAAATTAATAGTTAATGTCATAAAAAAAAAAATAACAAAATTTATTTATTTTATTATTTAAATTTGTTGGTCCCATTTTATTACTTTACTGTAAATAATTGTTCATAATTATCTACAAGCTTAATTACCTCTACAAATTTCAGTCATAAACGCATAAGAGATAGCCTGATCTGTCATGCGTCCCCAACTTAAATTTTCAAATTCATCATCTCTATTCACATTTATATAATTGGTTCGGGCTGATAATCTCAATGGAACTAAAGTAGATGACCGCAAAACAGCATTACCTAAAACAATAACAATAAATATCTTCATAATCTATACCATACCTGTTAAGTAACATAAATATTGATCAATAACATACATGTTTAAAAGATAAATAATTAACAGTATAATAGGTATGTTCCTAGTTTAATAAATAAGTTGAAACAGATCATTTAGAATACATTTGTTAAATATGATTGGTAATTTAAACTGATTAAAATTGTTACTTTTATTTTTTTATGGACTTTATTTACATGACGAACAATTTTAATTTCATAAGTTTTTGGTCTGGGTAATAATAAGAAATTAATTAGTTCTTAATTTATAATTAAATTGTATACAAAAGCAATTATTATACTTACTAGCTCTTGCTAATGCTGGTAAATTCATGTTTAAAAAACTCTAAAAATTACACAAACAAATAAAACAAAACGTCAACGTAAAAGTAATTTTCAACCAAAATGAATAATAACTTTTGAAGGAGTTTTTCTAGGCAAAATACTAAGTTGCACATATGTTGTTATCAAAACTACAAGCGATACATTATCACATGATATTTTATTATGGATCGGTCAGCGGAGGAAAATGTACTAAGGTATTTCCAATATAATCGTTGACCTTCTTTTTTTCTCATTTGAAACCTACTTATCATAAATATTTATAAGTCTATGGTTATCATAATAACATTACCATGATAGAAATATATAATTATATTTATGTAATTATTTTTATCGTAATGAACATTACTACTCCATTTATCATGCAGTAGTTCTATCCATAGTATATGATCTAAGCCCTAAGGTTTTAATATAAATCAGTGTTCCTTAACATTCAATCGTATGAACAATCGTGTGTCTCATCTGATTGATAATCGAGGTTATCGAGAAACACACGGTATATTTTCGATTTTAATAAAATAATACACGAGTATAATATTTATAATACTTTATTAGATGCGAATAAGGTACGCGGATACCTTATTAAAAAATAATAAATTGTCCAATTATCAGGGTTTTTAACAATTGTTATCGGTTACACAAAAATTAGAAGTGTAGCCGTGTAGGTACAGTACAAGCGAGAAAGCTTTAATTCGAAAGAACTATATTCGTAATGAAATTTAAAAAACAATGGGAACGGGTGCAACCACTGGTGTAGGTGGGTAAGCAACGATAAACCATTGCTAACGAAAAATCGATTCTAAGCGCAGTTCAATTGATAGTGATGCTTTATCAACAATATATAAGCCATATTATAATAAAATAATTAAATAGGCTCTATATATATTCTTTAATAATATTTGTTTAATGTTGTACCGATTTCCCCGGTTTTTCTACGTAAAAATGATCTTTCTAAAGTACCTCCCCAGTGAAATTTCCTTTTAGAAAAATTGCTATCATTAAATGTTGAAGCGAAATTACCGGTAGAAAAGTTGTCCATAGAAAAAAAAAATCGTAATATTAATAATAATCTCTTATATATAAAATTATCGTGTCACAATGTTCGTTTCCATACTCCTCCGAGACGGCTTGATCGATTCTCATGAAATTTTATATGCATATTCAGTAGGTCTGAGAATAGGCTACTATCTAAGTTTGTATGCTCTGCGATAAGTGGTTCCGGAGTTATGGCCTCTTAAGTCAAAGTATACTAGCACGCACGATATTCAACAATTATTATTTTGCCATGGAGAGATAATATACACTCTATGTGGTTATTTTTTATTATTGGTTTCCGTGGCACCCGCGTGCCAATAACAATTGAGAACGGCTGGGCCGATTTGGCTAATTTTGCTAACCTAACCTAACCTATGTACGTGTGTTTTGCACATATTTCAATGCCAACAAAACGCAAAGGGGCTGATTTGAACCGTAATACAAGTAAATCTCGAAGCTTGCGAAATAGAAGATCCGAAAGAACNTGAGAACACCATGTTTTTCACACGGACAATTATACGTGGCATGCTCTCGAGTGGGTAAACCATCCAGTTTGTTTGTGTTAGCTAAAGATGGACTAACAAAAAATATTGTTCACGCTATAGCATTAAGAGATTGATATTTTTAAGGAATAAATTATAATAACTTAAAAATAATGTGTTAGCCTTTTGTTATTTTTATATTCCCTCATCGTTCACAGCGCTCCATGCCTCTTTCACTAATTTACCACATCCTTAAACACTTACGATAAGTTAGTTATTTTTTTTCTAGACTATAGATTCCCTAGAAATAATTTATATGGCAAAACAACGCTTGCTGAGACAGTTAGTAATATATAATATTTCGTACATTTTTCCGTTTTTTTTCGGTTTTTTGCATTTGATTAGAAAACTTAAGAAAATCGAAAAATAACCTCTCCACATAGATTTCCTTTTAGAAAAGTTCACAAAAAGTTCCCTGATGATAATTCGTGACTGCGTCCATTTGCAGTGGCGGATCTAAGCGGAGGGCACAGTGGCACAATTTGTATTCATATATTTTAAATTAATTTAATTTATAATTTTTAATTATTTTACTGAAAATAAAAAATAATGTGCCACCCCTTCCCCTTCAAACAATTTCTGGATCCGCCACTGGGTACGTGTAAACATACAATTACATAATATATAAACTGTTCCTGAGTTTTTATCAAGTATAAAAAGGTGCCAAGTAAACTAACTCTATCTATATTTTTGAAAAATCAAATACTGTGACACGAATTATACTTGACCATTTTTACTTAACTGATTATTAAATCGATAGATATTAGCAGACCGATGTCGCATATAGTGATATTAATATATTTATTAGTTAAACAATTGTAAATGGTTATAAATATCTCAAAAATCGTTAGAATAATTTGAACATTTTTAGTCTCTACGATTATTTCGAATTGAATATGGTATACCAAGAAATCAAAATCAAAACTGACAGAAATCTTTCTTCCATTAATTTTCCCGATTTTTAGTCTATATACTTAGGAGCATATTTTCTGATAGAAAGGTTGTTCACCGACAAAAACATGTTCGATATTTTTAGATTTTTTCCCTAACCCAAAGGCCGCAATCCTTTATTTAGATAGAGGATTTAGATTCTGAGAAGAGCGAGAAATCAACTCCTCTCAGAATCGTTAGTAATGGGTAATCGTTGCATACAGATGTATATTAATTTCCCCTCTACTACCTTTTCAACTTCTCAACTACAACAGTGGCCTACCCACGTGTGAAGTATTTCCGTCTTTTTTAAACATTATAATACATAGGTTTATTATTTCCACTTTTAAAATAAATTTTTTTTGTTAACATAAATATACAAGTACTTGTTTTAAATGTAAAATTATTATTTTGTTTTAAATGCATTATTGTGTTACACCATATACATTTATACCTAACAGGAAACCGGATATCCGATAGCAGATGGCAAATGAGCACCAAATTATACCTATTGTGTTATTGTAGACGACAGGTGAATGCAATCGTGCGTTGACTCTTGAATTGGGCGTCCGTATGGATAATACTAAACAATAAAATTAGTTTTCGATGTTTAAACGTGTAGGTAACTATATTATTGGTCTCGAAAATATTTATTGGCTCGTGTTTTTAATTCGCATTTTATTAAATACCTATTTAAAGTGTTTGTATATATTTTTTCAACAGATTTAATTAACAGTGTACCAGTGTAGTAATTAGGTACCAAGTTATTTTTTGTATTTTTAAATTTTAACGATGGACGAAGACATAAGATATCAACGCCTTCCCCAATCATTTTCAGTGAGAGAACTTGGTTCTTATGAAGCCAGAGGCCTTTGGGGAATTAAACACACTCGAAAACCAGTGGACTTGATGGTAGCCAATGCAAAAACTTCATCGACACAATTATCTCCACAAGTCGAACTACGCATTACCGAAGATGGGTGTGAAATTATCAGCAACAAACACAAAAAGACTTACCCTATACATACGGTTTCTTACGGAGTTCAAGTAAGTACTGTGAAAGTTATTAAAAATAAAAATCTGTTGCATTATGGACAATATATCGGTATTTATATACATGTATACCATGTTATTGGTTTTTGATAAAAATAAAAAAAACACCTAACAAATAACACGCGTTTATATAGGATTTAGTATATACCAGAGTTTTCTGCATGATAGTTGTCAAAGAACAAATGAGTATGGACAGAAAACCATTCGATTGTGTGGCGTTCGTCTGCGAGAGTCGCCAAGCTGCAAGAAATTTAACCTACGCGTTAGCTACAGCATTTCAAGTACCTAATTATATTTATGTACCTAATTAATAAAAACGTATCGGTGCAAAAAGATAAAACAATAAGTTTAATGAATATTTGAAACAATTTTAAAGATACGTTTATTTGTAGTACATAAGAGAATAATATGTGTAAAGATTATAGATTTTAATTTTAAATGCATTTTGATTTACTTTAACAGGCCTATAGCAGAAAAGTACGAAGTGCTGGAACGTCTAAAACTCGTTTCGCCATTGATTTAAGAACTGCAGACGAACTAGAAATGGATCTTAGAAAAGTCGACTCCGAGGCATAATAATATTGATTACCTATTGATTTAATTGTAACTTTGTATTACAGCGTTAAATTAGTGTATATAACTTGTATAATTGGATTTATTATTTTAATATTTTATAAACTTTGTTGAACAAATATTTCATGTGTATTTGAATATAATTTTTATATCGTGGGTAAAATTATCTCATAATCTTTGAGATTTGTATTGTTTTTTTTTTTTAAACAATAACTATTAATAAATTATGAGCAATATTATATTTTATACATTATAGCCTATTAGAAAATCAATGATTTATAGTCTCTAGGTATATAAGATTTAATAAGATACCATACTATCAATAATATTGTTTAAGGGTAATATAATATTTTAAAGTAGTGTTTTTTAAATTTTCTGAAAAAAAGTTAATACTTTTCAAGATAATGAGTAGGTATAGTTTTATGTTATATTGTTACATTTATCACCCTTGGTACTATTCGTACTTGGTGGGTAGGTACCAGTTATAGATACTAAATAGTATCTATAGCCGTGTTAGGTACTAAGGTCTAAGATAGTATTTTGTTCCTCAGATGGTCGGATCAAAAGGTTCTTATAGTTTGCTGTTACAAGTCACGACAGGGTGGGCATAAAAGTATGTGTGTATAACTTATTAGTTATTACTTATATCACGATGATCACAATTTAAGAATAATATAAATTATTATCTTAAATTGTGCTTGTACCATAGACATATTAATAAATGGACTGCGCTTAAAGAAAGAAACGCAGTACCTATATTGGTTGAGAGAAATAGTGCTATAAAAAAAATAGGGGCATTTATGGAAAGAATGATTAAATATTTTAATTTTACCATGAAATTATTATTATTTATCAGTTTATCAAATCAATTTAATCTATTACAGTGGAAATAATAATAACAATTTTCATGGCAAAATAAAAGTTCAAAAGTATTTCACCCATGATTGCCCCTAACTATCGCTATCCACTTTTCACTTAATATTGTTCATGAATATCATAAACGGGAGTTGAGGAAAGCGTCCATTTATTAATATGTCTATGGTAAATCCACTACAGTGACTAATAAATCTAATATCTGTCCGTGGTTATTACCTTGATTGAATTATAACAAAATGATAACACTTATCAGCTAGGTTCAACACTTTTATCTAGATAGTGGATTTGTCAAAATTGTTTGACTGTTTTAACTGTTTAGCTTATCGTAACGTTATTACAAATTTAAAGTTTTGTTTTTTTGAGTAATATTGGAGAATATTTGTTACTTAATATCGCATTGTTGTCTTACGTATTTTAATTTATATCCATAATGGTATATATTTTTTTAATTCATATTTCATGACTTCTAAATATTTAATTTTGAATTGTATTATTTTTTTTTACAGTTACCTTTATCACTATTAAAAACTGCTCAGAATCATCCAATGGTATGTATAAAATGCACACATGTTATGAATATAATACATTCAAATTACTTATGTTATATTATAACATGTGAAGTATTTTGTCTTAATAGTTATTTGTTACTTGTCTAGGTTAAAATAGAAAATAGTTAAATTTTATGTTTGACTAATAGCAAAATTATCGGATTAATTTTTAAATATATATTATGTGCTATACCTAATAATAAAGTCAATAATAGTGTAGAATACCTCAATTATTAAAGTATTCTACATTTTTCTATAATTGGTTTAAAAAATATTGTTTTTGTTGGTTACACATTATTTTCTCTAAGCAGAACTTCACAACTTTTATGTTTTGAGTGTAGGTCTGTGTATAGATCAACAAAGTTAGTGGAGTTATAAGACTTATAATACTAAGGAGTTATAAGTTCTTTTTAAATTTCTAAAATCTATAGGTACCTAATTGATTATTATCAAATATAAATTAAAACATTATTAGGTAGTCAAATTAGATTGAAAGGATAAAATATTTTTCTATTTATGTAATTATAACTTTAAAACATGATATTATTTATACCATATTATTTTTAGCTTAAAACCAATGCTAAAAATTCAGATTCATTTAAGTTTCTATTATACTTAATAATTTTGGTTATAAGATTACTTTTTTCTTTTACCCAATTTTTAATAACTTTGTAATTAAGATTGTATTTTAAATGTCTCAATATAATTTAATGTTACATATAGTGTAGTCGTACATTTAATATACTTTTAAATTAAAATAATTTTTTATAGTTGGTGGAGTTAAAAAATGGTGAAACGTACAATGGACATTTGGTGACATGTGATAGTTGGATGAACATAAATTTACGGGAAGTGATTTGCACTTCTAAAGTATGTATAAATCGTATAAATAATATTTATTGGTGCTTCTGTATACAAATTGATAGACAATATAGAATTTTCTATCAAAGAAGAATATCTATTTTATTAAGTGATAAACATACCTATTATTAATTGTTCTATAAAATATATAACTAGTCAGTTCCATTAAATGTATTAATTTTTTTTATAAACCCATTAAAATACTCATTATATTTTTCAGTTGTTCTGAATAAGCACTTTTTAAATATTTCATCTATAATATTTATTTAAGCTATATATTACTATGGAATTAAACGATTCTAAATATATTACATTCAAATCATCCTTAAATTCCTGTATGAATTAATTATTTTATACAAATATTTTTACTATAGGTATTTTGAGATTTCAATGTTAATTTAATAATAATAACTGAAACTAACAAACATAAATTATTAATATCAATTTAAATATGATCTACTTAACATAATTTATTATCCTTAATTTTTTTAATTTGTATGTATTCTATGTAATTTATTTATTTGAAACATAAAATTATACTTTTATTTAATTATTGATTTTAATTTAATACATTATAGGATGGAGATAGATTTTGGAGACTTCCAGAATGTTACATTAGAGGTAGTATGATTAAATATTTGAGGATACCTGATGAAATATTTGATATGGTAAAAGAAGACATTGTTATAAATAAAGCCCGTGGTCGTACAGATAACCAGAAAAATCGAGCTCCTAGAGGAGGTAGACAAGGTATTATGATTTAAATTTTTTGTATAAGGTTATAAATTAAATCATACATTTTTTCTATTGTATATAATGTACAGCACACTTACATAGTCATAGGCATAATAAATGTCAAGAAGTCATGATTCATAGAATCTAAAAATAAAACAATTTTTTAACATATAAAAGAATTCTTAAATATTTTACTAATTTTCAATATTTTAGGTTTTGAAAAACCTAAAATGGAAATTATGGACATTATAACTTTGAATACACAATTTATTTAAAAAAAAAAAAATGTAATGTAAAATTGAATAGAACTATAGAACTGCAAGTATCATAATAGGCATAAATTATATACCTACTATTTAGCAATTTGTTTACATTTTGCAATGGCTCTGTGATAATGTACCTCTGTAATTACCAAAATGTTTATTTGATTAAAATGTATTTTATATTTTAGGATTTGGAGGAAGAGGAGGAAGTGGTAACAACCGAGGTGCAGGACAACAACAAAGAGGTGGCTCTAATAAATTCAGAGGCAAATAAACTTTTATCAACTTAATATTATTATATAAATTTAATTTCAGTCATGTATTATTATTTCAATAATATATATTTTTCTTGTGTTTTGGCCTTAATTACCTCTATATTCAACTATGTTTTCTACAACTTTTCTCCAGCTGATTTCCAGTTCTACTACCTTAATGTTTTCCTTCATAGTTTTTTCACCTTAACCTTGACCTCCCTAAAGACCTTTTTCCTATGGGATTTTCTTCAAACACTACCAAACTAAAGCTCCTTATTTACATCTGGTATAGCCAGTCCACATTAGTCTCATTTAAAAATAATATTTAATATCAACATTTTTTTTTTTAATCTCATTTAATTAAGTTTAAGATACTAAAAAAGTTAAAATAATATTATTATTGTACTTTTCTATAATTAATGTTTAATTTTAATTTAGATTATAAAAGAAATAGGAAATATGTATTGTAGTTGAATGTTTAATCATGAAGTTAATGTATTACATTTAATGAACATATTATAATTCAAAGGCTGGATTACAGTTTTAATGATAGTACAATAATTATTTAATTCATTTTAAAGTTTAGAATATTTTATTTATGACTTCCATTTTAAATTATAGACTTCCATCATTTGTCATACAGTTGACAAAAACGTAATTATATTATTAAGTTTTAAATTGTATTATAATTAATGTATCTTCTGGAACATAAAATATGATGTTTGTTAAATTAAAACCATTCCATTTAATTTTTATAATCCTTCAGTTTATGTGTGAAAATAAATTATTTTCAATAAAAACTAGTTTTTAAAAATTGATTTTGATATTGTTTAAGGTTTCCGAAAAAAAAAAAAATAAGTGATCTTATTATGTAATTATACCAGGTTTATATTTGCTAATCTTAAAAATTATTCATACTGTTTTACTAATACATAGACATAAATATATCTATAACTTTTATTGAATATAATTTATCCACACCCCTTCTCTAGAAATCAAAGCAACTATTAGGTCTATGTTGAATCTAACATAGATATTTAGAATATATTATCTATGTCTTAAAGAGCAACTATTTTGAAATTTTGAAAAATTAAAAAAAAAAATTATTTTATACAGGTAATTAATAAGTGGTGAACATATTATCTAATATCTATTATAACATCTAATTAGAAAAAATAAATTTGAATATTAACAAAGACATTATCATTGGGAAAACATGATGGAACACCCTGTATAGTCATATAGGGAGGAAGTACATTTTCCAAAATTAAATCTACTCTCTACTATGAAGTATGAACAGTACGAACTCGGTAAATATTAAATAATAAGATAATCATATAATATTCATAATGACCGTTTTGTCCTTGTGATTATTGAAAACTTGTAAAGTAAAAGTCTTGTTATTTGCATTACCTCTATTGCTCTATGTTATATGGCTCTATCCAACTCCCCACCAAATCCGTTTCATCTACCGCAACAATAGAATGCATGTCTAACAGTGCGGCCTACAGAGAATTGTTCGGAAACTATGTGTGCAGCACTGGTTGGCGTACAACTTGCGTGCGATTTATACCAATCGTGATGGAGATCTGTCCAATAATATGTTGTAATGTTTTTTATTTTTTTTTTTTTTTTTTTTGTTCATCGGATCTGATATTATCTCAAGAACACTATCATCATGGTATTAATAAAATAAAATAAAGTACAATAAAATTAATAATATTAATAATAATATAATAGTATTACGAACCGTAATGGAGAAATCGAAAAATCTTGTAGGCAGTTTTGGTGTTATGGCGATATTGAATTACTATTGTTCATGACATCAATAACTTAACGATCGTTATACATTGTGTTCTTTTGATTTTTTTTTTTTTTTTTTTTTTGTTCCTCGAACATTTACCGAAGAAAATAATTGAACGTTCCTAATTGGTTTTGGGTTGGTGCATTGTATGCCGCGAAGATACTAGCTTACGATTTGATGAAACACTACAAACCGTAACGTTGTTTAAAATATCAGCAAGTAATACATATTTTATTTTGAAAATTGATTTCATTATTTTATAAGTGCCAAACCTTTTTAGTAGCATCTGTTGGCTAAAAATGATTTTCCAAATAAATATAACACTGTAATCTTATCATAAGTTATTTATTTTCATTATATGGTTTTATTTATAATCAAAGTATTATGAAAAGAACCATAGTCTAACCCAACTATTTAACTTTTAGGATTATTCACTTTTCACAAATAGATTTTGTGTAATAATTATGATGTTAATGATCTATAGTACAGGGTATAATTTTGTTTATAGACAAGGGTTATCTATACTATACCTATTACGTATACTGGTTTGCAGTAGTCGAGACACGCTTCTTTCTGTAGCTTTAGCAAATTGTACTCCAAAAGATTACACCATCTTTTTTTACTAACCTATATAAGTAGTAAACTCTTTATGAACTATTGGTTTATTTTGTTACAATTAAATTATTTAGTGTATTATGCCGCCATATTGCATTTCTTAGCGATGCTTGATTAACCTCTATTTTAAATAAATAAGGGTGTTATTATCTTGTTACACAGTATTAATAACATTTTTTTTTTTAAAGTGTATGGTATAATTTTGTCACTTTATTCATATTTAGTATTTAGAACATTAAAATTGTTACCTACCAAAATAAGTTATCGTTTCATAAAAAAAATAAACAGTTTAGTGGACCTAAAATATAAGTATTTTTTCTAATTATTTAAGATAATACCTATAGAATTCCAAATATTAAATAGTTAAATAAAATTGTTGTAGTAATAAATAGACTTAAATATTTTCATGTCTTTTATAAAATTGTTTTCTTTAATTTTGGACTTTTACAAATGCATTAGTTTCATATTTTAGGAATTGTATTTATTGTATATCCTGTACCTACTATATTTTATATAGTATTGAATCAAATATACACTCAATATACAACTTTTATGATTTGAGTACTTTAAGAGAACATTAAATTCTTTATAATAGTGTAATTTTATAATTATCTTCTTTACTTATTTGTACTATAAACAAATAAAATTAATTAACCTAAAAATAATTTGTTAATCATTTGTATATTTATTACAATTTAATTGTAAATATATCTGTTATCTATCAGTTATACCATCATCAATAAATAAAACCAATAACCAGTGTATAAAATAATACAACTATTCCCCATTTACACATTGGCTATGTATTTTAAATTCAAAACAGAATAGTTTATAATTATAGTTACATTTTAATCATTAATAATTAATTTAAAAAACTAATTTATTACAGACATGAACGGTGTTGAAATTGTATTAACAGAAAAATCAGGAGAAAAACGTCTAGTAGCTGTTCAAGGAGGAACTGTTGAAAATACAGATGATCGACGGTAAAAAATTATTTCTTGTATAATTTTTAATATTTTTATTTAAGTATTATTTCAGTATTTAAAAAGGTTTTGTATTTTAATTTCTAAAACTGAATAAATAATGCATTATCATTAAACCCATTACTTATTTCTATAAAAAAAAAAATGTGTTTATATCATAATTTGCTAATCTTAAAGCTTTTAAAAATTATATTAAATACCTACTAAGTAGCATTTGTGTAAAATTAATAAAAAGGTAATTATTTTTCACGTATAAAGTAAATTATAATATAATCAAATTTTTTCTATGGCTTTGGTGTAATATTATCAAATATTTAATTTATTTAAAAAATTATTCAAAGATGAACTTACTTATTGATAAATAGTTTGTATGAACACTAAAATACCTATATTTCTTCATAAAGTGGCTTTAAATTATTACGTACTCCAAAATCACAATGCATTTTAGGAATATTCTATGCATTTACACAATTTTATTTATAAAATAGGTATTAATTTTTTAATAAAATCTATTACATTTTTTATATTTAGATATATTTATACATACATACATTTTGTGAACATAAACATAACTTTAATTTCAATGTACCCATACACTATTATAAATAGTATACAGTAAAAATGTTTATGAATTTAAGTTTATAAATAAATAATTATTAAAATGGAGGTTACTCTAATAGTCTTAGGTGAATTAAATTATTGACACATTTTTACATAAAAATAACACATGTTCATTTTAAAGTTATTTATATTGTTATAATTTTTGTTAAGGTTTTAAATGTAGAAACATTTCTTTGTAGTTTTAATAATTTTTTACTAATAAATTGCCCACTTCATTATTAATTATTTTGATTTAGTTGTAATAAACTTTTTTTAATTTTATTATTTTGTCAAAATTAAAATCCAAATTATCAAATATGATATAATCATTTATTACTGTAATTATTTAAGAATTATCTAAATTATTTGAAATATGTTTTGAGGATAAAATTATGTTTGTGTTTAAACTTCATACATGTGATTCATTGGCGAATTATAAATCCTACCTAGCTTTGTACTTTACTAGTCGTGGGTTTGGATTCAAGTAGTTTTATATTTTAATATGTAATTGATCAAAAAGGCTAAATTGTGTTTAAATATTTTACTAATTATAACTATTCGATTTAGATACATAAATTATCTAAAAATGAAAGATAGAATTTTTTGTTAAAAAAATGTTGTGCCACCAAAAAATTTTTTGACAACAACAATATCCATTTACAATATAATTTATATTGATCCTATAAACACTCAAATTATTTTATTTTTAAGAACACCATCAAATTTTATTTTTTTTAAATACTTAAAATAAAACTAACTAGAGACACAAAGCTATTTTCTAATACTAACATAACTATTAGAATTATTATTAACTATTCAGAAATATAAGTCTGTTTCTAGTTAACTATAGTTTAATTATAAATAAAATAACCTTTAACTACATGTTTAAACTGCCTATAACAACATGTTTTAATATTTGTAATAAAAGAAAAAAATGTAAAATATATTAAGGTAATATTACTATTAAATATGAAATACTACTTTCAAGAATAATAAAATTAAAATAGAATCACTTTTACATATCTTTAAACTGTTATAACTTATCAGTGGTAAATCTGATAATAGTGTTATATATATCAAAACGTTAAAAAAAATTGTTTCTATTTAAATCTGTTATTTAAGAGGGTGGGGGGGGGTTATTTAAAAATCCTATTAGCTTCTCATTTCAGGTATCACGAATAAAGGTGAAAAATTTAAAATAGTGTTAAACTAAATCTTAATGATTCCATAATAATTAAAAAGTCTAATTCACTAAATATCCTCCAAGAAAATTGTTAATTCATGATAAATAATTCCTCTGTATTATAAATTAATAAGAAAAAAAACATACATTTTTTGGTAAACAATTAAATTGATTAGCTCAGAGTATTACATCATAATTTAATAAAATATAATAATAAGTTATTATATACTAGTTTCAGTTATAATATAGAAAAAATAAACACAATTTGTATAAATTATTTAATTATTTCTTCATGTATGGTTTCAGCCATTAAGATCATATTATACCATGCCGCCTGATTTTATCTTCTGCGACTTGTCTCCAGCTAGCATGTACTTCGGTTTGTTTAATTTCCTTCACACAGTCTCCCCACCTCAACTTGGGTCTCCAATAAGTTCTTCCTTTATCATCTCTATCATATAAAGGATCCTTGTATAAGCCTGACATGGCCTACCTTAGTCTTATCATATATATTTCTTTAACGATATTAGTTCTCTGAAAATGCCTTTGCAGTTCAAAATTATGCAATTTATTGTATTGTGTAATTATTTAATATTTATTTTCGATTTTTTTTTATTAAATAGTGTACTATATTATATAATAAACTAATTCCTATTAATTCTTAATATTTCAGAGGTCATGAAAATATTGGATATGGAATATTTGTTCAAGGATTAAATGGAGTAAGTAACATTACCTACATTGCAATAAAGTTTAAATACATTTTAGTGTTGACATTTTTAATTTTCTCAAACTTGTTAACAAGATATTAAACTTTTAAGCTTGGTTAGAGGAGAAATTGTACTGCTAGTGAGTCACTAAAACTCAATTTTTTCAGTTATAAATCTGCCTTGGAAAAATTGTAATGTAATCACCTTTTTTTTTTATAACTTGTTAATTATTATAGGGGATATCAAATTTTAACTGTCCTATAGTAATTGGATAAAATTTCTAAACGGCCTTTTTGAATTTGGCCTTAAGTTTATTTGTATAAATAATTTTCATTATTTAAAATTAAACTCAGACCTATCAAAATTTTATTTTTAGAATTTTAAAATGTGAAATTGAACAAACTAATTTAATGTAAAGATAATCGATTTCAAGAAAATTGTATGACAAGTTAAATTATGTTTTCTGTATTTTTTTTTCATTAGCTAGAATAGTTAATATAATAGCAAAAGATTGATACTTTTAGACAAAAATAAAATCCTTCTCAGCTATATTTCTTTCCTATAAATGGGTACCGAGTAATAAATTAGTGGAAGTTTTATAATTAAGGTGATCATTTAAATGTATAAAAAACGTTCAAACTTGAGAAAATTTGAAAACCCGTTTAACAATCAACTTAAAAAAAAATTTTTTCACTATTAAATTTTTTTTTTTGTCATACAATTTGATAAATAATGAAAGTGAAATATATATATATATATTCCTTCAATGGGTTGGTGGAAATTTAAAATTTTAACAGCAAATATATTTAAACTAAAATTTCATCCATTTATGGAATATTTAATATAGGTTTTTTTTTTTTTTTTTGAAACTATTTGAAAATCAAAAGTGGGTGATGATTTGACTATCAAAAAGTAATGTCAATGTACATTTTAGAGCTGTTTATTTTAATATTGTCCAAAAACCAAATTACAAAAAAAGTTCCAAGATAATGAGTGTCTGATCAAAGGTTGTTCACTCTTTATATTAGCTTAGCTGATATTATGTTTTGATATCTTATCCTTAAAATATTATATTTTTTTTTTAAATAATATACCCATTAATTTATTATAAATTCATATTTAAATATTTTAGTTTATACAATTCTATTGTTAAATTTGTTTTACAAATTGTTTGTTGTAGGATTTAGCACATTTGTTGTTGGATCAAGAGGAAGTGGGGACTATGACTGTAGAAAGTTTGGCTAAAATAATCAATGGTCAAGAAGCAATAAGTGTATCTGGACAAATCCAAATAAATAATATAAAAATTGAAAATGTGGACTTGGCTAACCATGATGGTACAACTGAAATATACATTGCTGATGAAAAGAATACAATTGCGATTGACATGGCTAATGAAGCTGTTGCAAACTGTCAGAGTCTTATGCGCCCTGACCCAATGGATGAGTTACAATGTCAAAAATGTGGTAAACGATTTGCAGATATTAATACTTTAAAATCGCATGAGGTAACTCATGAAGAGAATCAAAATATAGAATGTAAATTTCTGTGTACTGTTTGTGGAGAAAAATTTGACAAGGCGAATGCATTGAGTGCACATTTGGTTAATCACCGTAATATAAAATTACATCATTGTGAAGTCTGTGGATTAGTATTTTCTGATGACCAATCATTAAAAGAACATGCTCAAATACACTCTCGCCAAAAACTACACACATGTCAGAAGTAGGTTTTCATAAATAAACACAATATATTTCATTGATTGATATAAATAATTGATGTTCATGCTTTTTATAGGTGCGACAAGAAATTTCCTTCAAGTTATAGATTGTTTCGTCATATGACGATTCATACAGAAAATCCACCATTTGTTTGTGATCAATGCGGTGTTTCTGTGGCAAATAAGAGTGATTTAAAGCTTCATATTATGAAACATACTGGTAGCGCTGTGTATACATGTACTGAGTGTGACAAGAGCTTTCTAAAACCATCTTGTCTGCAACGGCATTCCAGTGTTCACACAGGAGAACGACCATTACACTGTAAAACTTGTAATATGACATTTTCTTATTCCAGTAATTTGTGTGGACACTTGATAGCTAATTCTAAAGCAAAACCACATCCATGTACTATGTGTGATAAATCTTTTCGTCGCCCATCAGATTTAGAGCGCCACATGATGATTCATACAGGGGAACGTCCTTTTGTGTGTCAGGTTTGCTCGATGTCATTTATTACTAACTACAATTTGAAGGTACATTCAATGATCCACAATGGCGGTTTACCGTATCCTTGTACTTCATGTGACAAAGCTTTTAGCAAACCTTCAGAATTGCAGAGACACAAATTGGTACATTCAAGAGAAAAACCATTTTCGTGTGTCAAATGTGAAGCAACATTCACAAACCAGAGTAACCTTAAGGCTCATATGATAACCCATACAGGACGAAAACCATTTCCTTGTCGTATTTGTAATAAAGGATTTACTCGTCCGTCGGATGTTAAACGACATATGCTTACTCATACTGGTTGCCGTCCATTCGCATGTGATGTATGTGGTTTAGCTTTTGCTGATTCTTCAAATTTGAAAAAACACTCTTTGACCCATTCTAAAGATGATCAAAAACTCGCTTTGCAACATCAATGTCCTTCATGCTGTATATCATTTTTCTCATATGAGCAACTCAACGAACATATGATCTCTGGAAATTGTACTAATAATAGTGGCCAGGCTGAACCTAAGTATTCATGTAAAGAATGTGGCGCTACATTTAATCACGCATTACACTTGCAGGAGCATGCCATCATGCATTCCAATCATCGATCTGTGCATAGATGTGACGTATGTAACAAAACATTTATTCAAGAATCTTTTTTAATTGCACATAAGGCTTCTCATACTGAGTCACGCCCTCATCGTTGTGATATCTGTTTGAAGAGATTTAAAAGTACATCCCATTTGAAGAATCATGTAATGATACATTCAGGCGTTAAGCCATTTGAATGTACAGTATGCAGCAAGTCATTTTTAAAATTAGCCTCGTTGAGACGCCATTATGCAACACACGACCGTGTAAATTTTTCATCAGCTGTCTGCCATCAATGTGGCAAATCTTTTCTCAATCAAGAATATTTGAAGAAACATAGTGTAGTACATGCAGACACATAATACACAAATACATATTAAAGAGTTTCTCATTATTATCATTATTAATTATAATACAACTAGTGTATATTATTACTATATTGGTCACTTACAGTTTCTCTAGTGGATACATTAAAATGTATAGGTTATATAATTAGTTTGTTAATTAATTTGTGTGTAAATATTATTTCTTTTTAATTATTCTTAACAATTTCTTTATTAGGTATTTTAAATTCTATATTCCTTTTGAAGTTTATTTAATCATTATATTAAATCTGAAATTTATAAACTGATCAAAGAGATTATAGTTGTTTATATGCAAATTGTATAATAGCTTAAATTATTTTTAAGGATTAATTTTTATTTATGTCAAATGCGTCATGTCATAAGAACATATTTACACCAAATGTAATTAATCATTGATTTAATTGTTATAGTTTTTATCTTAATATTATATTAATAATGTTTTATTTTAAAATATACTAGAATATAGGAATAAATTTCATATATTACACATATCTCTTGTTCTTTCCAAGGATAAATTACAACACTTAGAATTTTGTACTTAATTCTGTTTGGTCTAAAATTCTGGGTTATCAATTTGAATTCATTTTATTAATAATCCGGATCTTAAATCAAGGTAAATTATAAATGCTAATATTAAATTAAATTTAGAATGTAAATAATATGACTAAGCAATACTATAATATTATATTGTATTCATTGATAAATTTCTGTCTTTAGAAAAATATAGATAAGCTTTATTACTGTGTATATAACAAAATAGCTCTATGCTAATTATATATATATGTATTATTATTGTATATTTATATAATATGCAAGTATTTTAGTGTTTTGATCATAATATAATATATTTTTAGTATTGTCATTTTTCAATTTGTACACTTGTATTTTAAAAATAGCTTTATTTGAAAAATAAAAAAATATTTGTAGCAAAAACAATGGAAATAGCTTTAATATCAATTTTAAATAGTGTATAATTTATAAAATATAGTATGTTCATTGTATTAATACATACTCAAAACACTTGTACATTTTTGGTTCAAATATTATTATATTATAATAGTTTTCTCATCACATCACTGTTGAAGTCTGACTTAAACATTTGAACAAAATTATAAGCCCAAATTTCCTTGTTTCCGACGAAGTGTTGGAGTACCAGGTTCCCATTTACCCGGAGTAATGATTTCAACTCTAAATTATATTATTATTTCAATTACCAAATATAACAAAATGTTTTGATTCATTAATTTTCTAAAAAAATAAAATATTTACTTTCTGATGCTTGCCAATTGTTTACGTTCCTCCTCAAGCTTTCGTGCTTTCATCTCTTCTTGTGCTATTCTCATGGAACCTTCCATTTCCTGTAAAGTTTCCATGGTCTGGCGTTTAGCTGACCCAGATTTTCCAGTCTCTTTCACAGTGAAGAACATTGGACCCAATTCAGCTAACCAGTGACCATCTACAGCAGTCACAGTTTGCATGTATTCCTATTAAATAAAAATTAAGGAAACTTTAACCCATTTTTCACAAATAATATATCAGTAAACATAAAATTATTTGGTTTTAAAATATATTAAAATAAAATACAGTTTGGCTGCTTAAAAAAAAAAGAACCGAAAATGCTGACGGGCGTGCCACTGCTGTAAGTGGCAAGTTGGAAATATAATCAAAATAATATTTAAAAAACATCATAACTGTACACAGTGATAAAATTATTGCTAAAATAGATAAAAAAATACATACATATAAACATATATTATATAGCATATAATATGTAAAATGTTCAATACATTCTGGAGATATTTTTAGGCATTTGATAATTTTAATTTTAATTTTTTTTAGATTTTATGTGAAATACTTAATAGGTAAAATTTGAGCGTAATGTAGTTTTTCTTTTTAATACCCTTTAAAAGTGAAAAATTTTGATGAAAATCATAAAATGATCGCAATATTTTTCATTTATGTGAATATAAGTTTTTGGCCAAGTTATATGTTTGAAAATTTAACACTGGTTAATTATATATTTCTTTTTTCTAATGTTACAAAAATAGTCTAGTGTAATGTAATCTTTTTTTTTTTGTTATTTATAAGCAGTCAACATTCAGCAGTATTAATTTTTTTTTTAAAAGTTTAATTTTGACAAAATCTTGAAAATCAAGGCATTTTAACAGATTGACTACATATGTCTTTATGCAGTTCTCACTAGTGTATACACAACTTTAATTCTCATATTTTTAATAATGGTAACTAATAATTAAATATCATTAAGTGTATAATGCACAATAATTAGTGTTGGTACATAGTCAACGAGTTAAAACATATTAAAACAAATTTTACTCTAAATTGTACTTAATTAGCATTAATTCATCATTGGGTACAGATATAAGTTTAAAATCTTTACATTCAAAAATTTTAAATGAATTTTAACAATTGACAGTTTTGAAAATGTTACCATATCTGGGAAGGGTTTGGGAAGATGAAATAGAAAGCAAATTTAAACCTATGATTATTTTACGCAGAATTACAAGAAAAAGAAAAAAACAAAAGTGATAATAAATAGAAACAGTTGTAGTATAAGATATTTAAATATACCTTTGAACTCATGTGCTTTTTAATTTATATTTATGTACAATTATTTTTTGGTTTATAATTGTACAAAACTTAACTGAAATGATTAATGAACAAATATGTAAGCAAATTTTTCAAATAAAGAAAAAAGTATTCTTTTGCATTGCATATCAAAAGGAAAGAACCTTATAGAAAATAAAAAACTTATGCATTTCCAAATAAAGAAGAATGTGCTACTTGGGAAACAGTAACTGAAAACTTAATAATAGACTTCTTAGTAATAGTAATTTAAAAGTGTACAAGATAAGAATATTTTATAATTAAATAAGATGCTTATAATACGTATTATAAGCGCCTTGGTATAAAGTTAGGTAAATGTTGTTATCAGTTTTAAGTCAGATTGATGCAATATTAACTTCAATTTATCAGTTTATATAACAGTTTTTTTTATAATTAGATGAAATTTAAAATCCCAAAATATTTTCTTGGAATCTGAATTGCTTAGTCATCCATAAATTCCAAAATATAACCAATGATTTGTTTTACACAATCTATCTTGTTGGTTAAATATTTAGGTATGATCACAACTGTTTATTCCATAGCTTTTCATGGAGAGTAAACTCAGCTGGCAGTGATATTTATTACCAGTTAGATTGAAATAAAACGGGAATCACTACCAGTGGCGGCCATTGTATCTGTGTATCACAAAGTTGTGATCATACCTATATATTTAGCCATAGTTTTCATATTATTCAGGCACCTACCTACTTTATCAATATTATTATCTATAAAATAAGCACGTAATTCATTCCATAAGTTATAGAATTTGAGTGCATAAATAAAATTTAAAAAATTATTTACGTATTACATAATTATTTCTTATGTGGCCCATAAACCAACTATGTATACGGACATTAAAATCTAAAATGAGTGCTATACATTTATGATCAAAGCCTATAATTTCTAACAGTCTAATTAACCAGAAACATTAGATATTTTTAAAAATTCCTTAATGAGCTATGACTGAGGTTTGGTAAATTAAATAAATATTTTTTATGATTGTTATTTATTTTATTGTAATAAATTTATTTTTAACATTTTTAATGCAATAAGTGTATTTCTATTTACCTTTGAAGTCATTATAAGCTCATGATATACAACATAATCAGGTGTGAAACCCATGCCAAATAAAGCTGATGTAGGATGCAAATGGCATGGCATACCTGTTCGACAATTTACATATTCACCAATACCTTTTAATCTAGCGGCCTGGTGGAAGTAAGCTAAAAAACAAAACGAATAAGATAAAAATGAAAACCATGATGTTTATTCACATACCTGAACATATGCATTTTCGTATAATATCCCAATCTGTACCACAAGATATAATTTCTATTTTTTGTTGGACCATTATGTCTTTAAGTTGCTGCCTTACTTCGCGCACTTTACGCATAGCTTTTACGTGAATGAAATGTTCATTACACCATGATGCTGAATAACTGTTACGTAATAATTGTTTTAAACATTTTTTTAATATAAATATGTCAACAATTGTATTATTTATAAACAAAATATAATCACTAACTTATTTTGTTTCCACTGATTATAAACATTCAACATTGTCAAATGATCAGATTCAGGTACTTGAAATTTTTCCCGAACACTATCAGAATCTTCTTCCCGACCTTTAGGACGGTAGAAAATAGATGGTACAGATAACATAGAAACTATGAAAAACAAATTGTCTATAAGTATTCAACACATTTTATAAATATAATTATTCCATTACCAATAATGAGCACATCAGCTGTACAATTCATAGCAGATGAAACTATCAACATTTTACATTGAGGCGGATCTAATGGAAATTCTGCCATTTGACGCCCCAGTGAAGTCAATTCTCCAGTGTTGTCTAAAGCACCAAGCACCCATAGTTGATAAAGAGAATTTAAAATATTATCCTAAATAAACATATATAAATGTAAGTTTAGTTTTTATTCATTGGAAACAAATATTACTTGTGGGGGAGGGTCCATAAAATGGAACTGGAGTAAATCCTGTACTCCTAATGATTTCAATAGCAACACAGTGTTGGCTAGATTTGTTCTTTGAATTTCCGGAACAGTGCCCATAAGTAAATCATCTTTATATTGCCTTTCTGTGTATAATCTTGAATTTGTTTAAAAATTTAGTACATATTTTACTCTAGCCTGGAACATATAGATGATAATTTAAAATAAAATAATTATACCTGAAACACTGACCGGGACCTGTTCGACCCGCTCTGCCACTTCTTTGATTTGCATTGGCTTGACTTATGGGATAAATTTGTAATGCATCCATACCAATTCGTGGATTATAAACTTTCATTTTACAATAACCAGAATCAACAACAAATTTTATACCGTCAACTGAAACACGAATATAATAATTAATATATTAAATACATAATATAGTATTTAATTTCATCTAAATATCTAATGAAGGTTATAATTTGTGTAGTTGGATAAACTATACAAGTCATAAAATTGATAATACTATTTACCTGTTAATGATGTTTCTGCAATATTTGTAGCAACAACACATTTCCTTAATCCGTCACTAGATTTTTGAAATATTTTAGCTTGTAAATCTGATGGTAATTGTGAATAAATTGGAAGCACTAATAGTTGTGGGGCATCAGCTATTTCATTTAGTCTCTCCGCTAGCGTTTCACATGTAACTTCAATGTCCTCTTGTCCAGGCATGAAAATTAGTATATCTCCTGAAAAAAAAAAATAAAAAAAAAATAATATTGATAATTGCTGATTTTTTAATATAATAATTTATGGTAATTCATAAGAAATAAAAACAATGCTTACCCTCGTGAGGTTGTAAATGTATTTGCAATGCTTGTTTTACAGCAGCTTCAACGTAGTCTTCACATGGATTTTTACTGAACATTACTTCCACAGGAAAAGTTCGGCCAGGAATGTTAAATGTCGGAACATTCCCAAAAAATAGAGAAAACTTGGTAGCATCCATAGTAGCTGATGTTACTATCAATTTGAGATCTGTACGTCTAGTAACTACCTAGTAAACATTAATTAATAATATTACATACTATAATAAAAAGACAAGTGCAAAATTACTGATAGTTATGAGTAGATATATGCTATATAATTTAGAGTTAAGTAATATAAATTCATCTACTATACACACACACAAAAAAAAAAAAGTTATAAGGACTGATCTGGTTCAATCAAATTTTGAACAAAAAACAGACAAGTCCCATGGATAGATGGTTTTTCATTCTCAACAGATAATTAAGCAGTTAATAAAATTTCAAAAAATGAATTTATCTTGTTGCAACTAGTACTTCAAATATAAAAATATGCAATTCACACAGGTTTCAACAATAAGTAATTTTTTAAAATTAATTATATTTTTACCTCTCTTAGAAGACCAAAAAGAACATCAGTGTTCAATGACCTCTCGTGAGCTTCATCCATAATAACAGCACTGTAGTTATCTAAATCTGGGTCTCTTAATGATTCTCTAAGTAAAATACCATCAGTCATGTATTTGATCACAGTTTTCTATAAATATGTAATTGACATGAGAAATATTAAAATAATAATAACAATAATAAAATGAAAATAAAACACAGTGAAACCTCTATTAATGGACACTTCTCAATAGCGGACCCTTCCTGATAGTGGATACTTTTAAATTCTACGGCAAAAATGTATGTACATAATAAGTTATAACCTCTTAATAATGTACACTGGAAACTCCTAATAGTAGTCTTAGACACTAAAAACTGATACCAAAATTAAAAATTACGTCTCATAAATGGACACAATACTTGTAAATATCGAACATGTTTAAGTAATAAAAATACTATAGTTATCTTTTATATAGTTGGCATTTAGTAATATCTTGTAAATGTCTACTATGTAGTGGTTTTCTCAATAGTTAACAACTTCTTATAGTAAAAAGTTTTTTATTCCCCATAGCTGTCCAATATATAGAATTTCATTGTAATTATGTTTAACTAACATCAGAAGTACAATCTTCAAAACGTATAGCATATCCCACATCTTCACCGAGCTTGGTGTTCATTTCATCTGAGACACGTTTAGCAACTGACATAGCAGCAACTCTTCTTGGTTGTGTACATCCAATCATACCAAACTTGCTGTATCCTTCTTCATGAAGGTATTGTGTAAGTTGAGTAGTCTTACCACTACCTGTTTCTCCAATGACAATCACAATGTTATTCTCTCGAATGACATTTAAGAGTTCTTGTCTAGCAGCAAACACTGGTAAATATTGCCGCTGCTGCGCATAAGTCTTCTTTCTAGCAAAATCACTACTAGCTTCAGGTGTATTTTTAATATGCTCAGCAAATTGCTGATCAGTTTTATAATCAGTCTCTCCTTCTTCATCTATTCTTTCATCTTTTTCGTCTTCTTTCTTTTTTACTCCCATAATATTTCCTATAGCTGTACCGGCTACCTCCCAGTGTTTTTTTTGTGCTCGTTTCCGTTCTTTTTGTTCTCGAAAAGTTCGAACTAGCATAGAACCTTTCCTGGCAACCATTGCTATATCGGAAGTTGGATCCTTAACTGGGATAACAGGCTCTGGTTGTTTTGTAAAAACAATACGCCCATCCAAAAATGGAGGTACAATATTATGCACCAACAGATGTACTCGGGCTTCATTGTCTTCATCAAAATCTTCATCTAAGTCAACAGATACTACTACGCCGCTAGTTAACATACGATTACGCTCCCACAACTCGTTGTCCTATTATAAGTAATGGACAATTAGTATTAAACTATTAAATATTTACTAAATAATGCCAATTATACAATATTTACATACTTTATTAATTTGCCTTTGTTGAGCAGACATGCGTTTCTTTTTACTTTGAGCCAACTGCTGTTCTTTTTTTTTGGCATAAGATTCACTAACATCACTAAATGGATTATTGGTTTCATCAACACCTTCATCTAAATTATACCATTGCCTATCTAATCTATTTTGGGCTTCTTCCCATTCATCACGATCTGTTTCACTAGCCCATAATAGATCATTTTCTGTAATACCATTAATTATACAATTTATATTAACTTAAGATTAAAGTTGCACATTTAGTATAATAATTTTAATTTAAAGTATTATAAATGTATGTATATTCAAACAAGATTTGAAACCATAGACCAATATGGTTGTAACTTGTAAACAGTAATAAGAAGCTTATAACAAACAAAAAAAGAAATAGCAGAGATGTTTAAAATCCATTTGAAAACCTCTAGAACTGATCTGATAGTACATCAAACGAGAGAAAAAACATAATATATACTGCGGAATCTAAAATAATAGAGCCTTAGAAAAAATAATTTTCCAAGGAGAAAAAGAAAAGCTAATTAACTTTCTGAGAAACAATATATCTCAAAAGAAAACCAGATAACAGCATAACTGCTGAAATATGAAGGAAAACATATGGTGGATTATGTAAAACTGGAAAACGGAAACCATCCCAGAAGAATGGAACACAGCTATCCTTTATCCAATATATAAAAAAAGGAGATTCAATGATAACTGGAAACTACAGAGGAATTATATCTATTAAATGCAGGATAAATATTGACAACACTCATAATGGAACGACTAAACCCTTATGTATCAATTTAAGTAGAGGAATATCAATGTGGGTTTAGAAAAGGAAAATCGACTATTAACCATATACACACAATCCACCAAATAGTAAAAATATATTCTGAATATAAAAACAATTTCTATTCAGTATTTATAGACTCTAAACAAGCATACTGAATAAAATTATGGAAAACAATGATGAATTTTGGAATTAAGGTTTTTTGGAAAAAAAAAGTTATTAGTTATAATGTAGTTCTACATTAATCCATAAATAATAATCAAAATAACTTGACATATTTAATTTTACTATAGTGTATTAAATGCTTAAAATTATGTAAATTTAATAATAAAAAGTCCATACATTTAAAATAACTTTTTATTATTTTTTACATTTAAAATATTTGCTTTTTTGAAAAATAAAACAAAATAATAACTGTGTCAAGAGGTACGTGAAAAATTTTAAAATACGCAAATGGTAAGCAAATATGAAAAGGTTGAGAACCGCTGCTTCAGTTCTGGTCATAATTTTTAAAGTGGTTTTGGCAAGCTTATAGTGGAAACAATAATATTTTCATAGATATATTTTGTTCACAATTAGATATACAAATTGAAAATTACAAATTTTTAATTATGAATTACATGTTGTAAAAGAGGAGAAAATCCGCAAGTCTTAACATTAAATTTTTTCTAATAAAAAAGATATTAATTTCACTTGCACTAATTTGACACTAAGTAAACTTTCTTAAGAAGTAAAAATGTAAGTAAATGAGATATAAGTTTGCTAGATATTTAGAAGCTGTTGATAATGTAAATAACACTATTAATATATCTTTAACTATTTCCATTATAAATTTATTTGTTGAAGAGCATTTTCTACAAGCTTATTTAATTAGCTTGTAAAAAAAAGTGTAGGAAAAATAATTCTCAAGAAAATTTGACTGAATTCATGGTTTTATGCTCTGAATGTAACATATACAGTTGATTTAGCTTCAAAAGACAGAAAAAAGATGCAACATATTTCGCATGGGGGTGGGCCACTGTTTTAGGTGAAAAGTTGGAATGGTAGATGGGAAATTGAATGTATACACATGTGCAACGATTAACTATTGAAAATGAAAAACGATTTTGAGCAGAGTTCAATTGTTAGAATTGCTTTGTCAACAATATATTATGGTAAAATAATTATATATTCATAATTATCATTTTCTTTAATATTGTACATGTTTTCTCGTTTTTTTCTCATTCATTATAAAAATAGCTGGGAAAATCAAAAAAATTACCTCTTTAAAATACCATCCCAGTTAGATTTCCTTTCAGAAAAAGTGTTATCATAGAAAATCAGAGCGAAATTTTTAGTAGAAAAAAAATAAACATCATTGTAAAACCAATACATTTCTCGACCCACTTAAAATCTAAAGTGTTTTTAGTTTTGTAAAGTAACAAAATAATGGGAAAAAATATTTGAATTACATTACAATATTTTATATTTGTGTTAATCAATATTTAATAAATAGCACATAATATATATAATGTATAATAATGTAATTTTTTGTTTAACCTATAAAATAAATGAATATAATGGGAGGGAGACACTAACATCAATAACAGTATGAATAATAATAATAAAATTCCTCATTTGAACATTAATTATCATTTATTATACTTTATTTATTATTTATTTTACCTTTTCCTGGTTTAGGCGTAGCTCCAGATGCACGATTACTATCCCATTTATTATATTTGTAAGCTGGTGTAAATCTAGGAGTTCTAGTTGGATCATCATCAATACTTCTTTTTGGTGTAGGCATATCCCATGTAGATGATTTATATGAGGACATGTGGTCATCTTCATCCCAAGTAGTTCTAGAGGGAAAAAAAACAATTAATATTAAAAAAAAAAAAACAATTGTTGATTTTATATCATACATCATACTTTAAATAAAGCTTGTCTGTAATAATTATTATAATATTAATAGTTCAAATTACTACTTTTAAAGGTGCAGGATGGTGTCCTGAAACGTGCAATTTAAAAATAACTATTGGTGGCACTATAATTTATGCAGGTGTATTCCCAATGTTTAAGTTATGTTCTTGTTCTTTATACTTAAGAAATTGATAATCATATAAATCGTTAGATAGCGCAAAATGTGCATTCGCTGTAAAACATCAGACACAGTTTGATTAGACTTCGATTTTACTTCTTCAAAGTAATTAAGGAACGTATCCTTGTGATAGGAAATCAAAGTACTCCTATGGTTGTGTCAAGTCAACAACCTGTGTAAACATTTTGTCAAATAGCTTAAGAAGTCTTAACAAGACTTAAGCAAATTATCTCATCATGGCTCCTTGTTCACCAATTTAACGATTTTTGATGTTTTTTTTGGGGAAGGGAGATGAACATTATCTTATGAATATTATTTACCAAAATTAAATAATTAACAAATACTTTTTGAATTCTACTTTACATGCATTAAGGTCATATAAATAAAAATGGTTTTTATAGTTATTTGAAAATTGCCTGTTTCACTTTTCCACCATGTATAAATATAATTATTATATATAAGTATATAAGTATGAACAACTTAGACACTATTATAAAAAAAAAAAAAAAACTAAATGTACTGGTATGAATAACATTGTTACCTGTTAATTTACAAAAAGATGTATAAATTTAATGTTTTCTACATTTTATATTTATAACTCTAATAAGATGTTGTGTTAGATTACAATAGATTATAGAAAATATCCAAACTTTTGTAATACAAACTTCTTTATTTTGCAGATTATAGGTTAAATCTCAAATTAAATTAATCTGCCCGTATTAATAATAATAAATAAATGAATAAAGAGTTGAAGAAACATAAAAGAAATGTGAGTATTGAAATTTGTGTGCGGCCAATTAATGGAACTTGTAACATCATTCATCATTTTAAAATGGCGATAACAAGGAAAGAAACAGTGAAAAACTATTTTTACCAAATTCATAACTTTTTCTGTTTCATAATATTTTATTTTTTCTTAGATAGTCTTTCAATTATACTGATTTTTGAATTTAAACAAAAATTATAGATATTTTAAAACATTAATTATAAACTATAACTAATGGTATAAAATATAAACATAACTAACAAAATTAAGTAGGTATTAGATATTAGGTGCTTACTTTACATAACAATAGAAGATTTGTTTTCAAATAAAAACTGTACGTATTCTTTTTTTATAACAAAAGCTACTAACCTAGATGGTGTATCTCTAATCCTGACATTAGGAGTCAAAGGTTCATCCCTACGTCTAATTGATGGTGTTCTACTTGATCTTTGATATGGTTCATTACGGCGATTTCTTTTGTCATTTCTGTCAGCTAAAAATGAAACTAATTGGTAACTAAATTTTAACTATACTTCATATACTTACAACTTCTCCTTTCATGATGTCTTTTTCGCTTATCTTTAGAATCTTTAGTAGAATAATGCACACCGCGGTTGTGTGGTCTTTTTAATCTTTCCAGTTTTTCTATAGCTTGCTTTGATAACCCTCCTGTATGTGTTGGAGTTTCTTCTTGAGTAGATCGATAGTGTCTAAACCATACAATTAAATTTGTTATACACAATTTAGTTTACCTTAAGACTAATTATTATTATAATAAATAATAAATACCTATTTTTGCTTTTGTATTTTAAATCATCTATTGGAGTTGTTTCTTCAACATCCAGTCTATCGTCATCATTGTCTGCATAAGACTGCAAATTTAATTTGGTATTCCCAGATTCCTCTCGATCTAACCGTTTTTGCGCTACAAGTAATTATGGTTCAGAGGTAATAAAAGAGATAGTTCATGAAGTCTTTTCTTAACTAATGTGTAACTATACAAAAAAACTTACCAGCTAACTTGTCTAGTCCAAGTAGTGAACCCTTAGGTATGTCAGGTATTTTAAATTGAAATTGATCAGTAGGTTTTGGTTTTTTTTTAATAATTAAACCTCCTTCAGTTTGATTGTACCCTAGCAACTTGTGTACACCATCTTCGTCATCCGACATTTCAATTAAATATGATCGCGACTAAAAATAAAAATTTAAACTTTAAAGCATAAAAAATACGTTTAAACGTTAAATAACATATTATATACTACATACTATACAAAAACAAAATATACGAATGTTCCTCCAGCAATATTTGATAAGAAAGCCCAGTGGTTCCCAAATATGTATACAATGTTACCTACTCAACTCCTGTAATTATTGTACTGCTACTAGTTTAATAAATTGCCTATCCAACACCTATAAATTAATTTTTTAAATTATATTGCTAACTTTCAATTTTCTAATATGTATCTTTGAAAAAGAACGTTTTTGACGTTGTTGTACTTGAAATGGGTTATTTTAATTTTTTTGTTCTAAATTTCAAGGAGTGTGCCTGTAGTCCTATCAGGAACAATTTTTTAAAATACTTTTTTTGGTTGTACGACTTATATCACCCATAAAGAAAATTAATAGGCCGTTATACCTGCATCTACTATCTCAGTCAAACTACTGGGTAACATACAAAAATAATACTTACGCAAAATGAATAAAACTAACTTAATTTTGAGTTTAGAGTAAAAGTACCTATTATGAAATTGATAGACTATTTTGGAAGGATGGCATCACTGTTTTTTGAATTATGAATTATTAAAAAAGCAAAAAAATAAATTTTTTGTATCTCTTATATTGAGTTGTATATTTAAAATAATAAAAAAAACCTACATATATATGTATATTTAATCAAAGCTTATAATAAGTATAAGGTATATGGAAATTGGGAAGGACCTATTCTGTATATTAAACAACACAATAAGCCGAGCTTGAAAGTTTTTGAAAATTCACGTGATTAAAATGACGAGCCTGTAGCACCCACGAATTAATTAATTAATCTTAATTCGTGGTCCTACGTATAGACATACTCTTTCTAAACGTACTACATCAGAATAAAGTACATAAAACAACACAGCCACATTCAATCGTATCAAGAACGTTTCGTAAAACGACTGATAAAGTGATAACAGATAAGGACTTGTTGCGTATCCTATGCATATTGTGGATCAGACCATGACGAATATTAGCGCAGTCTATTCTGTTATGTTTATGCTAATTAGACTGCCATTATACCCATCTAATTCGTCATGGATCAGACAATAAAATGATTTACTGGTTAATATAAATTGGTTGGTGAGTTGCATAGGCCTGTGCCATACGATTACTGATACTTTTTTTAGATATTATCTTAATCCATATTTTGTCTCATGTCCCATCTGTACTTCAATTATGGTTGAAATAACGATTGCTTTTCATTTTAATGTTCAACTTTGAAGAACATTGTTATTTCAGAATTCTACCTACCTTTGAATGTTTTATTTAATGAATAATGTAAATCCAAATATTTAAATAAAACTTTACCTGTAGAGCTCAAATAATCTAATCATATTTTGTAATTATTTATATTTTACAGGGAAATAAAAATTAAACAATGTGAAAATATGAAATTTACTATCAAATGACAATGACATAATATAATACACGTATAGAATAAGTATAATATGTAAGTTATCAATTTCATTAATATATATCACAATCCATGTACTAAGATATATCTTAGTCTGTGATAGGTAAACATACAAAATTTAGGATTAATGTCAAATATGTTTTTACTTTTATTTTTATCTATAATATTGATCTATAAACATTTATATTAATATTCAATTATTAATAATAATATTAAATCACAAATATTGCATAGTTTATGCTATAACTATTAAGCAATTTTTTAATTTTTAAAATACAAAATTTAGTGTACAGTTCAATTTCAATATGTTGTAAAATAAAAATCTGTTGTTTTTTACCATTTACCATGTATACAATACATAATTTTACTATATAACTACATAACTATACATTGTTATATTTATGTATTCCTATAGTATCTAATGCATTTAACATAGATACATCATGTATCAAATTAAAAATAATCAATAGTTTCTCAAATATTTTTGTAAATAATTGCACTTTTCCCCCTTTTACTTATTAGACATGGTTTTTCACAGCAAATCTGTGTTTATTTTCAATTAAAATTCTGGCAAGAGTTAATTAGCGAAACGATCCGTATGTTGACTGGGAACTATTGGTTTCTATCATTTCGTGCAACTAACCATTATCAAATATTATTTTCCTATGTATTATATCCATCTGTATCTACTATACAATTTAATAGTAAATATTATATTATTTTTAAAATAAAAGCATTTATAGATGGAGTTGACTGAGTGGTATGAAACAGTTTTTATAATTGGTAAGAGAACAAATTGCGGAACATTTGACAATGGAAACTGCAAAGTGTTTGATAAAAATGGCTTCCAATGGGTTATTGACAAGCAATTTTATGACAAATTAAAATTACCCGAAGATCCGTGTAAATGGAATCAAGTAAATAAGCTTACCTTTTCAAAATAATAGTTTTTTTAAATGTATTAAGATTGATGACCAATTGAAACTTATATTTAATTGATTTCCTAAATATTTGAATTATTTAAAAATTAAAAATGCACTATTAATGTACACCTACTAATTTTGCATAAAAATAATCTTAAACTAGTAATCAATTTTAGAAAAACTAAATTTTTGTGTAAGGCTACAATTATTAAGATTATGACGAAACAAAAGCAATTCTACTTAAGGGTTTTTAAATTGTCTCCAATTTTGTAACGTTTGACAATTTTTTTTACATTTTTATCAAGAACTTAGTTACGAGTGATTTCCTTAATGGTGCGGTTTTATACAAATTAGTTTTAAGGTTATATTATTATAAAGAAAAGACACGTACATTCAAATTTCAAATAATCATTTCTCAATCTTCTTTATATTGCTTTATTCCAAATTTAATGCACATTCAAGTTAAATTCCAATTTCATAAATATTTAATATTTTTTCCTACATATTATTATACAATACATACTTATAATACTTATATATTATTACATATGGATACTAATAATAATCATGCTTTTATCTTAATATGTAATCATTTTTAAGTTTGTTAAAAAATGTATCAATACATTTAATAATTGTATAATAATCAATACATTGTTAGTTTGGTTTCATCTATTATTACTTCAAATCAAAATATATTTTTGTATTTTTATGTATGTATGTATATGTATTGAGTATAAACAAATTAAATTAAGTAATCTATAAGTACAAATTGGTTTGTAAATTATAAAAATAAAATAATCTATCGTATAAAATTATAAAAGTGCTGTGTTTTATTTAGGAACAAGTTTATGTATGGTTGAAATGGGCGGAAAATATGTACACCCTAACCAATATAAACACGGAACAGTTTATACTAAATGGCAAACAGTTGACTTCAGATAGTTTTTGTTGGAATATTGATGGTTTAGAAAATAAGTCATTAAATAATGATTTTTGGACACATGTCTGTTTACTTAAAACTATGCATATTATATATATTAAATATAACATTGAAGAATGTATTGATATACCTATATTACTCAAATATAAAAATCAAATTTATTCAAATCCAGATTTTAATCATCATATAGAAATTTGGCAATTTTTACTTAATTTATTAACAGATAATGAATATAAAAATCTGATTGAATGGGTGGACAACGAAGGAACATTTAAAATAATTAAACCAAATACTGTTTCTATTATGTGGGGCTTGATTAAAAATAATTGGCGTATGAATTACAATAAGATGGCTGCAGCATTGAGATATCATTATGGAAAGGGTATAATTGAAAAAGCTAAAGGAAAATTTATTTATAAATTTGCCGGTGATATTAAGACTATGATTGGTCATAGTCCTATGGATATTAAAAATATATTTGAACAAGAATACAATTAAAGTAGGTATTATAATTGTAATATATTATTTTAATGTATAAAAAACATTTCATATTTAAACTACAAAATAATTTTCCATTCATATTCATACATTGTACAACATTATCCATCCCTGGGATGTACTTTATTAAACTTAAAACATTTTGAATAAAATTTACTTAAACACTGTTTTCTTTTTTCAGGTTGCTTATTTGCTTGATTCAGTATATCATAATATATATATATATATATTTATATTTTGTTTTAAATGGCATTTATTTAATTTAAATGAAACATATTTAATATTATAACTATGTGTAAATACTTATAATAGTACTACCTACTTATGTTTTAATATTTTAAGTAAACAAATTCTTCAATAAATAAATTGATGCCCATCATTAAATAAAATATTATAATCAGATGGGTATAATCATTGGTTATAAAACTTTGTATGCATAGTACTGGTATTACGTGTTACACATCATTACTTAAATAACCTATAATTTATTTATATACTACATAAAGTATGATATATGGATTGTCTAGCAAAGTATGCATTGTATAAACAGTATTTATTCATTCCAAAGCTATATACAAGTGTATGTGTTTATAAATTATATTTATCATTGTGCCTGTTCATATTAATGGAAATGTTGAGATAACAAATTATTGCAAATTCTTTTTAATTTTGCTAAAAATTAATATAATTTATAATTTTGTGTTTGCAATATAATTTTTTTTTTATTATTTGAATACAATTATACAATATTCCTGGTTTTAATGTGAGCTTTATTATAATTCTTTTCTGCAATTGTAACTGGATTGAGTAAATGGAAAAAAAGTATGGTTTACACGCACAAACTAATAAACACATGTTTTAATTAATCCGTGTGTCTATTGTACCTACTACCTACAAGTTAATATAATATAAAATAAATATTAAAATTTAATTTTAGGATTTGGGATCTAATTGGAATGAATATTGAATGAAGGCATAGACATATAACCCTCTATGGATTCGAGACCCAATTCGAATGTGGCCATATTGCATTAATATTATAATATCTATGGATGAGATTATTCTAAAATACTCATGGAAGAAGTAAGAATATAATTGATAACACATATTCTGCAACAATACAATGCAACTTGACATTTCCAAATTAATTTTGTTTATATAGAAGTATTTTATTTTGTAACTCTTAATGTTTTTAGATTGGATATTCTAAATTTCTAAATATTTAAAACAAATTTTTGTAATACGATTATAAACGAAATGGATAAAATACCGTAAGTATACGTTTTATATTATTTTATAAACTGAGGTAAAATTAATAAATTATTTTTAACTGTTATTGTAAAACATTTATGTTTGTCTGTCATATAATATTTCAGAGAATTAAGTGGCTGTAAACAGTCTACCTCGCGTAAGACACATGAAAATCATAACTGCTTTTTCAATGATTTTGGCAACTATAAGAATAATTCACTGGAATTAGAAAATAAAACATTAATCGAAGCCTTAAAAAATTTTCGACTTGAACCAGATGATAACATTGCTAAAAAATTAGCTGATAAGTATAAAGAAGATGGAAATTTGTATTTTAAGAGCTGTAAATATAAACTAGCTATTATATGTTATCAAGAAGGTCTTAAATTAGACTTTCAAAATAATGAGCTGCGTGCTCAAATGTTGAACAATTTGTCTGCTTCACATTTTTTTTTAAAAAACTATAGGTACATTACTTAAACTATAACTTAGGTCGTATATAAATATAATTTTTAATTTCTACATTTATTTATCTAGATCAAGTTTAGGAGCAGCTGAAGAGGCACTTAAATTAAAGCCAGACTATGAAAAAACAATCTTAAGAGCAATCAATTGTTGCATTCAATTAAAAGACTTTGATAAATCATTAGATTATTGTGATAAGTATTTGGGACAAATACCGGGGTCTGAGGTATATTTTAGTTGTTTAATGTTAATTTTACATTATGAGAATTTGTTTTTTTCAAATTTAGAAAATTGAGATGGAAAAACGAAAAATGATGAAAATTAAAAAACTAAATGAAATTGAGGAGCAAAGATTATTAAATGAGATTAATAAAAGAAAATTGCATGTAGTCGACCAAAAAGGTAATTTAAATATAGTATTAATTAATATTTAGTTTTCTGTAAAAAAAAATTGTACATTTTATAATTTAGGTGATATAATTGAAGATTTGGCAATATTCAATACCTTGGTACCTAGTATAATACCACCAGTACATTTATTAAAAAACCGACTTGTATGGCCAGTTATTTTTTTGTATCCAGAGTATCAAACATCTTTTACTATACCAGAATTCCATGAAGATTCTACGTCAGTGTATATTTATTTTTTTCTGAACATGTTTAAAATTATTAAGTACATTACTTGATTATTACAACAATTTTGTTTGATATTATAGTATATAATGAATACCTAATGCATAATTTATAATTATGCAAGTTCAATCAAGTCAATAAAATATAAACATAAATTATAATTTTGATCAGACCTAAGAAAGTTTTTGATTTCATGACACACATGGAGATTACTTTATAATAAACTTGATGAGTGAATAATATTATTATAATAATATTCATCTAAAACTATTATCTATATTATAAATCTATATTATCGATATTATATATCTATATTATCTATATTATTATCTACATTATTCAAACTTAGGTCATACAAGTTTTATTGGCTTTTTTTTATATTTCATCTATAACGCCATTTGGTTTAATAGTAACTTCTCTGTAGAAAGCCAACAAAGTTAATAAATTTAAATAATGCTTAAATATAATATAATCAGTTTTAGAAGGGCCAGTTAAAATAATATTTTTACGAGTATACTATTTAATTAAATTTCTTACATATTTTTTACACTCCTCAATATTGAAAAGTTCTCTTTATATATTATTAATATACTATGTATATGTAGATTCAAAATATATTAAATTTATAAATTATGAGAGCAGTAAGTAAATTTGTTTAAAATAAAATTCTTGTGTTTATTAAAACAAAAATGTATTAATATATTTTCTGTGCTCTAAAATCTTAATTTTAATAAAACAATAAAATAATTTATATAAAGAATGAATATGTAACAACTTTAATAATATGACTAAACAATAAAACAATATACAAATAACCAAATCAAATTTAAATTTAAAAAAATGCCAAATAGGGATATGCCACCTTCATTATATGTGCTTGACATTTAACATAATTTGCACTGTCTTCAGTGGTGCACATAATATAAAATTGCTTGCTTTATAAATTATTTTTACTTGGATATTATTTAAATATTATATATATTTATTTTTTAGGTTTTATAGTCAGTTGGTAGAAATATTCTCTGAAAGACCATCATGGGATATTGAAGATAAATACAACGCAGATACAGTAAATATTTATTGTGAATTTGCGAGTGAAACTTCCACCAGAGTTTTAAAAATAGAATCCCAATCATGCACTTTATCGGATGCATTGACATTGTTAAGGTAAACAAATTGTTATTTGTATTTAAAATTTTTTTTTTGTCATTCATTTTCTTTTATCTTCTTTCAAAAATTAGTGGATTCTGTTACTCTTTCCTTTAATGCCTTGTTTTCCTAAAAAAATTAGAATTGTCTAACAAATAATGCCTAATTTAGGCTTGCTAATTTACACCAATTTGTGTAATTGACAAGGTTCTACTCAGTGGCTATTTGTTATAGTATATAAGTAGAGCAGAGAACATATAGCTCTAAAAAAAACACTGAATATGCAAGGACATATGAACTTAAATACTTTTAAAAATATGCACTGAAATAAGTCTTACAGACATTTTATTAGCCATTTAATTACAAAATATCTATAATTAGAAAAACTATCTAATTTAATTATATGCCATGCCATGACCAAATGAATAAGACAAATTTCTATTTTTTAAATTTTTACTTTTACTTTTTATTAATTTAATTAAATTGACATTACTACATTTCATTGATTGATTGAAGAATTTGGTTGATTTGTATACATGGTATTTAATTTAACATTTTTCTTCTGACACTAAAAAATAACTTTCAAAATATTAATTTATGATTTTATTATTAATTATTGTTTTAACAAATTGTGAAAAAGTTCCCGAAGAGCATAAAATTTTTTACAAATATCTTAAAAAGCAAAAGATCTAAGTATGGAAAAATATGCAACACAAAGTTATAGATTTGGTTTTGTTGTAACATGAAAAAATTTTCCCCATTTTTTTTTTAGAAAATATTTGGGAAAATTAAAAAATGACTGCTCTAAAGTAAGACCCTAGATTCTTTGAGAAATAGTGCCATCATAGTAAATCTGAGCAAAATTGCTGGTAGAAAAGTTGTTCATAGGAAAAAAAGTTAATAATATTTTACTATACATTTCACACATTTTCCCGGTTTTTCCCATTTGTTGTGACAACTCTTGGGTAAATCAAAATATGACTTCCCTAAAGTACCATCCTATTTAGATTTCCTTTCAGAAAATTGTTGTAATTGAAAATTAAAATAATCTTGTAGGCAAAAGTTTTTTGCTCTGCTAAGAATCTAAAATAGAATTGGATTATCTTTATTATCTTCAGAGATATTACAATGGGTATATTTTCATGAGATACTCTGTATAAGTACATTATTGACAGAGTATTATTTGTTATAATTTAATATTTAAATTACTAAAATAATTTAATATTTAAATTACTAAAATAATTTAATTATTTATAATATCTAATTTATAATTTTCTGTAATTGTTATTTGAATGAAATATCCAAAACCCAATCTAGTATTTAGTTTTATTTAAAACTAATTACAATTCAAATTATATTTACACATTAATAATTGTGGGTTAGTTCTCAATTTTATTAAGTTTTATTAGCAGGTTGATACTAATTTATTTATTATATGTCTATATCAGTATACTTGGTATCTATTTATTTAATACTAAGCCGTTGTTAAATTTAAAAATATATGTAAAACATAAAGTTGCATAGAATTAATAACATATTAACCAATAATCTGCACTCAGTTTTCTTACATTTTAAACTTAGTATTGTTGCTGCTTAGATTTTTGTGCAAAAATATTAAGTTTCTATTTGATTTGACATTTTAGGTGTCCAATTGAAAATGGATCACCAAGGTTTATGATTTTTGTTGCTGGAGGACAGGATGAAAAAGAAATTTTAGAAGATTATGTAAAATATGTTTTTAAAGACTCAATTGCATCGAAATGTAAAGTAAAGGGTCATAGATCCAAAAAATAAAATTATTTTTAAAGTATAATTTATAATTTGTTATAATTAAAGATGTATCTGTGGCCTTTATTAAATAAGTTTTAACATGACTTTTATATTAACAAATTTAACATAAATAATAAACATTAGTATTAATATTTTAGATATACCTATACAACATTTTTATTTTATCTGAAAAGTGTATTTTAGATTCTGAGTGGAGCAAGGAATGTATTAGCTTTATAATTATGTTTATTATTTTTTTTTTCTGTGGGCAACTTTTTATCAGAAATTTTGTTCTAATTTACAATGATAAGGAATTTTAACTGGGGAGATATTTTAGGGAGGTCATTTTTTGATTTTCCCAAGAGTTTTCTCAACATATGAAGAAAAATGAGATCATAGGTACAATATTAAACAAAAATTAACGAAAATATATAATGCATATGAAATTATTTTACTATAATATGACATATATATTGTTGACAAAGCAACACTATAACTAAACTCCGCTTAGCATTTTTTTTTGCTGGCAATGGGGAATTATTAAATAATATACATTAAATTTTCCTTCCACTACTTTTTTAACTTCTCACAACCTCTCTCTCTTACAACAGTGGTCTACACACGTGTGATGTATTTTTGTTTTGCCAATATTTTCAAGAGAATTTGTAGTATACAGGTTGAAATTTTATATTATTATTTTATTTTTTAATTTTTTCAGTCATTCTATCATGTAAATATTCAAAGTAGAGAAAAATGTATTAAACTTACAAAAGTTGTTTGATTAATAAGCATCTAAAATAATCCCTTTTTTTTTACTTTTTTAAAGGGGGGAGGGTTTGGGAGTCAGCTTTTAAAATTTAGAGAACCTATATTTAAAATTTGATGAATAGATTTAGTTAAAATAAATTTTGATAAGATTTTTGAGATTTTTTCATCAACTCATTGGCAAATGAAATTACTTTTTAGTTTAGGTAGGGGGAGAGTAGTGGAACACTTATTAAACTCTGTGTGCTGTGCCATGCGACCAAGCGCATAATGATGAATATAGGTTCCCATTTGAATTTCAAAAGTTGATCTCCAAAAATAATTATAAAAATTATTTTAAATTTTTTAAATCAAAAAACCTTGGTACAATACATTTTTCTCTATTTTGAATATTTACATGATAAAATGGCTTAGACAAACATTTTGAATCACCCTGTATATGTATAATTATATTTTATATTTATTAGGATATTGCAACTGCTGGTTGCAGTTCTTAATACATAATAATAATAAATTAAAATTTATATACATGGTACTTGATACACATTAAATTATTATTTATATCTGTAATATGATTTTGATAGTTCTTAGAGAACAAGTCTCATGTACTCAAATGTTGTAAACCTATAGCTTTTTTTTTCATAAATAATGTTTCACTAATAAAATAAAAATAGATTTTTAAAATTATAATAAAGGATTTTTTTTTACTCATAACACAATTTATTAAGTTTTCAAATTTTTATGCGGCCACCAAAATTTTCTCGCGGATCATCAGTTGGCGACTACCGCTCCAAATCATTATACATTTATAACTGCGAAAAACATAATAAGCGTATAGATAAAAATATTTTGAATTTTTTATTAAATGTTTTAACTTAGAAATAATAAGCATATAATAGCTGTTTTGTTCAAAATTTGATATGGAGTACTTAAATTCAATATTTCATCAGAAAGTTTTGAGTTTCCATAAAATTGTACATTATTTGTATGTAATTTTCGCGTTTCCAACTAATATCTAATTATTCTTTTATATTCTGAACAAAACGGGGAATATATTTGTGTTACAATGATGTTTATTTTTTTTTTCTATACCTACTGAATGAAATTTCTACAAGAAATCTTGCTTCAATTTTGAAATGTACCCAAATCAAAAAAGAAATTTTATCTAGTTGGTATTTTTAAATTTTAAGCGGGTTTCATTATAGTTAAAGAAAAAAAAATGAACAATTTATGAAAATGTTTTTAGTTTTTTCAATTTTTATTTGATGTAATTCGGTTAAAAATGAAACTTAAAATTTGGGCAAACAAATTATTTTGAAATTTTCTAGACGTGGTAAAATTTTCAAGTTATTTTTGCCATGTTATGTCTGCCGTAGTTTAATGGTGGTAAGTATCTGTTGTCATCCAGTTAATCGTAAGTTCAAACCCGAGTTTCGAATTTTATTTTTGCAAAAATACGTCAGGAAGGTAATAGGGAAACAAATCCAACATAATCTATGTAAACTATGTAATTCATTGTATTAAATATATATTTATTTTAATATAATATGACATATTTATTGTTGAAAAAGCAATACTATTAACCGAGCTCTGCTCAGAATCGTTTTTTCGTTAAAAATGATCAAGCTTTGCTTACAGATATACATTAATTCCCGTCTATATCCTACCTTCCCAACTTTTCAACCACAACAGTGGTACACCTAACGTGCGAAGTATGTCAGTCTTTTTTTTTAATTGTGTTTAGTAAAACAATGACTACTTAGTTTAAAAGGAGTTTCAATATCAAACTTGTTTTTTTTTTTAAATTCGTAATTTTGAAATCTGGTAGGTTAGGTTATGTCCCGATTATAAAGAGTCATTTCAATATTGGTTGTCAACTGACACGATTTAAGATACCATAAAATCGTGTTGACTGATCTAAATTCAGAATATTGAGCTATGGTAAATATACTATTATCGTATGTGTGGAATATCGTATGCGGTATGGTAGATAGACTATCTTAAACCATGGTGTGGAATAAATATTTTATGGTTAGTGATCATTTCTAAAATTCTGTTTGAAAAACAATTTATTGAAGACTATTTCTTCCAAAAGTCCATTGGAAGAAATGTTTTGTAGAACAGATCCAAAACCAAATAAGAAATGTAGGACATTATCTATAGATAATGACATTATCTCTAAATTTCAGCATGGTATCGCCCTCTCAGTCAGTTATCACAGTACCTATTGGCTTTTAGCCGTTACATTCATTACACTATTACAGCAACAGCTTCCAGCCGGAAATCCACTGTATGCACTCATTTTTTCTGTATTTAATATTAATCATGGTTAAATATTGTATTTTGTGTCATACCAATAAGATACAGAATTCAGATCTAAGTTTTCACAAGTAAGTATTTTGAAACAGATTCGTATATATAACATAAAGTAAGCTTATAAAAACCATTTCAAATTTATTCAGGTTTCCAATAAATATTATGTACCGAAATGAATGGATTAAGAAACTAAATTTAACTACTGCTATTAAACGTTGGTATCGAATATGTAATTTACACTTTACCGCATCAGATTATAACGTTCAAAACAAAAGAATGGTATTAAAAGCAGATGCAGTACCTACCTTCATTATCAATAAGGACATAGACAGTTCAAATAATGATAATGATTGTGCTGTGATCCAATCACTCAAACATCCAGATAACTTTTCTGTTGGTTTTCCGAAGAGCTATCTGTTACAAGCAGTTGAATTGATATTACAACCCAAGTCAGTACCAGTTGGTAGAAAAGCAAAGATCATGGGCAAATGGAATAAAATTGATGCCATGAAAGTAAATAGTCTTTGCTCTGACCAATCACATTTGCCTGTCTACAGTAGTATCATGTTGTACAGAGAAAATCCTCTACGTAGTCTTTCTCCAATTTTAAATGAAATGCGACTATGTTTGTTGGCGGGTGATTGGGATGGATACAAAGATTTGCTTTTATTAGTGTTAAGATCAAGTATTGTATCAAGTGGATACATTTTGTTTGTCATTCGATCAAGTTTCATACTATTATTTAACCATCCAAATCGAACACCACAGGTTTTAGATACTTTCTTGAGAGCTTGTATTTATTTAACTGATCATAGGCGAATTAAATATTTAGAAAGTTGTTTTACATTTAAAGGAACATTGGCCCATTTATTAGACAAAACAGTTATGAATATAGAAGATAATGAAAAAGAAGAAGAAGAAGAAGAAGAAGAAATTATTTTTAATTCGGAATTTAGTTCAGATGAAGAAGTCTCATAAAGTGTATGGTATTATAATTGAAAAATTATTTATTTAAACCTATAAAATGAGAAAAAAAAATACACTTTAGAATGATTTTGTAGAAGTATGAAGATTCATTAAAGGTAAAAGAAAATATAAAATGGTTTGATAATTTTAAATTTTATGTAAAATTCCATATTAGCTTAAAAAAAAAAAATTTTTGCAGTATAGACATTTGAAATTAGAGTTATAATTAAATAGTCTAATATATTATTTATTTTTTTAAATTTTTATAAAATAAAGACTGTTTTCTATTTATAATAAAATGGTTAATAGTTTACAATATTTTACATACTTAATTTTTAATTTTTCAAATATTAAATATCCAATACCAAATTATGATAACTTAATCCATAAAAAAAAAAATATATACTACTCCTTTGAAATTAAATCAAAAACAGAACCATGCGAACTGAGACAAAAATAACTAGTTTACTAGTAAAGCAATTAGTATTTATTAAAGTTGTGTCATTTTGAGTCAAAATTATATTTTGGATCTAATAGACTAAAAGGAAGTCCAAGACAAAAAGATTTTCTCATAACTCATGGTTACAATATTATTATTTTGTCTCTTTTGATACAATTTTTAGTTTATTTTAAATTTTTTTAGTATAATTTTTCAGGAGAAGAATTAATTTATTAACTAAAATGATATGAGGAACTGTGGTAAAAATTGGTTCACTTGTAATATGAAGACTTAATAAGTAAGACAACTAATTCTAATTGTAAATATTCCAATTTGAGACATTAATGATATTAAAGAATTGACTTTTAATTAATAATAATATATAACGTTCAAAGCTGTTTAAATTAAATCCAAACAACTTTATTAGAATCCATGGAAGAAAAGATCAAGTTGGATTTTATTTTAAGTTGCATATTAACATTCAATAAATGTACGAATTATAAAAATACAAATCAATATGCCACGTTGGCATGATCTATAACAAAATGTTAATATTTGTGTGTTTAGATCAAAATAATAAATTGTATTTGGAACATGATATTTGCTAAGTCTTTAATGCTTACCATTTAATGAAATAGCTACAATATAATCATCTTAATCATAAGCATAATTATATTTATATAAGTATATAATATTATGTCTATGGTCTTAAATCTATTGATACATAATATGTGGGTATAGATAGATTACTTATCAGAGTATGCTAACATTCGCCCGAATGCCAATTTTTGTACACTTTTTAATGGAGATTTATACTTGATTTTTATTTAAATCAGACAAATTGATTAAAATGTTATAATTATATGTACCTACCTATTATATTTATTTACTGATATATAGTATGTATAAAAACGGAATAATTAATACATACCACTGTTTATAAATGATAATATAATTAATTGTGTAATCAAGTTTTATTTTTAAAATTTTTAAAATTATTAATATTCTCCCACACAAGATCTACTGGTAATTTTTAATTTTTGTAGTGTTTGAAAAAATAAAATCCAGGATGCTAAATAAATGTTTCGAGCTAGGATGCAATACTGGCTATGCAAATAGCAAGTGTTACAGATAGGATACAGATGAAAAATAGCTACGTGAGCTTTACATTTGCTTTATGCGCCAGCAGTAGCAGATAGGTGGGTACCACAGATATAATATATATAAACTATGTTTGTTGTTTCATTATTTTCTGTTAGAATCGTTTGCAGGTACTTGAATTAATCCACTCTACCAAAATTATACTGATCTATCCTTAAGGAGAAGCTTAACCTTGCATTGTTCTGCCTCCTTACAACCATATATTTTGTCTTCTCCTCGTTGACACGTAAACCTATTTTTGCTGATGACTTTTCTAGCCGTGTAAATAGTGACTTAAGCTCATTTTGTGATTCTGTTACCAGTACCAGGTCATCTGAGAATGCCAACAGCCCTATAGTGTGACTAAGTTTACTCTTTCATACTGTCCTATATTCATTTTCCTTATAAATTTTTCCAATGCAACATTAAATAATATAGGCGATAAAGAGTCTCCTTGCCTTAGTCCTGTCCATACTTGTTCCTATTCTGACTTTAACATAGTACTTGATTTGATCAGATTTATCAGTTTGTATAGGAAATGGAACTCTACCAAAATACTAATTAGACCTTCTCAGTGTATGCTATCGTATGCCTTTTGGAAATCAACAATCTGCGTCCTTTGTCTTGAAAACTCGTCCAAAAAACTTTAATGCCAATCGTCACCGTTTTCAATCATGAAAAATGTACTACCTTCTATCAACTCCTTAGGCTACTATCAAAATTATTGAGGTTCGAAAACTAAACTTATAAATCTTAATTTTAATGTATCTAATTTTAACTACTCGTTCATTGTGCTTACCGAAACATGGCTTAATAGCAATTTTTTCACAAATGAATTGGGCCTTACCAATGACCACACCTTTTTAGATGTGACAGTGCTCTCTCACTAGTAACCATAAACGTGGTGGTGGCCTTTTTATTGTGGTCCATAAATAAATTCCCTCTTTTCTCGTCTCTGTCGTGCAACTTTACGTCCGTTTTACACTCAACTCCTTTAATTTTATCATATGTGGCGTTTATCTACCACCCATCAGTCCAATTGATACTTATAAAGCTCACTTATCCTTTGCTGCTACAATTATAGAGTGGTTCTCTTCCTATAAGTTCGTTTTCTGTAATAACTTATCTCTCATTACCTGGTCAAATGATAACGATGGTCTTTCCTACCCTTCCAAGTTAATTTATCAAAACCTCTGCGTACCCGAGTTCTTCGCTATTCATGGATTTTTCCAATTAAATTACTTAACAAATTTCCATGGTTTTCTTCTTGACCTTATATTCTCAAATTGTCCCATGAGTATCTGAGTATACAGTCCCACCAGATCCCAATCACCCTACCGTTTCTCTATCACTAAATATATCTTCCTCTACTCTCACCTCTACCAATGACCTTTGACTTTTCCAAAGCTGATCTGCCACGTATCGCGCACTTTCTTAATTCCTACAATTGAGAACTCACAGTACTGATAATGCTATGAACTCTTTATTTGATGCTATATACTCATCAATTCTTTCGTTCGTCCCCAAAGTTTACATCCGTCACTCTCCCTTGCCGACTACCATTCCTTTTATATTCTCCGTGCACGCTTTAAATTCCTGTCTAAAAAGTCTTACAAAAATTTTATTGCCCGTACAGAATCTTCCCTTTTATCAAATCCTCGTTCCTTTTGATCTTTTATTCGTAAATTTCGCTCTTCACCTTCCATTCCCCCAATGTCGTCTATGGAGATTCCACAAGCTCAAATCCCTCTGAATCCGCCGCTTTATTTTCTGTCTTTTTTTTCTTCTGTTTATACTCTCCCAGCAAGTTCTCCTTCAACTCCACTAACAAACTTCAATCCCCCAGTTTAATCTTCTTAGTCACATCTCATTAACGGTCGATTATATTAGTAATGCGCTTAACTCTCTTTGTAATTTTAAGTCTCTTGGTCCTGATGGTATTCAAGGAGACTACCTTTTTAAACTCAAAGATGCTATTGCTTGGTTGCATTTTATTCTCTTCACCAAATTTTTAAATTCCGGTGTTTATTCTCTATCCTTAAAGTTGGGTTAATAACTCCCATCCATAAGTTGGGCGACATACACAATGTCACCAACTACGGTCCTATTACCATCTTACCACATATTTCAACAGGACACCTTTACGAGCTCCCGGCGACAGCCAGCACCAAATCCAAATGACTAATCCAGTCATTCAATATTGTTTTAGCATCCTTTTATTCCTAATGGACTGAATGTTGGACAACAATATTAATAAAAACAATGTTATAGTATTTTTGGTGATCTGTTACTACCAAGCGCTTTATTTATTCATCATAACACAACGTATCTACGTGTCTACAGCAGGACCGGGTAGTACAACTCATGGATAAAATTGGTGGTGTATTTAATCGCATAGAAAATATAAACGAGTTGGCAGTTTCAATGATAAGGGTAAAATAATAGCACCTAAGTGCGAACAAACGTAGAAAAACCGTACAATTTTATGATTTCATTATTTTAAATAAACACGGAAAACACTTTTTCTACTAGAAAAAGTGCTTTATTTGAAAAGTTACCTTTTTTGTTGCGTATTGAATCTTGTTTTTTACAGTGAAGTTCGTTTTTTGATTATCGAAGCAGTTTTTATAATAATTGAGAAAAACTGGGAAGAAACGTAGGAAAAACGTACAATAATTTCACACAATATATTTGTTCAATTTTGCTTTAAAAATGCAATACAATTAATCGAGCTCCACTCAGAATCGTCTTTCGTCAGCAATGGTTTATCGTTGCTTACAGTTATAAATTAAATAAACTTATGTATCCTACCTTTCCAACTGTCCACCTACAATAATGGCTGCACCCACTTATGTATCGGCCCATCTTTAAAATTATTTAAATTATAAAATTCATGAAACGAGTAATACAATGAATATAAATACGATAAGAAATGTTTACCGTACAGTAGCATTTATAATTATTACGCAAAAATATCCACCACGTTCATAAGCAAGAAGCCGTTAGCCAGGTTTCCCCGACCGGCATCGACCTTTATAACAACAAAATTATAATTTATGAATTTAATTAATTTTATGTTCTAATAATAATTATATCGTCATCTGTCGGGAGTTTTATTTTACGCCATCGTAAAACAGACCATTGAGCAATCTATAATATTTATAATCAAAACGTACCCATTAGACTTACTTTTAAAGTTTTTTTATATAAACCTTAAAAAATAGCATTTCTGAAATTAATCCAAAATGTGGTCAAAAATAGAAATTTTTTCTATTATTTTTATTTGTAGTTATTGTTATTTGAAGGTTATTTTCGATTAAAATTGTCCGAATGAGCGTAGCAAAATATGGCGCGTTTGAACTTCTATAACTCTAAAACTAAGCCAGATAGACTTATTATGATATCAATAAAAAAACCTTTGTTATCTAAATATCAATAACTACAAATAATAATAATAAAAAAATTTCTATTTTTGACCACATTTTGGATTAATTCCAAAAATGCTTTTTTTAAGCTTTATATACAAAAACTTTAAAGTATGATGTTACGTTTTGATTATACCAATGGATTAAGCATCTAAAGACATACATTTTGGAAAAAAAAAATTGTTAAATTCTAACTAAGAATTATGCGAAAAGGAAAACCCGTACTTTATGAAGTTTTCCTCCATAACTTCCAAACGAAGTTCGACTTTTTTTTTTACATTCTTAATGTACACGCAAAAACACATTTTGGAAAAATAAACTAAAAAATCGCATGGTTGCTAAACTAGAAACGTTCCGATACTTTTATTAAGATACACAATATTTTGTATATAAGATACAAAAGAGAATCTAAATACTGTATCTTAGATAGGTACATGTGTACCTATCTAGAATATTACAGCACTGCGAAAATTGTAGATTTCTGTGATCATTTTATACCGAATAACAAGAAAAAAAAAACAAAATCGATTTTCCGTATTACGTATTTATCATTATAGACAAATACAGTGTCTGGGTTTTTTTTGCAGCGTTGCCTATAAAAACGCATGACGTGTTACAGAACAAGGCACAACCGAGAATACACCATTCAAAGGAGAACACATCATAGTATCATACGAAGGCGGTGGCGTCGTCGTCAAAGCGATAGTGGCGTTACGAGCGGTCGTGTTTGCCGCCATATTTCGCAACACCATCTGTACGGGATCGTTGGCGATCGTACGAAACGCTTACGCGTCAGCCGCAGTGTTGCCATACCGAAAAGACCAATCTGTCCCCGGCCAACGGACCCAGTCATTCTGCACCGGATTCCCCGGCGGATCATCACCGGTGGCCGGCGGGGACATCATCCGCCGCGGAACCCGTTAATGCGGCAGCTCACGGACGTTGGTTACACTGTCAAAAGTGGTGATACGAACATTTTTTTCGTAACCTTTCATTATTTACGTGAACTTTTTTTTGGTTTTACGTATATTTTTTTCCCCGTAAAAATGGTGCATTTTATTAGGCGTAAGTAAATAACACTTAAAATTACAAGTATTTTTTTTCGTTTTTCTATTTGAGCGCCGTGTTCAAACCCCCCAGTCACATCGGCGTCCGGTGCGAACCGCAAAACGACTTCGTTCAAGTTTGGATTAGCGAAACGCACTAAACGATACACGCCCGTCCATTGTTTGCGGGACGAGTCGTCTTGTTTTTGTCAACAAACACGAATACAGTCTGTGAGTAAACCAAAAACACTTTAAATACGTTTACTACTACTATTGAAACGCGTACGAAGTTATAACATAACTAATTTTTTTGTTATTAAATATTTAAAAAAATTTAATTAAAAAAAAAAAGCATAAATAACAGAGTTTAAAATGAGTGACGAGAGCAACCCTCGTACGCTTTATGTCGGCAATTTAGACCCGTCCGTCACCGAAGAGTTGCTGTGCGCATTATTTACTAATATTGGTCCAGTAAATGCGAGCAAAGTAATACGTGAACCGGGTAGCGATCCTTATGCGTTCCTCGAATTCGAAACCCACTCGGGTGCGGCCACGGCATTAGCCGCAATGAACGGCCGTCTCTTTTTGGATAAAGAAATGAAAGTGAATTGGGCTACGACACCCGGTAATCAGCCCAAGCTCGACACGAGTAATCATTATCATATATTTGTCGGGGACCTGAGTCCCGAAATTGAAACTCATACTCTGAAAGAGGCTTTTGCGCCGTTCGGAGAGATTTCCAACTGTCGCATTGTACGCGATCCACAAACGTTAAAATCCAAGGGATACGCTTTTGTATCGTTTGTGAAAAAATCTGACGCGGAAAATGCGATAAATTCGATGAATGGCCAATGGCTGGGCAGCAGGAGCATCCGGACTAATTGGTCCACTAGAAAACCTCCTCCGCCCAGGGCTCCAAACAAGTACAGTGGCTACCGAGCAGTCACATTTGACGATGTGTACAATCAGTCAAGTCCAACGAATTGTACAGTGTATTGTGGAGGTATTGTTGAAGGCTTAACCGAAGAGCTGGTTGAACAGGTGTTTTCGCGATTCGGTACTATTGTCGAAATCAGAGCGTTCCGAGACAAAGGTTATGCGTTCATTAAGTTTTCGACAAAAGAAGCCGCAACAACTGCTATTGAAGCAGTACATAATACAGAAATAAATGGACACCCGGTCAAATGTTTCTGGGGCAAGGAATCTGGTGATCCAAACAGTGCAGCTAATCTAGCAGCTCAGGCGGCCGCCAGTACAGACACCACCGGTGGTCAATATTCATACAATATGGCATACAATCAAGGGATGAATTACTGGTATCCATATGCTCAAATGCAAGCAGGCCAATATGTGCAGGGCATGCAAGCTAGTTATGGCGGTGCGGCTGCGTACAGCCAGTACACTGGATACCCATACCAAATGGCTAATGCTACTGCATATCAAATGGGTAATGGAACTGGACAGGCTGCCAATGGACAACAGATATCTACACCGGGCAATATGCAACCTGCTGGCGTTTACTCGATGCAGTATCAGAGTCAGTGACGGTCGATAAAATAGATTTCTTGAAGTGTCGAAATCTTAAATGTTTTCTCATTCGTGCTCTGTATATACATTAAAACAAATACTAAAAATATTAGAAAACAAATGTATGGAAAATAAACATTATCAATTTAATTTAACCCGCTGTTCCATTATTTATAGCACATGGCCTTGTAAGTTGTAAGTTTATTATTATTATGATTATAATTTTTTTTTTTTTATATATATATATATATAATTTTGTCCCTTAATTAAACATATTTAATAGGTATATATTTATATTTAATATTATATAGGTACATTATACATAATATTATATATGTATATATATATCTATATATATATCTATAAATACTCAAAAATCTATAATACTAAAAAAGAAAAGTAATATACTTCTATTTAATCAGTTTCTATATAGGTATAAACATAGGTATGTATGTATAATATTATGTATATGTACATATATATATATATATATATTATTCATATATTTATATACTAGATTAGGTTATCGCAATACATTGTTAATTCCAAATAGTATAACTACAGTATGACATTTAATTAATAGGACACTGTACGTACTTTATATGTAATATTTTAGATGTTATTTCTATTGTAAGGTTGTAAAATATATTATGAAGAACCAAGTGCGTTCATCACATCAGTTAACTCAACTGCGAATTTTTATAATTATAATTATTATGCTCTACACTATATTATTATTATTATTATTATTATTAATCGTGTATTTGTTATATTTTATCATGATATTTAGTTTAAATTAACTTTATTAATAATAATATTATCTAATATTTAAATGGAAATAGGTGTCTGCATTGAACATAAAACACATTATTGATGACTTACTTTGTATAAAATTCAATTAATTATGAAAAAAAAAGTAACTGATAAAAAGTACCTATCCATACTATAAATAAATATGTGCACCTATTTATAACAATATTCTTGTATTTTGTATACTGGTACAAAAAATTAAAACTGATTACTATAATATTTTGTGAGAAATTGTGGCTTACACATAAAATAAATATAAAATAATTTTTTACAATTCTATTATAATTACCTATTTAATATATTTAATTTTGTGTATTTTTGAATGTTTCATTAGGTGTCTGAAATTAATTTGTAGTAATTTTATTTAAAAATATTGTGTGAACCAAAAGTGACTGGAATGATGTAACAGTCTAATTAAAATATTTATTGTGTATTAATTATAATCGATACACTTTATAAAATACCTATGTTATGTGCAAATTATTTTTCAATAGTATCCTATAATACATTTACTTTTTTTAAATATTTAATTTGAGTAGAAACAAAGTACTCTGATTCTTAAATGCTTTCAGGATGGATTTTAATTGTTTTTGCACTGAACCACGTCTGAAGAATTAAGGAACGCCATACAAGCAATTGGCTTGTATCCATGTTGTGTTCCATTAGGTACATACGTTCAGTTTGTTTAGTAGAGTATAGTATGTTTTATCCATTTTGCGTTTGTCTTATTTTATAGAGAAAAAAAGCCACATAGTTTTCATCAATTATAATATTTAAACAAAAACATTGTTGAAGTTAACAGACCGCAATGTTAAAAACAATTTGTTTTCAGACTATGACGTACGGTTTATTGGTCATTGAGGAACAACACAATGTTGCAATTACAGCATTATTATGAACGACATTTTATTTCAATTGGATTTTGACAAATTGGATATTACATACTGTATTAGTCAGTGCAATTACTAATAATAATAATATTAATAATAATAATAATAATAATAATATTTAAAACAATACATTATAACAAACTGAAGGGAAACAAATGTTTCAGAGTAAATGCCCTACTATTCGCTCAAACTTCTGTGTTCACTAAGACAGAGTACTATTGGCTACTTCTTATTATAGGCTACTGGTGGAGGCATTTCTTAAAGGTAATTGGTATTTTTCATTTTTATTAGTATTCCTGAATTTTTTTGTTTATTTAAAGAATTTTAATTATAATAATTGATATGTATATTCTATAAAAACTGATTTTCACATAATTTCTGCTTTTATGAATTATTTTTGATTCATAGTATTTATTCTTAATTTTGACTAAAATAAAAATCTTAAAATGGACTCTGTCTTTGTTATTACTTATTAATTATATTTGACATAATATAATCTAATCTTATATTTGATAATAATAGGTATGACTGTGTCTATAGTAGTCTACTTATCATGAACAATTTGTATTAATTATATAGGTACATAATATGAAATATATTATGAGCTAATAATTTAATATTTTTTGACATACTATATTACTAGCTAGCCCGTTACTGCTTTGTTCGCTTTGACCGCACACAGTATTGAATGAAATGTATAAAAGTATCCTCCCATTTCCACCCCTGTCGCTACTATTATTGCATGGTCATTTTTTTTTTTTTTACATACGTTTTTGTATGTACTCTTCTTTGTTGTGACAACCAATTAATTAATAATTGCTATTTTTCATTCATATTACCAAGGTAACCTATAAATCAACAAAAAAATAAATTCATTTTTGTTTCAAAAATACCAAGAATTCTGGGTCAGCAACCCTTTAAGTGTTGAATTTCGGAAATCTGGTGTAAAAACACAAAAAATAGATATTTCTTATATGTGCTTTGTAGTGGTAGTTTAACCATGTTTAATTTTTATGTTACTGAGATAAAGTTAAAATAATATATACATGCTTAAAACAAAACAGAGATACTTAATGGCAGAAATTAATATATACATTTTACAAAATTATACTCAGTGCATCATATATGTGTGTCTTAAAATAAAAATAAATTGCATTCATTTATCATCACTATTTAACTAAATTGGTTAGATTTTCAAACTATTGGAAATTTCAGATAGTAATATTAAAAAAATGTTCTACGTACGTGTACTTTATTTAATAGTAATTGAAACATGAGTTATCTAAAATCCCTTAGTATACGGTTCATCAAAAAGTATTTAATAGATCTAATTTTTAGCATTGATTTGTTAAATGTTTTTAAAAAAAAATAGTCTTAAATTGTGAATACCCTTGTATATTTTTGATTTACACTTAGAAATATAATTAATATTTGAAATACTTATATAAGTATTTTGTATATAGGTTATAGGTACATTAAAACAAAAATTGAAATATGGTTACTTCTCTTACTGTAGAAAAGTAATCACTGTGTTCCTCAATTTAACAGATTAAAAACCAGATGAAGAATGTTAATAATCAAATTCTCAATTGAAAATATTGCCTAACAAATTTCACAGGTAAATTCCAACATTATCTATGTTTTACATAATAATGTTTTATAATCTATATTAATCATTTTATTATAATTTTATTAAATATCTTTAAATTCAATGTTTTATCTGTATGCTATTATTGAAATATGATTAATAATGTATTATACTCGATATTTTATTATAGTTTTATGATACCTACTATATGTTTGAAATATGGTCTTGACTGAAATTTCAGAATAAACTTTTTTGCTATTTATTTTATTTTTTTAGTTATTATTCTTGTTATTATTCAGTTAAATAATATTTAATTATACTTTATCAATATTGAATACAGGGTAATTCTTTTAACATAAATCCAGTTATTAACTTAGTCTGGTTCTTAAAATGACCTATAAATTGTTGGTTAATGCTAACTGGATATAATAAGAACGGATCTCTGATTATCAAATCAATTAGGAATTATTATTAATTAGTTTTTAATAGTTGCAGAAATGATTTATTATGTGCTTCACTATATCATCAAATTTTAGTGCATAAGTCCTGTACAAACTGGTTTTACTTTACTCCAATGTCTACATTTCTATAATATGTTCTTTTAGCAGAATTACTATTTGTTCAGTTGTCATTTGTTGCCTATCCTTATCTAATATTACAATGAATTCTATTCCCCTTCATATCGGGCGCATTATTACAATATCAATTAGGTACATACATATGTAATTATAAAAATACATACCTACAGTTTTAATTAGTGTGTAGTCATACATATTAATATATTTAGGTACTTGGTGTCTATTTAAATAGCTATACAGACTATTCGATTTAAGTGAGTATATACACTTTTGAAAGTATTAATTTTTTTGGATTTCTGCTATATAGAACATAAACTATATTGTGCATTATTATTTGCTGCAAACTGTGCCCACCACACAATTGTGCAATAGATGCTGCACTACTTTTCCCCGACTAAAATTTAAAAGTGAAATATCTCGTCAAGGTCTGATGAAAACAAAAAATTTTAAGATGAAAATCTATTTTAACTAATAATCCGTCTATTTTTGAATTTTTAATATATGTTGCTATTTTAGAATAGAAAGTAGGTTATGGTTTTATACACAAAAATAAGGGTGACATAAAATAACAAATGTAAAGTTGTATGTATAGTTGCTTGTTTCTTAAATGTTTTATAAAACAAAGTCCGAAAAAAGTTAATATTTTCTTAGATAATGAATCTACCCACATTAATGGAACACTCTGTATAGTTATAGTAACTATAATGGCTATAATACATATACATATTTACTATGCAGTTCGATAGTTTCGTCTTAATTAGTGTGACTTAATGTTTATGTATAATATCAGCATTTAAAATATATTATGTTCGGTGGACATTCGTTAAGTACGGCAGTTACCCAAGTATACATAGGTATAACATATTGTATATTAATTACTAGGGAAACCTACAAGGGGAAAATATACTCTTCACGCCAAATTAAACTACATGTAATTACATAAATGTTTGATATTTTTTTTATTTTAATTTTATAGTTTAATAATTTTTGTTCATATTTTAATGGTTTATTTATTTATTTATAGTATAATCTTAAACTTATAACGCCAAAGCTGGCAATTGTGACATGTTTAACTTAAGACGAGACTAAATTAAAGTTATAGGTGATACAACAAAGGAGTAACATAAATCTAAATGGAATGAGTGGTGGTGACCCAGACCAAGCAGCATTGAGATGAGAAGACGCAGAAAACGATGTAGAAGGTGATTAGGCTTATAAGGGTTGTGAGGCAAAAGCAAATGAAGTAGGAGGGGATCCGGAAAGAAATGGCTGATCTTATCTGGATTGTCGATGGTACCGCCTAGAAGAGATGAGATAAATTAAGTATTAGCCTTAACCTGACGAGAAAGAAGGGTAGAAATTACAAGAGTAAAGCGGATAAGTGAATAGTCGTGCTAGAGATACTCAATTTTTAGTCGGAAATCAGCATACGGAAAAAATGTATTTTGTACGTGCTCAATGCAAAGGTGGACACACTTAAAGTGGAGATGCCCAATTATTACACCGTACTCGAGTATAAGGCCTCATAACAATACTTATTTTAATTTGTGACCTATTTCATGTAAGCTTTTGATGAGAGTTGTAAGTCAAAATATTTTTGGCAACCTATTGGGTCTACCAATATAGACATTGCCCTTACAACTAATCCACGATAAATCGAGGATTGGGAAGTACACGTATCGTAAAGATGACTACGACCACCATGCGATCACCTTGTCATATGGCTTTCACGGGAATTGCGGGGCTGTTCAAGATATTGTAGGCCGACATGTTGAGAATCGTGATGATTGGAACGTCTTCTGGATTAGTCTGGAGGAGAACCTCTCGACACTCGTTGAAATTCTCAGAGTTAAGGTTGAATTTGCATTGTCGACGTTTTCAAGTGCCCTCGTTAGGGCATGCGAAGTTTCCATGCCTGTCTCCCAGAAGTTCAGTTCAAAGCTCAACCCTTGGTGGACCGTGAAGATCAAAACGGTTCGCGGGATCGTCTGTCGCGCCCGGAGATGCTTTAGAGAACTACAACAACTAAGTATACTGTTGTGTTTTTCGACATTCGGGAAGCCTTCGACAACGCTTGGTGGCATTGCGTCATCGTGACATCCCGTCAGACCTGCATAACATTATTAACTATTATTATATAACTCTGTCGGGTCGCCGCGCGGTGTTTCGACATGAGACTAGTAGTCGAAAATATCTAGAAGGGTTGTCCCAAGGGATCAATCCTGGTGCCTATTATGTGGAACCTCGTTTTTTATGATCTACTCAGTACTCCCATGCTAGAATGTCAGATGCCGGGGCGGTCGTAGTGGAGGCCTATTTTCGACCTGCGATCAAGTTCAAAGTTGATCGAGCGTTCTCTAGTGTCCATTACGCGTAGGAGAAGCGAAACTAAACTCAGTTTCTCCGTGGAAAAAATCAAAGCCCTATAGTTATCAAATACCCGACGCAGATTCAGATGAATAGGGCTAAAATTTGTGTCACAGGTGAAGTACTTTGGTGTCATCCTCGACCGTTTTAAACGTCAGAGCATCTGCACTGAGACTCCTCTACGGTGGAACGAAATCGTACGCGGCGAGTGTCGCGGTACATCGAGTAAAACAATCGATCGGTTTAGCTATCATGCTGAACATAACTCGATTGTCGACACTTCTCTCAAGAATTGGCGCGTACCCATTCTAACATCTAACTGAAGTCCTGTATCCGAAGGCCATGGAGCGCCGCCAATTTGGCAGCGTCGCCCCGGTCTCTCATGGCACTCTAGTGATTCGCGCCGACTATTCTCCCACAAAGAGAACGGAGCTAACGAGTGTCGAAGTTTCGCGGTCAACTGTTGGGTCCGCTCGAGTGCTAGACTCCGACAAAAATTAGACACAGCCGTATCTAGTTAGCTTAAGCCAGGTAGGTATTGCCTTTAGATAGCGTACTAGTGTGTCTTTCACCGTAAATAAGCCATGCCTTTCTTAAAGTACGTGACGGCGGCTGCGGACGGTGAATGAGCGAGAAACAGCTCGGGATACCGCCCGTAGAGTTGATTGGTGTGGCGGGCTGGTATGTGTGAGTACCTTCCGTCCCGGACCGGTGAGGACAACCCCGAGTATTATTCCTATAAAAGTCCGGTCCCCGATTTTTTTTCTTGTCATTTTCGAATAACCACAACGCCGGTTGTATCCTCGTAGAACTGGTGGTATTAGGTTAAAATTAAAAATGTAAGACATTGACAGCATGTTTTTATAACACAAAGCACGGCCCGGCCCGGCCCGGATTTAAATTTAAAGAGCCCGGACGGATCGGGCTAGGCCCGGTCTTTATTACATGTTTTTACTAGTTAGTAGGTATATTATAAACATGCATTGAATATGTTCTCTAAGGTTAGACGTACCTACCCAGTTTAACACTAATCGAGAGAAACAACGAAGAAGAAGAAAAATAATGGTATAATATGTGCCTAGGACCTTAGGTAACGTGCAAATACATACAGGTTATTATTACAAGCTACCGGGTGTAACTTGGTAACTAATACCTATGCGGTTGATTAAATCAAACTTAGTCATTACAGGAATCTACCAACGTACCACTTTTTTTAGCAATGACTTATTATAATAGTTATTAGGTGCTTATTATTGTTAAGTAAAGTCAATTTTAAAAATGTTCGAATAAAATACTATTTGAAATTTTTAAAAAGTATTTGAACTTTGTAAACGATGATATTGAGTTGAATAAAGGCAGTATTGAAAAACAAATAAATTAGTTACCAATATCATTAATTATAAGGAATGTGTTTTAGACCAATGTTTCAATTTTTAAAATTTCAAGCAATCAAACTATAAGTTGTATAAGTAATCGAAAAATGTTTTTTTAGAACTTTTATAGATAAATAATTATTGTTCAGATTTTCATTTTCTCATTTTATCACCAATTAAGTAAGTAGGTAGATGAGTAAATTATGAGAAATTTAGTAGGAACTACAAGTGTCACTACTATGGTTAAATTTTGCATTTATTTAATTTTTGCACGATAGGACGTTAAGACATTACTCTCGGGAGGGGGGAATCACGGGCCTCAGGAAGAGACACAATATAGATCTTCTATATTTTCGGCAGACATGCGATTGAGAACGGTCATTATCGTCGATACTTTTTTTAGATCTTTTTTTACTATTGCGATTGAGAACACCAAGTTTTTATAATTCCACGCAACGTTGCCAAATGTAGTAATGTGAAAATTCAACCATTGATTAATCAAAATATAGATAAAAAGTATGCTTCGACTTAATATATTTCTTGTATCGTAATCAAGTTTAATAATTACCTATTGTTTGGGAAAGAATATTACTGAATCCATCAATAATGATAATCTATATAAATTATAAATACAACGATAACGAATTGTTTGCAACCATAGATATATAAATATATACATTTATTTGTTAATATACTTACGTGTCTATGTCTATTTCTTTACTCAGTGCGTAGTTTCCCGGATTATGCGTTTTATGTGCGAAATATTTTACGTTTATATTTTCATACTTAAATAAAATGGAAAATAACCAAGACTTATGAATATAGCAAAAATGTAAACTCTCACAAATACCGTTTTATTACAAATGTTATATACATTTTTTATCAATTATGAATTTTGACTTGAATATAGTTCGGCAATGTTGCACATAATTTCGTTATCAATAGTACTGTGTTTTTGGGTAAGCGACTATTTCATTGTATTCCATTTCGAGCGTTCTCAATCATATTGCATCCTTTTATTTTTAATCCTCGCAATGGAAAAAATAGTTCCTACGCTCCTTTGGATTATAGATTAGGTACATGCTCCATTAGGTACTCTTTATGCCTTACTGCAAAGAGATACGAACAAAAGTTTAAGAAACGTTTTTCGATACTTTTTTTCAGACCGCGTTCGTAATCTCACCTGATACCTACCTATATTATTGAATTGAGGAACCCAAAACATAGGTACCTACTAGAAAAAAACTCCACGAAAATTAGCACAGATAAAAACAAATTAAGAAAAATGTCCCGTTGTACTCTTAAATTAATAGGTACTTGAAAAAAATTATTATGAATCTGTATATAATAATTGAAAAATATTAATCTTTTTTCTTTTTCATGGAAACTAACGACAATGGTTATTGGCAGGTCTCGTAGCTACATTGTAGTTCTAAAAATGGTATATTATAAGCGCATTATTATGCTCGTAAAAACATGTATATAAGCGCTTAAATATGCATTAAAAATGATAAAATAATAATACTGGTACCGGGATATCTAGAAACTAAAAGTAAAATACTAATACACGCGATACATTTATAGGGGTTTCCTTAACGATATGAGGTACCCAGTGGCGTGGCCATAATTTTTTTTCCAAGGGGGCGGGGGTGTTTTTATATGTCATTAGATGTAACCTTGTAACTTTATTTCTATTATGTAAATGTTAGGTAAAATATTTCTATTTCGTTTTTTTATTAGATTAATGAATCCTAATGCTCAACGGAGCATGTTATATTTTAAACGCGCGCGCAATACGTAATTCACAACGGGGATTTTTATTATTATTTTTTTTTCTTCCCGTATTATTTAATAATAATTTATTTTGATCAACACAATGATTTATGCACGTCGCCGGTGCCGCATATAAACGCTCATCTGCCCTGTACATTCGATTTGCTACACAATATCACGGCGCACGACTTTTACCGTACTCGCCACATTATTATTGTTATTATTTTACATAATAATAAAAGGTAGCTGTATTATGTTGTAGTGGGTAATAATGCGCGTGCCGCGTCGTGTCCTGCGACCCAGTTACCTCGTATACCGTTCGTTATTATACAACCGAAAAAATGTGGACACAATGCCCCGGTGGCTAGGCACCTGCGTCGTGTATTCGGTTTCGCCATCGGTGCGGTGGAAACCCGCACGGCGTATCGCAGACACCGGCTACATAATAATATTGCATCGCAGTCGATTTGCGGGGCGGCGGCCTTTCTCTCCGCGGTCTGCTAACGCGGTGGCCGCGCATTATACCTATAGGTACCTACCGACGGTAAGACGGTCACGAAACGAACGGGTAACGTGTTATTAATCACAAACCAGCTGTCGCATGCAATACCACCGGATCGGATCATGATTTTTATTTATTTTTTTTTTTTTCTGTTCAATTTTCCTATTCCGAACCCAAAATCCGAGTAAGCGTACATTGACCGTTTTCCGGCGGGGTCGGCCGAGTTTCCGGTTTAGTGTTGTGTATCCTGCAGATACCTCACTTTGTTTTTTTTTCGACAAGAAGTTCCACACGGTCTATAATTGCCCGCGGTTTAATATAATGTAGGTGTATGTGTATTCGTGTATGCGCGTGCGGTTACTGGTTTGGTAAGGAAAACTGCTGAAACTGAATAAAAAAAAAACATCTGATCCCGTGCGTCGACCTTGAAACGGCGTATCATCGATTTTCCTTGTCGCAGAGATAAGTGATAAAAGCTACAGCGGCAGCTGTGCGACGCGCGATCAACACAATGTTCTTTATCTATATATGATCCGAACGTCGGGCGGCCGACGAGCTGGTGAGTGATGACCTTAAGCGTTTTTGTTTATAAATAAATTTTGTTGTTTTCGTGCAAAATATTTTCGCGGGAACGATATCCGAGTTATCGTGAACGGCCTTTCGCTTCTTGTGTCGCGTACCTGTCCGACTGATGGCACGGCGCCGTCAACGTCGTAAAAGGTCATTAGCGACTAACGTTCGAAAGGTTTTACTTTCCGAGTCAGAGCAGTGACCCACAGTCGTATACGGAGCAATGGATTCGTTTTTGGATCTCTTCGATCCGGGCACCAGTCCCCCGATCAACTGCGACGTATGGCCCGTGGACAACGACGATATGCGATTGCCTCCCGAACCTCAAATGGGAAACGTTGAGTACAAACTCAAACTGATCAATCCGTCCAAGTTACGTTTTGAACATCTGGTCACACAGGCAAGTATTAGTCATATACTTAGCTTCTTATTTTCTTTTTTTTTTTTCCAATAAACAATGAGACTTATGGGTGTAATAATGTTCATACAGATCCCCTATCACCTACTGTCGGTTTACTGAAACAAAAAAAAAAAAAAATGTTTCTATAGTTTTGTCACTTATGATGGACTATTGTATTTGTACTTATATTATTACTTCAACGGGTCGTTATAGTTGAAATGGCGCCTCAGAGAGGGACACGGCGAGGCTATCTACGAGATTGGCGTTGAAGACACAGGTATGCTGACTGGACTGTCTGCAGACGACATGAAATATAGTCTGATCACTCTGGACGAAATGGCCCACAAACTTGGTGCTACTACTTCGGTATTACGGGAGAGATCTGTCAGAAAAGACAAAATGGTCGCTGAAGTTTTAGTCCGAAAGGTTTTTATATCCTATCCATACTCAATATTAATTGTTAAGTAATTAATCATAACCTATAGTAATATCGATGGTTAAACAATTATTTGTCATTAGTGATATAGCATTATAGGTGACTCATTGATTTTCGATTAAAATTTGTTTGTAAGATTATTTTATAGTGAGTTACTTATATCCAAATGTAGGCAGTAGCTTCAAAAGTGATGTAAACAATTTGTGTGAAAGAATTGTTTACAGCATAACTATTTGCTGCTAATGTTGTATTGATAGAATGAACTAGTAGGTGGCGGTGGTAATGTGTATGATAAATGCAGGAAACGACTATTGACATGGTTGTATAATAGTGGTGCATATAATATAATACATGATTAAGGGAGCTTACAACATTTTTGTTAATAAATATAGGTAAGTCAAAATATAAGTGGTAACCGCCAACCGATGTATCATCTAAACCTTAAACTCTAAAACAAACCAATATTATTTGTAAAGTGTAATTTGGAATTAATCTGAATGAAAAAAAAAAAATTGTGAATTTATTTTTAAAATTTAATTAGGCAGTTCCTTTAATTTAAAGTTTGAAAAAATGTCATCATTTTTGGCTAGTCCGAATAATTAAGATATAAATAAGTTAATGAATAAATTATTACAAATGTGTACCTACATAGTTTCATTTATATAGTACCTACTTAATTAATTACCTAATATTCTAAAAATGTAAACCCATGCATTTTTATTGTTGATTTGAAATAAATCTCAAGGTTTTGTATTATTCATCACTCTGTATATACTAGCACTTGAGATCTGTTGCCATAATTATTACACAGTTTTGTTTTATCTTACAAAAAATAAAAAAAGTATTTATAGAAAACATAAAAATGAAACATTTAACTATTGTTGTAAACGGTTTTTAACTATAACATTGTTTATCATCAGCAGTTTTTTTTTGTCGTGACATAGGCATTTACTGTTAAAATGAAGGTCAAATCATCATACTTCGAGAAAATTGTCATGTAAATATTGTAGTTTATACATGTATATAAAAAAATTTATGATGATTATACAATTATACATTTTTTTTTATTAGAATAATTTTTGTATTTAATAGATTTTTAGTTTGTATGGTGTTTGTGAAAAAAAATATATAGTAAATAAATATATAAATAAAAAATGTATGTATAAAAATAAAATTAAAAAAATGAATGAATGTGTTGCTTGGAGTATTATATAACCGGTTTCGAATTAAAAATTCATCACTAGATATATCACAGACAAAATTAGTAGTTTTACATTTTTACTGTGATTTATCTAGTGATGAATTTTTAATTCGAAACCGGTTATATAATACTCCAAGCAACACATTCATTCATTTTTTTAATTTTATTTTTATACATACATTTTTTATTTATTTATTTATTTATTTACGAGTATTAAACATTTTAATAATACAATTTTCGTTTTTACTTTATTGTTTATGAAAAATATAATATTAACATAAAACAAAGAATTCTCAACTGATTTTGATAAATCTCTGGTATATCTTACTAAATGTTGATAATAATTTAATAGATATACAATAAATACTAGAACTATTGACATATTTATTAAACAACAACAAAAAGTAATAAATCAGTTTGTCACAGATTTATAATTCCATTATAAGAATTTAAAATTAAATATTTATTATTTGTGTACTAATAACACAAATATGTATTTGTTATACCATTAATATTTACAAACATATTATTACTATCATCACTTATCTTTTAGCTGTTTTCTGATATGATTATTGTTTTTGGATTTATTAGCTCTGTAATATAAATTATGAGCTATAATTATTCTTATTTATCTTAAAAATAAAATATGATTCATTATAAGCTAATAAATATATTTCAAGTTTATTAAACATGATAATTTTACTTTATATTATTGCTTATTATTTCTATAAATAATATTGAGAACTTATAACACACGCCAGTGATATATTTAATGTCATATTTTAAAAACATTTGAACATTTTAAAGAAAAAGAAAACTACTTCATTATTAAGACAAGTCAAAGGAAAAAAATATATATTCTCCAATTAAACTAACTTAATAAAATGTGATGATTGTTGTAAGATTTTTGGTCGAATACTCATTTACAAACAGAAAAAACATAATAAAACTAATATAAAAATAAATATAAATATGTTTCTTGCTTTTCTTAGAATATAAAATTGCTGAATATGCAAAAACATACAAAATACAGTGGAATTCATTGTTCTAGGAAAAACATTTTTATCAAACTGAATTTATGTAAAATTTTGATTATACACAATATGGATATGTAAATGTTATAGGTTGTAACTTGAAATTGTATAATAGTAATAATTATCATTGTTTCATAGTACCTATTAGATTGAAATGTTTGTTTCCATAAAATTATACAAAAACGACATTCGTTTTTAACATTGAAGTCTCTTTTTTTCCCTAAAAGTCTCATAGTTCTGACATACCAATACATGTACATATTATTGATTGATGAAATATATTTTTGTTTTCGCATATTTTTTTAAGTTAACAAAAAATCCTTAATTTGTTTTGATTATATTCATTTTTCATAATAATTTATTATTGATTAATTATATTAAAATATAATGTTCTCAGTGAACATAGCAAATTCTTAAATCAAAAATATTGTTTTAGTATGTATGGGAAATGTAAATTTAATATGACATTCTAAAATTGTCAATTAATAATAAAATAGAAGGTAAAATTTTTCATTTGGGTTTTATAATGTATAATTTATAGATTCCTGATGATCAAGAATGTTTAGAAGTCATGGTTGCTGTATTAGGAGGAGCAGATGCTGGTAAATCAACATTACTGGGTGTTTTGGCACATGGCGAGTTTGATAATGGCCGTGGCAGTGCACGGTTAAATGTTTTGAGACATTTACATGAACTTCGATCAGGTCGAACTTCTTCTATTTCACATGAAATTCTTGGTTTCGATACTGAAGTAATTTAAATGTTATTCAAATTTATTATCTAGTGTCATTACTATTTATTGCATTTTTTGTTTGTAGGGCGATGTTATAAATTATCAGAAAGCTCGAACAGCCGAAGAGATTAGAGATCGTTCATCAAAATTGATAACATTTCTCGACTTAGCAGGACATAAAAAATATCTTAAAACAACCGTGGCTGGTTTGAGTGGATATTGTCCACATCATGTTATGTTGGTTGTCAGTAGTCCAGCTGTAACTGTTTCTAGTCCAACTCAATTAGACATGACCAAAGAACATATGGATTTAGCATTGGCACTTAGACTTCCATTTTGTATTGTTATTACAAAGACTGACATTACACGTGCTGATAACACGATCAACTGGTTGGAATCTATATTGAAATCAGTTGGATGTAGAAAAGTAAATTGTATTTTGTGTTTTTTATCAGACTTCATAAGTGATTAACTTTATATATTTTTATTTTTATTTTTTAGGTTCCTTTTGTTGTTAAATCTGATGATGATGTCATTACAGCTAGTGCAGTGCAACCAACACAGAATGTTGTGCCTATATTTACCATATCTAGTGTTACTGGTGAAAATTTAGATTTACTCACTAGATTTTTGTATGTTTTACCGCCGAGTATTAGTATTAAAGAAAAAGAAAAATTAGAACAGGTATAAATATATTACAACAATTTAAATAACATGTAGTTATGTAGTTATGTAGTTAATGAGTAATTTATATGTTAATTTTTTTGTAGGAATGTTGTCAGTTTCAAATAGATGAAATTTTTAAAGTTCCAGAAATTGGTACAATTGTTGGTGGTGTACTTGCCCAAGGCGTTGTTAATATCGGCACAGAATTAGTCATAGGTATTTCAAATAATTTATAAACATTTAATTTGATTAAAATGAACATAACATAATATAATTATTTATAAGTTAATTTATTTTTTTTTTGTTTTGAGTTAGTACTGTTGTGAATATAACATACTAGAAACCTAAAAAATCATTTAATTTCCAAAAATGGAAACTTATAAAAAGAAACACCCTTGAGCAGTATTAAATTAGTGTCAAGTATGAGCCTTTTTTGGAGGTTTACACTTTCAATCCCTACATATTAAAATTTCATTATTTATTTGTAATATACCAATATTGCCACCAATATGGTGGTATTTTAAGCATACAAATGGTAAGTAAAAAACCTGCAAACGGCTCTTCATTAACACTAATGCAATACATATGTACAATTTTTTTTCAAAAAGTAACAATAACTTTTTTAGGAATTAATGTTTTTTAGAGTTTTAAATCTATATCTGTTGAATAAATATAAAACATACATTTTGTACTATCTTTTGTTTAATTTGAGTAAGTTTATTAAATTAAAGTATTATATACTATAATTAGGTCCCTTTGACAACGGATCATTTGTCCCAGTCACAGTGCAGTCTATACACAGGAACAAAGCTCCTTGTCGAGTGGTTAAAGCAACCCAAAGCGCTTCATTGAGTTTGGAACAAACTATTCCCGGCTTACGCAATGGCATGGTATTGTTGGGATTAGGAGTTAATCATAGTGCCTGTATATTCTTTCAAGTATAATAATGAACAAAATATAGATTTTTCTTAATAATAATAAAAATAATTGTTATGTCATAACTTTAAATTTGCAGGCAAGAATCGTAGTGCTATATCATGCAACGTCTATACACAATGGATTCCAAACCACTGTCCATATTGGGAATATACGGCAGACTGCTGCTATTGTTGCCATCATGGAATGTGACAAACGAGGAATGCACACCAATGATACAGCTTCTGCAATATTTAAATTTGCCCGCCATCCAGAATATGTGACTGAAGGTATGAGGCTACTGTTTAGAGAAGGACAAACCAAAGGAATTGGAATCGTTACTCAGGTGTTTGCATTGCAAGTAGTTGCTGGATAGAAATTATATTTAAACATCTCATCAACAGTAGTATAATTTTGACAGATAGAGTATAACAATTTTTAATATGTAATATCAAGTGTAAATTTGTACTCGTCATTTAATAATGTATAGTTTTTATTTTTTAAGTTACTTGCATGTTACCTCTGCTTACTCGTCTGTAGTAATAATATTAAATAATAAAAAAAAATTGTCTCTTGTGTTTTAGTAATGATTTTATAAAACACATTAATTAATAAGGATGTATATGATATAAAAATGTAAATATATTTTTACTTTTGTTATCTTTTTAAAACGTCACTATGAAATAATTTGTAACAAGCATCATATTGTTTAAAAATATGTTTGTATATGTTAAAATAACATTCTAATTGTTTCTTGTTGATTTCTTTCTGGGTTTAAGATCTGAAAAATATTTTCAAAGTATTTTAAGTATGAAAAATTCAATGTTGTAAAATATTATTAAATTTATATAATTCAATTCACTTTTAAAATATCGACTTCACAGACTAGTTTTTAGAATTAATCAATTGTTTTTTTGTTGATAATTAAGTTTAAAAGTGTATAATAGATATAAAACTGTTAATTTTAGTCATGACAATATTGTTTGTTTTAAAGGAGTTACACCTGACAAATTTGAAATGAAGTACAAAAAAAGTAAATTAAGGTATTGATTTAAGGAATTAAGTGTTAATTATGTATTAGTACCTAGTCTAGTTGTATAACATTGTGACTGAATAATAAGATTTATGAACATACTAATATAGATGTACAAATTTAAAATTATTATTACTTAAGACAAATTTATTAGTTTATCCCTCTTATGTAAATATCTTCAAGGTTTCAAAAATTAAATTAAAATTGTTTTTACATCTACTTAACATAATGAATTAACGAGATTTAAAAAAATAACACATAGTACCCACATATTAATATTATGTGTTTAGTTTTACTTGTTTTACTGTATAATATTCATGCTATTTTTTTCTTGTAATCTTTCTGTTTATAATGTGTTATTTTATTTAAATATTTTACTAATCATATTTTTTGTTCTGTATTTACAGAGCATAATTTTTTAATAAGGTTGTTAATATTCTTATTCCACTATTGAAAGCAATTATTATTTATTCTTAAAATATTTACAAGTCTTAGTTATAGAATATTAAATTACTATAGTGTTGATTACCAATTAAAAGTTATATAGACAAATAAAGATTACCATATTTACTAAACAAATTAATATATTTGTGTTATCTGATTATTTGTTACCTATTTCAAATATTATTGTAAGTTTTTTGATAAATTTACTTAGTGTTCATAAAGTAATGAAAAAAAACGACTCACTGAAAAATATATTTATTTAAACTTCTAATTTTGTTTACATGTTTCTTTTTAAAATAACTTCCTTCAAGTTTAAGAGGACATAGAACGTGTATTCACAATCTATTTATTTAAAGGGCAACATATTAAAATGGGCATTCTTACAATGTGTGACCTATCAAATTTTTTTGTTGTGACCTACAAGTAATAAACACAAAATAATAGGTACATTTTCATGCATTAATTTATAATATATGTATATCTATAAATATGGATGTTGTTGCAATGGTTCTAAATTAATAGTAGAATAAAATTCAGTTGCCAACATATTCAAATAAATCGCACAACTAGAAAAACACAACAAACTCAGCCAAACTTATTGTGTAAAATATCAATTATCTATTTTCCTTTTCCTATCAGTGGTGAAATTTCGTGGGAGAGAGAGGTCCAGGGATTCTGAATCTCCCAGACACCTATATAATTTCAATAAAATAATGTCTAAAATATAGTCATCTATTAATAGGTACCTTTTAAATATATATGGCCCCCATCAGAAAAATCGGAAGACAATTTTCTACTGATTTCTATTCAATACAATTTCTATTTTTGAAATTTCGAAGTCTGACTAGGAAAGTCTAGGAAGTCTGACTAGGGAGGCTATGTTTTGATTTTCTCAGGAGTTTTATTTCTCCATGATTCTCTGTCTTGTGCTTTATCCTTGAGTTATTTTCACGAATCGATTATTGCATCTTTGATTACTTGACTTATATAACACGTTCTTGGTCTGTCTTTTATGCGTTTCCCTTCTATCATACTTTCCAATATGATGCTATGGAGTTTTTTGTTGTGTCTTAGCGTATGACCTATCATATGCCATTGCCTTGATCTTAAATAGTAATGTTCTTTTTTCTCTGACTAAATCTAATACTTCTTCGTTTGTCTTCATTTCCTTCCATTTTATTTTTAGTATATTTCGCTACCACATTTTTAGAGCTTCTAGAGTGGTGTCATTCTTTTATGTATAATCCATATGTATGTTTTAATTAAACTTTTCTTGTTCCTAGATCTACATTTTTTGATGTTAGCAATTTACTCTTAAGTAAGAATGCTATTTTTGCTTATTCTATTCTACTTTTTATTTCCTTTTTTGATCTTAAAATCTTATCTTGGAATCCTTTATCTCTTTTAATCGATATTTCATTATTTTCAAGGTTGAGGTGCCTTTGGCAGTTGAATTTTTCATCATATTTATTTTGATACTTTTCTGCTAGTTTTGGTGTTTTTAGTTTTTCTAAGTTCCATTTGTGGCATTTCTTACTTGGTTTCTTTATTTTTTTAAATTTTAGGTCACATTTCATCATTAAAATATTACAGTCACTGTTAATGTCGTAAGTTTTGCATGACTTGACTTGATTTTTAAATCTATTCCTAACCAGTATAAAATTGATTAGGTATCTTCCAAGATCTTCAGGCATCTTTTAAGTGTATCGCCTTATTTTATGATTATTGATAAAGTGTTAAAAATAATCAACTCATGTTGTCTACTAAACTCCAGAAGTCGGTCATCTCTATCATTCCTTTTCCTAATCCATAATTTCCAGCTTATTTTCCATTTGATCCTTCACCAATGACTGCATTAAAGTCATCCATTATGATAATTATGATGATTATCTATTTGTTTTGTTAGTTTTAAAAGTTCTTCTATCTTCTTAAACTTTTTCGACTTCTCCGATGTCGTCATTTGATATCTGGGCATATACGAGTATGCTTGTAATGTTATCGTGTCATTTAGGTATGATCTTAATTTCACCATTACTAATCTGTTAGAAATTGTGGCTTGTCCGATAACTGATTGTGCCCATTTACTGTTTAATACCACTGCCACTCCGGCTTTTCCTGTTTGTTTTCCCGAGTATATTATTGTGTACTGATTTGATGTAAAATAACCATTTCCATCTCGTCTTGTTTCATTTAGACCTAATATTTCTATTTTTCGTCTGTTCAATTTTTACATTTTATAATTTTCCTGTTTGTAATATTGTTTTGGCATTCCATGTTCCTATTTTTATAAGAGTTTCGCTTGTTGACGATCTGAAGCACCTTATCATATATGACTCCCTGCTGGGAACTGCCTGTCTGATAAAGCCGTTTCCAAGTGTTATAATTGTTTGATTTGTTGTGACCATGGTTTGTTGTGAACATTTAGTGTTTAACACTAGGGATAATATGCGGTGGTTTCCCCTGGCCTTCCACATCGCAGTAGCATCCTATATTACAAAAAGATGGTACAAGATGGTATCAATACAGAGGTACAATATTAAACAAATAATATTAAAGAAAATATATACCATAATATGCATGTACATATATTGTTGACAAAGCAACAATATTAGCCGAACTCTGTTCAGAATTGTTTTTTCTTTGGAAATGGTTAAACATTGCTTACAAATATACATTACAAATATAAACCGAGTACAACCGACCCAATTATCTTAGGAGAACTTTTATTTGTTTTCTGTCAGTAGTAAAGCTTATAGAAACTTTTTGAAAGGTGATTTTTCTCTCGTTGGTGCATTTGAGAGGTAATTTTTTTGATTTTCAAAGGAGTTTTCGAAATAATTGGAAAAAATCCGGAAGAAAATTCTAGATAAAACGGCAAATATTTACGGCACGTCGCCGCGTTACCGTTTTTATTATTTTCATTGTGTTATAGTTAGAAATATTACTCCAATCGAAAAATGACAAAAGATCGATTTTGTTCCTATTGATATTTCGCTGGCAGAGGAAGTTGTTTTTCGATATAAAAAGTATTTTTCATAATAATTGGGAATAACCAAAAAAGACGAAATATACGATTTTTTTTTAAACTACGGCACAACAATTTTATTATTGTAATTTGTACGGCTTGTTTTCCACCATAAATATTGCTTCAGTAGATAAATGACAAGAGACCCTTTTTTTTGCATTATTAATCTTGTTGATGACCAAGAAAGTCGCGATTTTTGATTTTCTTTGTAGTTTTTTTTCAAAAAGATGTTCAAAAAGAAAATTACTTTAACGTAGGTATATTTGTGTTACTTTTTTTGGTTCGTTTATGTACGACCGTGTGTACCTGGTGAAAATGCAGGGGAACTAAAATTATTATAATAATAAGTATATGTTGCGAACAATTGTTCATTTCAAAATTCGAAAACTTATTTTAGATAATAGATTCTGTTTTTATTTTAAGTACTTATTGCTTTAATACTTATTATTTTTGTTCGATTTAGTTATATATTTCCAACAAGAATATTTTTTCAAGGGCAGGTAGTGGGTTCAAAAGACTTATCATAAAATTGTTAATTGATTTTAAAAATCATAGAATGCCAGATTAAATAACACATTTTAATGGTAAGTACCTATTTATATGAATGGGTAGAGGCAGATTTATTTCTTTTTATGGCTATAGGCGCTAAAAGTTTACCACTCCTAATCAAAGAAATTATAAGTGAGCTAAAATATTATGTAGGTACTTTATACCAATATATTATTATTATCATTCGAAAACACTTAGGTAACCGTTTTTTCCGTCATTCATGTTAACTTAAAAACCTAAACAAAATTTAATAATATCTATAAAATAAATTTTATCGAGACCGTAAGATTAATTATAGGTAAATAAAAAAAAATGTTTATTTTTTGAAAACGTATTAGTATTTTCATAACTATTTAGAGAAGAATATTGTGGTGGTTGAAAAAAAATAATACGTGCAGAGCGGTATCACTATTGGGCAACAGTGTTCGGTTCAGTGTGCAAGCGTTTTTATAATATTACAAATAACAGTTAATTATTACATATGTTTTGAACAACATTATCAAGAGCGTATTAATTACTAATATACTAAATAATACTAAATTCTGATTAGATTTTAAATTAAATGAATAATAATATAAAATGTACCAACACAAAGTACTGACTGTTGTTTTTATTCAAATTCAAAAAGTTTTGTTGTTATTAAAGCTATTTATTAATCAATAAATACTCGGTGCCTGCAATCTGACATCGTCTGGCGATAACCTTTTTTCTACACTGTATTAATTATTTCAGATATGAAATATTATAAATTAATTATAGAAATCGCATACGAAACTTTTAATTTAAAAAAATATAACATGTACCTATATATATATATATATATACATTATACAAGTACATACCCATATTTTTTTTATAATCTAACTCGGAACAGAATTAAAAAATTCTTAAAGTTCACATGCTGCGGCTTATAAACTGTTTAAACTACTAAAACTATACTTTGTAAAAGTATAGTAATAATATTCTGTAAATTATATCTTTTCCACTTTTTTCCGCCCCCAAATACGTAGGACACACACTATACTTATACGTTTAGTATTTCACACGTTTTTCGTAACGACTTGAAAAAAGTTAAGATATTTTAGTATTGTTTAACAGAAAAGTAATATCGTTACAGCTAGTTAGAATAAAATGACTATGCATGGAATAATAACTAATGATATAAGTTAATAATGTGCTTAAGTTTCTTGGTATACATTATACATGTGATACCGACTTCTAATATTCGATTAGGATCTAGTTTGCATAATTTAACAAAACCAAGGCCATTAAAATTATGTCTCCCAAATCAAAAGGATGTCGTTTTTATTTTTGGTTCTCAACATAAGCTTAAATCTCATTAATCATGGATCAACTGTAGATTTTTTTCGGACCAAATCTAGACACAACGTAATTTCATGCAACAACTTCGCAACGAGCTACAACTTCGCAGAGATAAAGGAAAAATTGACTTAATAATAATAATAATAAACACGTGAAAGGTTCACTTGTTATTATTAAACCAAAAAACAAACAACTTCTCTCCCTGTTCATTTTGGTTGTTATTATATAGCGAGTTGTATGTGTAATGTAAAATATAGCAATTTTTAAACAATAATAATATCTTATAAATTATATAAGCTTTGCCAAGGGTATAAGGTCGTAATGATTTAATTATTTTACTTATTATATTATTAGTTATTATTCCATATAGTAATTTTATATAGATATTATATTATTACGTTCATGCTAAATCAAAATTTAAAATTGAATAGTGTGATTTAATCTCTCAAACGTATGGGTAAATATTTATTTTAAGTCTGCAGTAGGATCACGTTGAGCGAGCTGCGTGAACTTAGCCGCTTCAATAAGTACTTATTTTAATTATTACGGACGCCATGATGAGCTGAATTTTTTTTCCCGAGACATGCATAAAATTGTAAAAAAGTTGCAAAATTTTGATACTGGTTTGAAGTCTGAGGGACAATGTGGGGGGGGGAACTTCACGGGGGTCCCTCGCTACGCTCCGAATTTAAAATAATAAACATCATTGTAAAACCAATATATTCCTCGTTTTTCTTAGAAATTAGATTCTAAAAGAGAACAACATAGTAACGTCTTCATGATTGAGTTTTGAATAACATTAAAAAACATAATATTTAGGGTAAGGGTTAAATGATACTGCATTTGTTTTATGTTTTATTATCTTCGGTTATTGCAGTTCTACGAATTCCAACAAATAAACTTTACATATTTAATTAATAGGTACATTGGATTGAAATCGTGGCATTCAAGCTATCATTAGTACCTTCAGTTTTACTAACACGAGATGGTAAACATTGATGTAGGTAGTTAATCTTATTAATTAAAAAATAATTTATCATATTAAAAATATTTATTGCTTTATTAACATTTGATTAACCTTGTTAGCTATGTTAGCTTGTTAGATTATGTACCTACTTAGGTAGGTAAAAATTATTATGTGGAGTATGATAAAAATGCCCAAAAACTATATCTCCGTTCTCCCGAGTTACAGATTTTGCCGTAACAAGTTTAATAATAGAAAACTAGTAAGGGGTTATCGCAAGGATCATTTTCGTATAAAAATCTTACAGATTTCTTCCTACTATAAACATATTAATCGTATTATACTACCAAAATAACGTTGTTTTACCGTTCAGTGTTACACGGTATTAATATATGTTCAATAGATCATAATTTAGTGGTAATGATCGGTATTATCTGAGTTTCGAAAATACGAACTGCGAACTTTTAAACACGGGTATGATCCTTTGACCTTTGCAATATATTCTATTCCATTACTGTATTATTATTATTTGGTACTGCTAAATCTGTGGATCCAATTATTCATTGTTTTACGTAATCCTATAAATGAAAAATAATAGGTATATAAACAGTAAACTTTTTTTTTAACCATAGCTGGATTAGATGAGCACAATGCGAGTGTAAACCATTTTGTAACTTTTGCATCACAGCGGTAGAATATTGTCCCGAGGCCTTCTGAGCTCTGGGGCCCCACTTTGTCTAACAATAGCTTTACGCCACTGTTTCGGTCGTATTACTACAATCCGTTTTACGGGTTGTGCACCTCGCACATTATACGTATTATAATATAATAAGTATAACGGGATCAGAAAAAGTTTCAAATGTTGTTATTAAAAATGTTTATCGATTTTAAAAACCGAAAGTCTAAATAATTTAATAAAATATTAAATTATTTTATTTTAGGTATATTGTATTATATTATTATATATTATATGAACATAAGTAGACAGATAATGGGATTCCGTGACGACGTCTTAAAGCCGCAGATTTTTAAATTTATATTGCTGTATCCGGGGACTTACATACTTTTAACGTGTTTTGCACGGGGTTTTTTTTATCCGGATTAAGATCGGATCGACCTTTTATAATTAATTCGATCACGTTCTGGTTGGTACGTTTAATACAACGTCAACATCTTCCATATTAATCCTATTAAATTCGGATAAGTGGCTACGGTGTGCATGCAGTACACCTTACGAACTACGTACTACCAGTACAACTACGAAGCTTGGTCAGTGGCAGTTAAACACGATGTTCAAGAGGGGCGAAATTCATCAATCAAAATGTTTTCATTAAATTCTGACACGGTTAAAACCAAAAATGAATATAGGTAAAAAAAAAAAAAACACAAATTGGCACGAGTAACGCCGGGAACGGGACAGCTAGTGCACTATAAATTTAATGTATTGACTTATAATTCATTATCTTATAATAATTATAATAAAAGCATACATGCCTTTTTATTTTGTTTAGCAAAGCGTATAATAATATTGTCTATATTAATATTTAAGTCTCTATGGATATGAAGCTGTGTTATACCATTTAATCGGTCTTCGCTAGTTGTTGATCTAAATTATTTCTTTAATTTAAATAAATAAAGTAACTCACATGCATAGTAGCAATATATTGCTAATTCATAATATACCATTGAAACATTAACCGAGATAACAGCAGTCTCTACCATTTGATAGCAATATTGTGTATCGCACTAAGGCCGCGGCTCACGGAAGTAGATAAACGATAAGCTATATTGTTTACCTACCTTCGTGTGTATCTACTGATTTCTATACCAAGTTAGTATAGAAATTTGTGTGCTTATTGCATATTCTAATCACAGTCCATAGACAACAGAAAAAACCCATAATCCACAGATATATAGAATACATTTTCTACATATCTGTGCCACGGACTAATATAATATACTTTTCGTGGTTAAAACGTAAAATATGATCAAGAAAGTTTTAAATATTTTACTATTAAATCATTAAGTTCGAAAATTTACAAGTAGGTAGGTGTTGTTGGGCCAGCGACACACTAAATTAAAAAAATCAAATCCCAAGGAGATCCCAAAGTGATCCACCTATCACTTCTCTCCCTTTATAACCACCTCTGAGCCTGATCCACACAGTTATAGTTGCTATCACTCTCACAGTTTCATGATAGTATCTAACTACCTATATCATGAATATAGTGTTACTTTCACGATAGTGATTAAACCCGGTTCACATGGTGGCAATAGTAACTATATTATGTTATTTGTATGAATGCGATTAGTGAATAGTGTGGATCAAAACTGGTTCCAATGATAGTATACTGCAGTATACCTATAGTTACGTATAGGACACAAATACGGGTGAAATAATAAATCAAAGCGAAATCTGTTTAGTTATTATAACAGCTATATTTTAATATAATTATATTTATTATACATTTATTCTGAATCAAAACACAATATAAAGAACTCTAATACATTTTCTTTTTGTTGCCTATTACAATAATATTAAAACTACCTACATAGCTTAAAATTATGTACACTATATTATTATATTCTATGGAATACGCATATTATTATACAGAACGATTCATACTGAAAAACAAACGCTCGCGATCAAACGGTTTATACGACATTGAAAAAAAAAATCGACAAAAATATGATTCTATTACTTCGGACCGTTTTATATAGTTTTTGGATACCTATATATATACGTACATACGACACGCCGTCGCCGAGTACCTATCGAGAGAATACTTCGCCTGTCGGAAAATCGAATTTGCGCACAATCAACGAGATTTCGTTAATATTTTTATTTCGCCGATGTTTTTATACCGGCTTTAACTACGCGTTTTCTTGTCGATACATAATATAATATTATGTTTCCGGTAGAGAGCGTATATATACCTATATTGTATTTTATATATTGGTTAAGTTATTTTCGACGATGACGACGACGGAATAAAATCGATTTTATAGCATATAGAAAGAGAGAGAGAGAGAGAGAGAGAGAGAGAGAGAAAAGTGTGATAGCCCATAGGGTAAATTTACGGACATTAATAACGTTTATAACGTAAATATAAATAAAGGTGTATAAAATGACAAAATGTCTAATATTATTGTCCTCCCTGGCTCGATGGTTTGACATGTGTTGTATAGTGTTTTACGAAGACTCGCGTATTTACAAACACCATGTAAATAGCGAAACGTTTCTCGTGGATCGCTCGGTAGTATAATTTTAGAACTATATGGTAGATATTTCTATGTCCTAAAAACCTTTAGATATTTATGCAGATGTGAACGGAAATACCATAATATGCTTAAGAAAAAAAAAAAAAAATGTTAAAATTGCACATTATTATTATTTACTAGATATTATACATTTGTACAGCTAATCCCAACGAAGAACTTAACTAAATTTGAAACATGTTTGAATAAAAATTTAAACATGTTGAATTTAAATTAAATTTATTGAATTATTTTGTGATTCTCGATTCGTCGAGTTGAAAATGTCTTAAAAATGCACTAAAATTAATGTATGCCTTCTTGAAATTTGCATTACAAATCCCAAAACATTAAAATATGCAAAAAGATACAAGATAAAATGTCGTTATTATATGCAATTATGAGGTCATGAAACACATTTTGGTATAAAGTAGGTAGCTATTTTTTTAACCAACCAATAAAAACACGCAGAAACATATCAATATTTTCCCTAGTTAAAATTACGTTTAGTGTAGATATTTCTACGCCTTTGTGTATTTGCCCTGGTTAGTCGAAAAAAAAATCAATAGCTAGTTAATACCGAAGTATGTTTCACAAACTAACGGTTTTATAATATAATGATATTTTATTAAAAAAATAATAAATTGTTTTTTGCATAGGTATTTATCGGAAATTTCGCATTTTTAAGGCATATTTTAGGATTTCGTATGGAATTTCTAAGAAAACTTTTCCACTCTAAAAATCGTGAATCACAACGAAATATCGTCCGAGATTTATAAACTCTGATAAACGCTGATAAATGTTTAGCAGGTATCCCAGTGAAAAATCCGGCTACCTGCGGGTAAACACCACGTTTGTATACGTAAACGCGTGTTCTCGATATTCTACATAATATTATCAGCAGGTAATATGCGATGTTCTTTGACAATATCGAAATATGAACCGATGTTCGCGCAGGACGCAGTTCGCTAGGCGCGTAAACACTCTTCGCGCAAATCGTTTATGATGGGGGAGGGGGGCGGGGTCTGGTTAGGCGGCTTCAGACCGTGATATAGGTATTATTACGCGCGTGCAAATAATAACAGCATTGTAATCCGTTCGCTTTGGTATGATGGTTTGACGCGTATCGATTTCATTATAGGCATCGATAACGTAATAATAATATTATAAACGTATAAACCCCCTCCCCTCCCCCCCGCTATCGTACTGTTTTAACGAAAATACTTTGTACCGCGTAATAACATTTATAATACCCATATATTTTGTTGCACGCTTACGAATTTCACTCGCGGGGAAACATCGATCGACTATTATAATAAACGATTACGACGCATACAATTTTGTTTAATAAGTTTTCAACTTTTTATGCGTTATGTTTCGGCAACGTTCGCGAGCGAACGGTTATAGCAAAAAAACAAAATAAAATATCTCCATCGCTACGGTCGGAATCTGAAAAAAATAACGTTGTAAACGAAATATACATTAAACAATATTGTTAAACTGCAGCATATTGCAGCTGCAGGAGGGGTATTATAATATGTCCGCCGACTAAATATATATATATATATATATAGGTATATATAGGTTATGATAATATTTAATATTTATATATACATTTTAGACTACAATAATAGCGTTCTATATTTTTAATTATTTATTTATTTTTAAAGCTAAACGGACGTCAAGGATGATAGTGTCGAATATTATAATACAAACGCGTTCTTAACCGCAGCTATTGTGTTTTACCCGTAGAAAACAATAATATACCAAGTGTAATAATATTTGTGTAAATACGTCCGAGAGAAATACTAATAGTAAAGGCGCATAACAAACGGAAAAAAAATTAATAAAAAGTTGAACAACATAATAGTAATAATAATATAGTATACAATAATAATATAAAATTAAAAAAAAAAAAAAAACCAAAATTATAGGTAATAATATTAATATAATAATATTACAATACATAGGTGTGGGACAAAATGAGATCACGAGTTTTTTTTTTTAATAAGTTATAATAATAATAATAAATAAATACAACACGAATTATCAAGTAGGTTCCTATCTATTTATCTATCTCTCTCTATATATAAAATAAACAAACAAATTGGAAATAATAATAATACAATTAAACACAATGCAACAGAATATATAATTAATATTATTATAATATAGAATGAAGAATATTTTTTGGTAAAGTTTATTGATTGTCTCGGTAAATTTCCAAAAAAAAAAAAAAAATAATAATAAATCAAGACAAATCTAATATTTTAATATTTCCGTTGCGTCTAATAATAATTGCCTAATATTTTAGTGTACAGGTATAATATTATATTAAATTGAAACGTTGAATTCAATAGTCAGTTAAAAGAAATGGCTCGAGTAAAAGACTACTGATTTACTAGGAGAGACAAAAAAAAAACCTTCAATATCAAAATAAATGTTTAAAGATTTTAGGACTGTCTTATGATTTATGTCCTTTTGCCTTTCGTATTGATAGTATGCAATAGTATATAAAAAACAATTATTCAAATGTAAGATTATAAACGAGTATATTTTACCAAACGCACTTCATAAATTAATATAAACCGAAAACGATCAACACTACAATAAATTATCATTTACAAGCCTTTTTTTTTATAAAAAAAAAAAAAAAAACAATAAATGATAAATAAATAAATACAAATTGTCCAATATTTATATAATGTGAAAACTACACTTTTTCGGATATATATATATTTAGGTAGACGTTCTATTATTAGGTATAATAATATGGAAAAATGCGCGACTGAAACGTTTAAAATATTTGTTTTGTTTTTTTTTTTTTTTTACACACGGTAAATATAATGCTTACAACGTACTACAATAATAACGTACTAAAAAAAAAAAACCGCTATTGTTAACAAAATAATACAACAACTTTATACTTCGCTAACCTATTTCGTCATAATAATAATCACGTCGAATAAATGTACGCGACTCGAATAAATTATAATTAATAATAAGTAGTTAAAACTTAACGTTAAAATATATATATTGTATAGGTAAGTATATATAGGTATTATTATAATGGCCGTCGCATTTAAAACGCGCGGGCGAATATAATAATTATATGTAGGTAAATGTTTAATATTATTTAAATATCGTTATCATAATAAAACGCGTAATAAATTAATTTCCATATAATATATTATAATTGGTAATAATAATTAATATTAATATAATATAGGTTTATTAAATATTAACAGAAAAAACAATTTTTAAAATTAAATTTGATATATAAATATGATATAATAAACCAATAACGGTACACAAATGATAAGACGACTATATAATATATATATTATTATGTGTAAGACCATATTAAGACGGATGCGTATACGTGGTGGGAAAAAATCCACCACACGATTTATTATCCACTATCTGTAGAACTTCGAGTAAAACTACTTGTTGTTGTTTTTATGATGGTGTTATATGATTTCCAAAAGAAAAAAAAAAATGTTTTCAAAATTATCAATATAGGAGTATTGCCGCTTGCATGGTATCAGTGGCGGATTTAAGGAGGGCGATAAGGTCATTTGCCCTCCACCTCCAAAAACACTGGAGTATAGTATGATTTTTTCTTGTACATTGCGGTAAAATATATATCAAGTTTCATTTACGTAAATGGTTATCCTCCACCCTCCAAATTTAAGGTCTGGATCCGCCACTGTACAGTTTATACTAGTGTTTCCCAGGGGCGGGGTAGGGGAAATTCCCCCCGGGAAGAATCTAAGGAATGATCTAGGGATTACTGCGTGGGAAATAATATAGCGATGATGAAAATGTAAGAATAAAATATAAAAACAATAAGTTCATATATTTCATTAATAGGGGGGGGGGACATGCGATTTTTGAAAATCTACAAGTGGGGCGTAGTATAAAAAAGTTGAGAAACACTAGTTTATGCGAATTGATGTTCGTGACATAATATTTTATCCGTTATAGTAATGACGGAATTTCGCGGTATAAAAGGCAATTGCCATGAAGGTAAAACACTGAGCGGTTTTATAGTTTGGTCGAAATCGCAGTTTTTCGGCGTGGGCGTTGATATTACTATTTTGACAAAACAATTATTTTTGTTTTTTTGTTTGTTTTTGGTCACTTATTTATAGAAAACAAATATAACACCAATTGTAGTTTTATTCGATGTACCGATAGTACTAATATTATACCTACAGTGATGAAAGACAACGGTTTTTTTCGCCGCTTACGGTGTAATAAAATATTATGAAAAAAAAAAAACGTTATTGACAGCGGCTGAGCGCGATCGATCAAACATTTAATACAATTATTTAGTTGTATTGCGGTAAACGCATTCTAAACTACACGGCGTAGATACGTTTTAAAACGCGTATAAAAATAGCAACGCGAAAACATCACGAAATCCCAAGGGAAATCGAAAAGCGAGATTAATTGTGACCAGGTAAGGCTAGGTTAATAAACGTCCGAAATCGTGAAACGCCAACCCGGAAGTTTTTAAGTACGGGAAATAAAATCCGGTAAAGCCGTGTGGGTAAGGTCCAACTATCCAACGGCATTTGTTATCTTAGAAAAAAAAAGAAAGAAAAGACGATCATTATTATATAGAGATAGGTATTCGGGGAATGGCCATTTTCCACCAAAATCCGTATTTCCTTTTCCGACTGTATCATTTTCCATCGAATTTGAAAACAAGTTTTCTGTTTTCTATCAATTTATTTCATTTGATGTTATTTTGAGTTTTATTTTTTATCGCGATTGACGAAGAAAAAAAATGTTCTTTGTAATTATATTATAGTGATGTAACATGATAAATCCGAATTACGAACTGTTTAAATCTGAACATGCATTGTTCATGGTTTTTTCTATTTCTATTTCCATATTATTAAATACACTTCTATGTACTTTTATGTAATATTATGAGTATAGTCTTTGAAATGTATATAATAATTAGGTTTTATATTTGGTATATTTAGTAGCCTAAATAGTGATTGTACACATAGTATAAAAAATCTACAATGTTAAAGAATTCGAAATCCCAAATTAGGATTCATAATAAATTTAAGATTTAGAATTTCCTAACTGGTTATTTTAATCTTGGCAAATTCGGACTTTTTTCATCATTGTCATATTTATAATATTATATTGTTCTTGGTATCGAAGAAAAACGAAAATTCGATCGACACGTCCCGCGTGTTCAACTACACCCACCGTCAAAGTATACTCTAGCTGCCTGTACTCGTTAATATAAGTCTACGTCCATCATATTATAACTACGGAATATATTTGACAGGCTCTATACACCTGTTGCATTTGCATGTTATATACATAAGAATAATATTATAATACTTCAACGAATACGTTTTATACTATACGAGGATACGCGTACGGGAAAGTGCTAAAAATTTCTAGTAACTCTTTGTATAGATAATAATATTATATACAACTGATAGATTATTATAGTATAGGTGTATCGCCATCGAATTTTGACATCATCTGCACTATTTACAAATATAATATACTTTTATCAACCGTTTTCCGGTCTTGGTATCGTCCGATACCGTATTACTTTATTGAAACGAATAAAATAAAATCATAATATTATATATATATACAATTTTCAACAATAAAACACATTATACGCGGATTTAGTAAGTATTATGTATACCTATGCAAGGCGAGTGCTGAATTTTGACCGTCCGCGGTGTTCGCGATAAATTTAATGGTGCGTTACATATTGCATAAATCGGTGGCGTGGAAAGATCGGGGGAAAAACAACACAATATCACCAAGAGATAGTTACGTACGCGTATTTTTTTTTTTTTAGGTTAAAACTAATACAAAAACGCGTAATTTCTATAAATGGGACTATGGTAAATTGTCGGTGGGGAATGCGGTTTTTGATTTTGCTAGGGTTATGTGAACATAATTCACGACGCGTTTAGCCGTTATCGCCCTGCAACAGCGGCGTGGACGAGGTGATATTGTTGTGATTGGCCATACTATTCGCCAAGGATTTTGTGGACGACGATCCAACGTTGTTATTGGCGTGAAATTTTGAAAATGACCCGATCGGATTGGCCGGTTGTTGTAGAGGAACTGGTGGCATGGCCGCTGCCGTTTCCGGGCTGGAGAGTGTCTTTTCGCCCAGCAGCCAGTAAGTCGTCATCTTTCCTTTGCCCTGTGTGACGGGATTGAGAAAAAATAAATTATACAAATAAATCAATTTATTCAGTTCATCAGTTAAATCAAATACTATAAATTCCATTTTGTCAAAGTATACAAAATTATAATTATGTTGCAGTCTTTCTTCGGAGAAAATCACGATTAACCGGACAGGAGAAAAACGGCTGTCGGATGGTACCTATATAATAACGAAATTTTAACGCTTCTTTTAAAACTTAATTTGGGCATTTACTCGGGATTGTTGACAAGGGTACGCAAAATATTATGTTTGGCGAGTGTTGTAAAGGAAACATTTATTTCACGTTTACACGTGACTAATAAATCTGCAGGATTAACGTTAAACTCAGTTTACGCCATAGTACGACAGCGTATTTTAAGGATTAAAATCTTGGACAGGCGCATTAGTTTAAACATTTTTGGACTTCCTATGGTAGATATACTTAATGTTTTAACTTTTGGAATAGTTTAGAAAACTACCAAACAGAAAAAAAAAAAATGAATCAGGTTTTCAACGTTTGTATAAATTAGGTAATCAAGATATTAATAATTGGAACCATAATATAGATAAAATATAAACTGTTATAACAACTCCTCGAAATGAATCCGATAAGGTGATAACTATTTTTGAAGTTTTAATACATGGAAGACTTACATTTTTTTAAAGTGAAAGCGAAATTAAAAACTTAGACACAAATAATAGAAATTTGTTTTTCTGTTGGTTACAACATTGTACGTTCGTATCGCGTTTCGTCGTATTTTTCATTGGAAATCACTATGTCACAAACTATCATAGTATTATTTCAGCAAATGAATTGGACAAAAACACAAGACGGCCGTGTGACGTGTTTCTACTTATTACTCATCAGTAATAATGGACCGGTAAACAATATGCGAGTAAATATAATATAGATAATATATTATATAGAAAGAGATTTCCTCACCTTCATTTCGACTTCACCTCTCAGTTCCAAGTTGAACGTGCCGAACGTCTCGAGCACTTCTTTTGTTTGCGGGCTCACGTGGATTTTCAAAGCTATAAAAAAAAAACATATTCACACACGTGTATGCCGTTAAGTTCTATATTATATTCGTTGTATTGTGTGGACCGGTAGCGGCGGCAGTGGAAAAACTGTCTGTTAATTGCATTTTCGATTATTTAATTACTTTTTTCGTTTTAAAGCCCAAGAAAGACTATTTCACTCGAGTGGACGTGGAAAATTAAATTCCAACACTCGTATTTTGGCTAAAAACATCCCACACGGTTTGTTAATGACTATGATTAACACGAATTTTGGTTTCGATTTGAACACATTTTGTCGGTTGTCGTAACCCGCGAACGTGGAACCCTTTACTTTTCGGCCGATTAAAAATTAATCAAAAATTAAGTTCCATATAATTTTTGGTTTTATATGATTATACATTTTTGATTTAACCGAAAAGAGAAGGGTATGATTTTGGTCAAAAAGGGTCTCGCTCATAAAATTGTCGACCAAAGGGCGAGTTAAAAACGTAATAATATATAGGAATATTGAACATATGGTCGAAGGTCATTAGGAGGAGAAGGGGGAGAGATTTTTATTAGCAGGCTTATAATTTTTGAAATTTATCGCATTGGAATTGTCAAGCTATTGTTATTACACGTTATAGAATATTGAGTGGAAATGGTTAACACAGACGTATGCGTTTCAAAAACCCTTTGTAAAGTCGACGATGATTTTCGTTTTACTTTTTATAACCGATGGCCCGTGTTACGATACTACTATTACGTACCTTCTCCGTTGGATTCCATTCTTGAGGCTGTGTTAACCGTGTCTCCAAATAAACAGTATCTCGGCATTTTGAGTCCCACCACTCCGGCGACACATGGTCCTATAAAAAAAAAAATGCACTGAAATATACTTTATATATTTATATTTGGAGGGAGGAATATATTAGTTTTATGAATCATTTTTTTTAAATGTCTGTGACCACTTTTTCTGTTAGTAAAAATTCTCCAAAACTTTTACTGCTGTTTTAGATATTTCAAATATTTTTCTGGACACTTAACCGTTTTTCTAAATAATTTGTAAAAACCTACAAAAAATGACTGTGTCATTTGGACTAAATCTATGGCGAGCATGGAAATCTACAAGTATTATATATACATAAGTGGGTTCGTATTTAAGTTTTGAATTTTTGGGTTCCCCAATTTATACAAGAAAATGAGTTTTAATGAGTGTAACAAGTTCGATTTGAAATCATCTTTTGTTTGTTTACAACGATTTATAGCATCTCAGTGTTCAGTATTTTTCGTAGGTAGGGTAGATACTAATAATAAATTACCCTATATCGCATATGATTTTCTAACTTATCGACTTCAACATCAACGATTATATACGGTGCTGAAAGCATATGTATAATCCGATATTAAACAAATTAAATTATCATTACTGATATAATTATATAAACTAATATGGTACGATGATTTTTCGCACAAGCAAATATTGCTAATCGCATAAAAAAATTAGAATATTGTTGGGTATGCGATTGGGTATAGTTGTAAAACTTATAGGTACAATATTATTAATATTGACGTGTCTGAAATTCGTTTAATATGATTTTGTGCAGACATTCAACACTTTTGGTTTCATCAGCTGATTTATTGCCGTTACAATATTTCATTTTTACCATAATGTGTGCGGTTTTTTAATTTTTTTATCTGTAACTTTTCTACTAGAAATCTTGCTCCAATCGAAAAATAACTAGAAACAATTTTTTTTGAACTTTGGATCTATAATCGGTGTATTGAAGAAGTAATTTTTTGAACGTTCAAGCGATTTTCATAATAATTGTGAAAAAACGTGTAGGATAAACGGACAAATATTTTGTGTTTTTGTTGTAACTCGTTTAAGATAAAATCGTGATTTTCGAGCTATTTATAGGCATTTGACATTTTCGATAATTAAATGGAAAAAATTGTTTGGTCAACAATTGTTGAGTTATTTATAAACAATAGTGGGTTTTTTATACGATTATGTTTAATTGAATTACAAAAACGAAATCGAAAATAACAGAAACCGTTATTTCATATATTTTCTAGTTTTCCCGGCGTTTTATCTACCGTTAAGAAACATGAAAAATGAAAATTGTTCCATTGAAATCCACCAACTAATGAACTAATTGAAGCAAGGTTTTTGGTAGAAAAGTTATTGTTAACACTATTAACAGACAGACAGAAAAAATTCAATCATGTAGTAATAGTACTTTTACAAGGTAAAACCAACACACTCCCGGCTACACCGAGAATTTAAAACAATTATAACAAGCAATACAAATATTTGTGATCACAGGAGAGCGGTAGTTTGAGTTTTATTTTCATCCGTCCTAGTATACCTACTCGTACCATATTTCTGTATATAATTTCGACTGTAGATTGTTTCGATATACGGTCGTCGCGGCAAACTACAATATTTTTGTCGACCGTCATACAGAACAGTATACGAACAACCAGAATTATACATAATAATATTATATGCTCGTCGCAATTCAGTTTCCATTGTTATTGCACATTTTATAGCTATATTATTTTTATTTCGGTACTTTTTACGGTTTTGCGCGAAAAAATAAAAATAGTAAACAATACCGACGTTATAATATTATTATTATGTACTGCAGTATGCGGCTACGACGACGACGCTGGTCGTACATGTTCACAATACCGATACTATAAAGTCACAATTTGTTTTTGTCTAGACTTTTAAATTGGAATCGTTTTCCACGTCTTACAATAACGTACACAATATAAACGTTTTGAAACTTTCTAGACGAACTTACTATAATATAGAAGTCGTTTCACTCCATAGGTATCAAACGTTGACGTTCCTAATGGATTATTGTTTATTTTGATTTTACAAACGAAAATGGTAATGATCGCAGATGTGTGTACCGAATGAAAATTCAAAGAAAGAAGGAGGTGTTCATAAGTGAAAAAAATTAACATTTTGAATTATAAAACTAGTATAATATTGATTGATATAAAAAGACGATTGAGTTTAAAGTAACATTTTTAAAATTTCGAGTAGAGGGATTTTCGAATTCTTATCCTTCCCCTTGCCTGTACACGGACATGAACGAGCGTTGTGTTTGTCGTGTTGTTTTACAAATTTAAAAATTTTACTAGCCAAATTAGTAAAGGAAAGTTTACGCACTTAAATTTAACGCACTTTCGGTACACTCAAAGGTCAAAGTTATGGAGTTGTATTTTAAACATACGAAAATTATTATTAGAGATGGGCCGATACCCCTTTTTACCAATATCCGATATATGTTACCCATATAAAGAATACTCGATATCTAATATTTAAAAACGAAAATCGTGAAGTTATATTCAAATTGAACGTTACACTGGTTAAAAACCCGGGTTTTAAAATGCTTTTTCATATTCCTGATTCATTATAGACATTTTTCTCTGCTGATAGCTCGAAAAGGTTTATGGTTAGTTTAAGATTCTGAGTGGAGCGAAAAAGCTTATGATATTACGATGAAGTATTTTTTTTTTATCTGTGAACAACTTTCTGAAAGGAAACTTGACCGTGGTGGTACTGTAAGGTCATTTTTTGATTCTCCCAGGAGTTTTTTTTAATAAATTGGAGAAAACGGACAAATTTACGAAGTACCTATATTAGTTGAAAAATATGTTGGCCTTTTTTTTTCCTGTTAACAACTTTTTTACTAACAATTTTGCTCCGGTTTATAATGATAGCAGTTTTTCTAAAAGGAAATATGACTGGAGAGGTTCTCTAAGGAGGATAATTCTTCACTCCTAGTCAACAACATAATATAATATGATAAAACATTATATAATATTTGAAAGCTTACCGGTGTGTATGCCGATACGCAACTTAAGTTGATCGTCTGGCCGGTGTTTAATCTTAAAGCTGTATACTGCCGATCGCAGTGCTAGCGACAACCGGGCTATCTCACGTGCGTGCAAGTTTCCATTACGGACTGGAAGTCCGGAAACCACCATGTACGCATCTCCGATAGTTTCCACCTGTAACACGAAACAAGTAAATAAATGATAAGTGCGCAGTTAATTTATAATTTTTTTTTAATTTTTCGTTCCCGACGGTAAAAATCGACGTTTCGGCACGGCTCATCACCTTATACACGTCGAAGTTTTCTACGATGGAATCGAAACACGTGTAGAGATCGTTGAGCAGGTCGACCACCTGCAGAGGAGTGCTCGCCGCGCTCAGTGACGTGAAGTCTACGATGTCACTGAAGTAAATCGTCACGTTGTCATATGTCTCAGCTTCTACGGACTGTCCTAAAATCAGCTGGCTGGCCACGGGCCTACAAAAACGGGTCAGTGAAAAACAGTTTGTTACCAACAATAAATATTTCGATATGTTAAAAACTCTGCTGAAACACGAACAGTAAAATAAAATAGCTCGTAGAATATTCAACTAGTGCTAATAAAGGGGTTTGATACGATTATTATAGCATAATATACGTATTATATTTTATCGCGCAATTTGATTTAATATCAAACAGAGTAGGTGCATAATTTATTTTTGTAATAGTATAAATCATATTGTATTGCATTGTATAGGTTCCTAAATGCAGTAGATACAATTACATGTTTTATATACGAGTATAATAAGCAATATACGTATGGTCGTGGTTTATAGATTCAAAAACCACTCGACTGATTTCGCCGAAAATTGTATGGTTTATTATTATTAGTTCCAGGAGTGTTTAGAAAGCGTTTTTAATGAAAAATTGAACCCCTAAAGTGAGGCCTACAGACAATTTGTTTTTAAAATACGAAAATTGCTATTTTTTTTTTTGTTTATTTTAATAAATAAATAAATAAAATAAATAATTATTGGTTACACGGAAAATACATTTTTAAATAATCAATTTTTCTACACGAAGACACATATTAATGTTTTTTTCGTTCAATCGAATAGTGTAAGTTTTCAATATTAATCTGCGCGGGGGAAGTATACGATGAATGGTACATTATATTACGACGGAAATGACCGAAGAAAACCCGCGGGACATTCGTTTGGGGATCGTATGTACAAGTTTTCATCGCCTGAAGTGACATTATTTATACGAACACACCCGAACGTGTGCATTTAATTATTATTAAACGAATTCATGTAGGTGTACAGTACACGAATAGGATATTATTCGTACAGGTATAACATTGAAAATGTATAAGCGAAAAGTTGATAGTATTCGTATACAGGGTGATTATTTTATTATCTTGAAGCAATGATAAACTGTGAATATTTTGAGTAAATTTGATTTTATATTTTTTTCCGGTTACAGTAGAATTAGTTTATTGATTTTATTTTAACAATACTTTGACAATTTCACGAATTTGTTTACTATGAGCACGAGTAAAAATATATTTGATATCTAAACGATTATAAACTCAGATTCGAAAAGAGAATGTATTCTTTTACAGTTTAAGGTTCTATATTATGTATTATTATTACTATATTGAGTAATAATTTTTGATGATTCGATTTTTAATCATTTTTTTTTTGAGAGCCTCATTGGAAAATTTGCCCTAGGAACTCTAAATGTCTGAATTCGGGCTTGTACGGAAAACAAGGGTAAAATTATGAAACTATTGCCAATAAAATCGGTGGTATACTAGCGATCATTATTTAACATTTATATTGCTTATAATATACGATAAAATTTACCAGAAATTTTTTCATAGATATAACCGCGCTGGTTCGAGATAAAATAATCACTCTGTATATAAGTAATGTGTATGCGTTTTTGGTATAGTAATCCGTGATCTCGTTGGAAAGACGCGTTGTAATTAAAGTACATTAATGTTAGAAATCGACCAAACTTATATGTTTAATATTAAATTGTAAAAGCGCGAGATATCATCTCAGGGCGACAATTACGACGTACGTACACGGCATTATAATATTTTATTTAATGCGAACAAAAATGTCGAAACTAAATTTAATCCTCTTGCCCATACACGATCAAGAGCCGAAATTATCCATGTCTAATGACCAGAGTTTGGGACTTACAGCACTTAAAACCAGGGACTAGAACCCAACCGAAAAGAAGCGGTTCTAGAATCCGAAAAACCCTTAAAATAACAGGGCCCGGAACCGAATTTAAATATTCTCTATTAACCAACACACATATTTTTGAATGATAAATGGTACCAGATTTATAACCAAAATAAACAAAATATTATAATACCTGAACCTAGCTATTAAAAAAAAAAAAAAAAAAATGAGCAATAATACATTAGGTTTCGGAAAAAGGATCGAAGATTATTTTATTGGTTTGATGGGAGGAAGGCAAAGACACTTGAAAAGTATTATTACTAACATTTCGATAATAAAAAAATTGCGCGTATAGTGTAGCGGGTAAAAATTGCGTACAATAACGATGCATAATAAACTTATTATTATTACTAGAGGCATTTAGGGAGTTTGTTTTATTATCCTGCACCTCTGTATACGCGTCAGTGGAGTATTTTATTGGGCCATAAATAAAAACAATGGATTCAATTTTATATTGTTTAGGTCAAGGTTTTTTTATTTTATACTTTCCTCGAGTGTTTTTTCGAAAACCATATATTTTTTTAACGCGATTAGTGTTATTGCAAAATCGTTATTTTACACTTTTGAGTATTATAATAATATAATAGTTCGCATATTGCCGTTTTATTGAGTGTACAAACGTCGTATATATTTTATAAACGGTCAATTATTTTATGATCCAACTACGAAAAAGAACCGTTTTACAATATTGCATATTAAACGAAGTTAAGAAAATTACAAAGAATATCAGAAAATTACCTCCTCAAATGCACCAAAAAGATGAAATTTGTTTTCAGAAAAGATGCTACACTTGAAAATCAGATCAAGATTCCTAATGCAAAAATTGGTCACAGCTACAGAATATAGAAAAAACTCTATCGAAATAGTAAAATCTATAAAATCAAAAAAATTCATGCAGTGATTTGTTTCATTCAAATTATTGTAATAATGTAATAAACGAGGTTTGGCTATTAAATAACGAGACTACACGCGCAGAGAGCGTTCCAAAAAGGTTAGAGGAAAAACGAATACAGCGCTGGTTAGCTGGAAGTGTCTATTATGCCAGTACAAAATCGAGTTTTTGGTGGTGCATTAGTATATTTTCTGTAGCGTTTAGAAACGAACATGTTTTTGTCTCTTGCCGAAAACGATGTGTGACGAAAAACATGAGCAACGGATAAACGTAAAATTTTCTCGTTAAACTAAAAAAAACTCCAACTGAGTGCTATAAGTTGTTAAAAGAGGCCTATAGTGAGGATTTCCTATCTCGGGCGCGTGTTTTTGAGTGGCATAAATTATTTTCTGAAGGTCGAGAGTGCACCGGAATCTAATTCAGTCGTAATCCAAATTCAAAACCATGCTGATCGTTTTCTTCGATATCAACGGCATCGTGATGACTGAATGGGTTCCAGAGGGTCAAACTGTGAACCAACATTACTATTTGACAGTTTTGGCAACGTTGCGCGAATGAGTTCGTAAGAAACGGTCGATATTATGGAAAAACAAGTCGTGGATCTTGCACCAGGATAACGTACCTGCCCATAACGCGCTGTCTGTGAAGCGTTATTTGGCCGCTTAAGGCACTCCAGTACTCGAACACGCGTCTTACTCACCCGACTTGGCACCCTGCGACTTTTACTTGTTTCCGAAGATAAAGTCTGCCTTAAAAGGAATCCGGTTTGAGTCGATGGAAGAGGTGAAACAAAAATCGGCGGAACTCCTGAATGGTTTTACGAAAACAGACTTCCAGCACTGCCTCGAGCAATGGAAGAAACGAATGAAACGGTGTGTGAAGAGGGGAGGAGAGTATATTGAAGGGGAACATTTGGTTGTGGAATAATTTTTAAAATAAAACCATTTTTCATAAGCAGTCTCGTTATTTAATAGCCAGACCTCGTAATCCTCGTAATTTAATAAAATTACATATTTTTTTCGATTTTTCAAAAAGTTCAAATCGTAATAATATCTATTATTTACTGGTAATTTTATAATTTTCACCTTATAAAACAGTGAAATAGTCCAATAGGTCAGCTTTCGTCGCTTTTAAAGTTAACGCGTTTTCAATTAAACTGAATAAATTATTTTTCTTATTGGCATATATAATTAAAAACGAATTCAACGAGTACATACACAGATATTTATAAAATCGTTTGATACATAGTTTTGGGTGAGACTCGGGTTTTATGTATTTTTTAAATAAATATAAATGAAACAATAAGTGTATATTATGATATAGAAGTAACTTTTTCGAGGTATCATCCGGTTATACGCGAAATAATGGTGAAATAATCTCGGCAAAGTTGTTAAAAAAAAAAAAAAATGATAAAACCGGTATTTTAGATTTTGAGTTGAGCAAAAAAGCTCATGGTTTTACAAATATGTTTATTTTTTTTATGCGCGTGCAACTTTTCTACTAGAAATCTTGCATCGATTTTTAAGTGTTGCACCTTTTTTGAAAGGAAATCTGACTGGAATGGTACTTTAAGGTTAGGTTAGATTAGGTTGAGTTAGGTTAACCCCTGAGGTCATTGAGTTTATCATGAGTTTTCTTATCAAATGTGAAAAACCGACAAAAAAACTGAGGAAAAACCGGAAAATATAAGAAATGTAGGTATTGGTTAAAACTATTATGGCCTTCTTTTTTTCTATGAACAATTTCTCTATCAGCAATTTTGTAACGATTTAAAATGAAAGCACTTTTTCTGAAAAGAAATCTTTCTGGGAAGGTCATTTTTCGGTTTTTCCAGGAATTGCGATAAACCGGAAAAACTTGGGAAAACTTAGGAAAAATAGAAAATCGGTACATTAAATAAATACATAATCTCAATATATAGTTATGTGGAAACCCCTCGTTATGTACCTTGCCAGGATCGGTGATATTTTCTCACAAGTCTTCTGCTTCGCATTTTTTTTACGAGTATATAACTAGAGTCGACAACGTTCTACTTGTGTTCATATTCTCCACATATCTCTTTCTATTGCCATTTCTTCATCTATATATCTTCAATTATTTTCTAATAACTTCATCTAGCTACGTTTTTTGGAGGTTTTTCTATCGTTCCATCCACGCTTAATTCATCTATCTTTTTAATACTATCGCACCGTTTACTCCTTTTATCAACGTGTCCATCATATATCACCTTGATGTATTTTCTCTCGTTTTTTTCTGTTATCCTCTAGATACTCTTGGGATACCTTGTTTTTATATTATATCACACTAGACAATCATAAAATCTCATTTCTGTTATTTTTTCGTTCTCACGTTTTAAGTACGTCGGCCGGGTGATTTAGGTACTCACTTGTTTCAACTACAGTTTTTTTACGGAATTTTTTTCACTCCTTTTTCAGGATTTAACGTACCGGTTAAGCACTCACATAAAGACAAACATAGCGAGATAAATGTTTCGTCATTAGAGTTTCAGATAGTTCTCATTTCTCTTTCGAATATTACCGACGACTGGGATAATTATTGGAAAAGTAAATTTTAACGATGGTTATCAAATATAGGACATCGTTGGTTCCTAATAGGCTCAAAAGTTGATCGTACATACCAATAATGTTACCTGAGCTTCATTCAGAAGAGACTTTTGATACCTAGCAATAATTTATAAATTAATTAGGTACCCTATATCCTATACCTTCCAAAATTTTCGTATACGACAGTGGTAATAACTATCATTACATGTTATCCATGGTGCGAAGTACGTCTAGGTGAAGATAACAAAAACTTATAATGAAGGATTTAAATTATATTATAGTATCACACATTTTTTTTCGAAAGTTAATTCCGTGTAATAGATAAAAATTTAATAACAATAAAATAATAAAAAATGAAAATAAACCGCAACGTGAATAATAAATCTCCCGCCGTCCAACGTTTGTAATATTAATATTATAATGGATACAAAAAAAAAAAAAAAAAATATAATATTTTCTCTTTTAATGTTTCGCAGTGCGAACGTCATATTGGAATTATTAATTGTTTATTATATTAACGCGCACCGCATGAACGATCGAGTTGTCGATTTCCGCGATCAATCAAAAACAATCGTGGAATATTAAAATGCCAGGGGCAGTTTTTTTTATGTATAAAGATAAATTTGAAAATATCTAGATAAATATAAGGGATAATTTCTGGAATAATTATCTAGATGAGAATAAGGAATACATAACAATTTAATTGTCTAGATTAGATTGTCTAAAGATAAATGAGTGCTGAAAGTGGTAAAACTGTACGAGATTTAATACAAATCTATATTTCATAAAGGTTGTTTAAAAATTGATGTAACTTAATAATTTATTTATTAAACCATACTAATATAAATTAATTATTTCATCTATTATTTGAATAAATATGTAAATTAAGATTATAAAAATAGTCATCTAGATGAATTAATACAGATGGTTCAAATATTTATCTCTTTAATAACTTATTTTCGATCGATCTAGATAATATAAAATATAGACATATACTTGTCTAGATAATTTATTCAGATAAAACATAACACTGACCAATACTCAAGAAGTATAGTTTTTCCTCCAAACTGTTTTCGGTAGAACACGATCTATCGGTTTGACCGTTTTGATTTCGCGTTTAAAATATCATCGATAGGTACTATAAAAATGTTCTAAATGCTACTATAATAACCTAAAGTAAGTATTATAAGACAGGTAGATCCTATTTATTAAGAGGACGTGATAGGTAACGATAATTGTCTATGGTAAAAATGTGTTCGAGTAAAATAAATGAAAGCATCCTTCAAAGTGACTTTTGAATTAAAAAACTTATATTATGATGAAATGAATAGAAAACTGTAATATTAATTAGATTCAAGTTAATAATAGCCAAAAGTATAACAAGGAGGGTGTCTTGGGTGTTTGGAAATCCCTCTTCATTCATGTTTAAGTAATATAAATTTATTAAAATGTATATAACGTATAAACGTCAGAAATATGTTTTTGTTTTTTTAATATGTGGACATGCAACATTTCCTTTAAAAATTCCTGGTTACACCACTGATATGAGCAGGTACCCCATGGGCAAAATATTATTCCAATTTATTAATAATATATCTTTTTAGACATTATACATTTTGGTAATTTTAGCACACACCTTCCTATTTATTATGAAAACAGCTAGGAAAATAAAAAAATGACCTCCCGAAAGTACCACTCCGTCAGATTTCCTTTCAGAAAAATGCTTGAATTGAAAATTGGAGCAAAATTGCTAGTAGAAAAGTTGTTCACAGATAAAAAGTAATAAACATCATTGTAAAACCAATAAATTCCTCGCTCCACTTAGAATATAAAATAAGCGTTTTGTTTTAAAAATAATTCTATAATTTAATTTGCCCCCTATTATATCTACGCGCTTTAAAATCGTAGACGAATTAATACAAATTATACATCTTAATTATTCTTTACGGTTTTTATATTTGAATTACTTATATTTTTCGATTCAGTTGTTGTTTTTTTTTTTATAACAAATTGACTGCAAGAAAATAAAAACAAAAGTTAGGGATAATGTTATACTTAGTTCTGAATAACAGTTGGAATTGCACATTTATAATTAAACGAGAAAAATTATATTTCAAATCCGCGATGATCAAAGAAAATAATGTACCTAAAGTGGACATTTTACTTGTTTCGAAGGAAAAAATTACGCGCTGATGGGCGAGCACATAAATAGTAGTAGTATGTGGAATTATCACAAATCGTCAAGAACCGAAGACCATCTTTGACTGCGATTACTTTTTAGGTAAATAATAATGATACTATACTCTGATATCCATTCATATGTATCACTGATTATTTGTATGCCGAATGACACTATTGGTTATTTATCGTAGACAAATGTTAAAAAAAAATGCACACTAAAAATTAACTTCGAGAAAGACGTTTATTTAAAGCTGTATTTTAGATTTTTTTTTATAGATTAAATTAGTAATATTTCCAAAAATGCCGATGAAGTTATCACATAAACTAATTGTTTTATATTAGTTTCATAATATGCGTTTTAAATTTTAACAATAAAACCATTTCAAAATGTCTTTTCTTTTGTTTTGCTTGAACACGTTTTTCATCGTTCAGAAAGTTAAAAAATCATCAGTATATAACTTATATTAAGTATTTTAACCTCGTGCAATTGAATTATATGAATCGTTGACAATTTAAACTTTCTGAAATCGTTAAATATTATATTACCTGTGCTATTGTTTTGTTTGTTTTAGATATTGAACGGGAATCGATTGGAGGTTTTTGGACCCTTTTATTTTCTTTGTCGAGCGAAAAGTCGTATTTTTATTTTGGTATTGTATTCATATATTTGTATTGTTATAGAAAATGCGATATTTTCAGAAACAGTAAAATGGTCAAAATTGTTCGTGTAGCACATTTTTATGATCGAACGCAGATTGTGTACTTTAATTAAAATGTCGTTCTCCATAAAAGCGTTCTATAAGCGCGCGATAATGTAAAATTAGACCCGAAATTTACTATTAACTTAAAAATAAATCTATTTAAAACTATATTAGCAGCCCTCAAAAATATATTTGACATTTTTTTCTGTCCTTTTTATTTTGCGTTCACAAATAAGATTATGAAGCACAATATTGTAAAATCTGAGAGGTAAATAATTTCAGAGCGCCTAGAAAATTAAACTTTCTAAGATGCCCCATTGAAAAGTCGGTCGGGATAATTATTTTGCATTTCGATGAAGTGTTTTAGAAATTCGGAAGTTCGCTGAGTTTATATTATTATTTATGTATTTATTTAGGTTGTCACAAGGAGAAAAAAAAAGAAAAAGTATAATCCGGCAAAACAAATTTAAATTTTTGCTGTTTTAATAATTTCATTATGTTGATGTCTATAGTGTTTTTAAATACCTTATACTGAATTACAAAAAAAAATAAATAAAAATAAAGATTCCCTTTTTTACGCTTTTCCCCGTTATTAATAAAACTACAAGGGAAATCAAAAATGACCTTCCCAATATTTTTGTAACCAAGAAATTCTTGACTTCGTTTAGGCTCTAAAATAGAATAATTTAAGAAACAATTTCGGTAAAAATGAACGAAATAAAAAAAGTACTTTTAAATTTTGTGTTTTAAAATTTTCGTTTGAAAATTAAATAACAGATATTTTTTCCATCAGTTTCCCACTAACCGTATTTTTATTCTGAAGTCTATTTTTAAATTGTCATGTGAACTTTACAATATATCACCATCTAATTTGTATTTTGTTGTCTCTGTATTATTTTCGTTGTTACTATGTATTATTAGTATTATATAATAAATAACTGTGTTACTTGTAAACCAAACTCAAAATGTTACTATAAAATTACCTAGCGTTTATAAATAAATAAATAAATAAATAAATATTATAATCATTTGAGTTATTTTAGGGTATGGGTGAATTCAATTTATTTTCCTCGTGGATCACAAACAAAAATTATTAATTTTAGGGGCACTTAATTACTTCTTTACCGAACATCGAATCTAATGGTCTTAGGCAAGTGAACCAAAACTCAACTTTTTGAGACCTAAATATTTTAAGTACGATTTATGTTATATCGTCTGGTATACGTATACGAACGTCGAAACGTCGAAAATATGAGTACAATTCTATTTAAAGGTCGTGCAAACCTATTTAGATTGGTTGGAATTTATTATCGCCCCTTTAAATAATATATTTTCCCATTGGTTTTTATATTTATTATACGATAAAAATACACACTGCATCGTATAGTTATTGGTTTGATATATTATTATTGTTTCTATTTGTACTTACTTCGGAAGTAATTGATACAACAGCTCTTCACATTTTCTCTTCTCTTCCAAATAATCCACAGTTCGTTGGTCGACTAAAGTTTCTAAGTTGTTAGCATATTGCTCCATACGCGATAACAAATTGTCAAGAATATTGTTGCTTTCGTAATCTCTAAAAAATTAGAAGAGAAAGGTCGATTATTATAAAACAATTATTGTCTACCAATCATTTACAATCATTACTTTGTTACAAGTATCTGTATATAAATTAGCAAGATATTATCATTGGCTTTTAGTTCAATAACCGTTACTTTACAATTAGAGAACATTAGGACATGCGTAATAGATGTAAAAATGATGATGGATACAAGGTGGTTTGGTGGTAGAGAATAAGAATAAACTGATTTTGCGAAGAATAAAAGTAAAGAGGAAGAAGAAGAATCGGTCGTTTTAAGATAAAACGGTAAAAGATGTTGACTTCAATTATTTTTGCAAGTTTTACGAATTATATTATGCAAAAAATATGGTGGATATGTTTTTAATCTTGTTTAAAGCGTTTCGAATATTAAAAAAAAAAAAAAGAATATTATAGGAGAAAAAATGCGAATTATTATATTGACTGAGGTTTTTTTTTCGTTTACCGTCTGAGAGATTAAAATACATTATACTGGAAAATTAAAATGTATCTCTTATAATATATGAACAAACTTCAGGAGGAATTTGTAAACTTGTATTTGAAAGTTTTAAGATGACTTGTTATTCTATTTAGTTTTAATTATATGTAAAGCAGAATCAACTTGTTATACGTTTTACAGTATTTGTATTTATAAAATAATATGTTATGAATCGTTTAAAAGTAAATAAACGCATATCTAATTAAAATGGATTATTACCAACGTAAATATACGCACTGTAATGATATTTAATAATAATTATTTTCTTTTTAGAAGTATGTACAAGTATGCACATATGGCAACTAATTATACAAAATAACGAAAATATTACCAGAAACAGAAATAAAATAGTAACTAATTAAGAGTCCTGCTCGTGGCTCTTTACAAATTGTTTACATTTCCAATTAATTAGTCTAAATATTATTAACAAATAATTCTATTGGTTTTAGTTTTTATATTACGGGGTTTGTGCGAGATCTGTTTTTTTTCTCAAATATGTTTTACAAGAAAAACTCTCAAGCTTCGAACAGTGATCCGTTTTTAAACGTTTTTTTTTTTTTTTTTTTTGTCAGGAAGAAGAACATTTTCCATAGGGTGAATTCAATTTTGGTTGTGAAACCAAAACCAAAAAATATATGAATTAAATAGAATATTGTGAAAATTGGTTTTATTCAAAATTTAGCCATTACTTTTAGAAATAAAATTTCCAAAATCCAAGTATAATGAGTTCTAGTGATTAAAATAGTGATAACATTTTACGGAACTCGGGTTTGAACTTACGAACGCTGGAATGACATAAGGTACTATCATCAGACTACGACATACATACTATGAAATCGTCAATATTAAATTATTTAACACATATAACATCCGCATAATTAGAACTTAAAAAAAGCTATGATTTCGAAACTAAGTTAGTCCGCTCAATTCTGTCTTAAGCGCACATTTAAAAAATAATGGACATACTTTGCATGATGGGTGGATTACTGTTATAGGTGAGAAGTTGGGAAGGCAAATTGAATGTATATCTGTACGCAACGATTAACCATTGCTAACGAAAAACGATTCTGAGCGGAGTTCAATTAGTAATGTTGCTTTGTCAACAATATATATATGCCATATTATGATAAAATAATTACATATAGGTATGCATTGTATATTTTCTTTAATAATATTTGTTTAATATTGTTCCTATTTTCTCACTTTTCTTATGTTTTTTCCCGGTGTTTCCCATTTATTATGAAAAAAACTGGGAAAATCAAAAAAAAAAAAAATAACTTCTTTAAAGTACCACCTCAGTCAGATTATCTTTTAGAAAAAGTGCTACACTTGAAAACGGGAGCAAAATTTCTGGTAGAAAAGTTGTTCGTGGAAATAAAAGGCCATAATGTTTTACCTTAAGTCGGCTAAACGATGACCACTTTGCGAGCCGAATCTACATTCACGTGTCGAAGATCGAGTTATCGGAATTCATCTTAACCGAAGCCAATCTCTGGTATAATTAATAAAATTGACCTTGAGTAATCACACAGAAATCGTGTCACAATAGATAAGGTGCGAATTGTTGTAGTGATAATATATATTATATAATCCGATTTATTTATAGGTGTTAATTATAGCATCTATGCGTGGCGCATTTTAAAACCGAATATAAGAGTTAATGATTTAAATGCGAGAGTCCTATCGGGGGAACGTTATCGCACAGCTACGCAAAAACACGTTTATGCCGAAAAGTGTGTAATAATCAAATCTAGTCGGGCGTTCTAGAGTATAAATACTGATAACGCATTTTAAGACGAGTCTGGAGCTGTCAAGGTGAGCCCCTTCACGCCAAATTGTTTTATGAAAACTAACACAAGTGTTTGAATATTTTTCACGATTAATAAGCATATAACTATTAAAAATTGTGTTCATAGTTTATGACTTTGATCATAAGTTCACCCGGAATTTGATGTAAAACAGTTGCCCGCAACATAGTAAACGGACGCGGATTAACACTTTCGGATCAGGCGATATCAATTCTGATTGATTAATCTAATATTTGGTTTATTTTTATTAACTTAAAATAACAAAATTTGCAAACACTATAAGCTATTAACTACTACTTTTTTTTGTGTCAACATTTTAATTTTTCTTTTAAAAAATTATTACTTATAAACACTTATATAAATAAAGAGAAAATATGTATTTTCAATAATAGCACTGTTACGGCGCTACTCGACATTTACGTATTTTAGTTTTATTTGCATTATAGATGACGTTTTAGGCAAATATAAAAATTATTATTAATTATTATTAGTTCCGATTTAGGAGCTTAGTATTTTTAGATTCGGAGCGTAACGTGGGATTGACTATGATGTGTTTTTTGTTTGTTTGTAAACAACTTGTCAATCAAAAATCTTGTTCTGAGTATCAAATGTAGTACCTTTTTTGAAAGGTTATTTTCTAGTTGGTCATTTTTCTGATTTTTCAAGGGATTTTAAAAATAATTTAGAAAAACCCGAAAGACAATTATAGGTAAAAGGGAAAATATTTACGGCACGTCGCGGCGTTGCTGTTTTTAATTTTTATTACAACTTATGTTCTCTACCAAAAATATTGCTTCGATAAAAAAATAACAAGAGACCAATTTTCTTCATTTTAATGTATAACCACTGACAGAGATAGTTGTTATTTGATATTTAAAGTAGTTTTTTTAATTATTGGATAAAACCGAAAAATATAATTTTTTTTTTCAAATTATGGCACAACGATTTCATTATTTAAAACTTGTACGGACTTAGTTTTCTATCATAAATATTGCTTAAAAAAAAGAACAACAAGAGATATTTTTTGTTTAATTTTTAATCTAGTCCATGGTTAAGTGATATTATTTTAAATTTTGTTTTTTTATTGTAATGCAGTTCGTGGAGATTTGAAATTTGAAAGAAACCTTATCTTTGCTTTTTATAGACGCGGTCAAATTTTAAAAATATTTGAGCTATTTTTGAGATATCTATAAACATTTTAATTTTGCGAGTTTTTAAGTAATTTTTATTTGATATGTACTCTGTAGTAAACTATTTGATAAACAGAAATGTTTGAAAATTTAACAGGAGGTTCTTTATAAGCCATACTTAGTAATTAAAATACATTGTAAATGTAAAATATTATATTTACATTATATTTTTTTTATAAGAATTTTAAAATTAAATTTTAACGAAAATAGTAAATATTATGGCCTTTCAAAACATGTTCATTTTTCACTTCGAATCGTTTTTCGTTAGCGGAGTTTTATCGTTGGTGACAAGTATACATTTAATATCTTATGTATCACACTTTCCTAAATAATTACCTAGAACAGTGGCCGTATCCGTCCCCAGTATCAGCTCTGTTTTAATTTTCATGTTATACCAGCTATGTCAATGCATACCGCATTGCGTTTCCTAGTACATTTTTAGTATTTTGTTTGGTTTTTTCGGGTTCGTATTTCTCGTTATAAAAAAAATATTGAGAACACCGCAGCAGTAACAGAGTTAGAAAGTATGGTTCAAAGTATAATTATCCCCAAAAGAACGGTTTTTAATACTGTATGCATTTTTTTTTTTTAAATTTAAGCACGAAGTATTACGCATTTTAAAAATTGTATACATTTATTTACCGTAATAGAGGATTGATCATTAAAATAGAAAATAAAACTCCGATTAAAAGATTTTCGATACTTTTATTGCGAAACAGTCGTAGTAATATACTAAATAAATAATTGTTTGTCCGATTTGTGTATTAATATATTTATAAAATTCAAAAGTACAAAATGATTGAATGTAAGTACGAAATAAATAAAACAATGCCGCTATATTATAAAAAAAAAAAATCTAAAAAAATAAGAATAATAAAATAAGTCTTAGAACCGATTACTAATTCCAAAGGAAAAACGATGGTTTAAAAACCGAAAATCGGTTACCGATTTTATTTTTGAAAAGTTTTAAGCGATAATTCGTTAAGGTAACCGAAATAATTAAGCATGACTGACCAATAACAAGTAACCTTTTGTTTTTATGCAATGGCTATATCACATAATGTATTTTTCTTTCCGCTCTGTCGGACGGGAAGGAAAACTCATCTAAAACGAAACACATTAGGCGTATCGCGTATTTAGGTCGTGCAATTTTCGGCAAACAGTTTTGTACTTGGTTGAAATATGGTAAAACTGTTTTATTTACCATATAGCATACTACCAATGAATGAATGAATGAGTTTTTAATTGTTGTCTATTCCGGCTATTTTTGCTAGTTTAGTATTTTCATTTTGATTTAATAATTTTCTCGTGGAGTTTTTTCTGATTTATCTTTAATTAGTTGTTGAAGTAGTCAAATATAATAATAATGGATGAGTATTACAATTCTAAATAATTATTGATAAGGAAATCAAACATTTGTTTGCATGTATGTCTACGAGTATGAGGTGTCCATTTTAGAGGCAAAGCGTAGCAAGGGATCTATTGATTTTACTATGATGTGTGTGTGTGTTTTTTTTTGTGTCCGTGAGTAAATTTTCTATCATAGTATTTGTTCCAAAGTATCAAGTGTAGCACATTTTCTAAAAATTAATTTTATCTAGCTGATGCATAGAACAAGAAAATTTACAAAAATAATGTTTTTATTATTTTCAATTTTGTTTTTTTGTTTTTTTTTTTTTGTAATACAGTTTATAGAGATTTTAAATTTAGACATATACCTTATTTTTGCTTTTTATAGACGTGGTAAAATTTTTAAAATATTTAAACCATTTTTGAGCTATTTATAGACATTTTAGTTTTACGAGTTTTTTACGTAATTTTTATTTGATAAGTAATCTGTGGATACAATTGTCACACTAAGCAAAAATGTTTGAAAATTTTATTGGAAGTTCATTTTAAGTAGTACTTGTACAAAACAATTAAAAAAAAATTAGTATAATGTATTTTTTGGTTTTTTTTTTTTAAAAATTTTAAAATCAAGTTTTGACAAAAATCGTACGGACTTTTAAAATATGATAAACAAACGTTGCTCTGATAGTTTTTAGTAATTGCACTTCTTTAATTTGTATGTTTTACCAGCTATGTCGCTGTGCAGTGCATTGCGTTTTATATATTTTATATTAATACAGTGTTCCAGATTCGTACACCGAATACAATGATCACCGCGTGTACTAAACATTGATATTATTAACAGTGGAATTATTGATTTTTGAAAAATTCCTCGGGTTTCCGGTGTTCACATCTCTCGGTTGCAACGATTTTATATTTAAAATGTGATGTCGTCTTTGGATAGTTTAAATATTTGTATGTGACCTATATGTTTGTGACATATGGCTACCTAAGTAATATATGTTTATTGTAACGACACGTTGTGTAGAAAAAACTGAAGAGAAAAACCATCACCACCACGGAAAAACCAAGGAAATTCGTTGTTTAAACCGACCTCCCATCCGCCAAAAGTATAATAATTTATCTAAAAAACCGTGAAAGTTCATTGTAGTATTTCCGGCAGATTTTTTCTTACCACGTGTCGACGAAATGTATCGAATGAATAAGGCGGTAGAGTTCTACAATAATCAATTATCAAAAATGTGTCACTGAATCTACATGCTTTTTTCCCCTCCTTGTTTTTATTGAAGTATATTTAAAAATAAATTTGATAGCATGAAAAAAATAACATCACCATAATAAATTTTTAGGAACTTGTACGAAAACCTTGAAGGAACGTACGAAATTGTATTCAATCACCTATAGACACTAGACATAGTTACTAATCGAAATCGTTAATTAATTTAATATTTCAAAATAAATTATATAGTTAGGTCGTATATCCAAAACTGGTTTAAAAATAATAATAGTGACAAAGTGGATACTCTCGACATAGCAATTCTGAGTGTGAAATTTACCAACAACTAAATATACATACGTATATTTACCGTTTATTTTTCTATAAACTAATAATTATTTATGAAAATATACTATTTGTTCGAATGGTGTTTTTCAACGGATGTTGCTAATCAATTTATTATTATTATTATTTTTTTTTTTGAAACACTTAGTAAAATTAATTCTCGAGTTTAACTGTGTATCGATTGAACATTTATACTGACGGTAAGACAGTTTTACTGACGTTATTTCGATTAATTTTCCAATTATTTTAATACACAGGGTGATTCACTAAGCTTGTCCACCCCATTATTTTGGTTGAATTTTGCTTACACTTATGCTCCTTATCTATATTTAAAAGTGGAATATCTCGTTAACGGATTAACGGAAATCAAACATTTTGACACCAAAATGTATTTAAGTAATACTCCGTCTATTTGTGTAATTTTTAAAATAGGTTCTCATTTGAAAAACCAAAGTTGGTATCACCACAGGATACTCATTAAATATTGTGAAAATTTAAGTATTCGAAAATATCGGCTTTAACTGTACACTCAGAAATTCCAAAAATCAGAATTTGAATATAATTATGCAAAATATAACTAAAAAAAAAAATGGGGTGAGCACGCTAAGTGAACCATCCTGTATAAATATATATATATATATATATGAAAGCATTATATAGAAATTATATTGTATGCAAAATCTAAAGAAACATACGTATATATAAATACAAATTGTTTTACTCAAATTTTGTCCATTTTTCGGGATAATTGACGTTCATCGTAGCCGAATCAACGCGTATAACGATTTTTTCTCTCCAAAAGTTAACATTTTAAAATTATTTTTGGTTTGTGTTGTATCCCGTGTTGTTTTTACAGGCCTAACCTACTAAAGTTACTCATTTACATTTAAATAGTCGGTTTTGTGGTTAGGAAATGTTTTTTTTATATAACATTATGAGCATTATGGGATGAAAAGCAAATTGGTTTAAAATGAAATTCTCTATATTTCAAATTAAAAACATAATATGTAAATAGATTTCACGCTGTTTGACGTCAGAAACAATTTTCTCTGGTATAAATTTAAGCGATCAGAACAATTGAATATCGCCCGCCAGTTATTATTTTATATGAAAACTTGTCACGGGTTTGAATTTTTGAAGTGTCGCAAAATTACGAATCGAGTTTTAAAATTAATTGAATTTTCGAGCGGTAAGACTAATATGCTATTATATTATTATAGAACTACATTATATCAATATAAATCGGTGAAAATTATTTGAGACATGTGAACGTGGTGAATGGTAGCGGTATAAAAAAATAAAAAGAGTTAATATATATGTGGGTGTGCTACTGTTATAGGTAGGTAGGTAGTTGAGCAGATAGAATTTATGGAGTTATTTAATGTATGTCTGTAGGCAATAAATAAATCAACGGTAACAAAATACAATTATGAACCTAGTTCGGTTGTACATATGTTAAAATGTCGTGATTTTTACGATTTCCATCAAAATTTGAAATTCAAAAAAACTTGTAACAAAACTTATGTACTTCATTGAATTAAATATATTTTAAGCACTTAGTTTAACTTATAATAAACCTCGTGTACAATTTTACAACATTTCTGCTCTGTCAAAACAATTTATCTACAAAAATTTAAATAAAACTAAACAAATTCAAAAATGTCAAATAAATAAATAAATTAAAAATCCTTAGAATATTTAAAAAAAATTATCACTTTAAGAAAATATATTTATTACATACATACATACATATTTTTAGTTTTATCACTTTTAGAAAATATTAATATGTAAGTATTATGTCAACATTTTAGCTTACTACGATTGTTTTTAACTGAATTACAATAAAAAAAAGCAAAATCGAAAGTAATGGAACCGTAAATAAAATCCAGAAACCTTTTCGAAGGCAGCATAAATTATTTAAGACATTTCATTTTATATTCTTTTAGTGTTAAAAAATGTAGCAATGTACTTGCAGTACATAGATGGGTAAACTTTGTGGAGATTTTTTTTGTTTTATTTTTTAAAGGTAAAGTGAAGAATATATTTGTTTATTTATATTACCAATGTATTGTATCTTGCTATGATATGTGCGATTTTTTTAAAATAATTTTTTGTGCCTGATTAATTTTTATACCAGAAAACTTGCTCCAAACAAACAACGACAAGAAAGCTTTTTCTTGGTATAATATTGCATCTAGTTTGTCGTTAGTAAGTCGTTTTTTGACTACCGGTGTAGTTTTCATTATACATGGGAAAGCAGGGAAACACCGTTTAGGAATAAAGGGCAATTTTACGATAGTAAAAGTTTTTGAAACCTTGTACCAAATTTTATGTGTATCTTTACTAAAAAAATTTAGTTTAGTTTGTGGATAGTTTTCTTAATAATTGGAAAAAACCAGGAAAGTTCATCGTTTTATTATTTTTGATTTTGTTTTTTTTTGTTGTAATTCGATTTTATATAATCAAATAGTGACCTAAAACTTTTACAGAATTCTTATATTAACTTTATAGTTGTAACTTTTTTAAAAGATATTGGTCGTTTTTAAGTTATTTATAGGCATTTGATATTATCGAGTTTTTGTTTGTTGTATGTGAATAAAATAGTTTAGACGAACAAGAATTTTTGACATTTTAACATAATGTTCATTGTAAGTAGCACTTAGTGGTTAAAATATAATTTGAGTGTAATGAAGTAGTTTATTATTATTATTCATTTTTTCCAAGCGAATCAAATTTTAATTATAACAAAAAATCACGATATTTTAAAACGTGTATAACTGAATTTCACTCAGAATCGTATTCCTAACAATAAATTATCGTTGTGTGTAGATATAAATTTAAAACTTTATGGTTCCTTATCCATTAGCAGTATCTAATTTTTTAATTGTTTTCCCCGAAATTTTCGATTTGATTTTAACGCCAAATGAAAGAGCAATCTGTTAAGTCGGATGGCAAATGCTTTACACAAAACACTATTCAAAATAGTATAAAATAAAAACAAACGATACGAATAGTCACGACTTGTCAAAAAAAAAAAAAGAAAGCAGACAAAGAGAAAGAGAAAGCATCATTCGATAATATTATTTTAAAAGGAGAAAATATATTTGTTAAAATGCTTCGGTCTGCGATGAAAATTATAGAACATTGTTGGTTGAAACGCGTATTTAACTCGATAAAAGTTAAAATTGTTCGTGATTTAACTATAAAATATCAAAAAGCATTAGTTTCGAAACACTATTGTAATACAATTATTACTATTACAGTGTCCATTTACTTCTAATTCACAACGATTAAACGATCCGTGTGTTATTTTTTCTTCTTCAAGTTTCTTCTATACTCCGGTCACGGTATATTGTGCGGCGCATTGTAAACATATTTTAATTTAGGTTATATTAATTATTATTATTATTATTTTTAGATTATAAGTATAGCGAAGGAGTTATATTATAATATTTATTAAGATGTGTTTTCTTCTGAAAAACATTGTTTTGGTTAGGAAAATGTTCGATTTTTTGGCTTAAAAGGTTCAGGATTCCTGCCTTCCGCGGCGGTACTTTTTATTTAAAACGCTTTTTGAAATTTCTGCAGTTCACTTTTAAGGTTATTTTTCAGTAAGTAAAAATCATGTGGTTAAAATATACGGATTTTTCATTCAATGATATTTTATTTGAAAAAAGTCCCATCAGTTTTTCTATAAAATTAAGAAAATTGACGAAAAATGTCGATCAGTTTAATGAAAAAACTTGACTTATACTATTACACTTAGAATGGTTTTTTGATTACAACCATTTATCGTTGCTTTCAGTGTATGAAAAACTAAATAACTATTTATCCTACAACTTTACAAATTCCCCACGTTTTATGGAACCCATTAAAAGAAGGCCACCCTTGACTGCTGGTTTCAGCAGATACATCGGAAAGTATTAACTTCTTAACGAAATTGTTTTATTTGCCAATTTAAAAAATAAATAGCTCTAAAATATACACTATATAGTTCTAATTATAGATATTAAGATATCGCACTGATCATTTATTTGTGGAACAGCTTGTATAGTATTTTCAAAATGCAAAACACGTTATTAATGTATATTCTTATTATGAAATCTTACATGTCTGGTTTTAATAAATCACACGGTAAAATAGTTAGGATTTTATATTATAATACTCATAACTAAAATACTAACTATTAAAGTAATGCGGCTTTGTTTGTCTGAATGGAATTCGTAACAACCGTAACTACCTGGTTGAATAATCGAATCGTTACAAACACATAATTTTCTAATTACTGATATAGGTAAGTATAATAAAGTTACTAATATATTATCTATTATTAGTAATGCATTATTTGAATATATTGTTAATCGAATAATTCAAATGAAAGTTAATTACCAAAATCTCATATGGTATATTTATACTATCAAAGCATGTCTACGTATTATTATTTGGAAAATATCGAGTGTTTTTGTTTTGCTTAGGTTAAACCAATCGGTTTTCTAATATAATTTATGTATAGAAATGTGTTATACGATTTATATAGGATCTACGCCAGAATTATTACTTTACCGATAACATTTGGAAATGATTGATATACAAACTGTACAGATAGATAACAGAATCTGGACGGATGGATCCGAAATTGGCCTTTTCAATCCCTTTGGGTTATTGTAAAAATTCGGAGGGAGAAGTTGTGAAGCAAAAAGAGAAAATATATGTATATATTTTTTACATTAGTTTAATCTCCACGAAATACATTTTCACAAAAGGTCCTTAAATTTTCAAGCCATTCGATTTTAATTTTAACAGAATGTACATTTACCTATATTATTATTATGAAAAAAACATTTTATTACTTGAACAAAAAAAAAAAAACACCCAGTTCAATTCAATTATTTTTCAATTTATAGCAGTTTTTATCTTTTTAAGAATATTTAGGGTATTTTAAAGTGTCATGCAAAAGATATTGTTATGCTGCTATTTACATTGAAATAATAAGAAAAATATGAAGTACCTATATTATTATTATGAAAAAAACATTTTATTACTTGAACAAAAAAAAAAAAAAAAAAACACCAGCTTTTATAAGATAAAATTATAATATTTTTCAAACGTTTTGTAATAATTCTCGCTTAAACGAAAAGCTATCGCAGTGAAAATCTATTTCTACACATTTAGTAAATTTTCGTAAAATCTTATAGAGTCCGGAAAGTACGATAATAAGTAAATCGAAGACTGAAATGATAATGTTTGTCTTTATCTGTGTACAACGGAGACTTTTCGGGGCTATATGATCGCCCTGTGTAAATACCGTAGATGGGCATTTGATATCTTTTTGGGAATAGCTCTAATCAAATATAATATAAGTATAAATAAAATATCAAACATACATTTTTGATGGACCTAGTCTTCCCCTAATTTCCGTCCATATGTCCATATGATAAAAACGGAATTACACCGGTAGTAAAATTGAGTATAAGACGTAGTCAGTCACGAACTCGAACTTTGCCGACATCACCTTCGAGAGACACACCGGACACACGTAAAATATTATCCGTCCGTGGCGGCGGTTCTAGTCAACTAATCCAATATTATAGTATTATAACTCAAGTAATATATACGTGCATTGCCTATATCGAATATCATTTTAACGTTTGGCTTTAAATAATATGATTGCTTTCAATTTTCTTCTTCTTTATCATCGTTATATTTTATTCTTATCGGACTATAGTTTGCTGCAATCGATATTTCCGTATTGTATATTTTAAGATAGTTCCTTTAGTTCATTCAATTACGTATTTCCTATAAGGCACGAGTACTATTTCTAATATTTCGTGGTACAATTTTTAAACTTCAACTTCTATACTGGTTGCGGGTGCTCACACTTGTGACTCGGATTAAAATCCGAATTTAAAATTATAGTAAGAATACCTACGTTTAAACGATTTTTATGACGTAATATCATCACTTTGTATTGAATTCGGTTTTAACACCTCCTGGCAATACACCTGGAGAAATTTCAATCAAACAATTGTTATGCATAATTATATATACATAAATATTATACATTAGGGTGGTCCTTATCCTGTAGATGTTGAAAATAAATGTAAAATATTTAAATTCACGGACTCGGAATTCTGTTAGGTGCACTGTAGAAATAATTTTTTTAAATTTTGGGTATGATAAGTCAATCCATTCACGTGCCTCAAAGGGACTAAAGTTAGTAAAAAAAGGAGTAGTTTTTATGTTAATTTTTTGGAATTTTGAATGTATAAAAAATGTATCAAAAACTTTATTATAGTAAAAAATATGTCCGACATAATAGCTTTTTTTTAAATTTCAGTGAAACTTATACCGTTGTAAGCGAAAAATCAATTTAAAAGTTGTTAAACTTTTTGTCAATTGTTCGCGGTCGTTTCGTGTTATTTCATATTTCCGTGAAAATTATTATTCTAGGCAATTAGGTATACACTGGATATATTTTTTCTACTGTTAAATTCATCGGATATATCGACAGAATATATTTTATTAGCCGAGCGCATATACCATAAATAATGTACCTATATGTATATTATTCATATTATTCAATACATATAATACAAGTCGAGGATTACCATAGATCACAGAACAGCTTATATTTTATTTTTATAAATTATGTAATTTTATTAGCAGAGCGAATACTTTCCTTTATACAAAACACGATCAACATGCATATTATTCTATATTCGAGTTAGACAGTATTTTTCTACAACTCTGATAATATTACCATCCGTTATTGTATCACTAGAGTATAATCTATTTTCATAAAGTATTAGCGGAGCGTAGGTACATATTTAAACACAGTAATAATTATAATACAAATACTATATAATAAATAATCCGAATACCATAACCGGTATCAAGACTACACTGTTAGTAAGCCGTACAGTAGTAAACGTAAACATTTTTTCAACCATTACAACCCTCGATTATATAGACAGAATATATTTTATTAGAGGATTATACAAATAATATACACAATATGCGTACTTCTGTATTAGATGGTATTTTTCTCCAACTTCAACTATTGCAGCTCTCGATAACTATTGTATTGAGATATTATTAGCGGACGGTACACAATAATAATATACATACACAATTATATATCTTTATAACATCACCGATCGACAACATTATACTGTTAGTAAGTTTTACTACTACCTACTGTAAATGCACTCACCAAGTATATGTTGAAAATACATTTTTTCAACTCTGACTATTGTTACCAACGATAATTATTATGCTGACAGTATATATAAAACACACAATTTAATAATAATAATTTTTTGAGAGCATATTTTAGTGCATTTTAGGTTGTTTTCTTAAAGCATATTTATATGCATGTTTGCGCGCTTTTTTATAGCTAGAAGTCCCTAAGACTAATCATTATTTTTCAATATAAAAATTGTCTATTGATATATAAGTATTTAAGTATACAGCTCCGTGAATGTACACCGCTACAGAATACACAAATTGCATCACAAAAACAAAATAAAGAAGAATAATGTTTTTAATTGCACGAGCTTGTTATTTTTATTAATACATTTACAGATGAGCTGCACAAACAATATATTTTATTTAATGGACAGTATACATTTTAAGAAATTTAAGCAAAAAATATTTTGATTAAGGAAACTAATATATATATATATATATATATTAATTATAAATATTATGATTGATGTATGTAAACATATACTTTTAAAACGTTCTTATTAATTTGTTTACAACGTACATGGACCTCCACATTTCCAGCATCCGTTACAGTCTTCATCCTTTGTACAACTGACATAATTATAACTTTGAGAGTAGGTTTTGGTTGTGTAGCACCATTGATTTCCCAAACTACAATAAGACCAACAGTAGTTTTTGTGACAACCGAATTCACGACATGATTGATCAGCTGCCCTTGAAATTACTGATACCAGACCTCCAGTGGCAGCAATCACACCACCAACTCCTGCCACTACAGGTGCAAATGGACCTGTTGCTAATGCTCCTGCGGATATAATACCACCGGTAGCTGCTATTACATCTCCGGCTGTAGCAGCTCCTGCAGCTGCATGATCCGTGTCTGATCGCTTGTTTAAGGTATGTCCACCGATTATTGAAGAAATTTGTACGTCATCCGTGTTTGATCGCTTGGTTAAAGTATGCCCGTCGGCTACTGAAGAAGGATGAACAACATATGCACACATTACCACAAACATGGCAATAACAAACACATTTGCAAATTTGCAGGGTACCATTTTTTAAAATTAGTAAACTAAAAACCAAAAATATAAAAATATATCTATCAGTTATAACTGTGTTCAATAGGTATTGGTATGCAACACTCTGTTGTTGGAAACTCGGTGTTTGCCATTTAAATATTAAAAACGGTCGAATTTGTAATCGTTATTTCAATATCAAGCAATAATTGACATAAATGATAACCTTTATCTTAGTCAGCCCAGTGCAATGGGACTGTACTGTATTTTGTTGATATCTAAATTACGTGCTGTAATACGCTGCAAATTTGTAAATAAATGTGGTTTCAAAAATTATAAATGTGTACCTATTATACCTATTATTTAATATCTTTTAATATGCTCATTGATAGGTGGAGTAATATAATATATAAATTAGCAATGTATACGAGACTGATAAACATAATATTATTATAGTAGAATCTCGATTATCAATTCCTCTATTAACCTTATACCGCGATTAATCGCTATTACTCGTGTTGTGTGCTGCAGTAAAATCGTATCGTCTAATGTGCGAGCTTGTTTAAATGAAATTTTCCGGCAATATTAACTAGATAAGTTATTTATAAATTTTATGGAAGAGATAAAAACAGTATATTGCGATAATTATTTAACAAATAATAAATAATGTGTATGTATATTTTAAAAGTTTGTTTCTTGTTTAACCGTCTTTTCGATTATTTGTCAAGCTTCAGGTCCCGAGTCTGACGGTTAATCGAGGTTCCACTATATTTTTACATCATGGGTGTTGGATGAGGGAGAATTCTCCCCAAATAAGTGTAAGTGTTTTAGTCTTCTTATTTGTATTAGATTCTGAGTGGAGTGAAGAAGCTTATATAGTTGTTTAAGTTTTACATAGATGTTTATTTATCTATTTTATTTGTTCATCTGTGCGCAACTTTTCTACCAGAAATCTTGCTCCAATATTTAAGTGCAGCAACTTTTCTAAAAGGAAATCGGACTGGGGAGATACATTAAGTATGTCATTTTTCGATTTTCCAAAAATTTCCCCCAGAAAATGTGAAAAACCGGGAAAAGCGCGCTCCGACAATAATATAATATATTTGATTGAAATAAAATATATTCTTTCAATACAATAGTTATCGAGGGCTGCAATAGTTGAAGTCAGAGAAATACCAACTGATACAGAAATACGGATATTATGTATATTATTTGTTCCTTATGTGATTCTCATATTGTTTATCATTTGCATAAATGCTTAAACTCAGTCAATAATAAATTTGCACCGCTATTTAAATACGTTGAACAAATATTGTCTCCCGTTTTAAATACGTCTGTGCAATGGCATTCATGTTACATTCCTGCCTGGCAGTCTCGGGTTCGAATCTCGAATGTGTTGTCCCATTTCTTACTCTATTTTTACTTTTGTTTATACCTACTAATTATTATTAATTTGTAGATATGAATTTAATCTGTTTTATTCACTTTTTACTTAAAGGCTTACACGCAACGTCTCCCTTACACATAATTAACTTTAAAAAAACTTTCAACATTGCAAGTAAATGGGAAATATTCCATTGAGGGACAGAAAAAAATTAGATTGAAAGGAGGAGAGGAAAAAGAAGTGTTGGAGTAAACAGCCGGGAAGGGCTATGGATTGGGATAGTGTGTTACTACAGTCATTTAATTTGGCACGGCCAACGCGGCACGTGGGTTAACTATGATAGTGGCTGGGGTGTACAACTATAGTGGTCCAGACGGAACAAAATCAAAAAATATTTATTATTACATGGACACGGCGGGAAAAACTTTTTTATTGCGTGAAAAAATCCGGACGAAACAGCTATTTGATTATATTTATCGGCTCACTATGAAACGCTATAAAATCGTTCAATTAGATTATATTACATAATAACTCGAGCGAGGCCAACGTTTAACGCCAATGAAAAAGGTAAAATATATTGCGTTCTATAATAACGTTTGAATAATCAATCGAATTCGTTTTTGCCGGGCACCGTGTATTATATTAATAATTATAATGTTTAATCGATTTTGGTATATTTTGAACGTATTTTATGTCGATGAAAAACGGCACGGATCTAATTAATTTTCAATTCAAACGAATAAACCAAAAAACGTACATATCTAACTATACGACATATTATATTATATATGGAATCTGTGGCAACATATTTCGTTCGACCGACGAATCTGACATGCGGTCGGTCCGTTATATTTTATGTGCTCTAAAAATTAATGTTTCCCGTTCCACCGTCGTCGCCGTTAAGTTGAAAATTATATTTATATATATATACGCATACACGAAATATCGATCGCGGAGATAAATTAGAAGCCGCCATTAACGCGTAAATGGTATAGGGGCGAGTATATAATTTATCGGTCGGTAAAGGTACCTTGTTTTTATTATTACTATACGAGTCTATAAATATACTATAATTAGGTACCGTAGGAAACAGAATATGGCCCACTCGCGAAATGTAAACAAAAACAAATTTTACGTTATTATAAAACGAAAAGTCCATAAAATTGCTCCAATTTAACGTCATTAGAGACGGCCGAGTATAGAAAAATGCACGACGGGAAATCTTTTCCCTGTACAAAACCGCTTTTTTTCAATACATAAAAGGCCGTTACTGGACAATTTTCAACAAAATTTTCCCGAAAATCGAAACAATTGTACTGTATTTTATTTGTTATAAATATTTAATATATACGTATATAGATTTTCCGGTAAATTTGGGCACTTTCAGCGGATGTCTCTGGACCGAATACACCCATTTTCGGTAATTCTAATCTTTTTTTTTATAGGCGGATTGAAGTTAACTAATATCAGATTTACTGTTTATGAGTTATAACAATTTAAAATTTAGACCGGAGGAGTAGGGAAGGGTAATAAATTGCCGTAGGGGTAAAAAATTAAAATTTGTATTAAAGCTTAAACAATTATGATTAAAAAAAAAACAGAAATAAAATTCACTTAAAATTCTCTGAGATAATTGCTGGCTCATGATAAAAAAAATCACTCTGTATATATATATATATATAGAGCTGTTGTCGAGGTTGTGCATTTAAAAGGTTTTAACTTCCAATCCTTGTCTCCACCATTTATATGCATGTTAGCTAAAATCTCGAGAACTGTTTTACCTATTATGATGAGACTTTTTGATTCCTTATAATCATTACCGGAAGGTTACAGGACACTTTTTTACTGGTAAAAAAGACAGGGTATTAGAGAATAAAATAAGTTAAGAGAAAGGGTGGACTTGAATTATAGGTGTATAGTGAATATAAATCATAAATTTAATTAAATTAAGTATATAATATAACAGTATTAATCTTAGTGTCTGGTTCTAGCAACCAGAACTATTTTATAAATTTTTTTAAAAAAAATGAAATATTGTAAAATCGGCTGGGGAAAAATTTGCCTCTTGTGATCGAGCTTTGTTGATCACTTATATTTTTTTTAGGGGCAATATTTTTTTTTCCAATCAATTAAAATATGATCTTATTTTGTTATTTTGTCAAAAAAATTATATTTTAAAATATTTTAGGGTAAGGAGTATCAGGACTCCTTGATAAATGATGGGAAAATGCAACCTTGGACTAATGTTTCCAGCTGTTGAATGTTATTATTAAAAATTAGACATCAGGTTTTAACTATATTTTCTATCACGTTTAAAGATTTGAGATTTCATCATTTCAAATAATATTGAATCATAATTTATTAGAACGGTAAAATTATTTTATTCAACGGGATCTATTGCGTATGGGTACGGTATAATAAACCTTAATATTACATTGCTGTAGTAATGTTCTTTTTTTTTTATTCAAGAACATGACACCGCGTAACTGGTTGGCGTGACAAAGTAACATATTTTACATATTATTATGTATTATTATTTTAAAAATATTGCAAAGCCCAATTATTAATTTTTTAATTACTTAACATTTATTCGTATGTGTTGTTTGATGGATTTGTGAAATTATACAAGGGTAAAATTATGCACAACTATTCTATTATAGACGTATAATATAGTATTTAATTTCATACGTGGCTTATTGACAAATAATCATCGCATTAATACGGTCAAAATTACACAGTCACCGAAATAACTGGACATGTGTTTTTTTTTTTGTTTTTTTATAATTATTTGCTCCGTACGAATGACGAATATGGTTAAAAGATAATTATGTCAACAATTTAAAACATCCAAAAATTGCAAGTCATTTGAATTTTTTATTTTACTCGGTCACTGTCTAATAAAATATAGTATCACACAATAATCAATCTAATCAGAACTAGGTGGTTATTCTTATTGTACATACTTCGTCATGGATGATGAAACGTTTTTATCACAATTATAATGTCTCATCGTTATTGCGAAAAATAAAAAAAAAATGAACCGATAATTGTGAAGTATATGTGAGTACAATGTATATAATATATCTTATATATAAAATTATCGTGTCACAATGTTCGTTCCCATACTCCTCCGAGACGGCTTGATCGATTCTCATGAAATTTTATATGCATATTCAGTCTGAGAATCGGCTACTATCTAAGTTTGTATGCTCTGCGATAAGTGGTTCCGAAGTTATGGCCTCTTAAGTCAAAGTATATTATCACGCACGATATTCAACAATTATTATTTTGCCATGGAGAGATAATATACACTCTATGTGGTTATTTTTTATTATTGGTTTCCGTGGCACCCGCGTGCCAATAACAATTGAGAACGGCTGGGCCGATTTGGCTAATTTTGCTAACCTAACCTAACCTATGTACGTGTGTTTTGCACATATTTAAATGCCAACAAAACGCAAAGGGGCTGATTTGAACCGTAATACAAATAATACAAGCAATTAACTATAATACGGTACACGCGCTTTCCCGCTGTCGAGCGTCCCCACTCCCTGATAAGTTAGATTAGGCCTAACTTCCTTTGAAATCCATCAACCCCCCCCCCATTTAAAATAAAATCGAGGACAATGAAAATTTAAGAAACCAGGCTGTGATCACACGTACGAATGAAAGTCAAGAGCACCGCAATGAACGCCGTCGAGCTAATGCATTGAGACAGACTGGCCTGTCAACGAGTCACCGACACATTATAAAATAAAACTATTATAATTTTTATTATCACTATTATTTACACTATTCAAATATCACAATAGAACACATTTAGGCCGCCGCAGGTGGACTACCCACTTTCCACCTATTTGTTTTCATTCAATTCTAACATGGCCATTCTAAAACCAAAAATGAATATGGGTAAAATAATAATAATACAAATTGGCACGGGCAACGCCGGGCGCGGGACAACTAGTTATTATTATATTTTGATTTTTCTCGAAATAAGTTTATCTATCGGTAATAAATATCGATTATCGGGTGGTGATCTGGCAGGAGCTAGGGGGTCCCATCGGTCGTGGGGCCCTGGGCACATGCCTAAAGTGTCCAACGGGAGATAGGTGCCTGAAAATCAGTCATAAACTACAAAAATTAAGAGGTAGAGAATATTGTATTTCTAATTTACGGAAATAACGTAGACGTTGTCGAAATTTTCGAAAATTTTCGTTACGATGCCTTATATTAGATAATATCTTTACTAAATTTTATTTTGATTTTATTATCTTACATTCGTACGTCTCTACGAATATTTATCCAAAATACAACAAAAAAGTCTCTTATAATTTTTCCGTTAGAGAATTATTTTTGGTATAAAACGTTGTGCGTGTTTATTTAAAAATGTAAAAAAGGTCTATGTAAGAGATTACATCATCTGTTTTTGGCAGGTTAAAATAGTATTCATCATTAGTACTATGAACTACAGTTAGATACCTATTTTATTAATCTATGGATTATGAGTTATCTATTTTATTAATATATCTCAGTACTAAAATGTTATATACCTAGCCAATAAGTAATGTTTAATCCGAAGTGTTCCTGTGTTTCGCAACAATTAAGTGCGAATATAATTTTAAAAAAAATTAAATTTATGTATTAACTTTTTATCTATATAATAGGTCCCTACTATTTATACAAAGTTCTGAGTAAAAATATGACATGGATTTTGCTTAAATAAATGTTAAATATTCTAGTGACAGGTCCAAGTGGTAAATTGTATTAGATTGATACCTACATACGTTAAAGTTTTGATTATAAATTATTTGGTTTTTTTTTCAACGTTCCTATATAAAATATGGGTACACAAAAAATTAAATTTAGTTGGCATACAACTAGGTACAATGTACACAAGATCAACTCATAATTATCATAATATAATATTGTCTAACATGAATATTATTATTTTATTTTATCATTGCAAAATTTTATTTTAATATTTGTACCTACTATATTGTTTAAGTTTGTATGTAAAATAATTAGTTAATTATCTTATCTTTAGTACCTACCTTCCTATAGTTTCTTACATAAATTAATGTAGGTACCTACCTAAATTTGATTGATTTTATATTATAATTTCTACAGTTCTTATATCAATGCCAATCTTTTTTTGAATTATTTATTAACATAATATCACATTTAACTATAGCTATCTCTTCACTCTTGAACTAATAAATATAAATAAGAAAATTAATATTAGGTGACATACAAATATGGAAAGATGGTTAGTACAATCTATAATGATATCTGTGTTTGGATTTCTCAAAGATTTTCGGCCAGAAGATCCTTATACGATTCAATACTTGACCAACACACCAATGAATTTTACAAATGAAGAAGTAAGTTTTATTTTTTTTTTTGTCAATGCAATTTAAATAATTTTTTTTTTTTTAACTATAATGTTTACCAAACAGTAAGTATATTATTGTAAATAACATTGAGAATATTTGATTATCTAAGGCGTATTCTTAAATTTTGATCACTAAAAACTTTAATTATAATTATGGAATAGGTAGGTACTTAATTTATGTAGCTAACTCAATTACATTATATTTATACTTAGAATTAATGGTTTTTAAAAGATTATTTTAGTTTGTGATTTGTTTTATTATTTAGGTCACAATTTTGGACTTATAAAATAATATTTCTAATATAGTTTATATTTATAGTTATAGTTGTACTACAAATTACATTTTAATTTAATCAGAATATAAAAAATAATAAGTTATGATTAATAACTAATTTATTGATTTTTTAGATTCGAAGCGTAGTGAGTGAACTATAGGTTTTACTATGATGTATGTGTATTTTTTTTTCTGTCTGTGAACAACTTTTCTACCAGAAAATATGCTCCACTATGTACATAGTGTTGCAATATTTCTGAATGGTAAGTTTCTTTAATTGGTGCATTGCGGAGGTCATTTATCGATTTTCCAATCGGGAAAAACCCGAAAGAAAAGTATAAGTAAAACGGCAAATATTCACGGCGCGCCACAGTGTTACCGTTTTTATTGTTTTTGTTATGTTAACACAATATTTTCTACCAGAAATATTGCTCCAATCTAAAAATTACAATTTATCGATTTTGTTCCTTATAATATTTTGCCACTTACAGAGAAAATTATTTTACGATATCCAAAGGAGTTTTCCTAATGATTAGGAAAAACCAAAATAGACGAAATATATGATTTTTTTTTTGCAAATTTCTGCACAACGATTTCATTATTTTAAATTTGTACGGCTCATGTTTTCTACTATAAATATTGTTCCAATAAAAAAAAAACATCAAGAGATCTTTTTTGTTGAAATTTTAATCTAATTGGTGACCAAGAAAGTTGTTTTTTTTTTATTTTTGTAGTCTTTTTAATAATTGAACTTAATCGAAAAGTACGTTGAAAGAACAGGAGAATTTACGTAATTAATGATTTATTATTTTAAATTGTGTTTTTTTAATGTAGGATATTCAGTTAAAAATATTCGTAGAAATTTAAAATTTTGTAAGAAAGTTTATATTTATCTTTTTTAGACGTGGTAAAATTTTCAAAAAATTTGATCCATTTTTGAGTTAATTATAGACATTTTAATTTACGAGTTTTTACGTAATCTCTGCGGAAAAAATTGTTAAACTAAACAGAAATGCTTAAAAATTTAACAGGAGGTTCCTTAAATGTCGTACTTAGAGTTTTAAAAAACAATTTTAACGTCAATCGTAAATATTACCACTTTTCAAAATATGTGTTACCGAACTAAGCTCTGAATCGTTTTTCGTTTTCAATGGTTTTCTAAGTACTATTTTGATAGTTATGTTAGGTATTATAATTTTTTTTTTTCTGTTTGTTATATAGATTATTCAAGAAATATTTCCAGTGTCAACATATACATGTGTTAGTGTTACAGTTATTATATTTTTGGTTACTGATTACTTACGTTATAAACCCATTTTGATATTGGGTGCCATTTCAAGTGTTATCAGCCAAACATTTTTGATTTTTGCTAGAACTAAGATTAATATGCAGGTATGAAGACAAATATGTCTTTGAAATTATTAATATGGATATGTATTATATTAAAGTTACTACTTACTAACATATAATATTTAATTATTAATTCAATTTATTATTATTATTAATTATTTATTATTATTATTAATTATTAATTAATAATAATAATTTGACAAATATGATTATACATTTAAGTCTTGACAGTAAAATTAAATCAGCTTTAACAAATTTATCTATTTATATAATACAATCAAATATTTCTAGTTTTAAATTATATATTTCTGATGATAAATTTATTTGGCATAGATAATGGATTTCTTTTACGGTATTATGATAGCTTGTGATGTACCATATTATACATATATTTACACTGCAGTAGATAAAAAACATTATAAAATAGTTTCCAGTCATATGAAGATGGCCTGTCTTTTAGGTCGTCTCTCTTCGGCTGTGCTTGCCCAAGTACTAATTGATAATCACATATTAAAAGTGCAACATTTGAATTACTTGACACTAACTGGTGATACATTTTGTTTCTTTATTATTTATTGTGAACTATTTTAATGAAGTAATTAACTTGTTGCTAATTGATTTAATTCAACATGTTTATTTTACTATAGGTGCAATTGCATCATTATTATGGGCTATTGGATTACCTACCGTTAAAAATAGTTTATATTTTCATCAAAGCGCCGAGAAAAAAGAAAGTACAGGTAAAATAAATCTAAGCATATATGATTCTGAGTAGAGCGAAGAAGCTTATGATATTATAAAGATTTTATTTTTTCTGTGGACGACTTTTCTACCAGAAATCTTACTCCGATTTTTAGTGTAACATCTTTTCTGAAAGTAAATCGAACTGGGGGGGGGGGTATTTAAAGGAGGCAAGTCTATTATTTTCACATAAGTTTTTTCAATATATTCGTAAAAACCTTAGCAAATGTGAAAAACCGAGAAAAACGTAGGAATAAACCGGGAAAATAGGGGTTTGAGATTTGAAGGAGGAGGACTGAAGGTCCATTATGAGCACTCTTTTACGATTTCTATAGTAAGAAATAACCATTAAAAAAAAATTGGGGAAGAGCTTAGCTTCTTAAATTTTGGGAATTATAAAAATTTATATTTTAGAGTTGTTTAGTCTCTCTAGACCCCTCTATTTGTGCATATTCCCTTTCTATTTCCAAAAACTCTCTGGTAGAGCCCACACCGTAGGTGCCTACAAATCCTAAATCCGGTCCTGCAAAAACTATATTGAGTTAATAGTATAAACAAAATAGATGAATTTATTTTGCACGATTTGTGGACCACTGTTATAGATGAGAAGTTCTGCAGTTGGGAAGGTAGGATATAGAAGGCAAGGATGTAGTTTTACAAACAATCGGATTTGAACTTGCGATTTTTGGGATGACAACTCTCGAGTTTTGTCCATTATTCAAAATCCATACTTAAAATCAAAAAACGATTTTCATAAATACTAACTAGATAAAATTTTCTTTCAAGTATTTAAAGTAGGTACCTTTATACTTATAAATTTATGAAAGTTTGAATAAATATTATTAAACCGTTTATAATTTACATACCTCGACATGGTTTGTATAAATAAATAATATAGGTATATAATACTTGCCTAATATATTGTCTATTAATTATCATATCTATATAGACATCTAGTTAACATAATCAACAATATAATAGTACAATTTAACATAAAAACTGTAGATATGTATTTATAAATTAATTTTTTGCATTTGTATAAACTTTGAATGTATTCATAGATGTCGATACATCTAAATCTAAAACTGTGCGTCAAATACTGTGGTCGGATTTCATCACTGCTTTCACAAACCGCAATGTTATTCAGTGGTCTATCTGGTGGACTTTAGGCACATGCTTTTATTATCAGGTTTGGATTAATTTTGTAATAATCAAATTTAGTAGCTAATTAGAAAAAAGCTGTATTTTTATTAGGGATATTATTTGCATGCAATAATTTTTTTTTTTAAAATATCAATTTCCAATATTATAAAAAGTATTAAGATCTGTAAATGTGTTATGTTTTATCGTGCATTTTTTTTACAAATTTGAAAAATAAATTTTAAAATTTGTTAATCATAAGAATAAAAATTGTACGTATGTATGCAACTAAAATTTAATAGATAAGTATATGTAATTGAATTATTTTCTATACTTAATTCTTTTTATATAAATACAATGCATGTATGGTTCAAAGTAAATAATTATTAAAAAAATCATATAAATAATGCCTTTTTAATATAGCAAATTAAAATATTTATTCAGTAAAAAATATCTTAGTTAACTATACTTAAACCAAAATATGAAATAGTGCCTCAAAAATATGTCGTATTATTAATCGAAAATTGAATATTATAATACTTGTGTGGTCATTTTCGAAACCTAATAGTTTTATAAAAAAAAACGCTACTAACGTGATGAGAAATAAAATAAAAATATAAAATGTCAGTGAAGCTCATTAAAATAATTTTAAATCTATAATATATTTTGAGGTGAATTTCTTGGCCTTCATTTAAATATCTCCAAATGTTCAGTCATGATTTTTTCCAATTTAACTACCATATAAATAACTTGCCAATAGCATCTTTAGAGCCTCTGTGATCTTGGTTTCACTTTACGCCTACTCTCTGTCCTCTCAAGCATATTGAAATCGTCTTCTACAAAGCCTTCAAACTCTTGAGGTTCATTAAACGAACCTCTTAACAGTTCCATTTTCTCTCTTCACTCAAAACCCTTATCTGCTCCCTTGTTCACCCTATCCTACATATGGCTCCGCCCTCAGGGGCCTTTCTGCGTGTTGTGGAAAATCCGCTATCGAGTGTGTTCAACGCAAATTTCTCCATTTAGTCGCCTTTTGTTTCAATATCCCCCACCAACCTCATGATTACTCCTACATTCTCTAAGATTTACAACCAACTAGCCTTGCTAATTGTAAGACACTTATCTAACATTCTTAATCTCATCTCAAAAATTTTCGTCCTTTCTCTTATCTCAACTCACTTTTAAAATTCCTCTTCGTCTTACTCGTTCTTCTCTGCCTTTCATAGTTCCACTCTCTTTTTTTAATTACTCTCTCAACTCACCCATTTCTTGCCTTATACGCGCTGCCAACTAGGACCCCTCATTTAACCTATAACCTGTCTACTTGTATTGTTTTGGGCTTGTTCTGTACATTGAATAAATAAATAAATGAAATTGTTTATTAATTACTTGTTATATACTTATCAAAGCTGTGTTAGGCTATTTGGAGACCAGTGATATACATTTTTAAACACCTCCTCTGAAGACCATACCTGGGGGTAATTCTTTACATATTTTTGTTTTGTTTTGTTTTTTTTTACAATTTTATTAAATTTAAATTAAAATTTCACAATATTACCTTCATCAACCATACTATGCATTACTATGTTGTACTTCTAATTATCAAATAATATTCATCATTAATCTAAATAAAGTTTTTGAAAATAAAACAACTAAAAAGGTATATAATAATATAGTGATATTGTTAATTTTATTTCGAGTTCTATATTAAGCCAGATGCCCCATAGTTTTAAAGCTTTGGCACCCCGGAACAAATGTCCCATTGCCCCTCTTAACACGGCCCTGATATAATAATTATCATAAATATTGTGTAAAATTGCTAACTATTGTTAATTTAGTTCATGTCGTATTGCCAATCGTTATATCAACAAATATACAATGATGGTACTGATTTGCAAATAACAAATAATGGAATGGTTGAAGCAATCTATACGATAATCAGTGTGTATAATAAATATAAATTGCATATATAGTCATATATATATACTTAATAACATTAACATTAATATTGATTAGTTTTAAAAACTGTTTATTTAGTTTGGCAAATTTAGCTTTATTGAGATTTACTAAAATGTGTACTACAAACTAATTTAGTAAAATAGAATTAACTTACACAACAGTTCTGAACACTCTTTTCTTATTTGATTTATTTTTAACATGTTTGGAACAATGTAATTATATTATATTTTTTGTATTTTTCAAAGGTACACTGGGAGTTTATTTGATTGGCATTATAACAGTACCTAGTTGGTGGTTGGTAGGTATTTTAACTTTATGCCAAGGTGTGATATTGATGGTTATGGCTCAAGAACATTTACTGTCGCATGCATACTTGGGATACATACTTTTTGGAACGTTTTATCATATTATGACTACTATAGCTAAGTAAATATTATGATTTTATAAAATAAAAAAAAACAAGTGAAAATTATTGTCTTGACTTTTAGAATTAAATATACCATTTACTAATTTAAAGAAAATAAAATACCTATAAGTATTAGTGGTAATACTATTATGTTTTGTAGATATTCTGATTTTGTATTTATCACAAGGTTTAGGAAAGCTAGCTGGCTTGTGGGAAATAAGCCCTAATAACGTTAATCATAAATCGTTCAAAATAAATACTTCGTGTATACAAATTTGTTTATCAAAATTTAACTTTGCATTTTTAAAAAAAATAGAAATAAAATGTTCACTGGAAATACATTTTTTAATTGATTTGTATTATATTCCTAATATCCATAGGTACTTTTGAATCAAATTTTATTAAAATATGTGCCTACCTATCTATTCTAAACTTGTTTAATGTTAAATGTTTTTAAGTACTTATGAAAAATAATACATTTTTATTTATTTATTTTTATAAACATATAGATATGTATCTATTTGTTATCTAAACATATTATTCACGGTTGTTTTAGTTGTGAAGTAGCCAAAAATATTCCAGCAGACTGCTATGCGCTAGTATTTGGAATTAATACGTTCACTTCCCATTTAATGCAAACATGTGTGACAATCATTGTTAACAGTCCAATAGGATTGATGTTAAACATCAGAACCCAAGTAAATATATTATTATACGTTTATAGTTAATTGCTAAAAAAAAAAAAATCCAGCCACAAGTATCATACAAATCTTGAATATTAATCATTTTATATGGTTTTAAAATTGTATAAGTACTTATTACCTAAGTAAAGATATACATTTTTGGTATAGACTTACTATAGTTGAATTTTTAAAGTTTAAAAAGATTTTAAATTTTAATCAATGTATTTCATCATTTTATTTTTTAGTTTTATGTATATGGCCTAAGTTATTTAGTAATTGGAGCTATATACATTATTAAAGCATTGTGGTCAACAATCTCAAGAACAAGGATACAAGACATTTCTACATCAACTTAATACCGATTATAATCTAACCTAACCTATTTAGTATGAAAATGTACATTTATTTTTACTGAATTTCAATAAAAATAACAGAAACCGTTATTGTGTAAATATTTCTGTTATTTTCGATGTTTTTCTCCATTATTAAGAAAAATACTTACAAAGGAATATCATACAATGATACAATGATAATCGGAGTTTTTCATTTTTTAGAGAATTGTATCAAACAAGTTTAACTTCAAACACTAATTAAATAAAACAGTGTCATTAAGAGGACGCTATCCATGTATTTTGTATTTCTGTCCTATAACCACGTAAAATAGTAAATTTGTGTTCACGCGGAACAATAAAAAAAGTAAAAATTTTAATTACATTACATTAACCGTAGTTTTCTTGTTTGGGTCACTTATTTATTTAGGACATTATCAGGGTCTATCATTATATTACCGTATATTCATAATTATGAATTAATACAAATAATGAAGTAAAAACAAAATTATGAAAATGGTTAATATTCGTAAATAAATTTATATTAAAAAATAAACAAATTAATGAATGGGTAGCCTAGAGTATACATTTTGATTTTTAATACGAAACCGGTCGTATAATATCCTTCTCACAATACTCCAGGCGACGCATTCATTCAAATATTAAATTTTAATTTTTATATATACATTTTGTATTTATATATTTATTAATTATAATTATTAATTGCTATACTATTCAATCTACTTTCACACGTGGTGTTTCACAAATATATTTTTAATATTTTTAATGTTGAAAAACTCGTTCACTGCTAGCAGTTGTAACTAGGAGAATTGCTAAAATCTGTAGAAGTTTGGTAGTAAAAAGGACAATTGATATATTACATTTTCGAAGCGATGTGTAGCATTTTTTGGTAAATCTTGAATTCCTGTAAATTTTTGTTGTCACATTTTAATTACACTCACAGCTGCTAACACACTGTAATCTATATCACCTTAAAATATTTCAACTACTAATTTTTTTCCATGAAGTTTAATGGATGATAGTAAAATAAAGTTAACATTTTCAATTGTACCTTGTGTCCGCGGAAACAGGGTACACTTTACCACTCATTACCCTGTAAATATTTTTCAATTCTAATTTCAGGACATTAAACTAGACTAATGGATATTAAATTCCTACGACTTAAAATTTTATTAACTGTTATATTTTGCGCTTGTGCAACACAACTTCACTTTTTTTTTAAAAAGCTACCTTTATTTTGAATATAATTATTGGGTTTATCGATTTTTTTCAAGCAATTTTCATGTATCAACTTGTATTCTAGACTCAAAGTTGGTCATGATACAATCAAAATTATTACTAAAGTAATAGTAATTGTATCGATTTTCCCAGTTTTCCTACATTTTTCTAAGTTTTCTCATGTTTTATCTCGGTTTATCACATTTGCTGGGAAAACTCTTGGGAAAATCGACCTCTCTAAAGTACCTCACTAGTGAAATTTAATTTTAGAAACATTGCTATCATTAAAAGTTGGAGCAAAATTGCTAGTAGAAAAGTTGTCCACAGAAAAAAAAATTGTAATATTATATTTCATAAATTTTCTTGTTTTTTTTTTCGGTTTTTTGCATTTGATGAGAAAACTCTTAAGAAAAGAGACCTTTTTAAAATACTTCCTCAAGCCGATTTATTTTCAGAAAAGGTGTTACACGTAGAAATCCGAGCAATTATTCTAGTAAAAAAATTGCGCGCAGATAAAAAAAATAAAATAAACATCTTTGTAAAACCATAAGCTTCTTCACTCCACTCTGAATCTAAAAACCGGATGAAAATGTAGACGGTGAAATATTGATGGCAAAATAATAATTAATATAATATAGTAATGATATTATATTTTAAGAAAAATGTGGGATAATAATTCTGTGTATTTTTAGTGAATGGTACATTAATAGTGATAGTGAGTGATAATGTTGGTTGTTGATAGAACAAAAAAAATACAAATTATTTTGTGCAATCAAAAAGGAACGTGTCGTGTTTAAAATACACGAAACGAAACGACACGATGAGTGAGGACTCCTTTTTATACCATAGACATGTGAAGAAATCTTAATATGTCTATGACTTATACATCTAGACAGAAAATTCAGTTAAGAAAACGCGTTCTGGTGTGTGGAGTTTCATTTCGAGGACAGAAACAAGTGACATAATAATAGAAGTATTTTAATTGGCTGTCCTCGGAGTGCAAATTTGCTTTCTCTTACACTGGGCTTTATACCAGCTTACCTCTCTTAATCCACGCCACTCGATCCTCAGAGTGAATGTTCTGTTTAGATGAATAAATCTGTAGGTAGCTTAGGGATCCCAGATAAATACGGGAAATTTTAAATCTCACTTAAAATTTAAAAATATTGCAACAAACTATGTGGTGGTAAGGAGTGATGGTAAGACCGTAGTTCTCAAAACTAGTTCGTAATTCAAAAGTTATAGATTCATCCAATTCAAAACCAAAAGTTTGAGAAAAATAATGTTGAAATCAAACTGACATATTAATAAGTCAACTTAATTTAAAAATGTAATTTGTCTACTCTTCTATAGTGATATTTACTACCCAATCTCATGATAACACCAGGGCTTATTTTTCGTAATATTTTGTATTGAACACTTTTTTGTTTAGACCATAAATTCATGGTCACAAAATAAAATTTGCCCCCATACTCTTAAATACAGTTATTTCACTAATTTTTCTATCATTTATATATTAAAATTTTTTTTTTTTAATATTTCCAGGTTTAAACTTTACCAATGTGAAATGTATAGGTAATATTCTTAAAAATAGCTATATCTAAACCCTCTGTCACACGAGACGATTATTGACTACGTACCAGCGGATAAATTCGCTCCATCTGACAATGTATTCACTGCGAGTTATTCAAGTCGTAACTACAAATAGTCACGGCGAATATAATTGAGCATATTCAGTTCGTCTCGCTAGGAACGCGCGATTACGCTGGACGTAAAAATCTAAAAATCGTAGTTGCCCCGTGTGACATCGGCACTCGCTAGTCGCGGTACAATGCGATGCGGTAAACGATATTTTTACGGTTAATAATATTTACTACTCGCTACTCGCTACCTCATACAACCCTGTGAGTGACAACTTAGTCGCGGCGACTTGATGTGGCCAGTATTCATAGCTAGTAGTCACAGCCATGGTTAAATAAATTTAGCCATGATGGTCGTGGCGAACAAAATCGCTTCGTGTGGCAGGGCCTTATAACCGTGTTATCAAGTTGATTCCGCAAACAGTCGTGACTCGTAGAACACGGCAGGTGATATATTAAGCCATTGTAGTCACGATATAGAACAATTATTTTCTATAACCTATACTTACCTATAGCTAAAAAAAAAAAATAATAAGTGAGAGGGGGTTATAACACCCTTACCCCCCACTGGCTGTTTCATACAAGCAGCATGTAACAGCTATGAAAAAAATAGTCGCGGCGACTAGACATAGCTAATAGTCGTGGCGAGTAAAATCGCTTCGTGTGACTGGGGCTCGATTACATTAAGCGAATTCACTCGCCTCGTGATGTTAGCGAACTAAGTTATGAGTGAATGACTGTGCAGCGACCTATCCGATTACATATTGAACTATTAAATTAAATTTCCTCGTTCATTTAATAACCACGCACACGCATTCATTACATTTTACATGATATTAGTTGGTTGCATACTAGCGATTTTGCTAGTCAAGGCAATTACACGGTTTTATTCGCCGCAGTGTAAAATAGCTAGCAAGTAGCGACAAAAGTAGCGTCTGTTCAACACACAGCAGTGAGATAGTTCACCAGCGACTAGCGAGTAAATTAGCCCAATGTAATCGACGATCTGCGCTGCAACACCGATCTCACACCGCGTGTATTATAGTATCAGTTATCATGTACCACGCCACGTGTCTCGTGCCGCGTCACGTTTTGTGGGATCTTGTTTTATTATCTACCATGTTTATATCTAACACGTCGTTTTAATAAAAGTATAAAAATAATTTGTATAGTTATTTTTTAGTATAGTACGTATATTTAATGATTTTAATATTGTCAGTTTTATAGTTTATCACTACGGGTGATACATGAATTGCAATTATTCAAATTGCGCATGAACAACTAGTAATTAGATATGCTTCAAGTGTACGTTTAAATTGATTTAATTAATAATAATTAATATTTGAAAATCACCAGCGCTTTTATCACATATATAAGCGGCTCCCCTTTCAAAAAAAATTTAGGTCCCAAATCGACTGCCTCAATTACCCCTGAGGTATCTACACCATTGATTAAAGTTAACTTGTCAACGTACGAACTAAAAACATTCAAATTCATAACAAATAAGAACTTAGTTTGCACGTTCAAGTTCAGTTCTTGAAAATTTGTGTGAATTGGATATTTTTGCGTTCTTTTCCATCACTGCGAAGTCAGGAAAATGCATTAGAAATGTCGAGATCTCTTGTACAAAAAAAGTAGGTAGTCGGAGTTGTTCGGTTTAAAAATATCATACCTACCTATTATTATAAACTTATCCGCTTAGTTTTTTAAAATATTTATTTTTCATTTTTTATTTACCTAATAACACGGTTACACACAAGCCCGGATTAAGGGGGGGGGGTTCACCAGACTCTTAAGATTCAGTTTTTGTTACAGTATTGAGTATGTTCTTTATGTATGCATTTAACCATTAATTTTTTACTTTGATATTTTAATGTTTTCGTTGCTTAATGATGACTTATTCGTATTATTATATAGTAGTAGAAACGGGACTTACCTAGTACCCACTACCTACTAGTATCTTGTTAAAAATTATTTATTTATTTAAATAATATTTACGGCTTTTGAATTGAGATCTATATGATCTCTACATTATTTATTATTTGTATTGATTATAATCAATAATGGGAACAAGATTCAAAATTGTATACCTTATACAATATACAATTTGATAAAAAAAAAAAAAGCGGAAAATTGATTTAAATATGAAATTTATTGAACATGTTACGAACATAAATGTACATACATTTTGACTTTTCATGAACAAAATAAAAATGGCAGCGCCGTCTTTCTTTTTTTTGCAATACATTATACAGTCGACGTTGTCGAGGACAAAATGTAATACTGTGGTTCGATAGTGGGAGGTAACCATGACCACCACGGATTTTAGCCTGTAGCGTTAGCAAACCGCGCCTTTCCAATCTCCAGCAGTGCAGTCGTGCCATCGAGTCGTTTCTACGTTCACTGTTTATATGTAAATACATTAACTGTACTCTCCGAAGTTCGGCAGAGTACCGGTAAATTACAATATATTCTTGATCATTTTATAATATTATAGATCTCTGAATTTGGTGACTTTGTAATTTTCCTGCTAAAGAGTATACCATGTCGGTCGGTAAAGTATTGGTTTACGGTGGAAGAGGAGCTTTGGGATCGACTTGCATATCGACATTTTTATCACAAAAATACGTAAGTATTTAAAAATGTTTTATATTATGTTAACTATTTTCGTTTTAATCAAAATTCACACGAAAAATGCAAATGTATAGTTAAATAGGTTGGTAATATACGTATATAATTTATGAGTTGGTGGTTAAAGAGAAGTTCCCTTTCCCCAACATCACAATGTAGTTGCTAGCATAATATAGCAGATATAATTAATTTTGAAGAAAGTATTTTCGTACTACCCTACCTACATATTATATTGAATTTTCAGCGGCGGTAATGCAATAATTATATAACCCGAGGTCGTATTATAGTTGTCTGGCGTTATAATAGTATAATAATTAGAACCCTCGAGTATGGTCATTAACAAGTCTTACAAAATAAAATATCTAGGTACTTACATAAAATTAAGTTGAAAATCTAGATACCTAGTTTTTTTTTTATTGAGTTACATAACTGGATGTAACAAGTTTTTTCCTTTTCAATTCTACATCACTATGCCTATCTAATGCATTTTGTTATAAGATAAATTAAGAAAACATGATACCTACATGTGTTGTCTCAGTCTTTTAAATGTTTTTTAACAAATTTACATTCAGCAGGGATACTTTTGTGTAATAATGTTAGAGTTATTATTGTAATCGACTTATTATTAAACTTAAAGGTAAGACCTGTGCAATCATGCAAGTTTAAGTGTTATATGAGTATGTAAAATATCACAATTTAAAATTGTATACAATTGACCTAAAAATTTTAAGAAAAAGTTTATGGTTGTAGAAATAATATTATTAAATGTATGTTTTTATAATTCTAATATTTAAATTAAGAACACAAAGTTGTCCTTGCTGAACGCAAATTTGATGTTGTATATTTTTGATTGTTTATTTAGGTACAGTAAATTATTTAAATAGTATTGACTATAATAATAAGCAAATGTTTTTCTTTATTTGTATATTACATTGGTTTTACGGTACCTATTTATTCCTTGTATTATTTTACTGTCCTTTAAAGTTTTTTCTTTTACTATAGGTAAGTAGCTAGTCACCAAAAGTAAATACTTTTTCTATGATAAAGATATTATCTTAATTTTATAAGTTTAATTATACATTTATTAATTCATAATTATTCTACATTTAAGTACTACATTAAATCAATGTTTTTTGTTGCAAAAAATGACTTTAATATTTAGTAGTCGAAGAGCGATGTTTTAATATTTTTAAAGTTTTGAAAATATTGATTCGTGTACCACCATTTTCTTCTCAATTTGATTTAATGTCGCACAACCTAAAAATATATTGTATATTTGTATATTAAATTTATAAAATATGAAGGTCATAGAAGTTATGTATAGACAATGAATATATTTCATGGTGGTATTGGAACCCTTATAAATTAATAGATACCTGTTAAAGCCATGGTATTATCAAACTCATTAATGACTATACCAATAACATCTTCTGCACCTTTTTGGCCATTAAATGCCAATCCCCATAAAATGGGTTGAGCTAAAAATACCTGCAAATAAAAAAATTTCAATACTTATGGAATACTAAAAACTAGGTACCTAATTATAACATAGTATGATTTATAAATATTTCATGTACCATTTTGGCACCAAGTGCTAAAGCTTTAAAAACGTCAGTTCCATGTCTTATACCACAATCCAGATAAATTTCAACCCTATGTCCAACTTCTTGTACTATACTTGGTAAAACCTCAATCTAAAATATATTTATTTTAGTTAACAAGAAATAATTATTTAAATGTTATCAAGAAGTTATAAGTTATAGCATACTGTTGCTGGAGATGAATCCAATTGTCTTCCACCATGATTAGAAACAAATACACCATCACATCCCAAATCTGCAGCAATTTTTGCATCTGCTGCACTTAATATACCTTTCACAATTATTGGTAGATTTGTAATGCTGAAATTAATTATTTATTAAAATATTTTCTTATAATTTAAATATATTAGTAATAAATGAATCAGTAATAACTTTTTCAGCCATTTTATATCATCCCATACTAATCTATCATCAAAAAGACTCATTACATATTTTGTTATGCCAGAACCATTAGTTTTATTTATTTTTGACAATTCTTCAGAGAAATTTCCTAATCTAAAACATAATTTCTATTTATAAGAACTGCATTTTTAACTTGAGGTTTGATGTATATTATATGCGATTTTCTTACTTTAAATGACTTGGTAAAGTGAAGTCATTTTTTATGTCTTTATATCGAATCCCGAACACTGGTACATCAACAGTTAGTACTAATGCCTTGTATCCAGCCTTTTCACATCTTCTTATCAAAGATGTGGTTAAATCTCTATAAATTTACTTTGAAATTAACTATGTATTTAAGTAAATATGTAGGTACCTAAAGTTATGGTAGAAATACTAAAAATACTAATTCACCTATCTTTATAAATGTATAGTTGAAACCACTTTACAGTATTTGGTGCTGCTTCTGCTACTTCTTCTAAACTACACGTAGATAATGTTGAAAGTATAAAAATTGCACCATGTTTTCCAGCAGCTACACAGTTTATTTATTTTTGAAGTGTTACTAAGACTAAATTATATAAATTTCATATTACCTCTTGCAGATGCACATTCTCCATCTTCATGTGCCATTTTATGCATAGCACAAGGAGATATACCAATTGGGACATTTACCCGATTACCTTGAATGGTTACACTTAAGTCCCTTTTTCTTACATCACGTAACATTCGAGGAATTATACGCAATCTTTAAATCATATTGACAGTTGAAGAAAAAAAATAATAATTATAATCAAACCTGCTTACTTATCAAATGCTTTATTATTAATTGAAATAGTAAACTCTTCACAAGCTCCACTCCGATAATAGCCCAGAACAAATTTTGGTAATGTATCGACAGCATAATTTTCAAAATCTTTGATACATATAAATTTATTAGACATTTTTTTCAGTAATTAAAACAAATATTATTAATGATACTTAAAAAATTACAACTGTATACAATTTTCTAACCACTTAATATTATCAATAAATATTTGTAGTTTAGATAAATGAATTAAATCTCAAGGACATATATTAAATTAAAATATAATAAACCTTTTGAATTTATAGAAATAATTAACAATTTTACTGTCCTGATTATTTGTATTATAAATATTGTTTCACTGATAGCTTATCATTATCATCAAGATTGTTTATTTTACCTTTAGGTGTATTACACAATTAAGTAAAACAAAATAAGTTCAACATTCAATAGTAATTGTTCGAATGACTTTTTTTTTATTAAAAAACAGAACCGATTATGAATGTTACAAATAAATAAGTAGGTATGTAGTATTTTGATTTACAGAATATTAATAATGTAATAAATTAAAAATGGTGTGCCATTGTTGTAGATGGAAAGTTGGATACATAGTTATTTAATTTATATTTATAAGTAATGATAAATCATTGTTAATGAAATACAATTATGAGCAAGCTTTGGTTAGACATGTTTTGAAATGCTGTCAAATTACAATTTTTATCAAAATTGATATTAAAATAGGCCTATTAAAAAAAAAAAAATCTTCATTATATATTACAACTTGAAATAAACCTCGTATTGAATATTCAATCATTTCTGTTTGGTCAAATTATTTTATCCATATAATACCTACCAAATAAAATCTAGAAAATTGCCGGAATGTTTTAAAAATTGTACAATGTTTATAAAAGTTTAATATAATTATTCTATAAACATTTTAGGTCTCTGAATATTTTTAATCAAATAACAAGAAAAACAAAAGTAAAACTAATGGAACTGTTATTTCCATAATCTTCCCTATAATTTTCAAATCATAAAGAAGATTAGAATTCATTCAGAAAATTAAAAACTGACCTCTTTAATGCATCAACTATATATACAATATAACAAAAAATATCAAGATACATTTTTTGATTGGAGCAAGATTTCTGGTAAATAGGTTGGTTTACACAGACAAAAAAAAAAACACATTATAATAAAACTTATATATTTTTTGTTTCGCTTATAATTTAAAAATCATCTTCAATTTTATATAAATTAAATTAAAATTTTAAACTATGTAAATCAATATTTTTGTAAGATAATCAAATAAAATCTCATAATTTTTGAAATGTTATTCAAAAGAAGTACTTTTTATATCATTTTAATAAGAAAATAAAAATAATTTTGAGCTATGTAAATTATAAATAAAACCTTAGATCATATACAATATGGTCTAAGAATTAAACTAACAATCTTGTGTCTTTTTGTTATAAATATAAAACTATTATTTTAATCTAAAAATAAAAACTAGCATTAATAGAAATATTAAACTATTAATAATTTTTCTTAATACCTACCTAGTTAATTTTACTACTTAAATTTGATAACAAATAAATACAAACTACACATATTTAAATATGATTACATGTTTAAAATTGGTCATTTGAAGCTTAAGTGCTGAACTCAATCTGTTTATGTAATATTACATAAATATGTAGTTATATTGTATTTTACAACTATACTAAGTATTAATTGTTATAAAATAATTTAAAGAAACATGGATTGCAATTTTAAATTAATTACATTTGATAATACTTAAATTTTAAAATCAATAGAATATTAACTATAATATTCTTGTATAAAATGTAAATTTGACGATTTACAATAGGTTTATTTAAATGTATTTATTTTTAAATAATATTAAATCTTTATTTCTGTCTATATTAATTTATAATTACTTAATTATTTTTAATTGGTATTCAATTAATACAGGTTAACTTAGGTCAAATATTATAATCTTATTAGGTACTTTTAAGTCTTAACTCCTAATTTTAATAATACTGAGAATAAACTTGCAATTCCAATCTAGACACCACAATTTATGATTGAAAAAACAAATACTGGTCTAATATGTTTTTAACCAAAGAAATTGTAGATGTACCTATGTTCTACATATTTATTATAATTTATTCTTAAATTGATAATAACTGCAATATGCAACTTTGTTTAAATTTTCAATTTTTTTTAAAAAAAATTCCGGTTTTATGTAGATAATAATTTTTAGATCTCTAAAAATAATCAAAAATTTGATACAAGGTTCATCATAACAATTTATGATTTAGTGGTAAAAAAAATTGAGCATTATATTGTAATTTGCATTGTCATTTTATGGCTACAGACTCTCATCCATCAGTATAATAAGGATTACAATAATGAAAAATCATTTTTGTTTTTCAGTGGGTTGGATCTATTGATCTACAACCAAATGATAAAGCGAATTCCAGTTTGATTGTCAAACCAGATGTTTCATTATTAGAACAAGTAAAATAACAAATAAGTAAAAACTGTATAATAATTTAATGTATAATATTGTATTTTTACATCATATTTAACCAGTTATTTTGATTTATTTTAAAAATTTAAATTTAATAAAATATATATTTGTTTGATTTTAATTGTCAATATTTAATATAATTCAGTTATTTACATAATAAATAGTTGTTATTTTATTTTTTCAGGAATCTGACTTACTGAAGGAACTTGGGTCCATTTTAGGATCAGAAAAATTAGATGCAGTTATATGTGTTGCTGGAGGTTGGGCTGGTGGCAACTCAAACTCTGATGGTGAATAATGCCAAAGCAAGATTTTATTACTCTAAAAAACAAACATTATTTTAAATTCTGAAAGAACTAAGGAATATACTGGTTTTACTATGTGATGTTTCTTTCTCTTTCTACCATGTTGTCGCTACAAACCTAGTTCTTAATTATTCTTTGTTTATAGTCATCATGTTTATAAAAGAACATGGAATCAAATCTTTAATAAATTGTTTTTTTGGTCTTCTTCTTCCTTTTGTATCCATTTATCTGTTCTTCGAATATGTTAGTTATAAATAAATTATTTTTCAACAGATGACCAAATATTTGTTCACTTCTTTTTCTTATGGTAAGATCCTTTTCCCTCTACTTGGTTTAATATATCTAAGTTGTTTTTCATTTCTGTTCAACTAACTTTCAGTAATTTTTTCCAAATACAAATTTCTATAGTTTCTAAACTCTAGTCCTGTTCAGTGATGGTCAATGTTTTACAAGCATATAACAGTAAGCTCCACATGTAGCATTTGATATAAATTTTCTTTATCTGAATATTAAGATTTTTATTTGTAAACAACACTTTTTTTCCATAGTTATTTGTTGTCTAATCTGTTGAGCATTTTCCATCTCTAGTCGGTGTACTCCTCAAGGTACTTGAATAGTTTGTTTGATTTTTTTCAGTTGTTTTTTATTTTTAGTCTCTCTAAGGGAACTTCTCTTGTTTTTGTTTTATTTTATTTTACTATCATTTTGTATTCCTATAGTATTTTAGTGAGGGTGAATAGAGAATTTTACATAGCTTTCTTAGATTTTCTCCGTAATTTTAAGCCCACAAAAAGCATACCTCTGTTCTATAACATATAAATTATGCTTTAAATTAATTATAGAAAAGTAATTCAATATTATTAAATGATATATTTTGATTTTAGATTTTGTGAAAAATACTGATCTTATGTTAAAGCAAAGTGTTTGGAGCTCAGTGTTAGCATCGTCTATTGCATCCAAGTTCTTAAAACCTGGAGGCATTATAGTATTGACTGGCGCTAAAGCTGCACTTGGTCCCACACCAGGAATGATTGGTTATGGTTTAGCTAAAGCGGCCATTCATCATTTGACAAAATCGTTGGCTGATGAAAATGGTGGTTTACCTACAGGAGCTCAAGCTCTCTCAATTTTGCCTGTTACTCTAGATACACCTATGAATCGTAAATGGATGCCTAAGGCTGACACCACAACTTGGACACCATTAGAATTTATAGCAGAGTAAGTACAACATTAAAATAAGTATGATAGTTGCATTTATTTTGTAATAAGATTCAATTTTCAAAATAATTTTTATTTATTTATAAATTATTGATATATGTGTTTGTGTATAAAATTTGATTATATATCCTAGTATTCCATTAAAAATTATTAAATTTATAACTAGAATTAGTCATTTAATATTAAATAAATACATTGATTGCCAAATATTTTTTTCAAATCAAATTCATAATCAATATGTCAAATATTATAATGTATAAAATATTATTTTTTGAACTTAATTTATGTAACTTATATTTTAAAGAAATAATTCCTAGTAATTGTAATAACTAATAATCATATTAACTTAATAATGGAACAATATTATAAAATATTTGAATAGATATTTATACTACCTAGCACCTATATATTAATGCATGATTAATAATGGTTCTAATTTTATATTAACATTTATATTTAATACAAATAAGCACACAATACTATTTAAATTAATTGATTAATAAAAAAGTATATATTGAATCAATGTCTAGCTCTACAGTTTGCTTAAAAAGGTATAACATTTCTTCTCAAAATTTTAAATTAAAAACCAACTATTACTATTTAATGTTGTCATCTCTATAACTATCTATAAATGTACATGCTTTTCTTTTTCAGATTATTTTCTAAATGGACTAAAGGAGAAGACAGACCACCTAATGGTTCACTTGTTCAATTAATCACCAAGGAAAATAAAACTACTTTGGAAATTGAATAATTATTCTATAAATATTTTATAAAAAATTTAAGACCTATTCTGTATTTTTTAAAAATTGTATTTATATATTATATATATTTAATATACTTTATTTCCTGTACCAATTTTAAAAATATTTTTGTTTGTCTATTGATTTAATAATTTTATGGTTTGTTGGTTTATACATTATACAAAAAATATACTTAATATCGTAATTATTTGTTAGCATTATAATAATATATGGCTAGATTAAATAATAAATTACAAATTAATAATGTGATGGTGTTGGTACACTCATCAAAGGTGATTCTAAATAATCAAAGCTTGGCGGCTCTGGGGGTGGTTCTGTATCTGTTGAAAGTTTTTCTACAAAATCTGTATATAATTTATGTACAGCCTCATCGTGTGATGGACTGGGCTGTAAAACTTTAGTTAATGTACTTAATCTACTTGGTGGTAACTTTGGATATACATGCCACACAAGTTTTAACACATGCCTAACTACGTTTTCTCTGTTAAGACCAGTACAAAAGAATTCGTCAAATATTACCGTGCAAAAGTCTTCAGCAGCAAATTCTTCAACTTGTTGAATTAAAAGTGCTACTAAAAAATGAAGAAATGGATCTTCAAAAGCACGATCATGGTCACAATTAGCTAAAGACCCTAATATTCTCATTAATGCTAATCTATCCTTAGCTTTAGCAACGTGCAGTGTATAATACATGGCAACAGTACACGCGACACTACTCTCTTGTATATATGCTTGCACAGCATCTGGCACAGGTCCAGAGTGTTCAATAATGGTGATAGCCGATTCTCTTTCATCGGGAGGCATTTTAGTGTTTAACGATCTAACCTGATCGTCAGCTATCAGTGACATCAAGGCAGGCATAAATTTGGTAACCACTTGACTATCAAGTTTTGGTTCTTTAAAGTCTTGGGTGTCGATCATGACCCAAGCACTCAAACCGAGAGACAACATTCTTAACAATAAGACTAACACATGATTTTCTCTTGCTAGATTTTCGTTATTAATCAAATGGTGAAGTATACGAATAGTTGAAGTTGCTAAAAAGTTAATAGCATACGGATCACAAAGAGTCATAGATAGATCTCCTAAAACAGTTTCATGTCCCCGTTTAATACTATCCAAAAACCCTTGAAGTTCACGGGATCGTTTAACATCAACATTACGCTCCCTGATACAAGCATCTAAACACCACGTAAATTTGTGACATGGATCAATAGATATGATGTCTTGAATTTCCAAATCATGTAGTGCCATTAGAAGTTCAGCTCTAAGCGTACAATAATGTACATTGTGAGTACGCAAGAACAATGTTCTCAAAAATTGTAAAACCATATCATATAACTTAATACTTGAGCCAATCATATGTGCAAGCTTTTGTACCACTTCTCCTTGACGTCGCAATTTTGGTGAAGGTGTAAAGAACAAGTTTGTCAAATTATTATGGTCAAAGAGAATACTTTCTTTTTCCCTTATGTACTGTGTAAGTAGAGGAGACACTTCATTTACTAATAATGATTGATTGTCCTTCCAAATTTGCCTCTTGACTTCTGTATCCGTGTCTTTATAAAGTTCAGTGTCTTTAACTAAGACATTTAAATATTTGTCATCAATATGTGATATATTTTTTAATATGGCCATAATTATGGGTCGGAGTTGTTTAATGTGAACTGATGGAAAACTCTTTGCTAACATATCCTTGAGTTTGCGGTCCCTATCACGTCCTTCTTTTTTACCAATCTCTTCAATATGAGCGACCAATTTGTCACGCAATGCTTCTAATATAGAGTTGTGAAAATCCAAACGGCGAATGCCATGTAGATCAAGTAATGGTAACATCTGTCGAAGGGATGGTAAATGTATCCCATTATCAACTTGAAATTCTTCGATTGCCTTTAGGGGATCTGTACAGTTGGTCAAAGTTTCTAATAAATAAGTTTGACCATGTATACCTGATTCAGATTGTTGATTTTGGTGAACTGTAAACATAGATCGTTGACGTCCACCGCTCATTTTGACAATTTACTTACCAGTTTTTCTGTACAAAACGATATAAAATAAAACACTAGTACCTAAACAAATTTTTATTTTAAACATACATACCTAATTTGAATGGTTATTCACAATAAAAATAATAAAGAATAAGAACAAAGTATTTAATTATTTCAATTTTTTGACAATATTTACAATTTGAAATTTGAATAAGTAATACTATTATTTTTAGTTACTATAAAATTTGTTTTTATTATCTAACTGTTAACACATCATGAATTCCATGCAACAAATACATAATTATTTGATAATAATCAATTGTAATTGATGATAAGTTTGTGTTTTCTCCACGGTCTTATCACTGTATAAGATGCCAAATGGTACCAAGCACAAAACAGTAAGTACGAACTACGAGCTGATCACCTGACTTATTGTAATATCTAATATAAAAGAAAATACTTATAATTAAAATACCTACTTGTCTGCCTAATATTAACTTTTCCAAGTTTGGCTGATATTTAAGTTAATTATTGTCTAAAATGGCTGTAGATTCTAAATATGCTCATTTAAGTGGAATCGTAAGTATAAAGTAATACATTTTAGAAGAATATCTTTTGAATCAAATGCATAATTTTCATATCTACTTTACTGATGTTTTAGATCTTTCATACTTGAAAATACTATTAATAGATTTTAGTAATTCGACATTAGTATAATAGTATAGAAAACACTATAAAATGCTGAAATTTCCACTATATTATAATCAAAAAACTTAAAATTATGTTTTATATTCACTAAAACCAAAAAAAACAAAAAATTGTTTTCTGTTTACTTATTTTGTATTAGGAATAGTTTAGTAATTTTAAATTATTTAATTAGAAATTTATATTTAATTAATAAATCATAAAATAAACTTGAATTCAATTTTTTCATATAATTTAATCTAGATTTATGAAAAATACAAAATAAATCATACTTAGTGTATAAAATAAAAAAATAGCACTTAAAATGTATAATATTTCAAATATGAAATATAAAATTGTATAATTAGAATCCTTGATGGCTGATGCATAAAACATATTATGTACAGCTCACTCTGTCATTTTTATCTGTATCCTATATTTATTGACAAATGCTACAGAATCCAAACCCTGATAATTAGAGTGTGAATAAGTACATTTAAGTTAAATGATAGCATTTCATTAAATAACATTAATGCTATTTATTCAAGGCTTACGATCAACCTGATGTGTATGAAACTTTTGATTTGCCAGAAGACGATCAACAGCTTGATTATGCCGAAGAGGTAAGATTTTATATGCTGTTCATAAACATTAAACATTAATTATCAATTACTGAATAATTATTATTTTTATTTTGTAATTTTCATCCTTAAAATGATTGAGTAATTAAGTAGTATATAATTTAAGGTAAATATAAATATATACAATGTGCCAATAAAATTAATTTTAGTATTATATATATTTTTATATAACATTAAAATGTTTTATGGTTTTAATTTTGAAAACAAATTTATTTGTTTAATCTAATTGCAAATAAATACTTTATAAAATATTAATGTTAATAATAAATCCTAAAAATATTTAAATTTTGTGTGGACACATTTTAATATGTTTATCAAAGGACAATGAAGATATTGAGCGCACTAAATTGGATCCATCTAAAGCTTTTAAGCTCTTTAAAGACGAAATTGTAAATTCGGATGATGTTGATTTTTCTGATAAATTAGGCCGATCACTTAAAACTGGATATAGACCAAAGTAAGTTGTTGTAATTCTAGTTTTTTCTTACATTTATTTGTATTAATAATATTATTATTTTTAAATATCTATGTAAAGTGGTCAATATTGGGAATTGGCAGCACTAGGGGAAAAAGAAACTCCATTACGAAAGTATTATAGACTGAAGTTGGAAACTGAAGAATTGGTTCAAGAAATTAATTTGTTGCAGGTTTATACTTATTTTATTTTATATTATAATAATAATTTACTAGCTTAATCTTTTTAATTATACGGTAAATTTAATTTTCCATTGGAAAAAACCATTTTTAGTCACATATTAATGAAATTATTTGCAATGTATCATTTAAACTGTATTAAAAATACAGCTATTTTTTTTACCGTTTCATATTTTTTTTTTTAAACAAGTAACTAATATGTTATATTAATATATTGCATTTTGAACAAAGCTAGTTACTAATAGTAGTACTTAATGAATTATTTTAATTTCCCAGTGGTTTAAAAAGCATAAAATCAGTAAAATGATCATTAGTGATTCAAATATTCAAGTTGGAAGATATAGGGATCTGTTTTTTTTAGGAAATATATTAAATTTCTTTCCAATACATTAATTATTGCTTTTTAATGTTTAAATGTTATATTTATACTTTTTCAGTAAATAGTAAAGTATCATCTTATTTTTTTGTAAATATATATTTAAATATTAAGAATTATGATTTGAATAATATTTGTAAACATTTTTATTTCTTTTAGGATAATAAAACTGAACTTGATGAACAGTCTTGTGCCAATATAGGATCTAATGTACAATCAATTTTGCTAAAATTGTCTACATTAAATATAGAGAAGTCATTTGAACAACAATTAGGAAATTTAGGAGCATCTGAAATTGATAATTTACAGTAAGCATATTTCTAGCGAAATAGTAAAAAGTAATAATCCTTTTTTAGTTTTTTCTTACTTGAATAATTACATTGAAAAATATTTTAGAGAATGGAAAAAATTTAACATTTTCAATCCATTTAAACTATTCACTAGTATTATAGTATTGAGTTTTATTTAAAAAATATAATGTTATTTATTGAGTTTTTGGATACACTCACATTAAGTTATTATAATAATTGCGCAATATTTTCAAGTTCATTAGATTATTTTCAATTGTATGTGTTTATGCACTAAATATAAGTAATTTAGTTTAGATAAAATACTTTAATTAATTAATTTGGTTAAAATCCTGTTAGGAACACCAATAGTAAAATAGAAAGTGGTGATATAGAAGATGTGATAATGTAATTGGGGAGCAGGATTTTAATAAATTTTAGAAATAGAAAAGCTGTTTTGATACTTGTAAAATAATAAATAATAAATTAAGTATACATCAAATAATCAATTAATAAATAAAAAAATAGACTGAAGCTTTATTTTTTTGTTTAAAAATTATCAACAGCTTTTTTAAAAAAAAATTATTTAATTTTGATTATAGTTTTTAAATTATGTATTCTAGAAAATATGTAGAAACTGTTACTGAATTATTGAACAAACAACCAAGCGATGATGATAAATCACAAGCTACAAAGGCAAATTTTTCTCAAGCGTTAAATTTTCAAGCACTTTATAGACCTAATAGAGCACAACTTGATCAAGTATCTCAAATTTCTCGATTGGAAGAACGTTTACGTAAATTAGAAGCAACAATTGGATCTGGTGTTTTAACATTAGTAAGTATAATGGTTTCAGGATTTTCAAAATTAACTCAATTTTTTTGTTTTAAAATTAATACTATTTATTATAAATTAATAAGTTTTTATTTCTTTTACATTTTACCACTCAAACTTGTGTAGAGTTTTTTCTTAAAATTTACTTATCCTTCAAATTAACAACTTAATATTTGTGCACATTTTTAAGGAAATTAGTATATAATTTACCATTTTTTAGATTTTGAGTGGAATGAAGAAGATTATAGTTATACAAAGATGTTTATTTTTATTTTATTTTTATTTTATCTGTGCGCAACTTTTTTATCAAAAGACATGCTCAAATTGTCACGTATATCGCCTTTTCTGAAAGGAAATCGGTATGGGGAGGTACTTTAAAGAGGTAATTTTTCGATTTTTTCTAGAGCTTTCTTATTAAATTTAAAAAAACGAGAACATTTACAAAATATAATCTTTCGATTTTTTTTTTTTTTGTGGAAAACTTAACTACCAGCGATTTTGTTCCAACTTTTAATGATAACAATGTTTCTTAAAGGAAATTTCATTATCGAGGTACTTTAGAGAGGTAATTTTTCGATATTCCTAAAACTAAAAATACTATTTTGTATTTCAAAAATATTGTTACATCCAAAATTGAATTAACAACATACATAGTATCATAAATATTTTGATTCATTAATTTTCATTATAATTCAAAATATTTCCAGAAACGGTTGGGTGAATGTGAGAGTGGTGGTTTAATTGAGGCTGTTCGCTTATTAGTGGGACAGCTATCTGTTCTAAATTCATCTCAATTAGATGCAGTAGATACTAGAGTTTCCAATTTATTACCCAAACTTGAGCAAACAGCTGCAAAATTAGAAAGTCAAGATCCAGAAAAAGACAAAAAAATTAATGAACTCTATGAAATAATTTTAAAAGCAAAACAAGAATCACATTTGTTACCAGATGTTTTACAAAGAATGGTAGCATTAGAGTCACTACATCAGAAAGGTAATTCTGTTATAATTTTTTTTTTATAATATATATCAAACAAATTTATTAAATATATTTAAATAAAAAATAATAATCTATACATATGTATAAAATGCTGTGCTTTAATGGGAGTTATAGGCAGTTACACACACTAAACTGTACATAATATTATTATTATTCATTTTATATTTATAAATGCCGAAAAAGTCAACTGAATCTAATTAATTTTAGTCATAGTCTTTAATGTTTGACTTATTTTTTTTATATAAATAGATATACTAATATTATTAAGAATAATTAAACAAAAGTTTACTATTGTATTGCAATCATCATATGTTTTTAACGGTGATTAATCCTCTAGATGGGTTTGGTTATAACAGCCTAATGGTGCAAGAATGGTTGCTCTGGGTTAAAAGTCCTGGAAGCTATGATGTTCCACATTAAAAAATTGTTATCCTCTTAATCACTTTATGGGTCGAAGTTTGAAAATCCTCTTAGTAGACTTACCAAGTCTCTATCACAGTCATCATAGCAATGATTTCACTTTAAAAAATTATACCTCTATTTTAATCTCCTTAAGGGTTAAATATTGAAAAAAAAAAACCTTTATTTTTGCTATAAGACCATTAGTCAATGTGAAGTAACTTCTTAACTATAACTTCCCATAACTTTTTATATGGCTCAACTCAATATTACATACAAATACAGTATCCTTATTTTCACCCTTAACTGGTTTTCAAAATCACATGTTATTCAGTTTCTTACTGAAAGCCTAATATAAGATTTTTTTTTTTTTCTGGATTTAAAACTAAATTAAATTCAATACATTCATCCCTTATTTTATCCCATTAGGAGTAGAATTTCTTAATGGATTCCAACTTCATAAAAAGAATCTATATTCAAAAAATGTATAGTTAAATTTACATTTTTTAAAATTTTAAGTTTTTAAGCTCATTGGTTTAGGCTGTATGTTGGTAGATCATTTGGCCAAGACAATTCTTTTTATATGTATAGATTACAAAAGAAATTATTAAATATATTTATTTAAAAAATAATAATTATATACATATTTGATGAAATATTTAAATTATCTAATTTAATATACAAATTAAAAATTGCTTTATTTTAGTGGGAAAACTAGTGGTGACAATTAACAACCTGAATGCGCAACATACAGAAAATTCTCAAAATATTGAAAAAAATGAAGTATTTCTCAAAACTATCGAATCTCACATCAACGAAAATATGTTAAAAATCAATTCTAATTTGCAATCATTAAATGCACGGGTGGAAGTTGTTGGTGAGAAATTGAAGTTATCAGAAACTAAATAATTTGATAATTGTTTCAAACAAAGTTCAATTTTTTTTTCAAATAAATTATTAACCTTGCAGTATAAAATTCAATGTTTATATTAATATAATTTAACATACTAAAATATGCTTACTAGAATTTTCATGTTTACACTAGAAAACATGTTATTATAAATATTATGCCACTATTTGTGTTTCTAATTAGATACTTTTGTTTTAATTTTCTATCTAAATATAAAGGCTTAGCAAATAAATTATTGTTTTAAAATAGTTTTTGTGTAGGCACCTTACAACATTTTTTACACATATTTCTTGTATATTAACCAATTGTTGCAGGGAGAAAATTAGGAAAGTAGTATACATAATGTTATTTTATTTATATCTGTAAGCAACATTAAACTATTGCTAAAAAAAAATATGATTACAAGTAAAGTTTGGTTATACATATTTTGAAAGGACATATCATTGATTATATGTATAATCAATAGTAATATTTAGGATTTTATTTATTTTTTTGACCACTAATTAAAACTTATAATGAATCTCAAATTAAATGTTTAAGTGTTGATTAAAACTATTGTATCCACAGAATACCTATAAAATAAAAATTCTGTCACAAAACTCGCAAGTATCAAATGCCTATAAATAGCTCAAAAATCCCCAAAATGTTTTGAAAATTATATTACCATGTTTATAAAATGCTAATATATGTATTCTGTGAAAATGTCATCTCTAGCATAATTTTCAACCAATTAACAACAAAAAACCAAACCATTAATGCCGTATACTTTCCTGTATTTCCTAATTTTTTTCCAGTTTTCTCTAATTATTATGAAAATCAGTTAGAAAATCAAAGCTCTACTTCCTTGTTGGTGAATAAATCAACAAGTTCTGAAATACAACAATAAATATCTTGTCATTTTTGGACACAATTTCTGGTGGAAAACAATTCATAACAATGGAAAATAATGCAATCATAACAACTATATGCTTGTCAGTTTTCATTTTATTTCTTTTTTTTTTTTCAAATTATTTTGAAAACTATTAGAATATAAAAAAATAATTTAAGTACTCACCTACTAGATCCAAGATGTAACAAAAAAGGTCACTTGGCATATTTTTATTAAAGCAAGATTTCTGATAGATAAAAAGTACAAAAATGTAAAATAATGAAATTGGTATGTATTATTTGTCTTGTTTTTTCCAATTATTATTAATTATTAGTAATTAAAAAATGACCCCATCAATACCCAAACTAGATCCAAAATGCACCAAAAATGTCTTGGTAATTTTTGATTTGAGCAAGATTTTTAGTAGAAAAGTTGTTTGTACATTTTCCATCTACACCCAGAATCTAAAATATATACCAAAGTACTAAAATAGGTGGACAATAAATTTAAACACCTACCCAACAAATTGCTATTAAACTAAGACCATTTTACTGTTATATTTTGTCAGGGACACAAAATGACATACTCCTATCATTATACTAATAAATACTATTTCAATTCCATGTTTATAGAGCAAGTTTCTCTATTATGGAGTGTTAAATTGTAACTGGAACAAAACCGGTAATTGTAATACTGGTTTTAAGATGTTTTACATTTTTTATATAAACAATATGACATATTATGTCAAGAAACATGACAGGAGAATAAATGTTTGTTATATTTGTTCAAATAATAATCTCTGTTCCCATTATGACGACCATCTAAAATTTAATTTAATTAAAATAATAACGGTTATCAATTTTTTCTAATAATTAACAGTGATCATATGTGGAAGTATGTTTATCTAGAGGTATGGTCTTGAATAGCCGAAACCAAGAAAGAAGAATTAACAGTGATAAAAAATTTAATATTAACAAGAACATATTATTTTTAACGAAACCACGGTTCTCAATAAAATATCAACGTGAAAAGAAAATTATTATTTATATAATAATTGGTGATATTGGACAAATAAGTTTTTTTTTAAATAAATTTAAAATATACGTAATATTAACTGTATTATGTTAAAAATAATGGGTTCCATTTTTCCGTTCTATTACACAAATAACACATATTATCATTTGTCGACGAATCCTTTAGATCCATGTTATTTCATAGATTCATAGATTAGTACACTACATATAAAAAAAAACTACGTGGAACAGCGATGAAAACAAAACTCCAACCAAGAAGAGAAGTGATTGCACAAATTCGATGCCGTTATTGTGGCCGGGTGGCATGGCGGGGTGACGCTGTGGCGGACGGCGGTAACGCATGTGCATTATGTACGGACGCCTGCGCATAGTCCGATGCGTCGGCGTTTATGGCGGCTGCGGGCCGCGGTCTCGTATCGCTCTACTAGCGGTGGTGGTAAAGGAATCGATGCAGCCGTCATGTGACCCGCGGCCGACCAATGGCGGGTTACCCCCGGTTCGCGCGAACAGCATTCCGCACACGGGCGCTACCTATGTCTCACGACCGTAACCGCGCTCGTCCTCCATTTTCATTGTGTCGGTTTCGTATCAACTCGATTTTGAAAAATATCTATCTGCGAAAAATTACGCCTGCACGAGATTTTAAGTAAGTACGTAAATTTATCGGTTTCACGCGATCCGATCGCCGAGTAATTGTTTTCATCTTTTCATCCGTCTTCGTCGTTTGTCCCCCCACAGGCCCGCACCGAACAAGTAGGCACCAACTTAAACAGAGCGTCCTGGTTTACGATAGTGTTGTGTTCGGTCCGTACAGTTTTGAACATATTGTATGTTTATAATGTATACAATATAATATACATACCTATGTCCTATATATATATATATATATATATATATATATATGTATATATGTATAGTTAGATATACGTAATAGTATTGTCGATACTCATCATTATAATTATTATCGTTATTATAATAATCAAAAATAAAATAATTTAAAAGGACTGACACCGCGATGGTGTGCGTGCGTGTGTGTGTTTTTGTCTGTGCGTGCGCGGGTCGTTAGTGCGCGCTTTTCTCTCCGGCCGTTTGATTTTCTTTGCCGTGTTCGATTTCCGATTATCGAAAATTTAGGTTATAAAAATTTGTCGGTAGTTTGGTACGCGCCGTCCACTGTTTTTATTCCTTTCGGTTCGTTTGTGCTTATCCCGTTCCGTCGAGTTTTTGAACCTTTGATGATAACACAGTTATTGCGCGTATTTCAAAGTGTGTACCGATCGCCGCTGCTGGTTAGTATAATTATTAATTAGTTATGTCACTTGTAAAGCATTCCGTCATAATATATCAGTGTTTTTTAAATTCTTTCTTCCGAAAAGTCCATCTGTATTCGATTCGTTCTTCGGATGTCGGACATAATAACAAACGCTTTGGTTTAGCTGTTAAACTGTGAACGTGACACCGTTATTCGCGTATTTCGTGTCGATGTCGGGTTAGCGACGACGTTCCGTAAAATAAATTTAGCTACAATACGATCGAGATTACCATCCGTCGTCAATGGGTTAGTTGCCCAAGAATCGAAAAACAGCGAACCTCGATGTTTTAGAGCTGATTACGACGCCCAAAAATCGCTGGGTTTTCTGTTTTCACAACAATCCGGTCTCAGCGGCTTTCCAGTTATGTGGTCCACGGCTTTACAACTGTGTTTTATACGAGGTCGTAGTTTACAAGTTTCCTGTGAGTATCTGCTCTACTAGTCATGACATTGAGTCAGTTACAAATTGGCTAGGTACTTTTCTATACTTAGTTTGTTGATTGAATATGCGATTTTATCTTATGGTGGTATGTACTGCTTTCTTACTGAAAAGTGATTTTTCATTGTTATCGTTCACTAAAACCAATCACTGCATTAGATTTTAATTGATTTCTATGCATTGTTGTCAATATTAATAAAAAAAGTTGTGAAACAATTATGACTTCTGTTTGTATTCACTCGTAAATATACAGAATCTGTGATCAAACTTTCTATTTTTGTGTTTTCTGATTGATTTTTGAATTTTTTTCTTGTTCTTCACATCTAAGAAATGTCCGGTAAATCCAAAATCTAGTCAATGGTTTCATTTTATTTTATAAAGAAAAATACAAAGTGCCAAAAGTCAGAGATAGACCATAATTTGTATAGTTATCTATTAATTTTTAGAATGATAATATAAGTACACTAAATTTTAACCTAAATAAAACGTTTCCAAGGGACAAAATGTTTTTTTCCCAATTTCTATTCAAAATGTTATCGGTTTGAATTTATTAAACCATGATTTATCATGGACTCAATGTCCGATTCAAACATATGCTGTTAATGTAGTCTTTGTGACTAGCATACATTTTCATATTTGTTCCTCAGAAATATAATTTATTTGAAAACTGTTATCAGTATCAGGTATCTATAATGAAGGTACTTATAATTTTGTTTATGTAACCTATGTTTTATTTAATTTGTTTAAATAATTATATATAAATCTTATAAGTACTATAAATTTTAATTGGATACTTACCTAAATTTATTTTATTCAGTGATGGGAAAGAACACAATCCTTTTGAACAAGTTTTATGAGAAAAGAATTTGAATACATTCAATTTTCAATAAATGATAAATCTAAGTTCTTATCTTTTATGAATGTGGAAGTTTTTGGTTTTTTTCTCATTTGTTTAATTTAATTTTCATTGACCATAATTATGTTTATTACTAATATTTTATATGCATATAGGAAAAGGAAATTTAAATTATTATTTACTAAGTATAGAAAAAAATAAAGTACTATTTATATATTTTGAATAATTTGTAGTTTGTACTATGAATAGATAAAAGACAATGATATGAATCAGGATATACAATTTATTATTATAAGTTATTTTTACAATCCTCAATTAGGAAAATGCAGTTATTTGCTGTTCAGTGTATGCTATTTATATACTTGTTTAAAACCCATGCATGAGTATTAATTGGTTAGTTTAATTTATTTTTCTATTGACAATATTATGTACTATGTTAAATATTAAATATTATATTTTAGATTTTAAGTGTACCGAAGAATGTATTGGTTTTATAATGATGTTTTTATTATTTTATTTTTTTACTGTGACAAAAATGACCGCTTGAAATTTATATAATTTTTAGTTTAAATTATAATCTATAAATACAGTATAATAAATGCTTCAAATAGTTTTTGTACCTTTTTATAAATTTTAAAATATAAAATATAAATGGCAGGCATTAACTAAGGCCCATTCTCACCAATGTAAACGTTGATTTTTAAATGGAGTTTATAAGATAGTCGACCAATCGTGGTCAGTTATTAGCCATAAACTCAGTTTAAGAATCGGATAAATGCCTTTTTTACGTTAATGAAAATGGCCCTAAACCTGTGTGGCAGGGGTCAACCAGTAGGTACCATTATTTTTGCAAAGCCACGTAGCTCACAAGGAAATACAAATGCAGTACAATATTGAATTTAATATATATTTATTTTACTATATGATATAATATATATTGTTGAAAAGCAATACTATTAACTGAGCTCTGCTCAGAATCGTTTTCGTTAGCAATGATTAATCTTTTTTTACAGATATAGGTGCATTAAATTCCCCTCTAAATTCTACCTTTCCAATTTTTCATCTACAATAGTGGTTTATCCATCGTGTGAAGTATGTCCATTTTTTTAAAATTGCACTTAACATTTTGTTTCTGTGATGGTTAGGTATATTAATATATTATTAATATTATCATTATATAAAATCATTTTTTTAACTATTGTAATGAATACTGTAAGCATAGAAAACTTATTTTTTAAGCATTGTAATATTGCTGTACCTTACCCCTTGCTGGTTTTAATAAATTGAATTATTATAAAGTAGAAATAGCTTGCATTTGCATTATTAAAATATAATTTGTTAGGTAGATATTACTTAGCTTTTTGCTATTATTCAATGGTTGAAAGTTGGTTAGCAGAAAATTGTATGTAACAATTATTTTTTTTAATAAATATTTAAATTCCGAAACTAGTGAAGAGAGATTGTTTCATTCTGCTTTTAAATCAAAAATGTTTATTAATTTCATAAATATATTATTTATATTTATATATAGAATTTCCCCATGACTAATTTCTTTGTTTAATGAACGGGTAATTAATTCTCATTTAGGTATTTTTTATAAAATTGAATGCACTTAATTCTAAATTTGATTTTGTTGTTAACTTTTTAGAATTTTGGTTTCTATGTACAAATTTACAAGTATTAACAAACGATAATGAGTCAAGAAGTAGATGAAGCAATAGTAACCAAAGTTAATGAAGCTGAAACAGATGGAAATGGTATATTTTTTTTTTTAGTGATGTTTTAATGTCTGGTTATTTAGAATTTATTTTATTTATGTTTTTTTATACACAGCACTTAAACAAGAACTTACCAATGTAGACGTATTGATATGTGGCTTATGTCATATAGGATTTCATTTTGTAGAGGAATTTCAGGAGCACAAAATTGATGGATCATGTAAAAAAGTATCCGCTTTTCGTGATCAAAATACAATGGTACTTCAAGATTTTTAATTTTTTAAATTACAATTAGTTTTGTAGGAGTTTAAAAATAATAAATAAGTTTAACTCTTAACATAATATTCAAAGTGTTTGATATCTAAGTAGCAATACTAAAGCCCTAACAATTATTAATATTATTCAATACTTTTGAATATATTATTTTTATATTCAAAGTTAATTGATAAAATATTTTTATTTTTTAAACTAGTTATTTTGTTATTTATCTTAATATTCTTTTTTTTTAAATTCTATATAAAATGCTGATTTTGCTTTTATATGTAAATTGTAATTGGGTAATGTGTATGTATATTTTATCAAATAAAATTGTATTTTTTATAGGACAACAAACCACAAATTGTAGGATTTCTACTATGGAAAAATTCTCAAGCCAAGCCTATTGGTTTGTACATGTTTACTTTTTATTTAATAATAATAAATAGTAATTTTCCCTTTAGTTTGTGTGATTTTTATCAAGTACTTATTTAAAATAAGTCAAAAATGATAATTAGCTCAACTTAAATAAATAAATAAATATATTTGTTTACTTTGCTTTATTATATTATTTTTTAATACAGCTGAAAATCCAGAGGAATGGAAAGTTTATCAAATGTGGTGCTTGCTCCCTGAAAATGTTAAAAATAGTTGGATAGAAGCTGGTAAAACTATTAACACTTACGATGAGTTTGCTAAAACTATTCCTAATAAGGTTAGTAGTTATATTTTTTTATTTTCATTTTATCTAATATTTATGCATATTTATCATTGATTATAAATACTATATGTTATTGACTGGTCAGGTTTTACAATGAAACTAAATAAAACTTAAAAGATTTTGACTATAAGATAGGAAATTTTTTTTGGCTGTTTTATACAAAGAAAGAGTATGGTGGTGGTTTCTGAGAAATCTAATTTTTTCTGGTCATGAGCAATATTGTAATTTTAATTCTTTTCATATTTATTTTATTTGCTCAAGTCTGCCATTAGAATTATTTAGTTAATATAATATTAATGATTGAATATCTCATGTGATTATTTTTAATAAATCGACTGGTAAAAAGTAAAAGAGGCTAAGCGACAGTTTTATTACTTTTCAGGAAAGCAGAAACAAAATTTTCATTTGTTCTTAACTTTGGCATTGGCGCTTCAGTATTTATTTAAGCTTTTAGGAATGAAGTTATTATATATTTTTATTTCATTTTATGTTACCTTAATGGCTTGATACTAGTTACATAGGAAATGTTTAATAATGTTTGTTTTAAACACAATGAATTTTTCTTAAAACTTATTATTTTTTGTCCCTTGACTCTAGATTTTTTTTTTTTTTCAGAAGTAAGAATATTTTTATTTTTAAAAAACACTTATGTTTCTTGATTCAAAATTTGATTATAAAATTATAATTATATGCAATAAATTATGTATTTATCTAATGAATAAAATCATAATCCCTTGATCAAGAATAATATATGAATAATAATATAATAATATATAATAAATGCCATTTTTAAATGAGCAATCAGAAATGTGCAGGTATAAATAAATTAAACTACAACAATACTAATGATTAATATTATAATATAATATATGTTTACCTTTCCTTGTTCTTTCGTTGTTTAATCACCATTCACTATGAAAAACAAACAAACAAAAATATTGTGACAGATTTTACTCGATATCTATCTTATAATAATATTTAATATCTAATTATTGATAATAATGATAATATCCAACCACATAATAATTATGTTATTCTGTGATATAACATTGATACCAATATTATAAAAGGTGATAAGCGATAATAGTGGGGTCCAAGTGCTGTGTAGTTGTCACTTAGCAAACACAGTTTTAATTAGTGTCGCCCATACCCAAAAAATGTGTTTAACCCCTACTTTTTTTTCATACTTCTGTCATTAAATGTCACTAGTACCAAAAAATAAAATATATCTCATTACTAAATGGTCATATGAACACTAGTGCTCATGTGATTGAAGTCTTTAAGTATCGGCTGTCCCGTACTATACACCATATCGCTTAACCTCTTTTGTCTTTTACCAGTCTATATTATCACAAACATTATTGTAGTAATTATTTATTATAGAATTTGTCAAAATGAGCATCTTTTCAAACTTTAATCTGAACTGATGTATTCAATCTGTCAATTGAAATATTAAAAGCAATTGTGATTAACATCTTTAAATAAATATGTATAATATAATAAAATTTTATATTGTCATAGTAGACTCTGTAATTTAAAATTCAGAGGATTAAGCTGAAAATTCTATTTATAGAGGTTTTTGATTTAACTTGAGTTCAAACTATGGAGGGGAAAAAAAAGAAATAATTCAAACTAAATAAAGTTGATTTGTAGGTACATATTTTATAATTTTAAAAAAATTGGTTATTTTCCTTTGGAATCATATTTCAGCTACAATTTAGTTTAGTCCATATTGTTATCTTAAAACCATGGTCTTGAAAATTATATTACATTTTTCTTCATCCATTTCGAGTAATAACTAAATATTTAAATTACAGAGGTTCTGGTCAAAAATATATGGATTGTAGTATCTGTCATCTCATATTTTATTAAAGGTTTTATACATGTATTTTCTTTAAATTCTTTGTTTTTCTTAGGGGACTTATTGTTTAGTTAAATCTATGGAGTTTTTATGAATTATTGAGAGTGCTTTATATTTATGCATTTTATGTGTGTTAGTTCATAGTATTTTTTTTCCATTTTATCTCCAAGAATTATTATAATTTTTTTTAATAAATTAAATCTACTCCATTTTTCTGGTCATTGTAATATGAATAATTAATGTTATTCACATCATAAGATTATGGATTGGTCCAGATTATTGTGCATGGTATAATTTAATACACACTCTGAAATAAATCAATGTAAATAATAATAGTGCTTATTTCAGCAATGAAAAAACATAGCATTCCATAGTGTTTATGTCCAATTATTTGAACATAGTTTTATATGCAGTTAGCAATCTACAGTATTTATAATCAATGACATTTATTTAATAATTTATTTGGTCCTAGGTTATTAAACATGCCCAAAATTCTTCAAATGGCAATTTAGAAGACCAACCACCAGTTACTATGAAACCTAGTGGTGAATTCCCTTCAGGGCAGGAGTTTGTAGTAGAAAGAGTTGTTGCACGTCGTTTTAATCAAAAAAGAAGACAATTTGAATATTTATTAAAATGGGAAGGTTACCCCCCTGAACAAAATACTTGGGAACCAGCAGAAAACATGTCAGCATGTGCTCACCTTATAAAACAGTATGAAGATACATTAGTTAAAAATGGTTCTGCTTCATCAACACCAGGAGTAAAGAAACCTGGACGCCCTCGGAAAATTGAACAGATCCAAAATATTGGTATAACTAAACCTAAGGTTTCTCCTCAACCACAAGTTGTTGAACAAGTTGGATTAGGAGGGTGAGAATTTAAATAAAATATTTGTATTATTTGTATATTCTAAAAAAAATGTATATATATATATATTTTGATTTTGAAACCTTAAATATGTGGCCTGTTAAAACTAAAAATGAAAGTAATATTGACTCATTAATCATTTATTTAGATAATATTAATTGTGTGTGTAGATTTAATTGGGGTAAGACATTATAATTATAGAAATTATCAATTATAAATTATAAATAATTCAAACAAATTAAAAAGTTCATTTTTGTATTATTTTACAGTTCCTTATTTTAAAATTTAAGATTTTTTATTTAAAGATGTCAACTAATATAATTGACATAATATTTTTCCAACATAATATAGGTAGTATTTTTTACAATTATTAAGTAAGAAAAGTTTCCATTAAGACAATATTATTTGAACATTGTAGAATAATATATTATAGTTCCAATTATTTTTAATTATTGAATTGTAGGTTTTGATATTCACTTGTAGAATATCAATTATGCCTATTGTCTTTTATTGCTTTATTGTTGTGGTTACCAATGTCAATATGGATAAAACAGTATATGTTCATAATCATTACCACTATTAACTCTTTGACTGCCATGAATTCTTAAATTATTGTACATGTCAACTATACCTTTTTAATTTTTAAATTTTGATTTTGAATTGCTTTGCGGAGCAAGATTCAGCAGTTATAAATTAATCAAAATATTAGTTTATAAATTAAAAAAATATACAAGAAACAATGTATTTAGCATGCTACTGATTTATCTTTAATCTCAAATAAATTTTACATCAATTTTCATATTTTAGTTTTTATAAATTTTATTTGTTTAAAAAGGAGGCCAGTAAGGAGTAGTAAACAAAAAGCAATGGATCAAGTTAAATATTGGTGTGGTACCATGAAGGCCAATGAAGAAGTAATTGAACCTAAAAGTACTGCTCCACAAAACGTACTGAAACGTGACTATGTTATGCTTGAAGATGAAGAAGAAGATGAAGATAGTCCAGTAGTAAAAAAAAAATATTTTCATCCAGATTCTGAGGATGAAGACTGGGACGATCCATCATTACATAAATTAAATACAACCATTCATGAACACGAAGAACCACATAATAGTATAGGAAAAATTATTCCTAGAGGTAAACTGAGTATGTCATTATATGAATTATTATTTATTTTCAAATGCATAATTTATTGGAAATATTTCTTATTTTGGTAATTTTTTAAATTTTTGATGTATGATTGTTGTCATACCAGTTATCTGCTTGCCATGGTAATCATGATGCTATAAGAAAAGAAAAGGTTCAATTTATCTTAAAGTTTATTATAAATGGTTTAAGTCTAAATGTGTACAATATTCATATATTAAGTAAATATTTACCTCACAGAAAATTGCAATTTTTTAAAAAAGAAAAGTTCTGGTGAAATACATTTGTTGTTCCAAACATTGTTCCTATTTCATTAAAACTTATCTTAATTTATACAATTTTATGTAAGCATTTATAAGATACTAGTAAACATAATTTGTAATTTCCAATAATTTATTACAATTTGTCCGAATACAAAAAGTTCTATTTGAACGCACAATAACCATTTGATTTTTTTGGATAATAATTATTATTTTTAGGTCAATTAACAATGGAAGAACGTATTAAGTTTAATGTCTCAAGAAGTATTACCAGACCATCAGTATTTCCTATGTTAAAACGTGAAGAACGTGTTAAAAAAATTAAAAATCATTTAAATCATTTCAATAATGTTAATCGAAATTCTGATATGGGTTTCTTACAAATTTCTCCTCATTTAACTCAAGTAATACATTTAATATACAAATTTCAAATTTGAATCTAATAAATTAATATAAGATAACATATTTTATATTTATAATATATATTTTTTAAGGTTACTTTAGCAGCAATGAAAGGTTTTGTGAAATTAGAAACTAATCAAGTGCCACTGTCTGGTATCTACGTATTTTCTAATGTAGATGGATTTACCAGATTAAATGACAGTGATAAAACTCAAAGTATGATGATGATGATGAAAAATCGAGATGAACCAAAGAAAGGCAAAGTAGTTTATGCTGATGGAGCTCAAGCCCTTCAACCTCCAAAGAAAACACTTGACATAAATAAAGCAAGAGAAGCTGTACATCAGTCATCTCCCTTGCTGAAATCTTATACAAAAAAGTAAATATGTTATTAATTTTTAGTGACTTAAAATTAATTACCAAAATAATTATTTACATATGTTTAGAACATCATTAATGCAAAATACAAAAATCCAGGCTGCTGTAAAGCCTAGACCATTTTTGCACAAAGTTGCTGCTGCTAATCCAGAGTACGAGAAGTCTTTACTTCAGGTATTTATCTAAAATAAGAAATTAAGTATTTATTAATTTTCTGTCATAATCCATAATTATAATGATTAATTATTGCTTTAGAAACATCAAGGTTCACCTGGAATGAAAGCCCACCATAATAATATGACATTTGTTCCTAGGCGTACTCTTAATAATAGAGTTCAACAAGGTAATATTTGTTGTATAATATCTTTGTTATTATGCAATATTATAATTACTCTTAGCAAACCTAAAGTAATATTACATTTTATTAATCTCAAATTTGTTGACCTTAAAATTTATTTTTATTGGTATTTTTCTTTAGTTTATATGTTTTGCATTTAATAGAAATACAAATTGGTTGGTTATTAATTCATAATTAATAACATAATCCATTATGTTCAAAGTTAATATTGTAAATTTGATTGATAGTAAATAATTCTAATATAATGTGTAATATAGAAAAAATCCTATTTGGGTTTGTTTTATTTTCACATTAGAGTAATAAGAGTAACTACAGACTTATTAGAGAGAGTTGAGGGTTCTAAATCCTCCTTTTTGAACCAATTTCTAAATTTAATATAATAATGAGCAATATTATTTAAAATAATTACAAGATGTGTTTTAAATTTAGATCTCTTTCCCTATAATATGTTTTTTTTAGATATATGGTTGTTAGTGACTAAATATTTTAAAGTTTTTTGATGATTAAAATTGATAGTAATTGTTTGTTTCATACATTTTTTACGATACCCAGATTATGGGATCAAAATTAAGTTAAATTTGTTTTATTAATGATTGGTATATTTTTCTTTTCTTTATCACTATTTTCAATTTTATTCGTTGTTTTTTTTGTTAGTTTCAACATAAATTTCTTTAAAAACGACCAATATTTCAATCTATTGAACGAAATTCAATAATATTTATTAACTTTCAAATTCTTTATAATATAATAAAATGAGAGATATTTAAAAAATAATATTAGTCTAATAATTTGATTTAGTATATTTTAATTAGTTTTGTTTTTTTTAAAATTATAAAAACAAAAACTTAAACATTCATATATTGGGGGTATCTAAAGTTCTAAGTACTTGAGAAATGCGAAATTAATCGCTGCTGTTCATGGCCAATATTTTCCAGGTGCTTACGCTTATAACACCCCAGAGCAGTTAGAATTTTGGGAAGACGCCATGTCTTCCGACACTGATGACGGCCTGTCGGACCATTTCCCATCAGAAGGTTCTTAATATTAAATTTTCTTTGAAACAAGTTTCACAATCACTTTTGACAGATTTTTGATGACTTACATCTTGATTCAGAAACTAAAGTTAAAATCCTTGAAATTATTTTTTAGCTAAATAACATAGTTTTAGAAAACGCAGCATTATGGTCACAACAGCAGCGGTTATGGGCCGCAATAAAAAAATAGTTTTGACTTAAAACATAATCATGACGTGTTTGTCATCAAAAGTTTGTCATGATATTTACAATCAAATTGATATTTGTATTAATTATTTCAGATGTTTCAATTCCACCTAATAGTCCAAATAGACCGCTAACACTTTGTCCTACCACTGGAAAAAGATTAATGAGAGCTGAAGGTGAAAAAACACCAGAGCCTACTCCGCCATCAAGCCCTAAGTCAATGTTAACTATGGATGAAACATCTATGATGAATAGACAGAATGAAAGTCTTACTTTACCAACCTTAATTAAAGTATGCATTTATTATTATTATTATAAGCAAAAAATAAATAAATAATTTTTTAGCTGGAACCTGGAACGGTAAATTTAGGATCTCAAAATCCAATGATATCAATTAATGAACATGAGAAAATGAATATGAATCGTGCATCTCAAATGCAACCTCAAATCAGACAGAGTTTTGTTAACTATAAAGACATTCCAGCTGCTTCTAATTCTGGTTTACGCATGAAAAAAACAAATTCAAGATCAAATAATAGGTATGCATTGTAGATGAATAAAATATTTTTGACTAAACATTATGTTAATAATTTAAATTTATTGGTTTAGTAATAAATCTTTGCATGTTAGCTCTGGCATGTCCAAATCCCATAGCTCATTAAACGTTCCAGCTCGGAAAATACAACAAAAACAAGAACCTCAAGTAACTCAACAGTTTTCAAACCAACCAGCTATACTTACAGATGAATCTGGACGTTTAATTTTATCAGCTGATGATGCAGATAGTATGATTACTATTACGGGAGATGATGGGTTGCTTTACCAGGTACAAATACAGAAATACAAATCGTAAAAGTTTTGTCTAATCCTTTTACTGCATAATAAATAATTATTACATATTATATTTTGAGCGAAGCGGGAATGTATTGGTTTTACAATGGTTTTTATTTTTTATAGTGGGTTTCATAATTGGGAATGTTTATAAAATGTATTATTTTAAATTTTGTTTTTTGTTATAATTCAGTTTAAAATATTTGTAGAGACTTGAAATTTGAATAGAATCAAATTTTTTTGAGCTATTCATAGACATTTTAAAATTAAGTTTTTAACCTAATTTTTTTGTGATAGGTATTTGGTAGATAAAATGTTGGATCAAACAGAAATGCTTGAAAATTTAACATGAGGTTCATTATAATTACTTAGTAGTAAAAAAAAAAAAAAAATCAGTGTAATATAGAATTTCATAAACATTTATAACCGAACTGCTCAGAATCATTTATCGTTAGCAATGATCAATTGTTGTGTACAGATATATATATATTAAATTACCATCTATATTCTACCTTGCCTATTTCTCACTTATAGCATGCAATATCATGCAGAGTATGTCCATATTTTTTAAATGTAACATAATGTATAGTTATAAAAATAAAAATAAATAGTTTTATTATCAAATAACTCAACATAGTCACTCTTACCACAATTTTATAAAACTTAACTAAGTTTCATTGGAATAGTCTTATCACATAAAAACATCTGACACTTCTCTCTACTTTATCTAACCACACTTATTCCTATGTTTCTCGAATGCCACAATAGATCGCAAGTTCCTAAAACTGTCAATCTCTCCATTAATTGATTATTTTCTCAAGTTGTCTTTTTGTGTTTCTCCAAACTCATTCTGTTTTACTTCTACTTATCTCTAGCTCCTTTACTTCAAGTGCTACTTTCCATTTCTTATACCTACAGTTAACGTAATCCAGATTTTTTCTTATTAAAATTATTATCTTAAAACAGGACAACCTACCAAAGTTTTTTTAGAACCCCTTATAATACTGCTTGATAGAATTTTATACCGACTGTGTTTACCTGACGCAACCTCATTTGTCAATTCTTACTACAAGTAAAAGTACCGTGATAGTATTCTGATCCATCTTTACTAAGAGAATGGTATTGTCAACTATAAGATGAATTCCTCTACCCTACAGAATCAATATCATATGCCTACTAGAATCACTCACTTGTGCTTCCCATTAATAGGAGCTCGAGGTCTGGGTTTGTTTAATCTGTAGAAGCATTTTTTTTTTCACTTCAACTTGAATAATTGCTCCGGAAACCGTGTGAGCATTGCTTTGGGGCCGTTGCAATAATTTATTGTCTGTAAAACCATTGTGTAAACATAATGAATACATAAATTACACGTTTACAAAACAATTGCATCTAGAAAAGACTAGAACAACTTCGATGGCTTCCTGGACTGGGCTGTGCATTTATATTATTCTTTTCTAGTTCTGATAAAATAAAGAATACAATTTTTAAGCTATTTTTGTAGACATTTAAAATAAAATTTTATTTGTTTTAATATTCAATTAGGATAAAATTGTTTGTCTGAACAGAAATGCTTTAAACTTTAATGTGAAGTTTGTTATTAGTTTAAATTAGAAGTAAAAAAAGTTTGAGTTATACTAAACTATTTTGATAAATTTGACTCAAATATTGAAATTTACCACATGTCAAAACATGTGGTTCAAACCCAAACTTTGTTCAAAAATGTAATTTTTGTCAACATGGATTTATGGAAGTTTACATATATAAATTAAATAACTGTATCCTAACTTCCCACTTATAACAGTAACGCACTCATCAGCTATTTTCTATTTTTGTTATGTAGGTTTCTGCGGCACAATTAGCAGCTAGTGGAGGTACAGTTTTATTGGCTGGAAATGGTGAAGGAGATGGGCAACAATGCGTGTTTCTTACAGAAGATGGAAATGGTATGATTCAAGGTAATGCGAATCAAGAAGGAATGATGACTTTGGATGATTTTAGCAGCTCTGTTGGTCAGATGATGCCACAACAGGTGTGTAAAATTACAAGCATATTAATACAAAAACTATATAATATAATACATATATATATATATATATATATATATATATATATATACATATATATACACAGTGTTCATATTTCTAGGGTAATACTAATTATTTTTGCCAGATTGACTTGGCTTTGAATTCGTATTTTGGGAGATGTTGAGGGTAATGAAATTATTATAAATTTCAAATGTCAACATTTTTTGATACTTGCGTGCGCCATAAAAATGTCTTTTTAAATAGTAACACATATTTTTGACACTATATATCGAACAGTCTTATTATTATTTCACAAATATAACTTAAAAAGTATAAAAATTACTGTTTTATAGAAAGTTATTTATAATTTAAAACCTTAGGCCTGGAATTATATGCATTTAAAAAATGTGAAATATGCACTTATGCATACAAAAGTAGCTAAATATGCAATTACACAATATATATATTAAAACAAAAAACATTTTTTACACTGACAATTTAATGTTTTAAACCGTTAAATTTTCTATCAAAAACAAAGAAATATTTAATTAAAATAATTATAATTGAAATAAATTTTAAATAGATTAAAATGTAATTCTTTAATATTGTATAATTTTCAAAAAGATCATCAACAGTTAATAAAAAAACATAAAAGGTAAAACAAATTAACAAAATTATAAAACCAAGGTATTGGTGATTGTGATGTATTTATTTTCGTTATCTAAATTTCACACACTGAGGTAAACTTAAAAATTTTTCAACAAAATTATTCTAAGAAATAATGTCTACAATTTTTGTCATTAGTAAAATTGATTTATCATAAATATAATTTCTCAATTGATTTAAAACATTAAATAAGCAAAATAAAATTTGGTATTTAAATTATATATGATATGGACAGTCAACATTTCAAATCTCCCCTAGATGTGCATACATTATATATAAACATACAAATGCATATAATTCCGAGCTTTAGTAATACATTCATGTACACATACATACTAAGATTTGTTTAAAATATTTTTATAATTCACAAAATTTAGATAGTTGTATATCGAGCAATTTTTGAGATAAAAAATGTATTGACATAAATTGTTTGAAAAAAATAAGACAATTTAAATCTAGTGTCATAAGTTAACTGTTACTGTTCAAAAAAGTAATTTTATTTGCACATATGCACACACTATAATAAATGATAAAACTGTAATCTCTCATTCTTTCTACTTTCATTATCGGTGTTATGCACATGTCCATAATATTTTCTGTCTATTATATAATACAGTAAAATTTTTGAATCGCATACATTCTAGGTTATCCAAATTTTGTCCTCTTCAGAGGGAGTAAATGTTTGAAATGCATAAAGGGTAAATATGTAAATTAAAACCTTTGTGCTGGGTAAAATTAAATTATAATGCTATTGTTAAGTATAATTACTAATTATATAGATTCAATATTGTATAAAACAATATTTTTGATAATTTATATCTTCTTTAAATAATTAAAATGTATGAAATGGTATGAATTTTAGAAAATTAAAGTATAAAAACATATTCTCTAGTGACTAACCACATTTTGGTCATGAGGAGAGTACATCCGCTATTCGTACTTCTAAACTATTGAAAAACAGTGAAAATGTTCCCACTCTCCTAAAAAAATCATAAGTTATTGGAAGATGTCTATTAGGGGAGATTTTATTATATTATTATAATGTAATTATTGTGAGAAAAATCAAATTTATACTTTTTAAAATAATTTAGGGAGAATCTGTAATCCCAAAATACATTGTCATTTATCACCATATATATAAGCAGAAAAATCACACTAGACACAGTCATATTAAATTATTTTGGTCTATATAATATTATTTCTAAATTTTGTTTTATTAGAAGCCAACTATCAATTGGTATAATAAGTAGTCATCAAAAAAAAAAGAAATTCATAATTTATTGTTTTTTATAGTTGGACTTAGGAAATTTGGTCACTGATGATGCAGGAAATATGTATATTAAAGATAATGAAACTGGTCAATATGTACCTGTATCAGCTACAGAACAGGGAGGTCAAGTCGTTATACAACCAAGTGAAACTTATGCACAAGAACCTCAAGTTATGCAAGAAGAACAAGATCAATTGGTTGCACAAATTGTGGATGCTGGAGAGCCAACTCCTGGAGGCACGTTTTATATGACATATTTTACATTTTATTGTAAGCTAATAAATCTTTTTTTGAACAGGTGGTCCACGTAGAGTAGTCTTACAATTACCTGATGGTAATTTAATGGTAACTGAAATGGAGGAAGAACAGTTTGCTGCTCTTGAAATGGATAAATAGTATGTACTATGAATTATATATTATGTTTTTTAAGGTAAAATAGTTAATAGCTAATTTTTTCATACATTTTATTTAATTGGAATAACTCAATTAAAAACATGTTTTTTGTAATATTTTATTTATATTAACAGTAAAATATTATAATATTTAAAGATTTGAAAATCTTTATATTTGTATGACTGATTCAAATTGAAAAAAAAGAACATTTTTTTATTGAAAACAGAAAATGGATTACCTACCTATTATATTATATTTTACCTAATAATACATATATATTACAAAGGGATATTGTAAATCCACAATTATTATATTCAGATTAATAGAATTTTTATTTTTATTTCTGGTTTGGTTTGATTTTTTACTTCATTACTGTAAATTTATTTTACCAAATATTGATAGGTCTTTTTTTGTGAAATAGTATTAAAAATATTTATAGTAAATAAGTTTTTTTTTTTAATTTATTTTATTACTTGTTCAAAAAAAAATTATAAACTTGTAATTTTTGTGAAAATTAATATGGATTTGAAAATTATTAAAGATTGCAAAACCATTATAATATAATAATATTATAATGTTATGTATATAATATATTATAGACTAGGTTTTATTGATGATTATATTTATTTTAATTTTATACTATATATATGAAATAAAATCTGAACTATGTTCACTTTTATACTTGTAAATAAATGGAAATAAAGTATAAATACTATACCTGGCTTTTATTTATATTAATGTGTGAACATTGTGTGTGTTTTACATTAATTTTTATCATTGTATACTAATAATTGTTACTAATACTGTGCACTAAAATAATTTAAATAAACAAGTTATTTTGTTATTTTTTTTTTTACATATTGCTGCTGTCAAGTAAATATGTTTAACAAGTTGACTGCTATGATTACCATAAGTGGTACTCACATTATTTGTATTTTAATTCTATAAAAATACCGCGGCAGTCAACTTGTTAAAATAAAAATATCAATATAAAGACATTTAGCTAACCTTTGGATTGTTGCGGGTAACCGTTTTACAATTAGTTCCAGCCTTTGGGTGAACTTATAATCAAAGTCAGAAATGATGAATGTTATTTTTATTTATATTGTGAGAGTAAAAATTTTCAAACACTTATTAAATTTTATAACATAGTCTGGAGTGAAGGTGTTCACACTTTGTAGTGCCAGACTCATCTGAAAGGCGTTGGCGGCAGGTATATATAACCTGAACTTTCTGATTATATTTGCTTATTACTCGCTTTTCAACAAAACCATGACGTTGTGTAGCTGGGCGATAACTTTTAAATCTTATAATTGGATTTGAAATGCGCACATAAGTATTTTAGTTTGATATAATTTAGAATTAAATTCATTAGATACGCACATGTAGGTATTATAATAATTCTCAATGCTTGTATAACCAAAATTATAGTATTTAAACTCTGTGCCATGCCACTACCAAGCAACCACTCTCCCCCTGTTCCAACTAAAATGTTAAATATCTTGTCATCAGGTTCAAAAACGGGAAATCAAAAATTTCAACACCAGAATTTATTTGAAATATTACTCCATTTATTTATGGAATTTTCAATATAGGTTCCCATTTGAATTTTAAAAGTTAATACCTAAACGCGCCCCCCCCCCCCAAAAAAAAAAAAAAAAAATTCAGTAAAAAATGTATAAATTATTTTAGGTGTTTATAAATAAAGAAACTTTTATATTAAACATTTTTCTCTATTTTGATTATTTATAGGAGAAAAATGCTCTTAACATAAATTCTAATCATCCTGTATATTGTACATAAAAAAAAAAAAAAAAATTTAACAATATTATAAAAATACACTCATGTCACGTATTGACATATGTTTTCTGTTAAGGCTGCCACGGACCACAGGTTAAGAACCGCTGCACTAGGGTATAAGATGATGCGTATTTTTCTTATGAAGAATAATTATTGACCATTTTAATCTGCTGAATAACTGTCTTTTAATTCTCATGCTGATCCGAGTGACATGACGCCACTCAGCCCTGGACATTTCCTGATTGGTAGCCGACTGACAGCTCTACCAGAAGTTGATGAAACCACGGTACCAATAAATCGTATAGGTTGTTAGCATCGAGTGACCCAGAATTCCCATAATTTATGGAAGCGCTGGAGCTCCAGAAGATATGATCCAAGTAGGCCAGTAAAAGAGGAGTCTCCAATTAAAGATTAACACGGTTATCCTTTTAATGGATAAAAATTTGCTTTCGTTGAAATGGCGTATGAATAGAGTGTCCAAGTTGATATCCGGACCGACAAGGTAGTTCAAGTTGTCGAGGTTCAAACGGCCAACAGTACCTTCTCGCGCCAAGGCTGAAAACTTTGTCCCCTACCGTTTGCAGGAAATTGAGCAATGAGGTATTTTTAATTACGAAACACGTAAATTATTTTATTAATTTGATTTATTTGAGATATAAATCTCTGTTATAACTACATACATTTCTATGATTTTTTATACTTATATTACTTATTTATTATTATTTTTATGTCATATTCATAATCGTATTGAAACTATTTTCCAAGACGGGCAGCATGTTCCGTAGTAGATCGATATCCCTCCTTCCAATTTTGTCTAAACTTTAAGAGAAACTTCTACTTAATAGTGTAAAACTAATTATAGAGGAACAAAATATTTATATCGGAATATCAGTTTGGATTTCATAATAAACATTCGATAATTAATCAAGTCCATCGTGTTAACGTGATAACTGATAATTAAAGGTCTTGAAGAAAAAGGTATTGCTGTCGAGTCTTTCTTGACTTAGTTAAAGTTTTTGATAAAGTCTGGCACAAGCATTCCTACCTCATAAAACTGCGTGATCAACTGCTTCATACCTGGAGTGAATTTTTTGAATCAAATTTGCTCGACCGTCAATTCCCACTCATACATAAAGATGCGGTAATTGAATGGAAAAATATCACTGCTGAACTACCACAATATAGTGTTTTTGGACCTATCCTGTACTTACTCTATATGGCCAACGTTATGTAGCAAACAATGCCAATACAGTAATAGCTATACCGAGGATAAGGCAATGTCTTCGTCACATAAGGACCAGCTATAACTGCAACTGATATCTTGCAATAGTTAATTTACAACATCTATATCTGTACGAGACGTTTTAGAAAATTAAGATGAATGGTGATGAAAAAATTAACGTTATTTATACGTTTCGAAAAACCGAAAACATCCAATTTGTGCTAAATCAAAAATTAATCCCATAAAAAGATTCATCAAAATACCGTGGAGTACACCTCGACTTACTTTTAAATTGGAAATATCACATCCGTCAGAAAAATATACAGATTAAAGAAAAAATGCAAACACTATTATTGGTTAGTTGGAACCCACTTCGGGCCAACTATCGAGAAAAAAAATTTACTTTACAAGTATGTAGCTATTATAAAATCGATTTGAACCTGTGGCATTCAACTGTAGAGTTCTGCCAGTAAGTTTAACATTGATGTAATACAACACTGTCAAAACATTACTGCAATATACTGGTTTGAAATTAACGATATAATACTGCCTACAATATCAGACGAAATTAAAAGATTTGCTCGAAAACACGAGACGAAGGTAGATCACCATATAAATCCAATGACCATCTAATTATTAGACAATTCTAAGGACATTAGACTTTTTAAACGTCTGAAAACTTATGATTTAGTTTAAGAACTTAATTTTTAGAATTAGGGCAGGAACCACTTCATCATTACACAGTTTATATAATATACATTATTAAACATATTTATAAAGATGTTTGATTCGTTTAAAGAATAAAGAAATGATCTGAGGCTTTCCTCGGATCTTTTTAAAAAAAAAATCAATTAGAAACGAATATCGCTAAATCTACGGAAAATATGTATATCTTCCAAAGCAAAACGGAAAAAAACAAAGCTATGGAGAAGCTGTATTAATCTTGGAATCTAAGGAAAAGACTTTAGAACTATATAATCAAAAAGTGAATGAGTTTTCTTGAACTGAATGAACTAATTTAACGGAAAAATTTTTTATACCAGAATCTCTTTAAGATTCCAAATGATTAAATTCTATGAGTGATAATATTATACATGGGAAATTTTTTTTAAAAAAAAGATTATTCTTACGCCGTTAAAAATACAAATTGTAAATGTTTTTTTAACTATGTCATCTCATTTTTGATTAAACATTAATTCTATTAACATAAATTTTCTGCTTATTTTCTATTTATTTTACAAAATATACAGGCTTTATGCCCAATTAATGTGTTATTTATACAATATAACAAAAATTAACATTGTAAAACTAAATCAAACATATAAAAAATAATAATACATATTATTTAAAGAATATGAAGAAAAAATTGTCGGAATTTGCAAGACATGCAGCGGCGGAGAGGTTCATTAAGCCCATAATTGACTGTAGACGTAGAGAGCGAAAAAGGAACATACAGGCTGGAAGAACAGGTAGAAACACTAAAGGAAATCTTTGAGAGTAAGAAAGGTGAATCAATTTGCCCATATAACAGTTTGGCCAAAAAGCCGAGATTGATTGTGTACATACAATTGGCCTATGTTTCCAATTCAAAGAACTGGAGGACAGGTGTATAATCATGAGGAGTACACTCAATCTTAAAAACATAACTAACATAGTTTAAAAATTTGCGGTAAACATACTAAAGAATAAGTGAGTTATCCGCTGTGAGATGTTCCCATATGACCTATCCGTACTTTAAAATTGGCCTAACAAGCGAACAATAAAGAGCCTTTAAGAGATATTATAGTTTAAATTCTGAAGAAACATGCTTTATAAGTTCTACCGTTTTGAGAGCTTTGCAGCATACCAGCTCCACGTGCAAATTAGGGCCGAGAATTGAACTTACACATAACCAAGATCAGTGATGGATTCCCGGAACGAATCAAGAGAAGACCAAATTATGGAATAGTATTGGTATATGGTAAACTATAAAACTTCAAACTAAATCTCTAACACCGTTTTTTTTCTGAAAAAAACTGATTGGTGACTAAAATTACTTAATATGAAACTGTGAGAGATGACATCTAGTAGCAGTTCTGACGAAGAACTTCTTCTCCTTGCACTGAACTAAACGAAAAAAAGAAGAAAATGGGTGCACGAAATAAATGAAAAAAGAGAAGAGTTTGGTGAATTTCATCTCCTCTGCAATAAATTAACTTCTTACGAAGACCATTTTAAAAGTTATTTCCGTATAACTCGTGAACAATTCGGTGAATTACACGAACTCGTATCACCGGGGATATCAAACATAACCACAAACTGGAAAAAGCCTATTGGTTTAAAAGAAGGGCTTGCAATTTGTTTAAGGTAAGTTTTTATGAATAAACATACACATTATGAACTAAAAACAAGTTTATATTATAATTGATGTAGGAATAGATTTTTTGGTATAAATTTAAGTAAGTAGGGAAAGAATATAAATAAAACAATTTGGCGGTATTAAGTAGTATTTAATTAAGTAATATTTATAAAAATGAATTAATCCTGGGGTTAATACTAATGTATAATTTACTTATTATTTTAGATATTTGGCAACAGGAGAATCGCACCATACAATAGCATTTTCTTTCAGAGTCGGACGCACTACTGTTTCTAGTATTGTAAAAGAAGTATGTGCAGAGCTATGAAATGTTTTACAACCACTATATTTGACTACCCCTACAGAAGAAGTTTGGAAACAATCAGAAATTGGATTCAGAGAGCTATGGAATTTTCCTAACTTACTTCTTAGAAGTACCTCAACAATAGCCACAACAGATAAGTCAGAAGAAGAGAGTATTTCGTCTGCAGATAGCGCGTTTTCAAACACTCAACGAGTAAGAGAGAGGTCTAGTAATGCAGCCACTTCTGTTAGAGAAAACTTCCTTAATTATTTCAATTATTTACATAAATAAACTATTGATTAATTCATAATTATGTCTTAGATGTATTTCAAAATTGTATCACTTTTAGTTTTTTTCCCAAATAATAGTAATAATAATGATTATATTGTTAATTAATATACTAATGAAAAATTAAACAAAACGTTTCTACTTTATTATATTCATAATATTCATAATTTGATAATTATTTTTACTTACTTGAAAGGATAAGTATCCCGCAATTTCATTCCACTTCTCCGCTTTTTTTACTATATTTTTATAATCACAATGATTGGTGTCATATAAATACACACAGTTATGAACGAGATCTATTCAATTTTCAGTTAATTTTTCTGCCATAGTATATAATATTGCATACAATTTTATAATAATAATTTTTGTCCGCCGCGATCACTGTACATTATTACAACTGTGCCCGCGATAGGCTGCGCGGTCAGCCCGCTTTCTGTTTGACCGTACCTTTAAAATGCATTACCGCCGCCGCCGCTCAATGCATAATGAACGAAATAGGCACGTTTTGAATTTGAATGTGTGCGCGAGAAACGTTCGACGGGCAGCTTCGGTCATCGTCAAATGGGCGTGGCTCTGACCGTTGGCGACGAAAACGCGTCGCCGCCGACTATTACTCTTACGGTGGACAGAGTATATATAACAACAAAAAAATGTAATTTCTTTCGAAAAACCCCTACAATTTTGTTTAAATAGAATCAATAAATAATTTATTTTATATATCTGATGATGAATTAATGAATAATTTTAATTCTAATACATATGGTAAGTCACATTGTCATGTAACATAATAAATGATAAGCTTTTCCTTACTGTTTGGCCTGGTATGTGCTGCTTACCTAGCTTACCCTGACGGCACGTCACTGATTTTTGACAACAAAAAGAATAAATAATGTTTAAATATATTAAAAGTTTAACTTAACAATTATGTTGCTACCTTCCTTCTGACGTTTGGAAAGATTCGCAGTCATGAATTCAAAAATGGTGAAGAGATCAATAAATTAGAAATATATAATAATTTTACCTGCCAACGGTGTTGGAACGCTATGGCGTTTACCTGTAAATATCCTCACGTGATCACGGAGTCGTTGGACAACTATATTTTTTTTTTATTTTTAGACTCAAGATCGTATTGCTTTTAAAACAGATGAAGACATCATACAAATATTCAATCTTCTGAAGAGAAATTATCATTTAAAGCCCACGCATCCATGAGTAACTTAGAATGCAGTGACAATGGAAATCTATTATTAACTTCAGACTTTTTAAGACCACCTTATGCTTCTCTTTGGTCTATAGATAAAGGCCTAAGGTAAATTTTTTTCAATTAATCATTTTTAATAATACTTAATTTATTAAGGTATTCTTTGACTGATAATTTTTGCACTTTTAACAATCAATACCAAAACAAAATACTTGGAACTAAAGATGCAACAGCAACAGTAATTATAAATTTACCACTTTTTTTTTTTTTTTTAATAAAACACTTAAATGTATTCATAAATTTCTATTTTTTTTTTTTAGATTCATGATGTTGAATCAGGGAAAAAATGATGTCATTAGTACCAAAATATTATATTAGATACCCCACATAATCGTGCGGTATTTAATCCTGCCGATGAACTAGTATTATCTGCTGATGTGTTATAGGATACTATATCAAAAAAAAAAAAATAATAATGTATAAGTTTGATCAATTAAATGAAATTAAAGTTCGATTCAGTGAAATATTCCACCCAAACGGACTTGAGGTAAACATTTTTTTTTTTTTAACCAAACTTCATTTTCTAAACAGTTTAAATCAATTAAGTATTTCTTATTATTTTATAGATTCTGATTAATTCAGAGGTCTAGGATATGCGCACATTTAAATTATTACGTGTAGTACAAAGTCTTGATAATTGCAAGCTCATGTTCTCTAAATCTGGAGAAGCACTATATACGTATTTTAACATGTTTTGTGAAAACTTTAACATATTTTACTAAAATTTGAACATGTCTTTCATATATGATTACAATGTATTTAGAATAGTGGATCCTTATGACTATTCAAACACAGGTAAATATAATTGTTAGCATAGGTAATAGTAAATACTAGGTATAGGTGATTAGGTACCTTTTTTGCTAAAATCTAGGCAATTTTTGGTATTAACTTTAAAATAATGTTATGTTTTAGTGATAAGTAGGGCTCGGAACGTATAGGACTTTTTTGATTTTTTAAAGTGGTTTTTTGTGGATTTTAAATAAAATAAATCCTAAGCCCTAATGATAGGTGATAACATGTTAATATAGTATTAACGTTGTGGTTCAATAGATTAAATTAAACACATTAATACATCAATAATTTGTTTTTATGTATAAACAATTCTAAATAGTATTTTATAATAATAAATAATATTAATATTTGTATTTTGCTTTTATATTTAAACAAAGATATGATCAAAAATCAATCTTCGAGTATTGATTTCCAGACTTAGGCCCATTTTACCAACGTAAACGTTGATTTTAAACTGAGTTTATAAAATAATCGACCAATCGTGATCGGTTATCAGCTATAAACTCAGTTTAAGAATCAAATAAACGTCATTTTTTACGTTGATGAGAACGGCCTTTAGTGTACTTTCTTTGCTTGTATTATATAGTAACTTATTACTTGTATTTTTTAAAGTTGAGTAGATATCCTTTTGATCAATTCTAAATTTGATTTAGATATATTAAATCTATTGATTCAACTGGATCAAGGATCTTCAATCTTTTTAAGCAGCAGTTCATTTATTTTTTAAAACAATTATTACAAGCCGCATTTATAATAAAAAAATGTATTTCATACATTCATACATTCATACATATACATACAGAAATTTAGTTCTAGATTCAAAACGTATCAAAAAATATGGTTATTGATTTTACTACAATGTTTTTTTTAAACATTTTTTTTTTTGTCTGTAAAGAACATTTGATCAGAATACTTTCTAAAATCAAAAAATTACAAAATACCTTTATGTGATCTATTTGGCGCTTTAGAAATATAGTTGTTTAATATTCCAAGGAGTTTTTAAAATAATTTGAAAAAACCAAAAACAAAATTATAAGAAAAACAGATTAATATTTACAGAGTTCCGCGGCGTTACTAATTTCGGTTGTAATCCAATGTTACATGTAACTTACTATTAAAATCGACCTACAAGATGAATCGCGTGATATAGTATGTGACCTCTCTAATTATTAAAATATAGATTGAAGTGCTTAAAGATATTTTTCAAATATTGGTAAAAGCTTATTAAAAGCAAACGTTCATCACACAACACGCAAAACAAACTGAAAACAGATGTCTGATGATTGACAACTTAGCTGCCTAAACAATGTTAACCAACTTTATCTTTTTAAATATTCCACAATTAAAAAATCTCTAACGTGTATACAATGACTCATAAGTATTGTGATCAGATATAAAAATCCTAAAATCCATAATATTTTCAAAAAAATAGTACGATTTCATGTACTTAACTCTATTGCTGAGGACACAGGACAGTGCATCAAAAAAGACTACTGTTCTACGAAACGTACTCTTTTTCACAGTCTTTTTCTGGTCACCGTATCCACATGTAATTTTATGAAATCATAATTACTATAAGAGTCCTTATTTATAAAATACCTATCATCTAATTAATATAACTTTATCTTTAACCGTTAAAGAAATAGAAAAACAATAACATACGACTAGCGTGCGCAGGTCCTCTTGACAAGGGAAGTAAATATATTTGAATCAAACCTTACATAAAAAATTTCAATATTTTTGTACTTAAGTCTCCATTACATTGATTTTATATACTTAATATTTACTTAATGAAGATTTTATATGGGAGGGATTTGACTGAGTTTTTGGGGAGGGAGATAATATCCTCCAAAAACCGCTCCTCTATTTGCGTCAATGCACAAAATCAAAAGAACGTTAGGGTTTAATATTTAAAAACAAATTCATACCTAACACGTTTTTTTAATAACACTGTCAGAAAATTTCAGCTCCCTCTCCTACCTCCACCTGTTCCCACTGGTCACTGTAAGATACGTACATTTATTTTCCCATTCTTACAGTTACAGGCTTAGGACTGTAAACTTAGAAGTAAAGTAGGTATGGTTAAAAATGTGTGTACCGGTCATCTCTTAAATAAGAATAAGAATAATAATTCAAATTTAAAATTATTTTAAGCATTGAAATGGAAGCCAACAAGTCATAATAATAATAATAAAATAATTATAATCATAATACATAAGGTGATGATTTGAAGTAAACTTTTTTCAAATTTTGTAACAGTGTAAGTGTCCCATAACATATTCCATAGTATGATAGAAGTTAAATAAAAGTTTAAAAACGTACTACATTATACCTACATTTATCGTGTTTATTATATTATATTACGGGAACCAATTTAGCAGTCAGCTCCCATTTCGCCGCCGTTTCATTTCGCTGCCGTACCATTTCGCCGAATTTATTTTATCGCTGTTTCATTTCGTCAAATTTATTTTTTAAGTTACTTAATAAACTTAAAAGTTACAAAATATCAAAGGTGGACGAGTTAATGAAAATTATTAACTGTTGCAAGTTAATTGAATTCGTTTAAATTACCTTCAGTTAAAAGTTAACAAAAAAAATATTTAACTCAACATGTTTACAATTTAGATGAAAAATAAAATTTAGAATTCAGGGAACCAATTCAGCATATGGGTTTTGAGCTCGAAGCCCAATTCGGATACATCCATATTATTATACCACGCACAATGATCTGGTGGGTCATATTATTGGAGGTATGATGGCAGGTCACATATTTGACTACGTCCACGATTTCATTATTTTACATTTTTTGCTTCGTGTTTTCTACCAGGTATAATGCTTCAATAATCAATAAGAAAACGACAAGAGATGTTTTTTGTTCCAATTTTAAATTAGTTGTTGAGTTAATAAATTTTTTTTTTGATTTTCCAATCAGTTTTCATTTGATCAAAACCGAAAAAAAACGTACAATGAATGGGAAAATTTACGACAAAAATAGTTTCATTATTTTAAATATTTTTTTTCTTTGTAGAGACTTAATAGAAAATTTTTATTTACATTTTTTCGTAAATCTTGTAACCAGTCTAATTTGATTTAAATAGACAGAATATATGCTATGCTCAAACATTTTTTCTGGGCCTCTAATAATAACAAGATAATCGAGTTGAAGAACCCATTAAATCTACACTATTTGTTAGATACTAATTCTAGATTGCAAATGCACTTTTTTTGTTTCTATGTCCTTTTCTATATTTCCACATTCTTATGCATCATAAAATCTCTGGACCAAATTATCCATCATCTCTTATTATATCCGATAAACCCCAGTACCCTACTTTTTCTTTACTTATATGTTTTTTTAGTTATTAATAATATTATTATTATTAGGGCCTGTAACTTGATGACCTATAAAACATGAACAAATGCACGAAAAAAAATGAATAAAATGACAATGACATAAAAATGTTAAAAAATGACCTAAAAAAATGACTTGAAAAACTTATTTAAACTGTACAAATTAGAGGAAGTTAAATTACAAACAATATACAAGAAAATACATAATATAATAAAATATTTTTTATGGAAATGTTTTCTTATCATTAAATGAAAACACAAAGAAATTATTTCTGGTTTGCGATAAGATAATACTATGAATCGATTTGTGTTGGCCGACGCGGCACGGTGGTAGCGTCTCCATGCTAAATATAAACAAATATTCCATTATTGTATTCCTTATTATCTATGGGTTAAACATATTATCTTATCTATCCATTCAACATTTCGGTCGATTTTAGTTTTAGTTTTTTTTTTTTTTTTTTAATTTTTATTTAAAAAATTAATATAAGATGTTTATGTAGAACTGTGTGGAGAATTATTTTTGTAAGAATTTTAATATCAAAATTTTAACGAAAATCGTAAACATTAAAATTACAAAACATATATAATGGAACTCCGCTCAAAATCGTATTTCGTTAGCAAAAAATAATTGTTGAGTACAGAATATTATTTCTTCACTATCAATCTCTGCGGTGTTTTATCGTTGTCCAACATCTGTAGAGTAATACATTTTCGATTAGAATTATTATTGATACCATGAAACGGAACGTTGCCAAAAATGTAAAATAAGATAAAGGTACCTAGGTAGGTTTAGTTGACAGACTTCTTGTACAGAGTTTCTTAAGCTGCTTCGACACTGTCCAAAAATATCAAGTTAAAATATGTATGAATATTGAATGCAGAATATTAATATATTTTAGTCGAACAAATTTACTTAGTGACGATTGCCGATTGAAATTCTAATATTGCCGTATCTCACCTTCCTATGACCCACCTTCGGTTCGTTTCTGTGTATCCGTATCCCACCTTCTCAACTACACACCTACAACAGTGGCTATACCCGTCCCCAGTATCAGCTTATTTTTTTAATGTTTGCACCGCGTTGTGCCACGATCAGTTGTATTTATATAATAAATCAATAACTATATATAGTTTCTGCTTGGAAAATCAAACAATAACTTGGGTGGTAGCACCCAGATAAAATTTCCTTGAAAATCGGAGCGACATTTCTGGTAGAAAAATTACTTACAGATAAAAAAAAAAATAAAAATAAATTATTAAACACCATTAAAAAACCTTCCTCGCTTCACTAAGAATCTAAAAGGAAAGTTTCTAAATAATTGAGTTTACGATCACATACTAAATAATATTCGACCTTGTTTCAACCTTTTAGTTTCTGATTGATTTTATAATGATGTTTATTTTCTATCAAAAATCTTATTCCGATTTACTTTTTCTGACATGAAATCAGGCTGCGGAGGTACTTAAAAGAGGTAATTTTTTGATTTTCCCAGGAGTTTTTTCAACAAATGAGAAAAACTGGGAAAATAGGTACAATATTATTAAAACTATTATAACAAATATTATTAAAGAAAATATATGATATATATGTAATTGTTTTACCATTATACAAGTATGACATATATATTGTAAGACAACACTATCAACCGAACTCTGCTCAGAATCGTTTTTTCGTAATCAATGGTTAATCGTTGTTTTCAGATATACATAAAATTACTTCTAACAGTTAGCTGCACGCCTGCTTCTGTCCCCTAGTATCCTAGGATAGCTTTTTTATGTTGCATTCTATAGTGGGCAAATTGTATTGATGAACAAAAGTCTGTTTCGTTATTATTTTTACTTTTACACTGGTTTATATATTATAAGCTCAGTAACGGGTATAAATTTACTGGTGCGTAAGATGGGTGCATATAATACCTTTTATAATGTACGAATTTTAGGTTAACATATATCTCAGGTGGCTGAATAGATTGAAAGTAGGATCAACCGACAGAAGTTACTCAAATTCCCCACGCTACTAGAAAAAAAATTGTTCTATTCAGTTGTTATAAATTTATTGAACATAAATACTGATATTATAAATAATGTTTATTTTTGTAAATTAGTTGTCCAACTATGAAAAAAGCCCGAAATTAGCCGAATTTTATTCAAACATTCAATAGTTGGTTTCATTAACAGTAACATTCAATATAGGTGATACAAATGTACATTGTAATATTATACTCGTATTATATAATATAGTATAAATAATAATAATTTTAACACGCACCCTGTGGGAGAAGATCAATATATATAAAGGAAAAATACTACCACGGTACCTTTACCTGTCGTAAGAGGCATGAAATGTGACGGTGACTGCTGATGTAAAATTTTTTCTAACAGTATAAGGAGTTGTAAACACAAATTTGGCAGATTGTCCCATCTCGGGTATGCGTGGGGACAACAGGTGAAAGGAGGTATCATGATGCATGTATGATGTTTTGCAGATGATTTAGCTTTAATAGGAAAAAAATCTGTTATAAGTTAACAGTATAGGCTTGAAGAATAGTGTGTAACACTTAAAGGAAAGGAACTAGGGATAAATAGACTTAGAACAAAGTATGAGTTTGAAGGAACAGAAAATATCCTGTCACAGCTAACGACAATAAGTTATAAGCAAGTTTAAGAGCTTTAAGTACCTATAAGATATTTTCTACAAAAGAACAATGGCTTTCATAAGGATTACGTGTGATTGATTAAGTGGAGAGGAGTAATCTGTTTATTTTGAGTAAAGTGGAGTAATTTTTTTAGGTGTACTTTAAAATAATTTCAAATTAATCTTATACATTTTTATATACATATACAAAATTGGAAAATAAAGTTGGAAAGGTGTCTATGTTCTAAGAAGTAGGGGCGCCTTTTAGGTAAATCCATCACTGATTTTAAATGGCTTACTCGACAATAACAAAATATGTATTCAATCGGCTAATGTAGGACGGCTTACTTCACGAACATGCAAAATACTACGACATTGTTGCGTACAGATATAAATTTAATTACTCTATATATTCTCTCTTCTAACTACCCTCCTGAAATACAGCGGTACATCTATCAGCAGTATCGACCTTTTATTTTATTGGGCATTTACTTTTTGAATTTACAAACCTTTTCTACTGTCTGTTTGAATACTAAGAGGCTTGTTATTTACACTGTTTTGCAAATATACTCACACTAATTTATACATTCATCGGTTATCTAGAAAAATGTGTGTAGCAGTGCTCAGCCTTCACTAGCTGCAGCATAGTTAACAAAAATACCGATATATATTATTATGGGCTATATTCCTATAGATACCGCTGGTTTAAGATGTATACAGGGTGTCTTACGAATACATACACATTACAATATCTTCTGAAATAATAAAGATAATCAAATTCTGTTATTTTTATATTGCTCACAGGGATAAAGACTACAAATATATACACTTGAGTAAAATATTTGTATTTTAGTAAAAATAATAAAAGGTAACTTTTTATTTTACTATTTTTAAAAAATGTATAGATTTCAATTCCATCTTATAGAATTTATTTTTTTGAATAGTTTTCTTCAAATTATTAAAAATTACGAATTTAATGAAAATAAAAAGTTTAAACGTCAATTTTTCCAGATTAATAAATTCTTTAAAATGGCTACCATTAAATTTTCAAAAATAATAAAATAAAAAGTTGTTGTTTTAAGTTTTTTACGAAAACATAAGAAAATTAATTGAAATATTAATATTTGTAGTCATTATTCCTGTGAGTAATATAAAAATAACAGAATTCGATTATCTTTATTATATCTCCGTAAATATTACAATGTGTATATCTTCGAAGGACACCTTGTATAGACTAGAAACATTGTAAAATCCGTTTTATATTCTGTAGGAGAAAAACAAACAGCGATAAAATGGATAAAATGCATTAAAATAATATTATTATGGCTAATATTATATTGTATTAGTGTGACTTGTGTTTTCGGAACAGAAACACGAATAATAGGTAGGTATAGCATTAGGTTTAGGCACCTACCGAAGGTATATTATAATATAGTATGTATAGTACCTATGTATATATAATATTAATTAAAATATTGTAAATAGGAGTATAATTTTACAAATAATATTGGCGTTTAAAAATCGAATCATATTTTACTGGCAGTCCAATATTAATATTATAATCTAATCAAATAATAAATACACTAGGAATCTAAAATATAAATCATAAATGCATTTAAACGCAGATTGGGATAATACGCAGCTCGTAACAAATTATTATTATAAATAATGCTATAGTATGTACCGTATAGTTGTGTGTTTCTATCGTGTATGAACGCAACACACGTATACGTAGTCAGCGTATAAAAAAAAGTTTTTTTTTTTTTTAAAACATGATAATATACGGCCGCGAGTCACGGGGATTACGTCATCAGGTGACGTCATTCATAACACAAACGACTGCCGCCGCCGCATACGCACGCTGAAAAACACACATATATACATCACGACACGCAATAGTAATTGGGGCGCATTTATGGGTGGTAAGCATAATACACTATATTATGTTTGTATGGGCTTGGTTTAGATGTACGAACGGCTCTTTCTGAACTATATACAGGCTGATTCTTTTATTAATCCGAATTAAAACCTTCCAGGGAGGAAGGGGAAACCCCAACTCGTGTATTACTCATTCAACCATCGAGGTATGGACGACGTAGAAGTTAGGTTTTTTCGTTACTCTTCCTACTAAATCCAATTCCATCGTGATTTTTCATTGACTAGGTTTTAGGTTTACAATTTTTACCAGTATGGTATTTAGAGAGATGTTAGCCCAACAAGTAGATTATGCTTTTCCACTTCCCCCCTCTTACTTTATCTAAACCCGTCGTGGATTTCATCGACAATCGTATCTATATTTTATCAATAATACAAGTTTATATTTTTACGGTGATAGTGTCACTAGTGTCATGCATTTTTATTTATATACCATTATCTATGTTTTCGAAAATTTTAAATACGAATACATTTGACCATTGTTTCTTTTTTTAGACATTACGTACTTTATTATTATTTATTATTATCATATAGAACTTTTCGATGATATTTACAAAATGTACACAATTTGAATCTTATATAATTATTTCTGACTTCATATATCAGCGCTATTCTTCTTATTCAGAGGGGGAAGGGAAGGAGATGTCCAGAACATGTATATTGAAATTTGTCTCTTATTTACTCATTTTTAACAAATTTAAAGATGTAAGATGTAGATTATAATTTATAAACATGATTTATGAATAGACAAGGTCTGACGGACAACGATATATTACCTATATTATAATACTTTTAATTAACACAAATTTAATGTTGTTATCAATTATATTATTTATGGGTGTAACGCAATGTACTTGAAGTTAATATTTCATATGAATATTATTTCCATAATATATTTTATATTATTTCATCTATAATAACAGTGCTGTGGCCAAGGAATCTATGGGCTCAATACTCCCTCCAAAAAAAAAAAATGTCAATCAAAAACGACAATAATTTGTTCAGATCCATTAAAAATACAATTTAATGCCATATTTGTCTTATTTAATATAATGATACTGTGAGTCTATCGCCAAATACCCCGTATATTGAGAATGGCAAATGGTTAAAGTAGGGGGAAAAGAAGGAATGGAATCCATCTACATATGTGTGGTAAACTTATCAATTCTCTTTAGTTTAAGTCTTAGATATTCGAAGAGCTCTTTGAAGGGACTCTAATTATTTCCACAGAGACATTTTTAATGAAATTTAAAAACATTCAATGTGATTAAAATAATTTATTTAATACCTATTATATATATCAGACTCTTTTTACTTTATTTTTACTAAGCAGGCATAGGTGTAGAAGAATATTTTAAGAAGGAGAGTTTATTTTTAAACTTTATTAATATGATATTTTTATGAACAAATATGTGTGAGAAAAAAACATTTTGAAAGTCTTGTCTACATGATGGATTACCTAAAAGTTGTGAGATGTGAACATGTTGTTATTAGATGAATAATATTTCTTTCCCTAACCTAACCTAGTATAATAAAATATTGTCAACAGTGTGCTGCGAATTAAATTCTTTGGCCATATATTGTTTGGCCGTCAAAAACTATATGTACAATTTTAAGGGGCAAAAATCAAATTTTTAAATTTTTTTGCCATTCACATTTAATAAAGTGATGTAAATTATAAAATAATAAAATATAACCAACTAAAACCCAAAAAGGTCTCCATAAATTGCAAATAACACTTTTAAGACTTTCTTTAAAACCCATTGAAGTCTGCAAAAAATACCTAAACAATTGAGCATTGAAACATGATGACGTATTAAGCTGACACAGCTATTATAGAGCATGCATTTACGATTTTCTACAAAATTTAGTTTCAAAATAATTATAAAATGAATTACTATATTTTTTAGATTCCGAGTGTAGCGAGGTAGCTATTAAATTTACAATGCTGTTTATTTCTTCTTCTTTTTCTTCTTTGTTCTAGTCTGTGGACACGTTTTTTCCTAGTAAACTTGCTCCGATTTTTACATGTAATAAATTTTCTAAAAGCTGAACATGTCTAGATGGTACCTTAAAAAAGTCATTTTTGAAGTCATGATTTTTGAAGCTGTTTTTTAAATAAAAGCATTTAAGTGAGAAAAAACTTTGGAAAACGTACAATTTAATTTCACGATTTCGTTATTTTATAAAAACACAGACGACTTTTTTTACCAAAAAAATGAAATGAAAATGAAAATCACAAAACACTTCTTTTGTTGATTTACTTTATCACGGCATCATCGCCAAAACTTTGAGCTTTTAAGAAATTTAAATTTTTGCGAGTTTTTTGCTGTAATTCGGTTATAAATACATGTAGAGACTTGAAACTTGATAATAATACTTATATTGGATTTACCTAAAAGTGGTGACATTTTTAAAATTATCAGACAACTTTTTTCCTTTTTTAATAAGCGTTTTGAAATCAAATTTAAACGAAAATCGGAAAAAAAATGTACGACACTTCAAATTATGTATTACCAAACTGCGCTCGGAATCATCTTTCATCAAGCAATAGTTTATCGTTGCATACAGATATAAATGAAATCACCTTATGTATCTTACCTTCCCAATTTCTTACCTACAACAGTAGCCCCTCCCATCCCCAGTATCAGCTCTTTTTTCTTTTGATATATTGTTTTGGTTTTCTATATTGTTTAAAAAAAATGCTTTCATATTTTTGTTTTGACTTCTGAAAACTGAGTGTAACCTCTAATGAACCTCCTGTTAAATTTTCATGTATAGAAAAGGCAAATGTTATATGTCGAAATTTCTCTACGAAGATTTTTAACTCAATTAAAAGAATAATACAATTTAAAATAATAAAACCATTATTTCCTTAAACTCTCCCGTTCTTTCTAAGTTTATTTTCGGTTCGTCTTAATTATAAAAAAACTACAAAGAAAAAAAATGACTATCTAAAATATCAACAAGATTAATAATTATGCAACAAAAAAGATCATTTGTCGTTTTTTACTAGAGCAATATTTCTAGTGGAAAACATAATGTGTAAAAAGATGTCCTAGGATAATTGGGACGGATACAGAAATTATTATAGGTGATTTAATTTATACCTGTACGCAACGATAAACCATTGTTTACGAAAACACGATTCTAAGCGGAATTCAGTAGAATTCAGTAGAATTCAGTAGATGCTTTGTCAACAATATATAAATGTCATAATATAGTAAAATAATTAAATAGGCTTTCTATATTTTCTTTATTTATATTTGTTTAATGCTGTACTGATTATCCCAGTTTTCTTACGTTTTTCCCAGTTTTCCTACGTTTTTCCCGGTTTTCCAATGTTTTCTCCCGGTTTCTTCACATTTGCCTAGAAAACTCTTGGGAAAATCGAAAAATGATCTCCCTAAAGTACCTTCCTAGTCAAATTTCCTTTTAGAAACATATTTATCATTATAAATTAGAGCAAAATTTCTGGTAGTAAAGTTTGTGTACAGAAAACAAAAATCGGAATATATTTCGTACAATTCCCGTTTTTTTCCGGTTTTTCACATTTGATGAGAAAATTGAAAAATGACCTCTTTTAAGTACCTCTTCACACCAATTTCCTTTCGGAAAAGACGCTACTCTTACAAATCAGAGCAAGTCTTCTGGTAAAAAAGTTGAGTCCAGAAAAAAAACACCTTTGTAAAACCATAAGCTTCTCGCTCCAATCAGAATCTAAATTGAAAATAATAAGATAGCCAATACTGAGGCGTACAGTAAATATTTGTCCACTTTTCCTGATTTTCCTCCAATTATTATGAAAACCCCTTGGTAAATCAAAAATTACCTCTTCCATTGCACCAACCAAATAAAAATTCCTTTCAGAATAGGTGTTACACTTGATACATAGGAGCAATGTTATTGTTTGAAAAGTTACTCACAGACATAAAATAAAATAAAAAAAAACACACAATGATTGCTACGTTCCGAATCTAAAATAATTAGGTATAACAAAAGTTGTACCACATATTTGTTTTTATACATAAAAATAGGTATCTAATGAAAATTCAACAATGAACCGAAAATAACGAAATATTATGCTATATTTTTGAAATTATGAGCTTTCGTTTAATCAAAACTCGAACATTTTTTTAATTGTATTAAAAGAAGGCAAATAATCTTATGTACATATACATATACTATATATGTTATAATATTTAGAAAAAAACGCCCCTTAAATATTCGCACTACACCATATACTATATGACTATACTGACTTACTGTTTAGTTAACATAATTATATGGGTAGCGTTGAACTAGTATGACGTTAGTTTTCGGTGATACTATTCAGACGTTTATATTGTTATATTATATCGACTCAATCACTCGCAACTAATTAAATAGTCTTTTACCAGCTTTACCGTCCCCCCTTCCGCTCGCATACATTTGGTTTAAACTTACACTTTTGGTCATTGTATAACCTGCAGTAGTCATGTGTTCAGTAATCATTATTCATTAATAAACATATTTTGTTTATTCAATAAACACTTCGTAATTTAAAATAGCATGTAGGTATCTATAATAGATATAGTATGATAGCAACCTTTCAAAAAAATGATATAAAAAATAACAGTTATTTTAATTTATAATAATATGTATCTAATACATTATAATTGATTGGTATCAGATAAACAGGAAATCAATAGAAGCTCTACTAGTTAATAGTAGTAATTAGTTGTAGTAGTATTAGTAGTATTAGGCGGACTGCCTAATACTACCAATACCTATGAACTATAGGTATCTTTAGGTAGTTATCTTTGTAAGTACTAATATTATCATATTTATAAGTCACGGGCACCCATGGACATGGCAATGGTTAGGCTCGGATTAAGGGTTATGGGAGCTCGGGAACTCATATTAGTAAGAGGACCTATTAAAATTGTCTATTGAATGGAACAAATATTAAAAAAAAAAATAGTCATCATTTAATTTTTATACCTACTCTTGAAACAAGGTATTGTTCGTTTAAATATATCTAATAAGCAAAAAAAAAAAGATTTTCAAATATTTGATTCATCTCATAATATGGTATTTTTGTGAGCTTCGGAAACGTACCCACCCTTCCCTCCCTCTTAATCTGAGCCTAGTAATGGTGGTGATTGGTACAAGAATTTAAATAATATTATTATAGTAATTATGTCAATCAAACATCAGTACTCAAATTAGAGGGAAGACGAAATAATTAAACAAATTTTTGATACATGTATTTCATTAAAATTTGAGCTTTAAACGTTTAAAAAGAAGATGTCTAGATAAATTTAATTTTTTTTACCACTAATTGCAACTCATAATAAATCTTGTGTAAAATTTTCGAGCATTTTCACTGAGCCAGAATGATTGAATAATTAAATAATATCAATCACATAATACCAAATTGTATCCTTAAAATAACAATAAATAATTGATAAACTGTTAAATTATTTTGAAAATTGTACCATAAGAAACTATATACCTACATATATTAGATTCAGTGAAATTCCTGGCCTCTACGATTATTTTTCACTGAATTACAAACAAAATCGAATATAACACAAACTCTTATTATATAAATATTTTCGCGAAGTTTTTTTTCGGGTTTTCCTCATTATTAAGAATATTACTAAGAGACGATCTGTAAATCGTTCTACATGAAGTTACAGATACGAATTTGGTTTCGTAAATTATAGTCAGTTGCAAGTCTGTAAATAATACAGAACGTTCGAGCAACACCCAATTTGGTTTACAGATCTAAAAATGCGTTAATGGTTTTGTATGTCCTTACAGAAATTTTGTGCAACCCGACCTTGTAGCTTAGTAGCTTAGTAGTATTCTCTGTTTAGGGCGTTATAGGACAGACTATATGGTTCATTATGAAATTATCGTAAAGACCCAGGGTTTAAAAAGATATAATTAAAAACCCAAAACTGGACATAAGTTTGCATTGTCCATTACAATTTGTATAATTGAAAACTTATGTTTCTAATGCTTTAATTTTTAAATCTCTAATTATCGTATAATCTTTTGTCTCATTTTATCCTAGTTTGTATTTCATTTTACCTTACCGTTAAGGTAAAATTAGACACTTGACAAATTCGTTTAAATCTTTATTTTATTCACATTAATACATATTTGTGTAACTTATTTACTGAGGTTTTTAAGTGTTTAATTTTGTTACATTTATTAATAAGAAGACGTCCGCCACTGTCATAAGTAATTTAATATATACCTGTAAGCAACGATAAACCATTGCTTACGACAAACCGATACTGAGTGGAGTTCTGTTGACAGCGATGTTTTGTCAACAATATATGTACATATCATAATATACATGGCATATACCATGTTATAGTAAATTAATTAAATAGGCTTTATATATATTCTTTAATAATATTTGTTCAATGTAGAACCAACATATCCAATTTGTCTACGTTTTCCCGGTTTTCCCATGTTTTTCTCAGTTTTTCACATTTGCTCGGAAAACTCATGAGAAAATCGAAAAATGACCTCTTTAAAGCACCTTCCCAGTAAAATTCTACTCCAGTGAATTTCCACAGCAGGAAAAAAGAAGACCATAATATTTTTGAAGCTAATACCTGCATTTCTTACATTTTCCCATTTTTCCAACGTTTTTTTGTTCATAGAACTGAAAAAAAATAAACATCTTTGTAAAACCATTAGCTTCTTCACTCCACTCAAAATTTTAAATTTATTATTTTTTATATATATAGTAAAACGTTAAACCTTATGTATCTCATTTTGTCCCGGTTCCACTAACTTGTTGAAGTAACACAAATACCTAGTTTTAAATTCGGAGCGTAATGATTAGGTGTCTATTGTTTTTACTATTTAGTGTGTTTTTAGATTTGGAAAGTAGCGAGAAATTTTTTCTAGTTTGTACATTGAGGGGTCATTTTTTAATTTTTTAGGGGGTTTTAAAAATAATTGGCAAAACCCAATAGAAAATTATACGTAAAACGGCTAACATTTACAAAGCCCCACGGAGTTACCGATTTCATTGTTTTTAAATTTTGCAAATTATGTTTTTCATCAGAAATATTGCTCTAATAAAAAAACAACAAGTTAGAGACATTTTTTGTTGCATTTTTAATTTAATTGATAAGTTACCAAAAATCGTAATAGTTTGTTTCAAAAACATATTTAAATGTTAACTTTTCTAAATCCATTCAAACTTTTTAACTTAATTTTGCCAATTTCTTCAGCATCTTATAGAAGATAATATTCAATAATATGAGACGTATATACAATATGCATGAATAATTAACTTTGAGCAAGATGGAATCTCTACATTTACCATTCTTAATATGTAGAAAGAGATATTATATCCAATAACATCCTTGAAGTTGGCCCTTACACTTTGTTAATCAAGTTCTGAATAATGTCTGCATTTTGCATGTATAATCAGCAAGAATTTACAAGTTCATTCCCGCAATTTGCAAATCACTTTCATCAGATCTACGAGTTTTCAACATTTCTCCTAACCCTTATACTTACATGTACATTTGCACTATTTGCTCAATTAGTTACACAAATAAGTACTAATCGTACTACACAATTATATATTTTACAAAATACCCTCAAGAAAAAGACTTTTTATAATAAATTTATTGATATATTTTTCTTAAATTTGTGTGTATGAATTTATTTTAATATATTTAACCCTTTCCCCCATAGAAAAATCCTGGTTACACCACTACGTTTAATTATTATCGTGCACACGCGCATTGTACAAAACTTTCGTACACGATACACGTGCAATATTATCGAGCGAAACACTGCAGTAACAACTGACAATACACCTATACGTACTTATAAATACGTGTTCAATAAGCTAATATCAAGACTCAATAGGTGTGATTTTGATTTACATACAGTATAATAATATAACATACAGGGTGATCAATATTAAGTAAAACATTCATTAACTCGGTAGATAATAATTTTTTTGTCATAATTTGTTTTTTGGAAATTTATGAAATTAGAAGAAAATGACCGTTATTTTTTAGTCATGATATTTTTAATTTCCATCAACTCGTTAACGAGATATTTTACTTTTAAATTTGTATATTGTGGGGGGGGATATTAGTGGAATACAATTTATGTGACGGTGCAATGTTGGAATAAAATTTCATTACTTTTCCTCTATACGCACGAAATTTCAAATGTAAAAATGGAATATCTCATTAACGAGATGATGGAAATTAAAAACTTCAATACCGAAATTCATTTAAATTAACACTTCATCCATCTATATGGCATTTATAATTTTATAATATACAATGCAATTTTAAAACCAAAATCAGATAGTGATTTAAGTGGTTTCACCCCTCCCCACCCCCCAAAAAAAGACGGAAATTTAAAATTTTAGAGGTGCTTAGTTCTTCAACTGTTTAAAAAACAAATTCCGATAAAAGATTAATATTTCCTGAGATGTCTTACGTTCTATTAATCACTCTGTATAGTTATAGTAACGACCTTGACGACGACGCGACGACGACGTTTCCCGTTAACATAATATATAAGTGTGTTTGGATTTTTGCTTTGCAGTAGAATCGGTAAATAAATTTAACGATAAGGTGATTAAAATTGTTTTTAGTTTTAAATCAATTCTTTAATTCTTATTGGTTGTAAAATAATATTAACCTTCGTATAGGAAACATAATACTGAAACAACGTGTTGAAATACGGTTAAATTACGGTTAATCGTCTGTTTGAGGTCATGTTCGGAGTTATGTCCTCCAGCGACGTAAGTTGAGAGCCCCTCATAGGAGCTGGGGGTTGGAGATTTACAGTTTATAGGAGGAAAAATGTGTAAACGTACTCAAACTACTACATTTTGGGAAAACCCATTACGTTTTGAAAATGAATAATGAGTTTGAATTTCCATTAAACGCCACACTCGCAAAAGTATTGCGGGTAATAGAAATAGTTTCATATTTTATATAATAAAATTGTTTGTTGTATTTATACGCACACTAAGTACTATTAAATGTTCAACAGATTCGATTTTTCCCGAACGGCCAATCGCGAAGAAATAAAAAGCGTATTTATAGTGGTGCAAGTGTGCAAACCAGCCGCCCCTACCCTCCGGGCTAGTTTTGCCCTTACATGTACCTATATTATTTTTTTCATTAAATTGCGTTTATGTTTCAGATATTTTGTCCGGTTACCGGCTACCCATTATACCTGGCACCTGCACAATGCACATAAAACAGAGTATATATTTAAACATGACAAACATATAAAAATACCTATAGTCGTATAGTAATGTAATAAAGAAAAGGTATATGTTTTTGAGAGTCACATTGGAAACCGCAGTGGTGTCATTTTTCCGGGGGAAGAACAACTTAAACATTTGCCCCGATCCAAAGCTGGGCAAGTTCCTCGATTTTTCTTTAATTTTCTTTTTTAAAATAACAAATTACACTATATGTATCTACCTACTTTTTAAAACACTAAAAAATTATCGACAGAGACATATTGAGGATATTTACATTGTAGACTATGCCACTGCAGGTAACAAGTTAGGTACTATAGTAATTATAGTGTTAAGTTAGTGTAGTCTACTTTAAGTTTACTTTTTTTGTCATACCTATAAGCATCTATAATACACAAATAATATGTAGTGTATATTTAAAAAATTGCCTACAGAATATAAATATTTTAAACATAATGTAGCTACACCTTGTAAATGAATTGTAAAATGCTAAAAAAAAACTTACGATCGATTAGACATAGCTATTTCGTTAAGTGTTGTTAAATCAATCGAAAAAGTAAAATAATCGTTAAGATATAAAAAAAGTTGTCAATCGGTAAAAAAAGTTCCCCAAGTAGTGAACTAATTACTTAGCTTTGTATTATACTATTATCCAATTTCATCTCAGTTTAGCATTTAGACTTGTTTCAAGTCATAGTTTTAGAATTTTAGAACTAGTATAAAGGCAGCAAAACTTAAGTTTGCTTAGGTGTATTTAAACGCTCGAGCCGGGCCTGAACGTAGGATATATAGAGTAATTTAATTTATATTACTATGTACCCAACGATAAATTATTATTAATGAAAAACAAAGTAAAAACATGTTTTAAAATGTCGTTAATTTTAGGATTTCCATACAAATTTGAACTTAACACGCGAATAAAAAAAATTATTAGACTGCGTTTTAATTTTTTGTTTACCACCAATTAGTATAACTCACGGTAAATTTTTGTATAGGTATTTTATTCACTATTCGAACATAACGAGTGCTTCTCGCTATTTTCCAATATAAAACCCTTATTTAATCCCGAGGAGTTGGTAATATTATGAAATTTTGCCCCAGTTTAGCAAATACCGAACTGACGTCATTGGATAATGTTCGTTAATTATTAAAATAGGTAGATTGTATCACATTTTTGTATTTTGTAACTTTTATTCCCAACGATTTTAATAAATTATAATTTATATAGCTATTCACATAACCCGGTCTTATCTATTTATACATTTCATTTACTTACTAGTTTTTTTTTTTTTTTTGTAATACATAAATGTTGTGTCAAATATTTACGTACATTTTTATTTGTATATAGTTAAAAAAATAAAAAACATCGATACATAATAAAATAAGTAAGTAGGTATCTGTCATATGAGTGTATCTAATGAACAAAACATTATAGAACACCATATTAAACTTTAAATTTGAAATATTCTTAATTAATCGTTTAGGTATTTGTTAAAAATATAATATACTGTCGCCATCATGCAAAAGTGACCAAGTGTAAAAACTAAATAAAAACCGGCCAAGCATAAAAAAATATTTATAAATTCCATAAGTTCATCCCTATATTGTTATACCAGGTGATCCATTTAAGTGGGTAGGTACACTCATTATCTCGGAAAGTTTTAACTTTTTCCGGAATTTGTTTTCTAGAACATTTAAGAAACAAGCTGCTCTACAATTGTATGTTTTACATTTTTAAGTTTGAATCGAAGGAGAGTTGTGGAGTATCATTCGTGTGGCGGTACGACGTGCGGCGTGTTAATAATGCATCACTACTCTCCTCCGACCGAAACTTAAAAGTGGCATATCTCGTCAACGGCTCTACAGAAATCAAAAATGTCAACGCTAAACTGTATTCCAATTAATAATAATATTCCATTTATTTATGTACTTTTAATATAGGTTGCCGTTTTAAAATCGAAAGTAGATTAGTTTTACCCCTAAAAATGAGGGTGATAAAAATAACACAATATAAAATTGTAGAGCTGCTATTGTTTCATAGATGTTCTGGAAAACAAATTCCGAAAAAAGTTAATACTTTTCGAGATAACGAGTGTACCCACTCAAATGAATCACCTGGTATATGCGTACGGTGTAAGTACGGAAAAAGTGATATCATCGCACATAATTTAGGAACCGTTTAACACACAATTCTAGATTTAATTAAATATCGGATAAAATTTAAATTTAAATTTAAAAAAATAATTAAACCGTTGAATTCACTCGGTCACTTTTAGCATGATGTCGACGATAGGTGGCATAACGAAAACGGAATAATATTATTATTATTATTATTATTATTATTATTATTGTTATTAAAAACGTCAGTGTTCGACTTTTGGAAATGCGTTGAGGAAGGGGGGACATTGATGGCGCACCGGTGCAGTGAGAAACATCGGTGATAATAATATTATTGTGTTATAAAACGCGCGTGGTGTAGCTGCCCGTCGGCGAGTTTCCGAGCGAAATTGTAACTCGCGTTCCGTGAGCTCGGTAAAACGAAAATACGTAACGAATCGGTTCGGCGCGCGTCGTTTATCGTCGGCCACGCGTTTCTGGCGTGTTGTCGTATTCTTCCCAAGGTCCCCGGGTCGGCGCACGCACGCGATGATAAAATAATAATCTGTTACGGGAGAGAAAAAAAAAAATTATAATATTATTATTATTCGGCTAGCGCACGAAACGCCGGCCGTCGCGAGCGGGTTGGCGGCAACAATCGCGCGCGCTGCTGTTTTTTTCTCTCTGTAATCGGCCGGGTGCGGGTGTCGCGGAGAACGTGTGTTTGACCACATGCGAGACACGTTATCGAATCGGTCGGTACAACGATATTATATTATTACAAAACGATAATACGAGAATCAGGGATAAAAAAAAATTACCTAAGTACCTCCTAAACGTTCCGAGAACAATAGTGTTGTTGTAAACACCTCGGGCGGTACTAACAACAATGCTATTCCCGAGACAAGGGACCGACGGGAGCTGGTACGGGACGAGACGCGGCGGCGGCGGCGCTGGTAGGTACGCGCGAACCCGTGTCCCGCGGGCCGTCCCGTCATTGCCGCGGAGTCGTCGGCACAATTGATTGCCGTAGCCGTACAACTACAACGGCACTCGACGGTCGTCTAGTCCCGCGCGTCACGCGGTTTGTTTTTCTGCGTCTCGCGCAACGCGGCGAACGAAATGCATTCCGCGATTCAACGATTGCCGTCCGTCCGGTCCAGTCTCGGGGCAAAAGGGGACCCCCTTTGTACATTTTATCATAAAACAGCTCGACCGGAAAACAATTATACGACGTTTTGACATTTTCTCGATAGTAATTATTTGCAACGGTTCAAAATAATTAAGAGAAATCGAATTAAATTAAAAAGCGCGTTTTTTTCCCCCGACGCGAATCGTTGTAGTACATAGCATAATATTGTGTTGCTATTATTACGGCACCAGACGGACGGAGAAAACGAATTACGCGCAGAGGCCCCAGAATCCAATAATAATTTTTAGTTAATTTTGTTTACGTGGCTGAGATTAACGTTTTAACATGACAATTAATACGAACGGAGAAGTAATAATATTTTGTACGCGAGTCCGTATTAATATAATATTATCATGGTGTAGCACACGCGGTCGACGGTTTCGTATCGAATAATAAATCCGTACACAAGTTACGGACACCGTACCCTACTTCTCCCGTGCCCCCTATCACCCCGCGGACTTCGAAAATAAAAAAAACGTCGTCGTGCCGCTCAACGTTTTTCTATTTCCGTATTCGAGCGTGGGTTGCCGCGCGACAACTACCGTCGTAGACGATAAATAATAATACGGGAGGGTCGCGTCAAAAATCGCGCGACACGACGTGTCGGTTGCTTACAGAAAACATCAACTAAACAGCTAAATAACAATATGACGGCGATGACAATATTTTATTATTATCACTAATGCGTCTTTCATGTGTATCATGATTGCATGTATAGCCAGCCACCGCGATACCGAGCGTCTTGTATGATTATCTATAGAGTATTGGTGCGACGACGGGATGACCGTACGTAATAACAATTATAATAACAATAATAGTATATCGTGTTTCGCTGACATAATAGCGGAATCAAAATAACAGGTCACAAATAATATGTTTTGCAATACCGAATTAAATAATGACTTATGACTGACGAGAGGGGAAAAAAAATAATAATCGCGCGAGCATTCGAAGGGCAAAAAACCCGTCGACCGTCGGTGGCGGCGCAGAGGTAGACCGTAGACGCGCAGTTCGCGCGCGTATTCGCCAGTGGCGTACCGGCAGGGGGAAGGGTGACGACCGGGACGATAGTGCCATGGGTCGATCGCGGTCGGAGGCGGCGGCGGTGACGGACGACGACGGCCGTGACGGCGGCGCGGCGGCGGCGGCGTTATTGGGTTGTGGTAGTGGCGTTGGTGAAGGCGGTGGCGGTGCCTGTGACGGTACGGCGCATTAGTCGCGGGTAGCGGGGAGCGGGGCGGGACAGAACGGCGGTGGCCGCCGCGCGCCGTGTTCCTGTTTTGATGACGCAGAATTCCGTGCGCGCCGCCCGAACCCCACTCCGTCATCAGACGTCATTTGACGTGGCTTCTACGTAGCACTCGCTCGGGCCAGTCGGATCGCAGGACCAAGCTCTCGTACGACGTAACATTGTGACTGCTGGTAAGTAACGGCGGCGGCGGGCTTACGGGGCCGCACGCTCGCTATACCTTGTTGTTGTCATCACTCCCGTGTGTCTCCGTCGTCTCTCTCTGTTCTCTCTCTCTGTCCGTCCGTGTCGTCTCCACCGCCGTGTCAGTCCCGTTTATATTATTTATTTATTTATTACCTATTTAGTTATTTTATTGTTGTTGTTGTTATTGATATTTTTATCACAAACGTTGTTGTTATTGTCGTTTGGCAAAAAACTGACGCCGCACCCGATTTTTTTTTCATTGTCTTCTGTGTTTCTCGCATTGCTATCTTGATCGCTACGTACTAACAACGGGTTCTGCCGTCGTCAAAATAGCGATGTACGTACAATTACTACGGCACGCACGTTTCCATTACATTTCGGGACAACGGGAAATGTCTTATCGTCGGGCAAACGAATGTACTCGTTTTGCCGCCGCGTTATCGCCGTCCCAGTTTTGTATCGTCAAAACGTCCGCGGCGCAGGAAAATAAACCAAAAGAAAGAGCAGCAAAAAAAAATAATAAAAAATACCAAGTGCGTCCATACTTACTCGGGGAATATCGCATCAGCAGTTAACGGCGACCGTGTTGTAAATACTATTCACCGGAGCGGACGATTGTCGTATTTGCTGTAGCGTATACCTAATCATTGTACGACAATAATTGTCACTTTGGCTCATACAATGAAGTCTTGGTTTATTATGTTCCCCGGTCGCTTCTTAGGGGCAATCCCCCCATCCACCCCTGGTTAGGGGCACTACCCCGGAGTTTGATATTCCTCGAGAATCGTCATATGGTTATTTTCGATTTGTTGCGTAGGAGGACATAACGACGACTACGGTTCCATCGCGTTATGGACGGTATGGTTGAAGAAAATGGAACCAGCGGTTCAGTCGACGCACTTGTCTCGCAGGGTTCCGGCAGTCCTATTGTCGTCACGTCGGTATGTTGTTGGTAGCGGTGTGTCGATAGGTGGTTACCTATCGGCAACCCTAACTGGCCATTGTATTTCATTGATTAAAAATTCTTTGATGATATTGTCTTCAGGTGCATTCGGTAATCCAAGCGAATCAACAGTCAGTCATACAAACTGCAACACCGGGTGCCATGCTCACCAAAGGCAATGTCATACTATTGAGCAAACCTAATTCTGTTATACAAACTACTCAAGGGAACCTTCAAACCCTTCAGGTAGTAGTATATTTTTAAAATATTCCTTTACCTACCATTGTAAACTGTTGTATATATACCTAAAAATTTAACTTAAACACAATAGAAACCTGTGTAATTACTATTTATGTTGGCCATTATCTGACAATTTTAAATTGTTAGTAGTACTGTACAATATAATTGTGATTTAATTTTCAAGGTTGTTGAAGCTGGCAGTGATGAAAGTTTATCAGCCAATGAAGATAGCCCTAAAAGAGGACGCCATGACGCTCTAACCAGAAGGCCGTCTTATAGGAAGATCTTAAATGACATCGCAGGTTGTGTTCAGTTAAAACATTATTATGTTATCGAAACACATTTTTATAGTAATAATTATTATTAAATTAAATGTTTTTAGGTGGAAAAGTTGAATCGTCTGGTTCAGATTGTGATTCAAATCTTGACAGTGAATTATCATCAAACTCACTTTCTGCTCATTATCAAGCTGGTAAGTTATACATTTATATATAGCTATTAGTCTGAAAAAGTAGGCTTTTTTTTATAATCTTAAACCACGATAATAAAATAGATTTTAGTGCTTATTACAAATAAACAGTATAATCAGTAATCACTGATCAATATTATTTTAGGTAGTTCTAGTAGGTAACTATTAAATTATTTTTGTTGTCTGCAATGATCATAGTCCATAACCGATAAATGCATTTACATTAACGAGTAATTGAATATTTAAACTCAATTTTTATTTCATGAGTTTTTAAAATATTTTACATCTTGTTGAATTTAAACATGTTATGTATTTTGTAATTTATTTTTCATTAATACATATTTTAATATTTTCGGTAGGTCACAGAGGTGGTTTGGTAGGTATTAATTTCTGTAATTTTGTTTATTTAATTTTTATTCTCGCTTTTGTTACTTTTGAACATATACTTTTGTACTTATATATATATTGATTGCTAAAAGATGATTGTACAACACAATTGAATCATATGTGTATTAACCTTCTGAGATACTGAAAATATTAGGTCTATTCTCTTTTAAGACCCTTCATTTATACACCAAAATAACATTTGAAAAAATGTCCAAATTTTCAACAGTTTTTCTATAAAACTTACAAAACCTGATAAATAAATTGGTTTTTTTTTTGTTGATTTCTATATCAATACAATGGCTACAGGACAAAAATATAATTTTTTTTATTGAAATGATTTATTGTTGCATGCATAAAGTATAAATACCAAATTACCCTTTATATCCTACAACACTACAACAATGGCTTAACTGTGAGCAGTACCAATTTTTTTTTTTTAAATTCTTACAGTCTTATAATATAAAAATATAACTTATCTAAATTGACCTGTGATCCCATGTTAATAAAAGACATTGTGTATTCACCAGACTATAGAATCTGAATAATGAAAGGAGGCCTTAAGCTATGGTTTCCTATAAAGGCGGTGGAAAATGCAAACCTCTACAAACCAATTGGTTTTCTAGAAAATATTGAGTGTAACCAGAGTGTCAAAAAGCTGTGTACTTTGTTTTATAACAGCAGTCATTATAGTGGCAAATGTTTTTTGGCGTGTAGCAGTCACTGCTTTATGACATACCACTTAATAAAAACACGTAATCAACTGGGTACACTATTGGATAATAGGAAACCACCGCATGACACTACAGTCGCTAGATACTTATCCACCCCATAATAGCATATGATGTCAGTTAGATATAGCACCATTTTTCTAAGAAACCAAATATTTAGCTATTTAACTTAAAATAAAAACATAAATTAATGTTTATAATTTCTCTTTTTTTATATTTCAGTTTTACCTTCGACCGCAATTCAATTAAATAGCCAAGGGGAAATGCATAATATGCCAACCTTAACAATGTCAAATGCAACAACTGCCAGTGGTACTATACTGCAATATGCCAGTCAGGACGGACAATTTTTTGTACCTGGTAATTTTTTTTTTTAACAATTTTTTGTCTAAAGTAGGGTTGGAGGTATTCAAATTTTTGATTTTGGTAATTGGTTGCTACTTATTTTTTTTAAATACATGGTAATAATGGTATTTTTGATAATTATTAGTATTTAAAATTATTTATTACCCTATTTTGTTAGTTATGGTATTAAAAGAGTTGAATATATAATATACATTATATTCATCTTTGTCGAAAATTTGCCAGTGTTGTTATAAGTTTATTATAAGGTGTTTTTAAAAGTGTACTTCAATGTTACTGTGGATAAATAACTCATTTTGCTGTGAGTGTTTTCAGATTTTTAAAAAAAAAACCATTTTTTTTTTTTTATATCATAGATAACATTATATATTGTGATTATTTTTAAACAGGTAGTGAATTTGATGTATTTAAATTTTATAATTATATGCTTACATATAATTTTGTAACAATTTTATATTTTAACAGGCAACCAATACCAAAAATATCACCTACCCTAGTCTAAAGTATACTATTAAAAATGTGTTGTTTTAACTTCAAATTTTTTTTAGTTGTAACCCAAGGAGGGAGTTCAACTTTAAATACAAGTCCATTAGTACCCGAAGACCAAATGAAAAAACGTGAAATGAGGCTATTAAAAAATAGGTAAAAAATAAAAATATTACTACAAGTCATTAAGATTTTATTGTACATTATTTAATTTTTTTTTCTTTTTCTATTATCCCATATTAGTGGTTAAGTAAACACGTGTTAATGTGGTTAGTGGATCTACATGGATCTATTCTCAAATGACATTAAGCTATTAATTAATTTCTTTTCTTTTTCACCTTCATCCCAACTATTTGAGATCGGCCTCCCTCGCTCTAAACTTCTCCATGATCAGATTTCTCACCTCACATATACTGGCTATCCTTGTATCATTCTCAATTACATCTAACCATTCCTTTTTCAGTCTTTCTCTTCCCATCTTTCCACCTACATTTATTTTCATTACAATTATTACTGCTTTAGATTCCTCTCTTCTCATTATATATCAAAACCATCTCTGTCTATTTTCTTTCATTTTGTCTAATATTAAAGGCACAATAAGTTACCTCATATGTGTACTCATTCCTTATCTTATCTTCTTTAGTCATTCAACTCATCCACCTAAGAATTCTCATCTCTGTTATCCTTATTCTCTATTCTATTGTCCATTATCTCAAAACTCTGAATCATACAATATAGTTGGTCTCATAACACTCTTATAGAACTTACTTTTAAGTTTCATTAAAATTCTCTTATTGCCTAAAACGCCTGACACTTCTCTCCACTTTATTCAACCACATTTAAACCTATGTTTCAAAATCCTTATGAAACACTTTTCTTTTCTATAAAAGGTCCTAGGGACTTAAAACTCTCAAACTCATACTCTGTTCTACTTCTACTGATTGTTAATCCCTTTCCTCCAAGTACTACTCTCCATTCTTCAAGTTTATTGATTACTTATTCCAAATTTTCTCCTATCAAAACTATGATCTTCAAACATATATGCACCATAGTACCTTTTCACCTGTTGAACACATCCTAGATAGAACAATCAACTAAAGCTTCACTTTGAATGGCTCATACTACTTGACAGAATTTTACACCAGCTGACTTGACAAAAACCCATTTTTTGCCTCTTACGACAGGTACAGATACTGTGAAAGTATACTGATCTCCTTTCTATAAAATAATGTATTTTTCAATTATAAAGTGAATTCCTTCACCTTACAGAAATACTGACAATGGCTACTCAAATCAACTACCTGGGCTTTCGACCAGTAGGAGCTTGGACTCACTAAACCCATAATTTCATATACCCCCCGAGGCGTACTGCTCTTTCGATCACTGTTTTTGCCAATTTAATTTAACTAGTCTTTTTATTTGAATATATTATGTTTGATGAAATATAGGTAAACCTTTTTTTTTTTTGCTTCAGTAAAATTAATAAACAAATTCAATTTTTAATTAGCTATTCTAAATATTGTTCCTATAATATGTTGAAATGTACATCATGCACGTGTTAATTTCTTAAATTGAAAACTTAAGTTCAGCTAATTTTGCCTGAATGTGAATATATTAAAATATATATATATTTGTGTGTACATTATGGTGGATAGTTTTTTTTTTTAACTTAATCTTGTAATATGTTTGGTCGGATGAACAAAATTTCCTTCAAGTTGTGTTGAGATCTTGAAAATAATTTCTTGAAGTCTCAACCATCAAATTTTACAAAAATAGCTTTTTTATTAGTATCTATGTTGTTAATCTAAATACTGATTTATTAATAAAAATAATTAACATAGAAAAAGAAATTCAATGACATTTTTTTTCAAAAACAAGAAAATGTAGTATTATTTAGTTTGAATGAAATTAAATTTTTAAACATGTTTATGAATTATCCTTCTAAACTACCTGATAATTTCAAAAATTCAATTTTCTTGGTACAAAGCTTAATTTTTTTTTTTGTGTGAAATAAGTACTTGAGTGCCTCACCTAAATTTTGTATTTAGATTTAAAAACAAAATTAAAACTAATAAAACAGCTATTTTTAATTGATCATTGAGAGTATTCATCTTAACTTATAATATGTTGTAGGTATTACATACTAATGTAAATTTGCTTTAGTTAAATCAACTTTAATATTACATCTATTATATAATCAAATTATTCACTTTTCTGGTAAATTATTTTTATATTTTAGACATAGTTATAATATAATATTTTATTTACTTAATTATAGGGAAGCAGCAAGAGAATGTAGGCGGAAAAAGAAAGAATACATTAAGTGCTTGGAAAACCGAGTATCTGTATTAGAAAACCAAAATAAAGCATTAATTGAAGAGTTAAAAACACTAAAAGAACTTTATTGCCAAACAAAGACTGAATAGAAATAGTTGTTAAACTTTCAAATTATGAAAGAAAACATTGTACCAGTCATGACCAAAATTGTATGCTTAACGTGATATTTTCAAAATCTTGTAAGCTCATTTTATTTTAACTTGTATTTGATTATTTTTGGAATTAATTTAATTTTTAAAAATGGTTTATTTTTGTTAAAATTCCAAGAAATTAGTAAAAGAGTCAATTGTGCAGTGAAATGGGACTATATTGGGAGGCAAATTCCTTGTGAACAATTATTTTATCTTTTATTTTAATCCATTGTGTTTTTAACATTTAATTTTTAGTTAAATATCATTTTCAGTAATTTTTTATATTACTGATAAATCCTGAACATTTTTATTTCATCTTTATATTATTTATGTAGTGACATATATTATGTTGTTGAAATCAACAATTGTGTCTAGATAATCTATATATTCTGTTATACATAAATGATTGTTTGTATTGCATATTGATTAAGTCGGATAAGGGAAATTTGAAACCGAAATTATAATATTTCATTTATTTATATATTTTTTTTATGTTTACAACAAGTAAACAAGTTAAATTTTTTAAAACAAAAATGTACAGGTTTGTTCAAATTAAATTTATTTTTTTTATTAATGATCAATGCATTGTATTGGCTATAATATAATAGTTTAATGGATTATTTTTTTAAACTGACAATACTCAAAATATTTAGTTACCTATACTTATATATTATATAGTGTATTAAATGTGTGTTCTTAAAATATATATATATATATATATATATATAGGTTGATTTTATTTTCAACCAAAGTATATTTTATGTATTCAAAAATGTATCGCTTTTCTTCAAACATTGATATTTGTCATTGTTTTATTTTTGAACTTCTATAATTATTTTGTTGAAAAAATCTGAGGGTGTTGGCAACATTATTTTATAGAAGAATTAATTTAATTTAATATTTCTTTGACCAGAGGTCAATTTAAATAATAAGACTCATAGTTTCTTTGTATTTTTCTTTTATTTTAGTTTGAAAATAATCTGGCATTCATTTTAGGGTTTTAATTATATGACTATATACATGGGAAATTTGAATACAATAAAAATTAATTGTGGTGTTTTTTTTTTCTTTTAATGTTAAAACTTATTAATTCTTTTGTTGTCAAAACTTAATTATGACATTTTATTTTACTTTTGTTACAATTTACTTCTGTTCAATGTTAATATTGGAATTGACTTCCATTTACCATATTTTAATAAAACCATTTGATTATAATTAATGACCTTGGTCATATATGCTTTAAATATATTGTGTACCATTTATGTGTGGTATGATTGTTAAAACAGAACAATAAAATATTATTTTCTTAGGAATTAGATATCTTTATTATTATTTATATCTTTAATTTTGTAGTGTATATAATTAATTACATTTAGCTTTGTTTAATATTTTTATTTTTAAAAACATGTAAATTGAGCAAAAGTGTTGTAATTTTTTTTTTTAAATGTAAATTTGTTGTCTATTATAGAGGAGAGATTATTTATAAATATATTACGAATTTGTTAAATGTGTATGGTGTATAATCTTATAATATTACCTATATGTAGAGTATTCCATGTTTTTTTTTCTTTTTTTTGATAAGTGGTAATACATAAGTACTGTTTAATAACAGTCCATCTGAAACTAAAAAAAAAAATTAGTGAATGCTTTTGGGGCATTTGTCATTATGCATGTGTAAATGTGGGTACCTAAACTTATGATGATGGTTGATATTTCTATTCTATTTTGACAAAAATAATATTTTAATCTTAAAATGAACATATTATACATGCATATATTATATATATATATAATGTAAACCAAATAGCTGAACTTCAATCTAAACTTTGGGTTCTGGAACAAATATAACTCAATTTTTATCAAAAAAAGTTGTAAATGTATTTGTTAATTAATTTCTAATACTATTGATATTAAAATGTATTCTCTTTATTTTGTTATTCGTAATATACATATATTATGATAAATAATATTTTGTACAATTATGTTAGCTTAATGCTACTCGGTTTATCATTGTTGATGTTTTTTTTTTTTTTTTTTTACATAATTTCTTGTTTCTTTCATGTGTTATGAATAATTATTAAATTATTACGTAATATTGTAAGTTTGTGAGTAAGTTCATTGGTTTTTATTGGTAATGATTATAAAATTTTATATAAAACCAAAGAATAAATTTAATGTTTGTGTATACATTTCAGATAGAGTTACTGCATTAGACATATCAGCCATGTGAATTTTACGTGATATATATTTAAAAATTATAAACATATAACCTAAATAAATGTTTTCTTTTGGTAAATCAATAAAATATTTTTCCCTAAGAATACACAATAATAATATGGACCTGAACCTGAATTATATTAATCTGGAGTGTCAAAAATCAATATTATTATTGTTATACGTTTTCATTCTTGATGATCTTAGAAAATGGACAGTAACTATTTGCACTATAATTTTATTTTGTATCATTACAATTATATTTTGTTAAATTAACACTATGACTTGTTAGAATATTTGGCATCCTTGGTCAAAAATTTGCTTGCTTTCAATCTGCGAGCGTCCAACTCTCAATAAATATGTGATCATGTAACTGCTTCTATATTATGTTTATAAGAAAATAATTTTTTTGTTTTATGGTTTCTCGGTCATTACGACCATACTGACAAACAACCATCTATCCTGTTCTTTTGCTGCTACCCTCCATGCTATCTTAGGGATGGGCGGCTCATTACCATTTTTCACTGGCTCATGCTAAATTTTTAAATTAATTAATACCACATGAATAATAAAATATAAAAAATACATTTGTAGACAACTTGTCTATAATAAATTTTGCTTCAATTTACAGTAATAACACTTTTTTTGAAAGAAATGGGGTGGTATTTTTGGGGAGTCATTTTTTAATTTTTCCAAGAGTTTTCCTTATAAATTGGAAAAACGTGATAAACAGGAAATCAGTACAATATTAAAAAAATATTAAAGAAAATATATAATGCCTATTTAATTATTTTATCGTAATACGGCATATATATTGTTGACCAAACATCAACTTAACTCCATTCAGAATATTTTTTTCCTTAGTAATGGTGTACCATTGCTCACTACAGTTATACATTGAATTCCCATCTGTATCCTATCTCTAACTTCCCAAGGGCGTCTACTGGGAGTGCATAGCCCTCTACTTTTTTGCTGATTATGATGATACATATTAATAATTATTTTTGTTGTAATTTATTGTTTTATTTTTACTATTTCAATAATTAATTATACTTTATATTTTCTTTTTATTGGCTCACTTAAAAGACTTAAAACATTGCTTCGTAAAACTATTATCTCGAAAACCGCTTGAATGGCTTGGAATTGATGAATATTTACAAAACTTATGTACAAAGTCAAAAATCGCACATAATAAATGAAACAATAAAATTATTTGATATGGAGCTTAGATGCATACAATTTATATTTAATGACTAATAATCTTAATATTTTATAAAACTATTTAAATTTAATTAATATAATATAGATTGAAAATAGTGAGACTGATGAGTTATAAGAATTTTTTTTGTTCCAGTGCTCTTGAAATTCCTCATAAAATCATAATATTATGAAAATATAATATATTAAAATTTAGTTTTGAATAAATACATTTGTAAATTATTCCTTATCATCAAAATTTTAAAATATAGAGACATACAAAGAGCATATTGCATTGAATTTTTGGCTTGAATAAAATATAAATTATAAGTAGGTACAATATATTTAACTTTTAAAAACAAGTACAATTAACAACTTATGATGGTTATACCTTAAATTAAGAATAGATATAAGTATTTCTTATAATTAAAATATTTTGTAACATTTGTGGAATTAAGGTCATACGTAGATCACTGGCAATAACCTTCAGCCCAGAAAACACACTTTTCACAGACATCTGAAAGATCAAAATAATACAATACTTACTTTGTAACATTATCCTTTGATATAAAACGAAAAAGGGATTTTTTAGAACAATTAGACTTCCAAAGTCTGATTTTAATGAACCCTCCTTCGCGTTTTAATTTTTGTAATATATATTATAAACATGAGTTACTGTAGAATTGTAAAAATCTGATATTTTTGAAAGTGTTAAAACATAATTTTTCTTTAAGAAATTAATTTAAACTTAAAATTTGCTTTAACCCTGGGGTTCAAACCTGAGTAACTGGTACAATAAGCAAAAATTGTGCAAGTTTATATAGTTCTGGTTTATTATAGTGTTATATTCGTATTTAACAATTTATACACGTGAAGGACAGAGTCCGTACTTCGTAATAAGATACTTTCGTACTGGAAACCCGCGATCTCGTCAGACCACCAGGATCGCTTTGCGCCTGCCACCCGACGCCCCACGCCGTGGCATAAATGCGTCATACGCGTCCGAAAGGTACTCGCATGGCGCGTTAACCCGAGTGTTGGGACAATTTACTTCTCACCTAGAAATTTAAAACTTGTGATCGACTTTTAACCCAATTTTCGTGTTCCAATTAACTTTAAGTTTTGTATATCCGTTCATAAAAAAACAATAATTAATAATCATATTTTCCATTTTCGCCCTATATACTATATACAGCTGTATATTGTTATTTGAAAAAATTTCAAAATATCCAAAAACGCCTCATACATTTTATTTTTCACATACCTAGCGTCCACTATAAATAACCCATGGACCGTGATCACATTGTCAATTTTCCTATACTATATTTGATAAAAAAATTATTAAAATGCTTATAATATAAAGAAAAAAGTGTATAAAATATCAATTTGTTCGCGTATGTATCATGATTACACCTAAATTGTATAGGTATAACATAGTAAATGATAATATACGCATCATATCTCACATATATATTTAAACATGAGGCTCTTTTGATAAAATATTAAAAAAATAAAAAAAAAGTACTACAATCAAGCAAAAGTCCTTACCACAAGTTAATGTATGAGTGAGACTCCTTCAATATGTGAAAAGTTCCCCATGCTGAATACTATAGGTGTACCTGAGTACATAATTTATATCTTAATAAATTTGGTTTTATCGTGGTATACACGAGAAAATATTTATATTAACATTTTTCATTATTATTTAATTTTTAGCTTGGTTTATAAGCATATGATTTAAAAGTACAGGACCCGTTTAGACCAATTTTGAAGACCCGTTTGGGCTAAAAATTACTACTTTTATACAGCCCTTTTGGACAAAAATTTTCTTTATATTAGCTTAACTGAATATTTAGTTATCCAGCCTTTATATTGTAATATTTTATTCGTGTTATCTTATCGTATATAAGACCTTGATACATAGATATATATTGTATAAAGATAATAGATATAGTTATATTTTTAATATAACTGGATTTTTTGTGTTTTACAACTAAATTGATACACATATTTTGTACGTAAACCTAATTAATTTACTTATTACTTAATTTAAAAAATAGTTTTCGTAGTTTAACTGAACGTTTGTTTAGCGAGCCTTTATAGAAATTTATAAGTATTGGTCCAAACAGATTGCAGTTTTATTAGAGGCATAAACGTTCTGGTCCAAAAGTGCTTTGCCTATTTAAAATTGTATTAATTTTTATTTTAAATATTTTTTTTTAATTTCCTTATTTTATTTTTTTTTTCATAATCGTTATATTATTATCGCATGTATACAAAATGTGAACATATTAACGTATGTTAATATGTTCAGCGATTGAATAAATGAAATTAATGCATGCTATACATATTGTTTATTATGATTTGTATTTTTATTACTATAAATACTAAATAGTAAAATATACGATATCATTACATTTAAATAGTGGTATCTAGTGGTAGTGTATAAGCTGGTTGAATTTTTGTCTCAATTGTAGTCTTGTAACGTGTGGTAGTTCCTATTTGTTGAATATATGGACACGGAACTAATTTCATCTAAAAATTTAAATTAAATTTACAGTATTTTAATCTAAAATATTGTAATGAAACCTTAATTATTACTTGTAAATCAATTTGCTCTGTAAATCTTTTTATAGAAGAGTCTAGGTCAAAATTTACTTCAGTGGTATATTTAACTGGTACTACTCTTGGCTCCATCCAAAATGTTGATCGATATCTAAAAATAATTATTTATTTTGCTATATATTTCATTCTAGGTAATATAAAATCTATAGTATATATTTTAGATAATTTAAATGTACTTTCACATTAAAATTTTTCATTTTTCATTTTTAAATTGTTTTTATATAATTACCTATTACTATGGCCAAAGAGAATTAACTTCCTGACAATGTGAGTTATAGGATCAAAAAGTATACTCGAGTCACCGTGATATCTTCCTCCCTTTAAAAAAAAACCCTATTTCTATCTAAATCTATTCAGTTGAACAAGTGTGTTAGTAAAATCTAACTGAGAATTTAAAAATGAAATATTTTATGTTTCATCATAAAAGTGTACCATTCTTAATACTAAAATATAATTAATTAACTAATTTTTTTTTTTCAATACTAATTAATATAATATGATTGAATAGAAGAATATCGATTATCATAATATACAGGTACCCAGAACATAGGTATGGTACCTATGATATTTTTACATAAAAAGTTCGATAAGTATACTTAAGTTGCTTACAATGAGGTAGGCTGGAAATTACAAGATCGTTTGCGTTCAAATTTGTCAAAATATATTTTTTTTCCAATATTTTTGGTATTATTCCTGAAATAAAATTCAAAAATGCAATAAAAATTTAAATTTAAAAAAAAAAATCGATACTGGGACCGGGTGAGATTTCTGTTGTAGGTAGGTAGTTAAGAAGGTGGAATATTATGTTAAGTTATTTAATTTATACATGTAACGATAAACGATTGGGAACAAAGTTTAGCTATACATTTTTTAAAGGTAGTAACATTTTTAAATTCTTATATATATAAAAAAAGAAATACTACATTACTGTCATTTTTTTTTCTCGCCACTATGTCAGACTCATAATGAACTCCCTGTCAAATTTTCAAGCATTTTGAAAAGTATTTTGAAAATACTTTGGAAAATTAAAAAATTACCTCTTTAATGCACAAACTAGAATTTACCTTTCAGAAAATGTACTTGATATTTCGGAACAAGATTGCTGGTAAAAAAGTTGCTCACAGACACAAAATACACAAAAAAAAAAAAACAGATTCCTCGCTACGTTCCGAATCTAATAAATAGACCACTGTTTAAATATAATGTGCAAATATAACTTACTGGTAAATACTCCAGAAAACATGTTATGTTATGCATTGTTTTTAAAATATTTAATAAATGAATAACATCTTTTAAACAATAATTTTTTAATTTTTTCTTTTAACTTCCAGAAATGTGCACTATTTTAGATACGGAGCTTAGTGAGGGATCTATTAGTTTTTCTATGTTAAGTCCTTTTTTACAATTTTTTTTTTTCTGTCTGTAAATAATTTTTTGAATAAAAATCTTGCTCTGGTGTATAGTACCAATGCACGATGTGTAGTGTATAGTATCTTTTCTGAAAGGAAATTTTGTCTAGATGGTGTACTAAATAGGTCTTTTTTTTATTTTCAAACAGGTTTTTGAAATAATTATGAAAACACCGAAAAAAAACTTTAGGTAAAACGACAAATATTTGCAACACATCATGACACTATCACATGTTTCATAATTTTTGTTCATGATGTATTCTACTAGAATTATTGTTCTAATCGGAAAATGATAAACCGATTTTGTTCCTTTTTATGTATAACCACTGACAAAAAAGTCGTTTTTGATAACCAAAATATTTTTCATAATAATTGAGAAAACTAAAAAAGACGAAAAATACGTTTTATTTCCAAATTACGATGCAATGATTTCATTATTTAAAATTTGTACGGCTTATGTTTTCTACCATAAATATTGCTCTGATAGAAAAAAACAATGTGACCTTTTTGTTGCATTTTTAATCTAGTTGGTAACCAAGGAAGTTGTTTTTTGATTTTCCTTGTACTTGTTTTCATGATTAAGCAAACTCGAAAAATACATAGAAAGTACTGGCAAAAAAAAAAAAAAAAAAAATTGAGATTAGGTAATGTAGTATTTCTTTTTTAGATTCTGAGTGTAGGGAATTTTATTTTCGCGAACATTTTACTAAGATGTTTATTTTTTATACTGTGTACAAAAATTCTACTGTAAATCTTGCTCAGGTAAAACGCGCAACACCGTTTTTGAAAGGAAATGTTATCCATATAGTACTTTTGTGTGGTCATTTTTTGATTTTCCAAACGATTTTCATAATATCTGGGAAAACCAGAATAAGACGTAAGAAAAACGGAAAATTTACGAAAATAATGTTTTTATTGTTTTACAATTTTGTTATTTGTTGTAATTCAATAAATCATTTTCGTAGAGACTTTAGACAAAAAACTTACATTTGTTTTTTCTAGACGTGGTAAAATTTTTAAAAAATATACCCATTTTTGAGATATTTATAGACATTTAAATTTTGAGAGTTTTGTATGTAATATTTATTCGGTAGGTACTACCGAGCATATGTATGTTGCCGATTTAAGAACGATGGTGAAGTCAAAATTAAGCGGACTGACTAAGTTTTGAAATTGAAAGGTTTAAATACAAAACCTGATATTGCCAACAATTCGAAAATCGAATTAGGCATTGATTTAAAAGGAAAAAATGCGGTAATATCAAATTTGCGATCAAAATTAAACTACATCGATTATTTCTATGAATAAAATCGATTTAAAAACAGCTGTTCAGTGCATAATGTGTTATTGCCACGTTTTGAGCCATATCAGAACGTATCGCCAAGTTCATGCCAAAAAATGTTATTGCCTATGCTATTTGTATAGAAACTAACTTTTTATCAGTGCAAAACGTGATATTACCATATACATTACGTTAAATACAATTTAACAGTCAGCTACAGAAATTTGAGCTTTTTAAAGTATTTAAAGGGATTTGAATAAATAATTTCATCATATTATGTAGAATTGGTAATTTTATAATACTAAAATAAATGTAAATGTGTATATCTAATATGTAAAAAGTGATAACTGATTACTAGTCTGGTTTTATGATCAGATTTTCATGATCATACTATCACACAACATAAAATTAATTAATTTCATATTTTGTTGTTACATATTATTGTTCTATGACATTATTTGCTATTTTATTATTAAAAATATGAATAGAACAATTAAAATTTTAAAAGCTACTCAAGACGTAAGTAATAAGCTAAATATAATAATAATTATAAGTAATATTACGTTCCTGTTAAGTGAGATGCCTTATTCAAACTATGTGTTTTGGTTTAATAATATAAACTCAGTATGCAAATTTATTGTATATATATACTTTGTATTGCTAAATATGTTTCTTGAAAACGTGGTATTGCCAGCAATACAATGTTTTGGTCTAACATAAAGTTTTTGAAGCATTAAAAACTATTTTTAAAACTTAGGTAAATTTATTTTGATACTGTAAATGATTTTTTTTTGGTTTTTTACATATAAATAAACATATTCTGAATGTTTATAGTTGTCAGAAAATGTGTTATAGTTTTCCTTGACTTATGAACATTTTGGTTTTTGGCAATACCACGTTTTATATTTTTAGTAATTATAGTTTTTTGAAGTTCTGATAGTATGCGCATATTATACGTTATGTTAAATAACTCTATAATATCTTTATAAAAAACATTTGTCGTAATCTAATAGTTATTTATGCCTATTGTCATCCTAGAGGTTCTGAGTTCAAACCAATGTGTCGAAAACAAAATTTTTTACATTTTTTTCCCTTTTATTTAAACAAGGAAAAAACAAATGCATTTTGGATGTACATAGAAACCCAAGCTATCACTCACTCGGACTATTTTAATCATAAAATACCCCTCGATTTGTTGTGCAAATCGATTTAGTTATCAAGTTTAGTTTATTTTTTAAAAGGAAACTTTATCTCCATGGTAATTTAGGGAAGTCATCTTTTATTTTTCAAGCTGTTTTCATAATATCTGGGAAAAACCGAGATAAAATGTCAGAAAAACGGAAAATGTACGAAGTGTAGGTATTATTAAAAAAATATTATAGCCTTTTTTTCCTGTATACAACTTTTCTGTCACCAATGTCGCTCCGATTTAAGTAATTTGTTTATGTAATTTAAGAAATTTTTCTAAAACGGGAAAATGTACAACTTTTTTACCAGCAATTTCGCTCCGATTTACAATAATAGAACTTTTTCTAAATGAAAATCTGAATGTGAAAAACCGGGAAAAAACATGGGAAAATCGGTACAGTATTAAACAAATATTATTAAAGAGAAAATATAATGCTTATTTATTTATTTTCTATTATACACAGTAGCGTATCCAGATTTTTTTTTTATTGGGGGGGAGGGGTTGAAAAAAATGTAGCAAATTAAATTGTTTTGAATTTTGTGTGTATTATAATCATACATTAAACATTTTATTACTATTTTACAGCGCTAATTATAAAAATGTTGAAATATTTATTTTTTTAAAAAATTATAAATATATATTCATTTTTCGTTTTGATGTTTTATCAAGTTCTTCTATAATATCATTGATATTCACGTTGATATCACGATAAATATATTTTCGTAAGCCTAAACGATTTAAACGTATTTGTCCCGAAGAATTTTTCAATTATGTTTTCAAACGACGGAGTGTTGAATGAATCGTTCTCTCGTCGCAGTAGACATTGGAAGTTGGACATTAGAAGTTTAGATATTACTGGATAAACATCTGGGTTAGTTAGGAAGTACACTTCAATAGCATTTTTGTTCTTGAGTTCGAAAGATGTTAAATTTGAATATTTAGTGTAAATCAAGATTTACTGTTTGAAGATATCGTCTAAGTGGAAAACTTTAAAAACTTTAAAAAATTAACTAATTATTTGTATTCTATCTTCTCAACTACCCACCTATAACAGTGGCCGACCGTACTCGTCACCAGTATGAACTTGTTATTAAATTATTTTAGATTTTCGATTCTGAGTGGAGCGATTGGTCACTATCACTATTTTTCAATGAATAACAACAATACACCTAAATTGAAAATAACAGAAACCGATATTCGGTAAATTTTCATGTTTTTCTGACATTTTCTTCAATTAATAGAAAAACTCATAGGCAAATCAAAAAATAACCTCTTAAATGCATGAACTAGACAAAATTGTCTACCAGAAAATACTCCAAAAATCGATCGGAACAAGATTCCTGGTAGAAAAGTTATAAACAACTAAAAAAAAAAAACACTTAGTAAAACAAATACAGTTATTGCATTTGTAATTCTTTTCAAATCTTTGTAGGACACTGCATTCATACAAAATTGTCCAAGTGAAATTTTTAATTTGTTTGAAGAATTTAATATTCATAATCATATGAAACATATACTTTTGGTAAAAATACAAACCATAACTTGATAGATATATCTATATAAATTTTAAATTTCCAGTTGGTCCTTTTTTCTGCAATTAATAAACCTCTAATAACTCGTATTGTCTATAAAAACTATTTAGCTAAATGATTCAGTGCACTTCGTCACTTTTTGCATGATAGTGACGATTTAATATAATATAACAGAAAAATACAGTAAACTATTCCCAGTATACCAGCTATTATATAATATAACACAATAATATAAAAAAAGCGTTACCTGAAATATATACGAGTACATAAAGATTTACTAAATGTGCTCACCCCACTTTTTTGGTTACATTTTGTAGGCGATATCATTTATGTGGCAAAATTTAATTTGTGCTCCACTACTCTTCCCCTACCTAAACTTCAAAGTGGAATATCTCGTAATCAGGTTGACAGAAATCAAAAATGTTGATACCAAAATGTATTTAAAATTAATTCCAAAATTCAGATTTTGAATATATGCAAAATTCAATTTAAAAAACGGTGTGAGGACGCTTATTGAATCATTCTGAATTATTAATTGTTGAAATATATTTATAATACTTTACTTATCAGATTTTCAATTATATTTAAAAACTTATATTCATTTTTCATACATTTCCGTTGAAGTAATTTTTGTTTGATTTAAATTTGTAGGTTTTTGTACTGTAAGAGTATTATTTTTTGTATTTTGGTTCTTGATAGTAGATGAAGGTGACGGTTGCAGTTTTATTTTATCTAATAAAAAAATAAAGTAATTATTTTTAAATATAAACAATTCATCTTTTATCTTTAGTATTTCCTTATATAATATTTACTTAATTTATTATCTAAATTAGGTAAAAATCGCATTACGCAACCGCAATCTCGTATTAAAAATCCTTCAGGCGAAAGTCTCTGTTCAGGTACACTTTTGGTAAATTTAAATGTTTGTTTAAAAATTGTTTTACAATGCGCACTTTTATTTTCTTCGAAATTGGGCATGGTTTTTAACAATCATCTGTAAAATTATTGTGATCTGTTTAGTGGAGTATCTAATATTATTTATTAATAATATTTATTTATTTATTATTTATTATTTATTATATTTATTATATATTATTACATATTTATTATAATATAAAGTCAATGAACAAAACGTCCTTTAACAATAAGTATAGAAAACAGAAAATACGTAAAAGACTTTTATAAAATTACAAAATTACATAAAAATATAATACATTTCTATAACATCAAAAATAAATATATATATATACATAAATCAAGTTATAAAATCGTTATATAATTCGAGATCAATTATAAATATAAATTATTAATTAAAGTTAAAGCATAAGTTTTGAAAGATTGGCGAGATATATTAAAAAGATAATGTATTGTAGAAACAAAATTAGCTAAAAGGTCTAGGGAGAAATGCGTTTGTACCAATGTTTGCTTTATACAACAGAACGATAAATAAACGATAAATAAATCTGTATTACGAGAGTGTTTACGAAGAATCCGGAAATTAGTTAGGACTAAGATCTCAGAGCAGATAACGAAACCGTTTAAGATATCAAAACTGAACATAATATCAGCTGATTTACGCCTTATAACAAGATTATGAACTCCTAAATATTCTTAAAAGGATATTAAAGAATATTTAAATCAAATTAAATCAATGTAAATAAAATTGAATCAAATTAAGTTAAATTAAATCAATTTCTCATTAAATGTAAAAAACCGAAAAAAAAAAAAAACAAAAAAATGTACGAAATAAATACGTCCATATTTCCTCCTACAATGAAATTCTAGAAAATTCGTATTCAAGTATTTTGTACTGTCATTTGTATAAATTTGTTTGACAGTTTTTAGAATTCGTTCGACACTGGTATTCGAGTAATATTGAAAATACTGAAGAGAGGCCAACGACATATGTCTACAGTCCCTCCCCCTAATGTAAATAATTAAGTATTTATGTATTTTATACTGCACGATTAAGAAGAACAATTTGTATAAATTTGTATGACCTTTTCCGAAATTTGTTTGCGTTAAAACTTTCAAAATATTTGTTCCATTTTTGGGCTTTTATACGCATTTTAACTTTACGAGTTTTTTTACGTAATTTTTATTCGGTAGTGCTTGAAAATTTAACAGCATGCTCATTAAATTTTTGTCTATATGCACCACATACTCGGCCCGTTTTGACTATGTTTTATCTAAATATTTTGTCCACATTTTACAAATATTATACTGCTAAATATTACCTATACATCAAAATATTATTTTCCACATTACTTTGCATATTATCGTATTCGGTTAATGACGTTTATATAGAGAAAATCGCCAAATAAATTTGTTGTTTCACATTAATATATACTTATATATCCAATAATGAACCTAATGATACCCTTTTTGTATAACTCGTGACGGATATATGAGACCGAAATGCTATTCGATATTTTAGTTCACTTTTGAATTTATTCGTATAGAGCCGCGTACATGCGGGTACAAAGGTGCCCTGCATACCCTCTGAACACTATCGGTTGCCGATGTCAAGACAATAGATTTCACCTTTACGAAATGTTATCTAAGATGACGAACCGGTATGAACCTATCAGTCTAAGAGCTATAACGCACATCTCTCCCCCGCCCATCTACCCACTATAACCGCTAAATATTATCCATACAACAAAATATTATTTTATATCGGTCGTCGATGACTAATGATAGTCTTCTATTCAGAAATTATTTTCATAATTATTGTATTTTATTTATTTTCTTCTCGATAACTGTTATAATATTTGTATTTTCGCAAAATATAATATGTATACCTTAAATATCACATAAATATCATAGTCTTTGCAAAACCCAAACAAATCCTTAAGGTTAATACATCCATTAAATCGGTTTCAATAAAATTAGTATTAGCATTTTTGAAATCACTGTTCCAAGCGGTGTTATGACGTGAACTAATATTTGATTCAGTATATGAATAATATCTTTTTAATATTGTAGCTATGCCTGAGTTATCGGTTTTTTGAATTTGAAGAATGTTCGCCTTGTATTTCATTTCAGAAAAAATAAATGCCAGTCCGTTATTTATAAAACTAATATCTCCGGTCATACCTGTTGGTTTGGTTATCGATCCTTCGATGTAAATATAACTTTCGCATGGCAAAGTATATAATTCCATATTACGTATGGGAATACGTACTTCGTCGTTTTTTTGATAGTGCGGTAGACGGGTATGGTAAAAACGAATGATATTCGATGCCGGTTATTCTACAATCATCAACATATCCACTAGTCTCATCTAAATACGTTTCGTCCATATTTTAAATAGCGTTTAGCGAACGAAGAAAAGCTAAATTGCTAATTGTTAACAGTTTTTCCTTTTTTATTATGTTTTGAATTATTTTTCTTGACTGTTTTCACTGAGAGTATTGACTTGATAGTGTTCTTGATTCAGCTGTTTTCATTCGACTTTGTAGTCCTATTTATACTATACAATTGTATGCCCATTTTAGATTTTATTATTTTATTTTATTTGATTAATATCCGTACAGGGATCGGTTTCCTTTACAAATCGATCGATTCGTCGTCCTGATCTTTTAAAACTATACTAGTATGAGATATAGAATTACAATTCAGCGAATATGAAACCAAGTGTGTAAAAATTTCGATTATTTTATATCCAGATGATACGTTAGGATAAAATGCATGTAATATATGGCTTTTCGTTGACGAATGAACCGGCAACCAAGTTAGATTTTACATATATATATACAATTAACTTTGGCGATATTAATTAATGAATCAGACCGATGTATAACGTTTGCATCATAGAATCCATATTTAAGACCTAATGGCGTACCTATGTTATTGCGCATAGTCAAATCGATCTGCGCTCTCGAGTTCATTTTACACTTTAATGTTGTATTGTTCGTTTTCAACTCAAACTTTATTGGTTTGTCGAATAAAATTTGTTTAATTGCGGCCTCTAAAACACTCAACTCGTACGATCCCGCCGGAATCGTCACCAAATAATAAATTATTTCATCTTTCTCGGCTAATGATCTAATTTCTGTCACTGTATCATCATTAATTATAGCGTCTTTTTTTCTTTTAACGATAAATCCTATAAAGTTACATTTTTCATTGATATTAGGAATAGAATTGTTTGTTTGAAGTCCTAATAGACAAATCTTGGCGTTTTCACTGATTTCATCGGTGGGAAGGTGGCAAAACAAATTCACCGAATTTCTACTTAATTTTATCGTATATATCAGGGGTCGCCAACCAATCGATCGCGATCAAAAAACAAATTAATTTAACTTAATCTGATTTATATTAGTTTGATTTAACTTAATTTTATTTAAATTGATTTTATTTAATTTAAATTTATTTCAATTATGCATAGAAAAAAAGGAGGTTATAATGTATTTTAACTAATACTTACATTTCGTACATTTTTCCTTATTTCATCTCCTTTTTATAATTCATCAGAAAGTATTTTGTCAGAACTGTTCAATATAATTTCATCAGAAGCACTCCGTGACTGCATGTTATCGTCGTTGGGTAAAAATTATTTTCCGATAAAATACGGTTCCGACAAAATTCTTCCTGACGAATTTTTTTCCGACAAAATAAATTTCTGACAAAGTACGTTTCCAACAAAATACAGTTCCTACAAAATATTTTTCTAAAAAAATACAGTTCCGACAAAATATTTTCCAATATTTTACGTGCTCCCATATTTTCATTTATATTTCCATTAGAGAAATGCTTACTGGAAATATTTTGATCAGTTATTTTTCAGAGATATTTTTAACTGGAACCAACGCAATAACACCCAGCTATTTTAGTTACAGTATAATATAGATTATAGAATATAATATTTAGTGATTAAAATAGTTATACCCTAACTCCAGTAGGATGTGCCATAAAATAGAGCTATACGTTCTGATCGAAAACATTTTTCAGATTCTTAGTGTAGAAAGTATTGGTTTTACTATAATGAGTGCTTTTTAAAAATAATTGCTTAATATTGAATAATTTTTTTTTTTTTTAAGAATATTATTTTGTTAATGCATTGAATAGGTGCTTCTTTGAATTTTTTTCTACCAGAAATCGTATTCCGATTATCAAGCATAGCACCTTTTCTGAAAGTAAATGTTCCTTAGGTGGTATTTTAAAGAGGTCATTTTTTGAAATTCTGGTTAATATTCAAGATAATGAGGAAAACCTTGATCTTTAGGTTAAAAAAGATTAAAAAATAAGGTCATTGGCATTCGTTTTTATTTATTTTTTGTTATTATTAAGTTTTTATGATTTTAATCTTTTTTAAACAATCATTATTGTCATAGAAACGCACATTATTGTTATCATTTTACCATAATAAGACATATACCCTATACATTATGTTGTTGACAAAGCAGCACTATCAACTGAATTCCGCTCAGAATCGTTTTTTCGTTAGCAATAGTTTATCGTTGATTACAGATATACATGCAATTCCCGTCTGTATCCTACCTTTCCACCTTTCCACCTACAACAGTGGCTGCACCCACGTGCGAAATATGTCCGTTCATTTTTTATTTTTTTTTTCATTTTTATCAACAATAACTGGGAAAACCCGTGAAAAACATAAAAACTTGCGATTTCGCTTTTTTTTTCGCAATTTGGTTAGAAAACATCGTAATGACATGAAATTTCCATAGAATAAATATGTTTGCACTTTCTAGATATAGAACGATTTTCATACGAATCTGGTGATTATTAAGCTAGGTAGTAATAGCTATCATTAAATAAATATTTAAATTCTTTTAGTATTTATCTAAAGAAAATTTACTGGTTTAGCCAAAATAATTATCCTAAATTGTATTTTTAGTGATAAAAAAATTCGAGTGTAATGTGATAATTTTATAAGCGTTTAATATTTAAATTTTGGGGAATATCGTAAAAATCATGTAATTTTAAAACACATTTAACCATTCAGAATCATTTTTTATTAACTATGAATTATCTTTGGATACAAATATAAATTGAATGAATTTATATGTATCCTACCTTTATCTTCTCATCTACAACATTAACACACCCATCAGCATTAATTGACTATTTTTAAAGTTAGAAGTCCCTAAGCCTAATTATAACCGTTAAATTTTAGGCCGGAGGAGTAGGGAAGAGTTAACAATTTATCAATTAAAAAATACACGGAATACTTCACACGATGGGTGTGCCATTGTTGTAAGTGAAAAGGTTGAGAAGGTAAGATATAGAGAGGAATTTAATGTACATCTGTAAACAACGATTGATCTTTGCTAATGAAAAACGATTTTGAGCGGAGTTCGGTTATACTTGTTTTTAAAGGCTGTAATATTTGCAATTTTTTTTTAAAACTCTAATAAAAAAAAAATATACTGCATTCCACATAATTTTTTTTTAGGTATCACAAATTACGACTTATACGATAGTATCTCCTACTAAATGTTTAAGCATTTCTGTTAGGTCTAACAATTTTATCTACAGAGTACCTACCGAATAAAAATTAAATTATTTTTTGAAAATTTGACCACCTCTAGAAAAGACAAGTATAAGTTTACTCTCCAAATTTCAATTCTCTACGAATATTTTAAACTGAATCAAAACAAAAACGTTTTTTCTCAGTTGTCCCGTGTTTTTTCCCGGGTTTTCCCATTTATTATGAAAATAGCTGGGAAAATCAAAAAATGACCTTATGTCCTTATGTACTAACCAGTTGGATTACCTTTCAGATTAAATTGGAGCAAAATGTATGGTAGAAACATTGTTTTCAAAAATATTGGTTGTTCAAAGAAAAAAAAAAATAAATATTAACATTATTGTGAAACCAATACATTCCTCGCTTTGCTCAGAATCTAAAATAGATATGCAATTTATTACCCTTCCCTACGCTTCTTGTCTAAAATTTAAAATGTTATAACTCATAAACGGTAAATCTGATTTTATAGTGTTATGCATATCAACATTTTATTTCCAAAAGAATATTCTTCATTAAATTCTGTGTTTCAAAAGGTTTCCTATTTGAAAAAACAAAGTATGTACTTATTTATGGTACACGGAGTAGGGTTACATAATTAAAAATGGTTTTAAAATAAAGTTTAAACGATTCCACAATGATTAAAAAACATAAACATAATAATGTATAATAGCTGAATTTTAGTATTTATAGATACTTACGATAAATCGAAATGTAGGTATCACATTCACATTCGAAAATATATAAACACGGTTTTCGGTTTTCAATAAAGTTAACCACTTATTGTATTATTCATGAATCTGAATTAAAATTTAATTTATCTAGTGTACATTATTTCACCTAAAACGCACAATATCGTGTCGCCAACACAACGTCAATTGGCCGTATGAAATATAACATACGATAGATGAATATTATAATGTATATATAGTAAAATATGATATGGACAGGTGCGCTCTCATGCGTTTATGTCTGATATTCTAGGCGTATAATATTAATTATAATGGTATACCATTGGCTCGCTATTATTTTATTACGATTTCTATAAAAATTTGAATTTCCATCATCTGAATATAGACGTATAATAAATCACTTTTAAATTTGGTAATTTTGAAAGTAGTATGTACCGAGTAGATAGTGGAAATAGAGTATCATTATTTGTTTTTAACTTTATTTAATTATCTTCAAAATGTTTAATATAGGTTATCAATCGACAACAGTGACATTGGAAGTGGGAAGACAGTTGTTCTCATCAATAAAATATAAATAAAACTCCAAGACCTAAAAAAAAAAAAAAAAACAATTTTAATTCAATTTCCATTAATATTATTTATTAATCTTCTCGTGAATAAAATATGTGATATTAAAATTAAAATTAAATAAAGTTACCTATTTTTCATTCGTTTCTAACATATAATTGATATTGTAAATTCAAAGAAACAATCGAAATCAATTATAATTTTGTATTATTATCCCTACACAAATTTCGTAACGCGCACATCATAATTTATGTTTTTTTAATTACAGACTTGCCACTTGGTAAGTACAACCCTAGTAGTTAGTATTGTTAAATATTGATATGCTTTGAACCTCCGAAAATTTATTGAAATTGCGCTTCTAAATTATTTATATATTGTGTAGAAACGTTAATTGAAAATACACTATATCCTTGTACAGAGTCGTGCAGTTTGAATTTTTCTTTAATTGGTTGTTATACTTAGTGATACCTACAAATTTTCACGCACTCAACATTTTTTACTGCTTGCGCATGCTGGTACAACTATTTTTTCTTAAATGACAATCTTCAATATTAGCCAAATTTGTTTATATATATTTTTCACGAATTTTATTGATCAAACCACTGTTCCAAGTCTAAAATTAGCTGAGGTACAGTAATTTAAAGTTTCATCTCGTAAGAGAAATGACGGATCTCAGAAAGCCCAACACCCATAATTGTATGTAAAATCTTATTAGAAAAATAAGTGTATTTTTTATTTTCTCTAGAAGTCCCCCCCCCCCTAAAAACCTTATATATCTATCAAGGCAACATAATATAACAACCATATTAAAAAACTTCGTTTAATAGTGTTATTATGTAATTAATTGTAGTTAAATTAGTTTAACTCTTTCAGACCTGATGACCTGTAGGAAGGACATTCCTTTAAATGCTATTTATCACCATTTAAAATTGGTTTATGTTATTAAAAATGCATCCATAAATTATGTAGTATACACAAATCATAAAATTAACAACGTAACTCTTATCATGTTTAAGTTTTACCATAAAACATTTTTGAAAAATATTGATATGACATTTTTGATTGTTTTTGACAGTACATTTATAATTTAAAGTTGAAAATATGATTTTAAAAATCTGATATTTTTCCCTTCCATGATAACAGAGCAGTCTAAAAGTACGAATCATAAATTCTTCCCAAAAATTAATACCAATAATATTATTTTTACTCGGTAAACGCCTGATATCTTCTACTGGGGACATACTTATGAATTGGTAAAAACCTTAGTAAAAAAAAAATTATTTTATCTTATGAAACAACCTACTATTAAAAATTGATAAACAAAAATGATCTAACTCAAAAAAATTAATTCTACGTCTGTGAGAGTTAATATTTAACAGTGCAATATAAAATGTATAGTTATTTATTATGATAGGTAGGCTTACCTATTATAATTATTACACGTTCATATTTGTATAAATAAAAATATATTGCGTTCTATTATCCCAATACATAATTATTTTTATAATGTACGACTATATCATTTATTTTTACAACTCTAGATATTTATTGTGTATAGTACTATGTATATAAACTTATTTCCGGTTCCTGAATTATATATATATATCAGTACATATAACTAAGTATGTATTACTATAGTATTCTAACAAAATGTACGTTTTTATAATGTATATACAGAGTGTGCCAAGAATTTAAAATCGTCTTAATCTACTCTAGTCAATTTATTATTTTACCTACTCTATTCTGTACTTACGTGGGTATTTCTGTTTTAAATTTCTATTTAAATATCTAGTGTATACCATTTGGATAAGGACATTTTTTATCAAAAATTGTAAAGTTCAATTCGAGAACATTGTAATAGCTGCCATAATATCGATAATGACAACACCAAACACCCATATACACATTTGAATATACATATCAACCTTATATTAAATATATAAAATGTATATATAGTTTCACGTTTTAATGGTATGGTTCCAGGAAGTATTTTTATTATTTTTTTTTTTTTTGAAGTGGCAGGGCTACGTACATAAACAAAATATTGCATATTATATTTTATTTTATAGGTTGGACTCCTCTATTTTTAGTTTTTATAAAAACATCTAAAATGTTATTTAAATTTCGTTCAAATATAAATTTGTCGATGTGATATATCCTCTGAAATCCTTGAAAAAAATTATGTTTTCACTCTCCTAAGAGTAAACATTTGTTTTATTATTTTAGGGAAATCTCAGTCCGGGGTTGATAGTTATGTCAGTGATTGAGAGAAAAAAACCGCACCTGGGTAGTACCTATACAGCCATTATTCATAATAATAATTGGTATTAAACAACTCTGTATTACATAAATAATCGTATATATATAGGCATAAATATAGGTAGATTCATGGTAGATTTGGTGATCACAAAAGGAATCGTTCGACCGTAAATTGTTAACAAAAATAGGGAGAAGTAAAATATTCATGAAAACCAGGAAATGATGCATTGAATTAAAACATTACAGCTAGGATATACATATTATATATTATATCCAGGTAGATTTTAAAATACATTTTCATCCGTGCCTTTTTTTATATACCTAATATGTATAGCATGTACAGCATGACTAAATATAAAGCTATGATGTATAGTAACACTATAATAGTAGTTAGGAATTTATGTAGGCTTAATAATTTAATGTGTATTGTGACGTTCAAAATAGATTGTCTAAAATAAATCATGAACACAATACTAATAGTCAGTTGCTACCTCCTGGATTTTTTTCAGGATTTTTGTCACATGGCTCGGAAGTTTTAGTTAGAAGGAATAAGCGTATTAATATATTGATTGTATGATCATATATGTCGCAAAATATTCGTCCGTACAAAAAATGCTACGTTAGAACCTTCATTTAATTATTAAAACCCTTTCGAACTATATCCCACATGATGGAGCCCAAAATCGCGCATTCCATCGTCCCGATGGAGCTTGCACGGAAAATAACATTTTTATTCGATTGCAGCCACTTAATCGAGAAATCAGTTCATCATGAGATATTTGACCGCGATACCAGTTCATAGTATGCGTATGCTATAGAAGGTTAACAAATACGAAAATACAAATAATTTCTTCTTCAGTTCACTCAGAATCTAAAATTAATAACCAGTATAAAATTACTATATATCGTTTATAATATTGCTATGGTTGAGTGTTTTGCGATATTAACACAAGACACTAAAAATTTGAGCCCTGTTCCAGAAAAAAAATTGAAAATATGCCACTGAATTGAATTATGATGATCTAAATACAATAAATGCTTCACTCAGTATCCGTCAGAGAGCGTTAGCCGTTATAGTGTGTTCCTAATAAATTAAATGATAACAAATATGTTATGATAAATATTAATAATGATACTTGACTATCTTTGAATTCTTGTACTTTATACTTTAAAGTTAAATTAAGTAAATTAAAAAAATTATTTATTATTTATGTACTTATGCACTTACTAGTGTTTTATCAAAATGTCATATTTATTTTAAAATTATAGAAACCGATCTGTATAATATTAGTCATGTACCTACTACCTAGGTATATAATATTCTGGTAATTCATGATTAATATTTTACTATTCTTTTAAACAGTTCCTAATTTTTAAAAAATGAATTATTTATTTTTTGATATCCTTTTAAATATAGGTTAATTTGTAATCTTAGGATAATATTAATTAATTATTGTAAATGAAAAAATTGTAAATTATCTTATGTAATTTACTTAGGTAATTCTGAAAGTTTTCTGTGAATAATTTTAATCTTTACTTTTTAAAACACTATTTAAATATTGGGTGTATAACTGATTTTAGAAGTGTATAAAATGATGAAAATACAATTATGATGGCAGAAGAAAATTATCAAGTTCCTGAAGTAATGGTAGAAATGTTGAAAGATAAAAATACAGTTACAGAACAAAATATTCATGACGCTAATGAAGGTCAATTAAAAAAGCCACCTTCTGTTACACCTCGAAATAGGAGTCCTGTTACTATACAAGAATGGGTAGACTCATTACCCACAGCAGTTGATCAAAAGTAGGTAATTGGTATTAATTTTTAATAGATTTGTATGAAATGTATTTAATAATTTATATTTTTAGAGAATATTTTGAAAATGTAGAATCTTCTACAATAATAAATAGCCTAGATGCTGATAATCTTACACTGGGAGCAGAAGGTAAGCTAAATATTTGAATATTGTGAATATTATACTAGTCAAAACATAATTAAATTTTGAAATGGAATTTCTCTTTTTAAATTTGTTTTTTAGTATTTTGTTCATAATATTAGTTTTAATTACACATTTTTTGGAGCTGAATGACTTAATGATTGAAATTAATAGTTTAATTAGCTATTTAGGCAACCAAATAAACTACCTACATTTTGTCTATAACTAATCATACATAAGATATAGTTATTAATTCTATTATCAGTAAATTTATTAATGTGTTATAGGATGGCTATTAAGGTTAAACTGGATTCACACTATGTGATTTGAATGTTTTTGAACACAAGTCAAAATTAAATTGTTGAGTTTAAATGTAGACTTTCAAACTATATGGAAAAATTTATGTAGCTGCATTAAATGTATTTGGTTTAATTTGTATGATTGAAACGTGTCTGTTAATAATATTAAACAACACATTATCATAATATATTTCACACTGTGCTATTTGAACACACATCTGTTTCTCGGGATTTATAACTTATATTTGTATTATTATTTAAATGCGTAGTGTGCAATTCAGATGCTAATCCGATCAAATTGTATAATGTGAAACCAGCTTTAGACATTTATGGAGTTCCTAAGTAGTTTTTATATACTTGTGTAGGTATCAAAATAAAAATAGTAAATACATAAACGAACTTCCAACAGCCCACCTTACTTATACTTACATTGATTTTGTAGTTAAAATTCATAACTGCTCAGTGGGCAATTAGGCTTATTGCCCAATCAACTACTTGTGCTTACACAAAAGTTGTTTAAGTTATATATTTTTTAAATTCAGAAGCAATCAGAGATTATAATATACTACAATAGTATCTTATTCTAAATTTTAAATTTGTTAACTATATAAAAAGTGATCTTTTATCATACTTTATTTGTTGTACCTACTATACTAAATATACATTTAATAATTTTCTTAAAGGTCTTTTCTCTAAAAAATATAATTTTTTTTATAGCTGGACTTTTATCTAAAGGTAGACCTATTCCAAATGTCACTGTAACAACAGAAAGGTAATTTATATTTCTAATTATATTTGTTTAATATTTCTAAATTTCCTATGTAACAACAAAAAATCAATAATCAATATATTTGACTATTTATTTATATTTACATAATAAGAAAATCTATACTACTTAAATAATTGGTTGTTATTTACTCAACTATATTTGCACCTTAAGTTTGCATAATCATTTAAAGAAAAATGAAAAGGTGACCCAGGGAAACAAATTACATTATTGTTATTTATTCATTTTTGTTTTAAAAAAAATAAAAAAATGTATGATCAATTGATGAGAATTTTTATTGAGCACTTAAAAATATATATTTATATATTGTTGGCTACCCAGCAAAAACTCGTGAATCAATTTTAATTTTTTTTACAAAACTGCAACAAGAAAACTAATATTAACTAAAATCTATTAGATAAAGAATGTTATAAAAAGAGTTCTTATACAATTTTTAGAAAAGTTGTGCACAAAAGCAAAAAAAAAAAAGAATGAGTTACAAGTTTTTACTGGGTAGCGGATGATATGATATTGAACAAAACTTTAAAAAATATTATTACTATACCATTAATTTAAATTATTTTCCAAAATTAATTGCATCATAATTTTTACAAACTTAAGGTTGATTTTAAAGGGACATGTAGGTCACACACTAAACAAATGTCCTTCATAAATTGAAAATGTATGATTATTAAGAAAAAATATATTCTACTGTTAAATAATGATAACAAATTATAATTAACATTCAATCATAAAAAAAAAATATTGATTATAAATTTATAGCCCATTATTTGAAAAACAATTAATTAATCGAGTATTAGTCATAAATTCTTAATCAGAAAATATTATTATTATTCAAAACAATTTAATATTAGAAAAAAATGAAATAAAAAACTGCCTAATGTAAAACTAGCTATCCAAATTGTAAAAATAAAATGTGTTACAATTTCTATGTGATTCTCCATTTTCATCCTGCCTCTATCACTGTTAATCATTATTGGCCAGTAATTCATTTTTATTTTAAGTATTTTCTTGCCCTAACAACCAAATAAAGTAATAAAAATTGTTTTTTATCCATGCCCCTAATGTTACATATAAATAGTAACTTAAAGCATAGGCAGACACTTTCTTTTATTGTAAAAAATAATTGTTATCATAAATTTCTAATACTTATAACTATTAGATTATTAAAATTTATATTAAATTACCTTATTTGAATAATAAAAATATAATATTTTTTAATTTTAAGTATTTAATATTTTATCTAGATACCTAATAAATTTAATGTTATATTTGTTTATAAGTGTTGGAAATCAATACATTTTTCATTTAAATTTTACTAAAATTTTTAAGAAATACTTTAATAATTTAGAAATTACCTTAGTAAACTGCTAAAAATCATGCTTATTATTTATTAATAGATATAAATATATAATACACCACGTTAAAATAATTGATTTAGACATGTAGAAATGTGTCTATTTTTCTATTTAATATCATGTATTTTTATTCAAGTAATATAGTTCATGCACCATCAGAATCTGGTAGTCAGACCTCCAGTTTTGATTCAAAATTATTAAACGCCCGGAAACCAGATCCTGAAGAAATATTGTTAGGTTTAGGATTTGGTGGTGGAATTGAATCAACTGCATATAGCGAATATGGGCGTGTGCCAAAAAGATTTTTACAGCCGTCCCAATTAAAAGGTGTATCTGTTGAGGAATATATACAACACCAACAAGAATTAATTCATATGTATGAATCCGGACTATGGGGTTATCGTGGATTAACCGGTAGGTTTACTCTTTGTATTTTCTTTTCTAATTTCATATCTTTTTAAAAAGTTTCTATAATTTATGCATTTTTAATCAAGTATGAAAAATTATTTTTTCCTCAATGATTAAATTTAATAGAGGAAGACATTTTTATTTAGGTACATTGTTGGAATATCAATCTACAGGTGTCTCAGTTTACAACTGTTTTATGTAAGTTCATTCTTTTTGCAGCTCTTCTGCAAAATTTGTCGATTTGTTTGTTTTATAAAAAAAATTTTAACTTTTTTTTTTTTGCATGAAATAATTATTACTGTAGTTATATTTCAATTATATAGTTGTTATTAGTATTTTTATTGAGTATACTATGATGCTTTTACAGGAATATTTAAATTCATTTAATTTTTGGTTACAATTATAATTTTATATGTTTACTAGTTTTATAAATAATAAATAGTAAATTACTTATATTACTCTAATAACAATAAAATAAATGTAAACATATATACGTATATTGTAAATTACATAATACATTTTTAAAAAGAGCTACTGCCGGTGGGTCTCTTTTTTTCTTTTTCTTTTTAAGTTTTCTCTTTTGGGAATTTAAAATATGTTACATTTATGTAATTTTCATCATTTTTTTTTTTTTTGTATAGGTTTGTATAACTAAATACTGTAAATACTAACAATACCGGAAGGTCTATACCTTGAATTGACAACTTTTATAACCCTAGATCAGTATAATTATATTTATTAAATTATTTATTGTAATCATATTTTTACCATAATGCAATATCAATACCTGTAATAGTTAATTCATTAATTATAAATTATTATCCTATGAAACAAATGGTAAAAACTTGCTAAAAATATTGACATGTTAAAATATTTCTGAACTCTGAAGGGGCCATTAATAGTGAAAACTAAATGTTTCATCCAGATCGGAATAAAATTATAGATTTATATTGAAAGCAAACATAAATCGAACTTGATTTAATATATACATAATTTATCAATGCTGAATAGTTTATGCTATCTTTTTTTGTACTAAACATGGTCAATGGATCTTGGTATGGGTCGTTCTTTAGCCGTCCCCACCAAAATACATTTTGGTGTTGAAAAATAGTGAGCACGTTTAGTGAATCACTCCGTATACCTGAGTTTTAAAATGACTACAAATGTGTACAAAATATAATAATTGATTTTAATAATAATTTGTTATTATTAATAAATGGGAAAACCTCAGTAGTACAGATAAGTTAGAACAATTTTTAAAAATACATAAGCAATATAATAATAAGAAGAATATTGCTAATAATAATTGTGTCTGGATATTATTAATAACTAGCTGTCCTACGCCAGGTGTTTCCCGTGCCAATTTTTTATTCTTTTTACCTTTATTCCCGTATTGCTGTGCCCGTATCAGTAGCGGCACGATACAGTGTTTCATGGGGCCGTGGCCTCATGACCAATTGGGTGGTGGTACCCTTTGGCTCTTGGGCTTTGTCGCTTTGATATCTTGGGACTTGGGTATTGATAATTAAAGATGACATTTTGATACCCATACTATGGGTAGTCTCCACGGGTCGGTTTGATACAATTTAGGTGGTGGTAGTTGTAGTAAAATATTTAGTACTGCCTCATAGTTGAAAATTGTTCGCGCCGCCACTGCGTATCAGTATATCGAACAAAAGAAAATAGGTTGGGAAGATCGGTGGACTAAAAATGTTCTATTTTTTTTATAGTGTGTCATACTTTTGTTCATCTATGTTACCATAGATATTTACATAGCACGTAATTACACGTTATTAAATTATATTATATCCATTATAATAACGCTCAAATTATGAGGACATAATAGTATGCTCTAGTGTTATCAATGTACCAAAAATTACAAAGATTCTAAGATGACGTGTTTTACATATTTTCACTTACCCACCCAGTGCAGCACAATTTTGTGTGTTTTGCTATTGTCAAAAATAGTAATAATAATAGTATTTTTCTTGTCCATGATTACCGAATTATCATCCATATTTCCAAGGTAACTCACGAATAAACAAAAAATAAATAAATAATCAATTATTAAAAATACCTAGAAACCTAATTATTGCAATTTTTGTAGGGATCCTTATTTTTTTCTAGTAATAAATATAGCCTATGCTACTTAGGGATAATGTAGCATTCTAATGATGAAAGAATTTTTGAAATTTTTGAAATAGGTCCAGTAATTTTTGAGCTAATTCGTTATAAACACAAATCTTTCCTCTTTATAATATTATTACCTTTCATCTTATTTTAAAACCTAAACGATTCTTATAAACCTTCTTTAGGGTTAAATAAACGAACGTTGCTATTAAAAATAATCCAAAATCTCACATAAATTCTGTAATATTCTTTGGTAACCAAATCAGTGAAATAATGCTTTTGACAGAACAGTTTAGTTTCCATGATTTCTTGTTTACATCCATTTTTGTTTACAATCTATGCTTAGAAAAAAGTAAAAATGTTTACTTTTTTAATTTTCTGAGCTATTCATCTAATTTTTCTTTTTATAAAAACCTTACTTAGGGTTAAACAGATTTTTTTTTTAAAAGAAAAATAGTCAAATCAGTTCAACTATTCTTAATTTTTTTACATACCAACATTTTGAGTGACTCATTTTTATTTATATAGATTATAAATAGTTTTATTAATTGTTTTGTATTCAGTTATTTAAATTTCATTTGATTTATTTTCATAATTAAATGATATTTAAACTATTTGTCAGTTAAATGTATAAATAATGTTTAAAGGTATTTCACTTGAATTAAAATTAAATAATATAATTAAATAAACCCCATTATACATTATTTGTTTATCTTTCTGATTTGTTTTTCACTATTAGTCATGTGACAATAACTAGATGTTTAGCTTTACTGTAATTTTTATTCAGTTAGATATGCTTTTGCGGCACATTGTTTTTTGTTTTGCTTGTTTCTATTGATTATAAAATAAAAATGTATTAAACAGCTAAAAACCTGAAAGTTGTATTTTTTGCTATTATACACCAACAGTAATTAATAATTATGATTCTTGTGTAGTCTTTTTAACAATTCTGCTATAAAAACTAGTCTGAGATATTTTTTTTACTACTTATTTTGTTTTAAAAAACTATGTAGTGTATTATATAATTATTATAATATGAACTGTACACAGTTTATACTATTATTATATTTATTTTTGTATCAACATTGTTAAAATTCAAAAATTTGAATTTTTTTATTTAAACAGGCTTTTGCATTATTTATTTGTCTTATATCCATTTTTTTAAAATTTGTATTTATAATTTATACTTGTATAGGGCCACCACATGCAAGCCCATCAGTTATAGTTGCAAAAATCATGGAAAAACTTCGAGAACACGAGCGAGACATGACGTGCCCAAAAGGTTCTTCAAGAACCATAGTTTCAGGAATTAAACATATGCAGTCAATTCATAAAAGTGCAAAACAGAATTCAAATCGGTTTAATAAAGCTGCTGAAAACATTCTCACAAAAATTAGGTATAATAGTTATTTTAGGAATCATCTTATATAATATTTTGGTATTATTTACCTTATTTTAAAAATGCGAGACTTATGATAAATTTAATATGTTTGATAGTTTCAATATTTATTTTAACAAATAACCAAACAAAATAATTTTTTTAATATAAAACATTTTAAAAAGATGTATGACTTATAAGTATTTCTTGTTCAAAATTGTACTGTAATAATTTTATTGAGTATGATTTAAAATAATAAAAATAATAATATATGCAATTGAGTTAAAACCATTACTTGCAATATTTGATCTAATTTTATGCAATTCCAAATTTGGATAAAAAGTTGTGATATTAATTTTTAAACAGCCCTTCTGTCTAGTATGTATTCACTGAAAGCAGGGAGTATGGTCACATTATATATGGTAGAATGTGTATTTTTTATCAGTAATATTTCATAATATTTTGAATTTAATATAGCTAGATTATAAAAGTTTTAATACAATTTTGCTACGTATATTTTTTTTCAGTATGATGAATATTATTTAAGAATAATATGCTTACAAAAAAAGTTATATAATACCTTGTATAGTATAATGTACTAATGTTATCATTAGGATTAGGTATATTTTATTTATAATGAAATAATGAATTTAAAAAAATATAGATAAGATAAATGTTTTAAACACTTTTTCAAAGTAAAATTAATGAGTATGTAATGTATTGTAATATATTTAGTACATGGATGCTTTTGTTTGAATATTTTCTTGTATTTTATAGATGTACACCTGGTAGTGTATTAACTCCAGATAATCGTAAATGGCTTGATAGTCAAGGTGGTGACAAGTCACCGGAATTGTCAAGACGATTAATGATTGGTCAGCAGTCATTTGTATTAACTCGTGATGGTACTTTAATAGAAACGCCGCCATGCAGTGTTATAAATGATAAGTTAGTTACTTTTGAAATTTTTAAACCGTTTAACACACTTTAATGTATATACAAAGATTAAGCTAGTATAATAGTTATTATTTTGATTTTTTTTATAGTTCACCAATAACAACAGATGAAAATATTATTAATAGAAAAGTTTCAACTACTAATAGTAACAGATCTTCTCAATTAGACGAAGAAGGTAAAGTGATGTTTAAAGTCGGTTCATCATCATCTATAAATACAGATACACAATTAAGAAAAGCAAGTTGCTCATCATTTGACATACACAGAAGCGGTTATAAAATGGAAGATTTAAAACCTGTATTTGATTTAAATCAATCTTATGATAAAGATTATAGTCCTGAAAGAGATTTAGAAGATTTATTATCTATAGTTGAGCCTTGTCAAGATGCTAGTAAAGCAAGTTCAGATGTAGATTCAGGTGCAGCATCTGATAGTGCTGATACATCATTTGCTCAAATAAATTTAATGTCATTGACTGAAAGTGAATTAACGGCAAATGAAGATATTTATTCTAAAGTAAGTTAAAATTCTAAAAAAAATTTATGAATAATAGTATATCTAATTATACTTGATTAATTACAGATAATATTCACTAGTAATTAATATAAAGCTAAACAAAAGTTCCCTTTTTTACAATTCACATCTGAGAAATTAATTTGAATTCATGTAATTAATAGTTATTTTTTCATTATTAAAATCTGTTTTCATAAACTGTTTGTCTTAAATCATGTATTTAATAGAGTATTTAAATTTAAATATTTTTGAAAGTTGTTTTAAATCGCTTACAGTTAAGTTGACCCTAAATGTGTTTTGTTTAATTTTTTATCAATAAGTTAAATTATTGTGACTTGAATGTGAAAATATATGGGTCCAATATTTTAATTTTTTTATGGAATAACATGAGATCTTCAAGAACAATGTCAACTGAATCATTGGTTTATATGTTTATGTCGTATCCACTTGAAATTATGCATTTCATGAAAAGTAATCTAGTTTCTGAAATAGTGCAATTTAATTTTTAAAAAAAGAGCTGATACTGCTGATGGGTCCGCCACTATTGTAGGTGGGAAATAATGTTGGATACATAAAGTTATTTAGTTTATATTCTTAAGTGATAAATCATTGTTTACAATATGTGATTCTGAGCAAAGTTGAATTATATATGTTTTGAAATGTGATAGTATTTACAATTTTGATCAAAAAATGATTCTAAAATGATTATTAAAAAAAACAACTTTCAATATTTTTTTACCAAGTGTAACTTGTAATGATCATTGTGTTAAATTGTAAAGTATTTTTGTTTGCTCAAATAATTTTATCCACATAATAAATACCAAAGAAAAACTACTAAAAAATGAAAATATAAAATATTATAAATAACTCAAAAATATTTTGAAATTTTTTCTACCCCTATAAAAGACCAATATGTTTTCTTTCAAAATTTTAAGTCTACAAATATTTTTAACTGAATTACAACAAAAAAACAAAATTGAAATGTTCCATTTCCAGCTTTCAGGCTTAATTTTGTTATATATACAGGTCTTATATTTGATATTAATACCAAGATGTTTAAGTCCTGTTCATGTTCTGTACTTTTTGAAAGAATATACTATCAATTTCCAAGTTTGACTCATCTTCATCATCTTATTCATAGTCATATAATAAAACTAGAGCTACGCTCAGAATCTAAAAGAAACTTAATACTACTTGATTTACTATATTTTAATTTTAAAATAAGATTTTACATAAGAAAGAAATGCTCATAATCTTTAATTGAATTGCTATTTTTAATAATTCATTATAATACTACTATGTACAGACTATATTATAGATTATCATTATAGAAACTCTAATTTTACCCAGATTTTAATTTTAAACTGATAGATGAACAGAAATGAAATAATCAGTTAAAAGTTAAAATTAGTGTTGTAATATTTGAATACTTTTTTTTTTTCAGAATTTAAGTAGACAATATGAAGATTTGTGTAATTTGAGACTGAGGTTAAATGTAAGTTATTATTAATTACTTGCTTAATTAAATATTTATTGACTATATTATTTTACTATATTCATGGATTCCCCATTTATTTATAAGTTTCTGATCCCACCATTAGAAAAAATTATAAATAATAGGTATTCGTAATGGGCACTATCAAACTACCTATTTGATAGTTGATTGCATTCAAACTATTCAAATAGTTTACCTATTTGATAGATAGTACATCCAAACTGTATAAACTATTCGAGTGCTAATCACAAGTATCACATGAGAGGCGTATTTGAGAGGATAGGAAAATATTGGTGATTGTTGTTTTTGTGTTTATTATGTCTTGTGCTGTCGATAAAATCGACTATATTTGAACCATTTTTTTGTGATCGTCAGACGTCCAAACCGACGATGATAGAACCACATTACAATTAAAAATATGGCGTACATTCTATAATAATATTTTACAAATTTAATTTAAAGTGAAAATGGACTTAAAGAAGGAAGTACTATTGTTACTTTTATTACGCGGAAGAATGAGGCGTCGTAGAAAAATAAATTTTTAGGTTCATCCATTAATTGAATAAAATAAAAATGTAAGCTAGTTTAATTTGCTTTATAATTCATTAAAAATGCATGATGACAAGCTTTTTACAGAGGTACATTCATTAATAAATTTAATTATATAATCGACAACAGTTATAACAAACCAAATAAGATAATGTTAATAATAATATTAATTTTTATGCTGGCGGCGAGTGGTCAGAAAGTGGTTGGCGTGCCGCACCGTGTGTGCTACATTCGACCACAGACGACCACCATTTTGTGAGAGATACCATCGATAATATATCGGCTGCTGTTGAGCTAATGTCGAAAAGTGGTCCGTCCGTGTACAATTGGGTTTATCATATTATTTTTTATGTTAAATGTATCGATCAAGAGCGACTGCCATTTCGTAGTCGTAGCGTGGTCGTAATGTGGTCCGTGTTAGTTTAGCCTTAGTCAAATACGACACTGATTAACATAATATTCCCATCAATTATAATTTATTAATAATTAATAGAGTTTCTAAAGTGATATATCTAGATTTTAAAATTTATCAAAACTTAAAATGATGTCTAAATATAATTAATATCACTATACATTTACAAACAGTAATATTAAAATCATATAAATTTAAAACAAAATATTTAATTAAAAATAATAAGCTCTGTAAATTTCTATCTTTCCTGAGGAGTACTTCTGAAGTTTATTTAAATCTCTTAAAACTCAACAAATTAAGGCCTAAAAAAATTAATTTTAAAGGATCTACTTAAATAAATCATAAATACTTGTTGCATTTGCATATTATTTAATAAATGCAGTAAAATATTTCAAAGTAAGATATTAATTTGTTTTGATGCATAACAAACTTAAATTTGAAAATATATATTACATATTTTTTGTTTTTTTAAACTAACACTTATTTATCAATATTAACTTTGTATAATAATAATATAATTTATTTACGGAGTTAACTCCAATTACATTTTAAATTTACAAGACAGTTAATTATATAAATGTTAAAATATATAAGTCAAGCGAAGTGTACATATTATATCATATGTACAAAAAAAAAAAAAATTTGAAAGACTACAAGAATTACTTTGGGAATTACAGTTATCATTATCATTTGATTTTTAACATTTTTTTTTCTATAGGTTTTAGGTTGCCCATTCAATATTGTACCTCAAGATCAATTTATGTCACTTTCTGCAGAACAGGTAATTTTATTTTATATTTTGTGCTAAATGACAAGTGTTGTTAATTATAATAAAAAAATAAACTGATGTTTGAAGTAAATTAAATATTTTTAATTTAATAGTTTATTAGTGTTGCAATTTAATTTTATTTAATTTAATTACTTAAGGGTACTACGGAATTACTTTTTTTAACATTTGGTAAAAAATGTTGCTAAGTAAACATCCCATTATATTTTATTAAATGTTATCATGACCAAGTAAAAATTAATCTACAATGATTAGTTAAATTTCTTTTGCTTTACATAATTAATTATAATTATTGAAATTTGATTTACTTTGAATACCAAAATGAAAATATAAATTTATTTATAAAGTAAATATATATATATGTATATAAAATGATAATATCAACAAAAAAATTTTAAAGAACACATTTCTGAAATAAAATTTAGAAAAACTGCCCCCAATTCAAATTTTGCTAAACATATTTTAGAAAATAATCATTATATAAGTTTTGATATTAATACAGACTTAGAAATATTAAATACCCAATATAAAATTTACATTAATTCAGTTTTAGAAGAATTATATATACACAATGAAATAAATAAAAATAATTTTTATAATATTTTAAATGTTCAAATCGATTTTAAAAATAATATCTTATATTAATACATTTTAGATAATAAATAATCTCTCCTAATAAATTAAATTATTTCTATGTATGCATTCATTAAATATTTTTATATTAAGTCGTGTTTTAAATTTGGACCGTGATATACCTGATGATGAATTTTTAATGCATTCCTATAATACACTTATCATAATCCTTGAGGCAACACATTCATTCATTTATTTATTTTATTTTCATGAATACATTTTTATTTATATATTTATTTACTTTATCTATTTATAAGTATTAACCATTTTAATAATTTTGTTTTTACTTTATTATTTTATTATAAATTTATTCACAAAATAATTCATTATGTTTAGAGGTGTGCTCTTCAGTGTAAAATTTTAAGGTTAGCCCTCCGTGTTTATTTAAACAAACTTTCTGATGATGAAATACACCATGAGCTGCAAAGTTGTTTGGGTGCTGAAGTTCAACATGTAGCTGACTTATTAGATTCCAATTCAGATGTCGATAAACTAGCAATAATTGTTCGACAGGTAATTGTTATTCATTTTAATGATAGTAGGAAAAAAAATAATACTATTTTACTATTTAAAAAAACTGTATTGTAGATGACAGTTTTACTTCACCATCAAACACATTTAAACAGCCAATTAGCCGAATTGACTGTCAGAGCTCAAAATCCAACTGCATGTCATGACATGTGTGAATTAATTCTACAAAGAGTTCGTGGGCTTGAGCAACTAGTTGAACAGAATGCTAATGAATTGGCTCTAATGAAAGCCCAATTATTGACTAAGAAAACATTGTGATTACAATTTGCTATTTTAGTTATATAATATTTATATTATAGTACCCGTTGAACAATAAAATAGTTTATACTTGACATTAAATAATGTATGTTAACTTGTTATTATAGATGCTTTTTTATCTCTTTCTAATTTTAAAAAAAAATATATTTATTGTTCATTATATTATTTAAAACATTTATTAGAACTTAAAAAAAAAAACTGATATAGGAGACAGGTGCAATCACTGTTATAGGTGGGAAGTCGGGAAGGTAAGATACATAAAGTTAATTAATTTATATCTGTTAGATTAGGTTAGAGTTATGGAGGTGGTTGCGGGACAATGCGATGAAAGCAGTTTAAGTAGAGAACAGATTAGTTGACCCAACAGAGGAATAATTAGAAAGAGTATTATTAAAATGAACAAAGACTGGGTAAAAAGACATGTCTAAGCTACCTCTTATTCCACTTATCCATCTGAGCATTATCATCTCTGTTCAATTTTTCTATCTACACTCCAAACCATACAACATAGTCTCATAATACTATTGTAGAACTTAAGTCTTATTGGAATTCTCTTGTCATGTCTGATGTTTTTTTCACTTTATTCAACGATATCCTCATGCAAGAACACTATTCTTTTATACGAGAAGTCCTAGGTGCTGAAAACTAAACTCTTATTGTGGTTAGCTATTTCTCCTGTTGTTCCAAACTTATACTCTGTTTTACTTCTACTTAAGTCCATTTCCTTCAATTGCAATTCTCCATTCCTCAAGTCTATTGTTAACTTATTCCAGATAATATTTTTAGTAAATTTCAAATTAAAATAATCTATGGATTTTTTCTACTTAATGGGACACTCTTTTAAACAATTTTTTTGTTGCTGAAAATCAGAAATTATAAGTTTAAAAGTGATAGCATCACAAAAAAAAAGACAGACATACTTCACACGCGGGTTCAGTAGGTTGAAAGTTGGGAATATAGGATATAGAAAGGAATTTAATGTATATCTGTAAGCAACCATAAACCATAGTTAACGAAATAAAAACAATTCTGGGCGAAATTAAGTTGATGCTTTGTCAACAATATATATGTTATTTTATAGTAAAATAATTAAAGTCTTCAAATATTTCCTTTAATAATATTTGTGTAATGTACTGATTTTCCCAGTTTTCCTTCGTTTTTCCTGGTTTCCTCATGTTTTATCCCGGTTTTTCACATTTGCTGGGAAAAGTCCTGAATAAATAGAATGACTTCCATAGTACCTTCCTAGTGAAATTTCCTTTTAGAAACAATGTTATCATCAAAAGTTGGAGCAAAATTTCTGAGAGAAAAGTTGTGCGCAGATGAAAAAAAAAAAAATAATAATAAATATCTCTGTAAACTATAAGCTTCTTCGCTCTACACAGAATCTAAAATTTGGTTCATACTATTATTCTTTTTTATAACTATTCGTCTTTATGTACATTATGAGTTTTATATTTTCTTTCCATAGGACGATTAATGGTAACAGAAAGATACATAATAATGGATTTTAATTATTATTGAAACTGTCCATTTAAGACAAACTTTTGCTTTTTCAAGACCATCCCATATATTTTAAGCACAATTAAAATATTTAGAACAAATATATTACTAATAATATAGTATAAAAATAATGTTATAACAATTTCATCGACATACAATAAAGGACCTAACTATGGTCGAAATGATAGACATAAAGATCATAGTAAAAAAAGGTAAAGTTTCAATAAATCTTATTTATTGATATATTTATGCATACGATGAATTCGATTTTAATTAAGTTAATCTACAATCTGTTTCTATAACTACATATTTTCCATGTACGTTTTATTTTTTTAAAATACAACATTCATTATACATTATATAAAAATTTAAAAATCAAAAATCTAAAAAACAAACTTTCTTTAAGCATGCTGTACGAACAGAAAACTCCCGTATCAATTTTCGATAATTTGACATTTATTTCGTTCCCTAAAAGCCTTGTGGTGTCGTTGAAAAGCGGAACAAAACATAAATGTTATTTAAATAGTTTTTGGATATTTTAAATATTCGGTGTACTGGTTACACTGCGTGGTTAAGACATCGATTGTTGATACCTTGTTCTGTATACTTTTACATTGTGATATAGACTTGGTCTTTTTTCTCTATTATCCAAAAGCCATATTCAACCTCTAACTACACCGATTAAAACCTAACTAAACAGAGATTTAATTTATACAAAACAAAATGTCTCGATATATCTATGTTTATCGTAAAATCCCCGTTGGTATGAAACCGATATTTCACGTATGATAAGGACGTGGGAATTGAATTTCGATATTCTGTAGGTTGGTATGATTTTTTTTTTTACTATTATCTGATTCGCTGATATCAAAATCGGGAGTACTGTACACGTCCCTCTTCTAACCATTCTTTATCTAATCAAAATACTATCAATGTCAATATTATTATCACAGAAAATCATTATGTTTCTTTGTTGGTAAACTAAATTCCGAAATTCCAAAATTTATTACATTTTAAATACATTAACATTTAACATTATTAAACATTCGATAACCAGTTTATATTTCTTATTTTAATATTTAATATTTTGAATGTTGAAATATTCAAACTAAGTATCTAATTAGTATTTAGTAATACAATTTCAATTTACGAAGGTTGTTTTAAATTTATTTTCCATTTTTTTTTTTTTATAATATTTAATTTATTTATGTAATATTTATCAGTGCTATGATCTTTTCTTAATCATCTGTGTTATTAGCGTATGAATAGGTTGATATTTATAGTTGAATATTTTTATAATTTATAGATCTTTGGTTCAAGCTGATTTAAAAAGACAGTTTTAATGGATCCATCAGTTTTAACAACATTAAAAATTCTATTAATTGGACAAAGTGGAGTTGGAAAATCATGGTAAGTTACATATTTTTGCTTAATGCCAGTCATGTTTCTAAAATATGAATTATGTGTGTATGATATATTTTCTATCAGTATTCACAATCATAATTAATAACTCAATTTAATAGATATATAATTATGACCTAAGTGAAACAGAAGTCTAAAATTGTAATTTTACTCAATTGACACTTGTTAACTAAATTACTTATTGAGCACAATTTAATTAATACTTATGCATTTATAGTTTATACATAATAATATATTATAGTATATGTGTTTATATTTTTAGTCTATTATGCAGATTTACTGATGATACATTTAACATAGACAATGCAGTTACTATTGGAGTTGATTTCAAAATGAAAAAAATCACAGTTGACAATAATAATATTAAATTAGCTTTGTGGGTAAGTAATTAAAATTGTATATTAATGTAAGCAAAATGAATTAATGAATTTTTTAGGATACTGCTGGACAGGAAAGATTTCGTACACTCACCCCAAATTATTATCGAGATGGCCAAGGCGCTATACTTGTGTATGATGTATCAAATCGTGAATCATTTACATGTTTAGAAACATGGATTAGTGAACTTAAAACTTATTCTACTAAAACTGATATTATTAAAATGGTTGTTGGAAATAAAATTGATCAGGTTTGTATATTTAATTGGGAAACACTATAATACCTATTATACCAGTATAATATCTAAGATATCTATTAAGCAGATATACTAATTTATTTTGAATAATGTATGTCTATGGCCCACTGCGATCTGAAATTATGAACCTAGGTAAACAAATAGGGACCAATAAGATATCAGTCAAATTTTTAAATTTAAATTTCAGATTTCTATAAAGATGCTCACATACCAAGTTCGTGTATAAATATGATTATAAAAATTGAATTAATTTTTCAAAAAAAAATAAATTTATATATTTTTAAAACACAAAAATCTAATTACAGAAGATTTTGAACACTCATTATGTCGATAACCTTTATAAAATATATTACCCTATATATCATATCTTTTGAGAAACCTACCTAAAACATTGGTTTACCCTTGATGTATAGTATAGCCAGCTTTTTAAAATTAAAACATTATTTTACTTTTTTTAACTTCAGGAAAGACAGGTTACCCGTGATGAAGGTATTGCCTTTGCTCGTCGTCATCAAACATTATTTATTGAAACAAGTGCTAAAACCAAAGAAGGAGTTTATATGGCTTTTGAAGAATTAGTTAGAAAAGTAAGTCTATTGTTTTTAGAAGATAATTATCTCACGTGTGTAATAAACTCATATTTTAATCACCCATTTCATCTTAGTTTTTATTTTAAGACTTAAATTCTTAAATAATAGAGAAGTTATTTTATTAAAAAAATATTACTTGAAATAAGCTAAATAAAATATTATGACCATTAATTATATTATTTTTTGTATGCATTTTTTTTAAAAAATGATGACATTTTGCATATACATTTTTGTAACTATTACTATCTTTAGCCAAGTAATGTTTTTGAAAAATACTAGGTATTTTAAACTTTTTGAAATCATACAATCAATATATAATTATTAATCTGTATACTTAACCTAACCTTATCTACCCAGTAATGCCATTTATATTAAAGTATTAACTTTTTATAGTGACCTTCATTTGTATTCCAATTATTTTACAGACCGCTTTTCTAAAAATGTATTTATCCAGCATTAAACAAATACATGGGTATGAATGACATAACTATTTTGAGAGGGTTTAACACTCCGTAATATTGAATATGTATACTTAACATTTACTTGCTTAGGGGGGAAGCAATTGGCATCCTATGAGCTACAATTCACACTTGACAGATAATTTTGAGTTCTACATTATACTTTAAAACTTTAAATTTTTAGTATTATCTATAAACTATTAGTTCATTATTCAACATATAATGGTTGAGAATTTAAAAAAAAAGTATTATCTAAATTAATTTTCGGTTTAGTTATATAAACTACGTATATATAATATTTTAAACTTAAAAAATATTACTTTGTCTAATGTTGTATACTTATTACTGTATTATTTTCATTAAATTTGCCAAGTGACTTTAATTTGTTTTTGTTTATTTTTCAGAGTAAACATTTACAAAAAAATCTTAACTTTACTGTAGACAATTTTAAATTCAGAGCGTAGCGAGGGATTTTTTGGTTTTACTATGATGTATACTTTTTTTTAGTCTGTAAACAACTTTTCAAAAAGAAATCTTGCTCCATATATAGATTAGAGTAGCTTCTCTGAAAGTCAATTTTGTCTTGTGCATTAGAGATGTCAATTGATTTTCCAAAGAATTTAAAAATAATTTTAACCTTAAAGAAAATTATAGATAAAACAGTAAATATTTATGGTGCATCATAACGTTAACCATTTTATTATTTTTAATATTTGCAACTTAAGGTTTCCATCAGAAATATTGTGCCAATTGAAAAATTAGAAGAGATTTTGTTCTTTTAAACATAAAGTTACTGACAAAGAAAGTCGTTTTTGTTGTCTACAGAATTTTTCATAATAACAAAAAGAACCAACAAAGACGAAAAATACAATTTTTTTTTTCGAATTGCGGCACAATAATTTTATTATTTTACATTTGTATGTATGACTATATTTTCTACTATAAATATTGCTCCTGTAGAAAAACAACAAAATCCCTTTTTTATTGAATTTTTAATCTAGTTTGTAACCAAGAAAGTCGTATTTTGATTTTCTTTGTAGTATTGTTAATAATTAAGCAAAACTGAAAAATACGTAGAAAGAACAGGAATATTTACAAAAATAATTCTTTTATTTCTTGTTAAATTTTTTTTTGTTTTTATGTAATGTAGTTAAAAATATTTGTAGAGACTTAAAATTTTGATAAAAAACTCATTTTTACTTTTTCTAGACATGATAAAATTTTCAAAACATTTGAGAATTTTTGAAATTTTTATTTAATTTTTTATTTGGTGGGCATTCTGTGGATACAATTGTTAGACTAAACAAAATTATTTGAAAATTCGATAGAGAATTAATTATAAGATGTACTTAGTGGTAAAAAATATTGTGTGTAATGTAGTATTCTTTTTTTTAGAAGTTTTAAAAGTAAATTTTTTATGACATTCGTAAATATTACTGCCTTTCAAAACATGTATAACTGAATTTCGTTCAGAATGGTTTTTGTTACCAATATTTTATCATTGGTTACAAGTATTAATTAAATAACTATGTATTCCACCATTCTAAATACCCACCTACAACAGTGGTCGTGCCTGTCTCTTCGCTATTTTTTTGTTTTCTTTAAAATCATATCCTTATTATTGATGATCAATGCAATCAATATTGTGAAACCTAATAAATGACAACTTATGTTTTATGTTTTAAATTAAATTAAATTGTGTTATAAATAGATTCTTAATACTCCAAGCTTATGGGAAAAGGTAGAAGATGCCAATGTTGTCCGATGTAATGATGGAAATTCTTCGATATCGGAGCAAAAGTATTGCTATTGTTAACAATATTTACACTGTTTACTATTAATAAATTATTATGTTGTGCACACATACATATACTGCTAATATGTAAAATTAATTATTTTAAGAATTGCAGTTTCAAAAATAATAATAATAATAATTTAATCTTCTTAACAAATGATTATATCAGTTTAAATATAATCATAAGAAACAAATAAATTATTTTAAAGAACCTAAATTACAATGAAGATTATTTATGTAGATTAATCACATATTACAATTACTTGAACATGTATTTTACCATTTTATGATTACTGAAGGTGTTATAACTACAAAATAATTTATCCAAATTGATCCACAACATTTTTTTGATATTTTAAGAGAAATTTTTAGTTTTTTTTTTTGCGCTTTGGTGTGCATTTTTAATTTTAAATGTTATCTAAGTCAAAAATAAAAAAAAATTAATATTTTAAGTTTATGAAAATTTATTTACCATTGTAATTACTTTTATGTGATCACATGTATTATTATAAATATGTTTTGTTTTATTCGTAATTTTTTATATTCCTTATTAGTTATTTCCTATTGTTATATTTTTAAGTATTAATTTATAGAAAAATAATTTTAGATTCTAATAAACTTGGTAATAAAATATTAACTTGATATCAGTAATATATTTTAGACTATATCTTAGAGAGGGGTGGACAATTATTATTATTTTATATTGCATAGTATACATAATTTGTTTGTATTTTAACACAGCCAACGTGGCGAGAGTATGAAATCTCTTTTAGTCTCTTGCTCACTGATTCCCAAATGATCAAAAAAATGTATTGTGTCGCAGTGAATTTAACAAAAATGTATGTGGGGAAACCGTTTTGTATGGTCAACTACTATTAAACCTAAAAATGTAATTAAAAAATCAAACTTTCATCACCAAAAGAGAATCTACATTGTGCAATGTTGGTTTTAGTTTTTCGATATCATAAATTACTGTGATAATAGATATTTTAGTTTGAAAAAATTTACATTATCATACTTTATAATAATTAAAATCTTTTAATTGTGGTACTTATTGAAAAACTAAAACTAATATTGTATAAGTGTAAAGTTTTTGTTTATACTTAGTACAACTTTGGTTTCTTAATTAAACTTTATTAAAGGCTACAGATATATCCTACAGTCTATAAGTTTAGCCCGAGATGCTTTAAGTCATGTAAAACAGTTTTTACAGTTAAAAACACCTAACACTTTCTTAAATACGGTTGGTTAAATACATATGGTTCTGTGTAAAAACATTCTTTCAGAAGTGGAAGAAATGGCTAGAAAAGTGGATGCATAATTACAATTAACAATCAAATAATTTGCATATGTATGTATTATACAATTATAGCACATGGAGTGGGGGATAACTATAGCCCCTTCTTGATTTCAGGGTAAATCAACATTTTTCACAAGGTCAATATTTATCTCTGCGCATCATAAATACTATTGACAATTTTAAATACCCTCTTTTTTACATTTTTTTTATGTGTCGTTTCATGGAAAAATTATTTTAATTTAAAAATTAAAATAATTATATAGTTCCATATTCAAAATTTAAATCTATATTCTGTTAATGTATAAATTAGAAATCGCATTAATATTTTCCCCTATTAGTCAGTTAATTTATAGACATGTCCATGAGTATTGAGTTATTTTAATATTTATTGTTACTTTTTTATTTTTAGGTTATTTCCTTATCGTTTATTAAATATTGTACGCAACTTCATACCGTAGTTTTGAAAATTGGAAAAAACTCGTGTCTTACTTAATAAAGTCCAATACGTTTCCCATCAATATTATAATTTTATTGTACTTACTTTCCTTTTACTGAAAATAAATAAAAAATTAATTTTTGTGTTCTGTCAACTATAGTATTAGATATTCAGGTATGTGTGAAATTATCTTTTAACTTCTTAATTTTAGAGCAACTATTGTTTTACTTAACTGTACGCTACATGTAGTGTATTTGGCGAAGTATGTTATAATATAATTTAATAAAATATTATTTGAAGTTTATAGTTTAAAGTGTAATAATACTTGATATGGATTCTATAATAAATATTTATATTTTTATTCGAAAAAATAAAATATGTTATAAGTGTTTAGTGGTTTTCATATTTCTAATCAATTCTTTTACCTTATAAACTTTACATCTTCTATACAAATTGGTATTCTGTTTAAAACTTGTGCATAACCATTATTATTATTTTTAAATAATTATAATATTTATAACACACTATAGTGTGTATAACCTTTCTGATGTTTCACCTATTATTATAAAAATAATAACTTCATATGATTTAATAACAAATTAACCTAATTAAGAAAAAGAAATTTCATTAGGTAGTTTTTACCTAGTCAATAATAATTTATATTTTTGAATTATTGCATCTAGAATGCCATCTGATTCAAAAAAGAGACAACAACAGAAAAAGAAAGATGCAGCAAAAGCTCGACAAAATACTAAGCCAGCTGGATCTAAAGGAAATGCAACTAATGGAGTCTCAAACGGTGATGAAAATGTTCCTATTAGTGAAGAAGGTAAGAAATATATTTTACATATTTCATTTTTCTCATTTATTGAAAAAATATTTTGTTATATTTTATTTCTAAATTAATTAAGATACAAATATTGAGATGACAGTGGTCTTAATATTTATCACAAAACTAGTAAATTTAGTCAAACAAATTATTTAATACACTGTTCATTGAATTATTATAGCTGATAAATTTATTATTGTTTAATCATAAGTAGGATTAGTTGATTAGATATTTTTTGAATTTAATAATATTTGAATAATTTTTATCATCTCAAAGAGTGTATTTATTCTAAAAATACTGAATTATAATTTTTGAATAAAGTTTCACCTACAGATAATTAATATGTGTTGTATAATTAATAACAACTTATTTTATCTTCTAAAAAAAAAAAAAAAATACAAATAAGTTAAAATATTATAAAACTACATTAAGATACATACTACAAATGTAAATTTTTTTTTTTTTGTTATTTTTAAAACAAAAATGTTTTTGACCCTATTTAGTGGTTTAAGTAAAACCAATACCCAATTACCTAGGTAATTTGATCATTCTACTTTTTATTTCTAAAATTGTTAAAAGATAATATGAAAAGTCACGATCTATATTATTTGAAACACATTACCTTTTAATATTAATTTGGTTTTAAATTTTTAGAGTTGCTCTGTAAAAAGTTAGAAGCTGATGCAAAATTAAATGCTGAAGCCCGTGCTTGTACTGGTAGTTTGGCATCTCATCCAAGATCTAGGGATGTTAAGATTGATAATTTATCAATAAGTTTCCATGGTTGTGAGCTATTACAAGACACTATGTTGGAATTGAATTGTGGACGTCGTTATGGTTTAATAGGTTTGAATGGAAGTGGTAAGTAAATTGTTCAAATTGTACTATTTTGTTAATACATATTAAATAATAATTTTTTTGTTTTTGTTATTAGGAAAGTCAACGTTATTATCAGTATTAGGTAATAGAGAAGTACCTATTCCGGATCAGATTGATATTTTTCATTTAACTAGAGAAATGCCGGCATCTGAAAAATCTGCATTAAAATGCGTAATGGAAGTAGATCAAGAAAGAATTAGACTTGAAAAACTTGTTGATGAATTAATAGCATGCCCTGATGATGGTTAAAACTAATTTTAAATTCTTACTATTGAAATTTATGTTTAAGAATAATTAATTATTATAGAATCACAAGATCAATTAATGGATGTATATGAACGATTGGATGATATTAGCGCTGATACAGCTGAAGCTCGAGCTGCTAATATATTGCATGGTCTTGGTTTTTCTAAAGCTATGCAAAACCAAAAAACAAAAGATTTTTCTGGTAATAACATTTACTTTTATATGTATGGGTTGACACCAATACAATATAATTATCTGAATATTAATAAATATTATTTTTAGTGGAGAATATTTGCTGATATTTTGTGTAATTTAATTTAATTATGTTATTAGGGGGTTGGAGGATGAGAATTGCTTTGGCTCGAGCTTTATATGTCAAACCACATTTGTTGTTACTTGATGAGCCAACCAACCATTTGGATTTAGATGCTTGTGTCTGGCTTGAAGAAGAGTTAAAATCGTAAGCCTTTATTTGATATTTATTTGTTAATCATTAATATTTGTTAGTGCTGATTTTCATGTCTGTACATATTCAATATTTTCTATATTTATATAGATTTCTATATATATATATTTAAAATTAATTATTGAGCATTTATTTCCTTTTAAATTATTTTTAACAAAATCTCAAAAATGAATTAGCATAATATACTAAACATGAAAACAACCAATATGATAATAATTGTATTTAATTGTATTATATAAATGTATTTTGTTTATTATTTATTAAAGATACATTATACAATTATTAATAAACTTATAAAAAAAGATAAAACTAATTTTTTTTTAGTAATAATAATAGTCATACTTTAGGTAATATCATATTATATTTTATATAGTTCAAATATTTAAAAAAAAAAATTATATATTAATATTTAGTAAACATAAAATAAAACATAGAATACAATTATAAATTTACAATTAAATATATACTAATTTATTATTTAACATTTATATAATTTAATAAAAAATATCTAGGCTTTGAACTAGAGTAATAATTCCATATTTATTAGTTTATTATTTTCAATAACTTCTTAAGTATTTCAATTATCTGATTTAACTATTAGTAATATACAAACAAAGGGCTAGTGCATACAAATTATAAACGTATGCACTTAAATATTAGGTACAAGAGGATTTTGGTAATTATATCACATTCTCAAGATTTTTTGAATGGCATATGTACTAATACAATTCATTTGGATAAAAAGAGACTTAAATTTTATGGTGTAAGTATAAATTTATTTTTATAGTCTAAAAGTATATACTTTAAATTCTGTTTTATTATTAATTATACCTGATATTTATAGGGTAATTATGATGCTTTTGTTCGTACTAGAGAAGAACAACTAGAAAATCAAATGAAACAATACAATTGGGAACAAGATCAAATTGCTCATATGAAGGTAAATTATTAATAAGAAATATTTGGATTTTTATAATTTGAGATTTGTTTTTGAAATAATACATGTTTTTCACTTTTTATTCATAATATTTATCTTAATATTACAATACAATATTACAATCAGTAATAAACTAATGTAATACTAATGTTTAAATATTGTACATTATAATATATTCTTTTATGTATTTTACGAAGTACAAATAAATACGCGAACTGGGTTTTTACAGTATTTCACCTTATCTCTATCTACTAGTACTACTAATGCTTTAGTAACCAGTTATTATCACAAAGTTTCATTAGTTTTTGTTTTATCCTTTGTTGACATTTAAAACCAATAAACAAAATAGGATGAATAATTATCAAATTCACAGCAAAACTCTGAAAAATAGGAAATCAATGAAATATTTTATTACTGTTTATGACGTTATTGCTTTAAAGAAAATATCCATTTATAAATGGATCAGCCCTTTCAATGAAGACCGAGAAAGCTTCTAAGACGATAATGATTAGGACGAGATTTAACTTAACTTAATGACCAAAACAATTAACATGTACAGTCTTTTTAGTTCATTAACAATTATTCGTTGGTCAGAAAGCATAAAAGACTGCACATGTTAAATGTTTTGGTTATCATGTGTAGTGAAAGTGTATAATCACTTATTCTGTTTATTCATTAATGTCATAAAAATAGTAAAACAAAAACAAACGAAAATTTGTTTATGTTGGTAACTTGGCAGTCAACCGGTTACTGGATCACTATTAGTATTTGTAGATAGAGATAACTTTAATATTTGCACTTAAGTCTGCTGTAGATACTCACTTCACATAATTATTAGACGCCCTACACATATTGTTAAATTTCATATTTTTTAGAATTACATTGCACGTTTTGGTCACGGAAGTGCAAAACTGGCTAGACAAGCACAGAGTAAAGAAAAAACATTAGCAAAAATGGTTGCTCAAGGTTTAACAGATAAAGTAACCAGTGACAAATTAGTTACATTTTATTTTCCTTCGTGTGGAACAATACCTCCGCCAGTTATTATGGTTCAGGTATATAATAGTATTTTTTTTTTGTAAAATTTCATCTATTCATATTTTTTAAAACAATGATTATCAACCTGGAGGTCCCCACCTAATTATTTATAGTCTCCAAAATTTAATTTATGAGAGTTTATATAGAAAATATGTATAGAAGTTGTGGAAAAATAAATATTCTATTAACTGGTTTTTACATTGAAAAGGTTGAGTCACTGATTTAAAAATATTTTCCTTTCGTGTATAGTGTATCTTTTTATTATTTGTTAATTACAAAATTCATTGTTATACTATGTATTTAGAATGTGAGTTTTCGATATAATGATGATTCGCCTTTTATCTATAAAAATTTGGAATTTGGTATTGATTTGGATACGAGACTTGCATTGGTTGGACCTAATGGAGCTGGTAAAAGTACTCTTTTGAAGTTACTTTATGGAGAAGTAAGTGTTTTTCATCTTTAAATTATTATAATTTATAAAGTAATTAACACGAAATTTCAACATTTTAGCTTTTTCCTACTGAAGGAATGATTCGTAAAAATTCTCATCTGAGAATAGCCAGATATCATCAACATCTTCATGAACTGCTTGATTTGGATTTATCTCCTTTAGAATATATGATGAACTCATTCCCTGAAGTAAAAGAACGCGAAGAAATGCGTAAAATTATTGGACGTTATGGTTTAACTGGAAGACAACAAGTGTGTTATCCACTTTAGATGTAAGCAGGGCTCAGAAGTTATAGTCATAATAAAGTTAATTTTTAGCACTTTAATATTTATTTAAAAATTTCAGAAAAGGTCTATAAATAGTTCTAAAAATTGGAAAATATGCAAAATATAATATTTAAACAATACCTTCTTTACAGTTAATTTTTCGTTAGTTTTATTATTTTACAAAATAATACATTTTATAAACAAACGAACAAACTCAATAATCACAGTATAATGTGGCCAATACGTTTTTAAAAGTATTAAATTGTTCATAAATTATGATAGATAAAACTATTTTTTTTCTGATTTCGTTAATTGTTCTAGTTGAAAATTAAAATTATTTTTTTTTTCGATCCCATAGTCCTGTTGGGTCCAAATCTTTTTAATGATTGTATGATTGCTTTATTAGAATTATATATGGTTTTTTTTTTTTAACAAAATTTGTTTTATTTCCTTTATTAATAATACAAAAATATATATTTAAAATAGAACTTAAAACTTAAAATTTTAGAAAATAAGCAAACATAGAAATTGTATGATATCAATAAAATATAAATCAAATTTGTTTCTTACTTAGAATGTTCTTGGACTCATCAGAAACTAGGCAAATACTATAACTTCTAAGCTCTGATTATAAGATGTACAATTATTCAAAAATAAATTTTAATAGGTATGCCCGATTCGGCAACTTAGTGATGGTCAGCGGTGTCGAGTCGTTTTTGCATATTTAGCTTGGCAAACTCCACATTTATTACTTCTTGACGAACCTACCAATCATTTAGATATGGAAACAATTGATTCATTAGCAGATGCTATAAATAATTTTGATGGTGGTATGGTTTTAGTTAGCCATGACTTCAGACTTATTTCTCAGGTACATTAATTATTGTATTATATATTAATTATACTTGCTTAGTATTTCTTATATTAAACATTTTCACATTCGTTAGAATTGGAATGTGTATTATTTTTCATTTTATTACAGATCTATGATTAGTGATTTATGATAAGTCCTCACTTAATCTAGCTTACTAAAAAATTGAGATAGTAAAATACTATAATAATCTGTTGTATTTGAGGCAATGTAGTGTAAAGTGTTTATGAAATCATTTAACATTTTTAATTTAATTGTGTATATTAATCATACATTAATTACTACATTTGATGATTATATATATATTTAAAATTATTTGTAATAATTTATTTTAAATAACAGGTAGCTGAGGAAATCTGGATTTGTGAAAATGGTAAAGCTACTAAATGGGAGTCGACTATTTTGGATTACAAAGAACATTTGAAAAAAAAGATTTTAAAGAACAATGGCGATACTGCTTCTAATAAACGTTAAATTGTACAATAAATAACATTTTTATTTTATTTATCTAATTTTAACATCAATGAAATATTATAAATTAAAATAAATAAAATGCAATTTAATTTATACTATTATTTTTATTTTAATGTTTCTTTTTCGATCAAACTAATTTGGTAACATTGGCAGAACCTTATCTAATGACCAACAGTTTTAAATAATTTCAATTTTTGAACTATATTGTGTACTTATTGGCTAAGTATATAATTATTTTTATTAAATAGTTTTGTAGATTATGTGTTTGTTTAATACATTATTAAATGTATTAAATTGTAATAAAGTTATTACTACTCATTGCATAAATTGGGGAGGTTTAAGCATGTTGACAAATCCTCTTTAATTTGCATATATTTTTAAATGCTCTTAATTTCATTTATTCAGGAATAATAGTATCACTTTTATTTATTTGTTAAAAGCCATACAGCTTTTTTAATAAAAACTTTTCTAGGAACCGTCCCTTAATTTGTATAATACAATATAACAATTAATCACAATATTATAGATTACAAGACTACTATCTAACAACATTAATCAATATGTCTATCAAATTTGTAATGAATACTATGTGAATTGTGATATTTGTTAATTTACTAGTTTTAATTTAATTTAAACTATATATTTATTATATAATCCATAATTTTAGGAAATATAACCCAATTTTTTTTTTATAAATATCCATTTTCCATGATTTCATTAGTTTTATTAAATTATGACAGATTATTGGAATTTAAACTTAATACTAAATATTATCTAACTTGTTCAAAATTATTAGAATAATTCAAGAATTTTAGGACCATTTACCTTATCAAATTATAAAAAGACTAGAAATTTAATTTGGATACCTACTGTCAAACTAGCCATTTTGAGGCAAAAATAGAATCTTTAATTTTATCATTTTATCTCTGCTACAGTTTATTATCATTTAACATATATATAAGGATGGTACATATTTTTGATGACTAATCCCCCCTATTTTGTTCCTTACCATGTAAAAGTAATCTGTGTGGAATTTTGGTTATGATAACTCACCCCCTACCTGTGAAATAGTTAGATAATATAGAAAATGCTTTGAGCAGAATTTGTGCTTTCATTATTATAATTCAAGTAAGTCATGGTTTACGGCAATAAATGTTAGCAAGGCACCCTTGAATGATTTAAATTTTGTACGTGCGTTGCATGAATAAACGATTGACAATAAGTAGATAACAGATGGCTCGAGTATGCTGACAGCCCTGTTCTTAGTACTTTGCAGTCTGCAAGTTTAAAGGAGAGTCCTGGTCCTCAAATCGTGTCGCTTCGTGAAAAATACTGTTTTCTAATTGGCTCATATTATCTTGGTAGACACATTTCAATCGTGTCTACCTGACAAATTATATTTAATTTGTCACAGTGTCTACTACGTTAACGTGAATACTGCAGAGTTGAAAAAATTCAACCTTAGGACGTGCTTGTTATAGCTGGTAACGTCGTTTTAATAATAAATTTAATTAATATTAAAATGTTTATTTTTAGTAATTTAATTAAAAATTAAAATTAAATGTGATTTAATATTCAATTTTAATACTAATTTAAATTCAATATGAACTTTGTGAAGGTAAATAATATTAAATGTTATGTAAACGTAAAATTTATATTTTTTTAAAGACAGATATGCACTCTATGCAAAAAGTTTGTTTTATTAAACACTTCACACAACTGTACTTATGATATAAAATCACAAACTAGTAGAACAAGTCGTCAATATCTACTAGTATTCAGTAGAACGTAACTGTTAAAAGTAGCAATATTATATTATTAACTAAAATTAATTAAAATAATTTTGGTGTTTTTATTATTATTATTATTAGTTAATCGTATAATACAAGTAAACTATATTAATAAAATGGATACTGTTTATGTAATAATTCAATGACATCGTTTTTTTTTTGACAGAAAATAGTGTGAATAATAAAAAACCTAAAAAAAAGTTTAGAGACGGTGAAATATTAATAGCAAAATAATAATAAATATTCATAATATAATATAATAATATTATATTTCAAGACAAATGTGCGATAATAATTACGGCGCATTTTTGGTGAACGGTAATAGTGAGTGATAATGTTGGTTGTAGGTAGAACAACAGGTACAAATTATTTCGTACAATCAAAAAGAAACGTGTCGTGTGTAAAGCATACGAAACGAAACGACACGGTTGAGGACTCCCCTTTAGACCATTTTGATATTGACATAATATGTGCTTGTTGCCTTTTTCCTTTGGCTACTGGATGGCTGTCAACACGTTTCAAATCGAAAGATTTGCTCCAATGGAACACGGTTAATTTGTGTCCACTAGATAGGCAACACTGGCGAATATTCAGCTTTTCTGCTTTACTTTTTTTTTTCAAACGGCATATCAAGGTAGTTTCATTTATAATCTCTATGTGTTTTGGCTATTTTACTTTTTATCAACATTCAAATTGATATTATCATTAGATCATGTATTTATCAAATAGGTTTTCTGCCGACCACAGTAAATTATCTACCGTGCTGCCGATAGTCCGTGTTTGTAACTGTTTATAAAAATAAAAATTGATAAACTATATAGTAGTAATTGTATCGGTTTTGGAATTATGCAGTTGTACTTCTATTGATATCGCTTCAAATTTATTTATGTTTTAAGCAGAGATATAATTTCTATTCTACGGACTAATCAGCAGAATAATTGGTTTGTACAGTATTTATTACATAGACTTAAACATATGTCTGATTTATTACTATACGAGTTGTTTTTTATGAAAACTCAGTAATCTTACCTTATATTAATTATAATATTAATACTTTAAGTTTTATTAAGTTACAGAATAGTAACCTTACACTTTATATTCATTATTTCATTATTCTATTTTCTAGGTTATTTTAGAATTAAAAAAATATATTTAAAATATTTTAGCAACCCTTTATTTTAACTGAAACCAAAAACTTTTTATACAAAAAAATGATTAAGCTAAAAAGAAATTAGCACCTAGGCAAATTTTAAATTAAATGAATTGCTCATTATTTATTAAGTACTCATCTACTATTTTTCATAGAATATAATAATTAGATACCTACATTAATATTTTTCCAGGTTTAATTTGATAACCAAAATGATGTCTTTTAAGAAAGGTCATTTTCGCATTGGAGAAGCTGAGTTAAAATGTAAAAAAGGCAATGGTTGTGATTATTATGGTAATCCACAATGGGATGGTTTTTGTTCAAAATGTTATAAAGATGTACAAAAACAAAGGCGAATTAATATGTCTCCTAAGTATGTTATTATTTGTTTATATTGACTACTATAAGTTATACCTATATACTATTACCTACTATTAAATGATACCTCAATAATATAAAATAAATTGAGAATTACTTTTTAATATTTAATTCTTATTGATATCAATTGTATTAATTAACGGATGTTATTTTGTTATGTTTTTACTGTATATTAGGATTATATTTAGAAATCAATGTGTCAACTGGATAATTTTATTAATTTATTTTTTGAAATTAAATGCCAAATGAAATTAAACAATGAATTAGAGCAGAGGTTCCCAACTTGAGTGCCGTGAAAATTATGCAAAGACCACTGTTTTAATTTATGTGTAATAACACATATTATATAAAATCTATTTTAATTTTCATACTGGTTTGTTCCCTATTACTCCCTATTCCCTAGTACTATTAAAAAGGATCATGCTACCTCTCATTTACAACGATACTTTTAGTTTTATTTTTAGCTTTTTTGTATCTATACATAATATTGATCTAACAACTTCACTATAAAATTTTAATTTATTTATAGTTTTCATAAAAAGTAATAAAATGATATGTGTATACGGATGGATACAAGAGGGGAATATGGGGACTGAAGCCCCTTCCTTCACACATGTAGGTATTTAGAAAATAGGATTTATACTATATTATATAAATTACAACTTGTATCAAAAATTCATTTTTTCTACTCTTTCTTATCTATTTTTTAGATCCCCCTTGTGTGTTGTAACAATATATTTGATTACACCTACCTAAAAAAAGTTATAAAATTTAAATATAAATACCGGATATACTGCTATAATATTATAGGGTGCCATCAGAATTTTAGAAAATACTTTAGGGTGCTGTGAGTAAATAAAGTTTGGGTACTCCTGCATTAAGAATAACACAAAACTAAGTTTTAAATTAAAGAGAGAGATTATACTAGATTAATACATTATTGACCGGCTTCAATATATTGTGAAAAGAAAATTTGGATATTTATTGTGTCACTAATAAGTAAATAGTTGTATTGGGTAGCCAAGATATTCAGTATGTACCATGATTTCATGATAGAAACTTTTTGGAATTATTTGAGGTGAAGTTGATCTTTAGCAAGGAAAGGGTGACAAATAAGTGTCCTAAGATAATAAGGATGGGTGCAGCCACTGTTATAGGTAAGAAGTTAAGAAGGTAGAGGAGAAATTTAAATGTATATCTGTACGCAACAATTAACCGTTGCTAACAAAAAAAACAATTCTAAATGGAGTTCAGTTGATAGTGTGGCTTTGTTAACAATATTTATGTCATATTATGGTTAAATAATTATATATGAATTGTATATTTTCTTTAATAATATTTGTTTCATATTGTACCTATTTTCTCAGTTTCTCCCATTTATTGAGAAAACACAGGGAAAAACTAAAAAATGACCTCACTAAAGTAACACCCCAGTCAGATTTCTTTTAAGAAAATGTGCTATCATTGTAACAGAGCAAAATTGTTGGTAGAAAAGTTGTTCACAGATAAAAAAAAAATTATAGATAAACATAATTTTAAAATGATACATTTACTCAGAATCTAAAATTATTCTGTATGTATCTAATACGTGAAAATGTATGGTCTTTTCTAACTATCTGTAAATTTTTCTCTTGGCTATCTTAGTGGTATTATTCCATTGTCATTTTATTTTCTCTTAAATTGTCTGATCTTTCCATATAATAACTTCTTCCCAGCTAATACATTTCTTCGTCATCATTGTTACTATAACTCTTCACCAAACATTTTCCTAAGCTTTAAATCAGTTTATTGTTCCCATAGGTTTGTTGAATAACCTTTTTTTTTTATTACAGCTTTTTCATGTGGTGTTTACTCCTAATAATACATAAAATTATTTTTACAGAAAAGTACAAATGAACAAAATAAGTTCAAAACAAGATTCAAAAAAAATTGGCTTAACTGAAAAAAAATCCAAACTATCATATTTAAAAATGTTTAACACTATTAAATCCAAAGGTTGGTTTAATATAATTGTTGACATTAAATGGGTAGTTAAATTTATAGTTTGTATAGATAAATATAGTCAAATTTGTTTACAACAATCTGTAAGGGACCTAGAAAATCAGATTGTTACATCTACACTTTATTATGTCTGGAGAAAAAAAAAATTCTTACTAATCTTTAAATTTAACAATTGATATTTTTAACATTTATATTATTTATTATAATATTTTAAATCATTACTTACATATGTACGATTTTTAAAAAAGTACATATATAACTAAATATATTAAATAGTAATCTAATTAATAATTATGTACATGATTATGATTTTTAAAAAAATAATCACATAATGTTTTATTTATAATTGGAAAAATAAAATCTTTTAATAATATTAGTAATATTCTTTAATCTCATTGATACTTCTGGCATATTGATATGAAGTCTCGAAAATTATGTTTTGCTATTTAGACAATTTACCTTTGCTATAAATTTCTCCTTTAAAACATAATGATTTAGATAGTATAAAACACTGTCATTGGAAAATAATAATGTAAATTACTACATACGAAATAAAACCAAATATATACATTGCTGAAAATTTTACACAGGACTGTTGTATCCAGCAACATTAAAAGTATATTTGACTGTATTATACTCTTTTATATATTATTTTATATCTTAATGATAATATATTTTATTTTACACATATTTTTATAATTTAAATAACTATTTACTAATCAATTGATCGTGTATTTAAATACCAAATTTGTGATATTTTAAATAGTTTGTCATATTTTTCTTCCTTGTCCTTTCTTACTTTCTTAAGTATTTCAAGATAGCCCCATCGTTTCTAAATAATTGCCTGACATGTCACATTATTATGTACTGTTCAACAGTTCTCTTATCTAACCATCTCCTTTTGGTTTTCCTGTTATTTTAAAAAGTATTAAATATTCAAAATTATATATTTTAAATTTTTTCAGATGAAATTTCTGAAAAAACTAAGAAAGATTATGATCCACTTATTACAAAACAACTAGATCAAGTGGATTCAGAATACTCTTTAATTTTGTCAGAACCAAAATCATTACGCGTTGATTTAAAAAAACAAATTCGTAATTTTTGTCAAATGATGATGTCACATTTGCAGAGTCCAGTTGATATACAGTCTGAATTAACCCAACATTTCTATCAAAACGTTCTTGATATGTTGAATAATTATTCTCATGAAGGTAAATTTCATTTATAGTATTTATAGTTTATACCATTATATTTTAGATTTTGAGCAAAGCGTGGAATGTATTGTTTTTACAATCAAGTTAATTTCCTTTTTTTTTTATCCAAACAACTTTTCAACCAGTAATTTCGTTTCGATTTTTAAGTATAGCATTTTTTCTGAAAAGAAATCTTACTAGAAAGGTACTTTAAGAATTTCATTTTCTTCATTTTCCTAGGAGTTTTCCCAATAAATTAGAAAAAACAGGAAAAATGTATGAAATGTTTTATTTTAAAATCATAAATATTACAGCATTTCAAAACATTTATATAAAAAATAATAAAAGATGAACATTATGGTGAAACCATTACACTCTTAGCTCCGCTCAGAATGTAAAATAATAATAAATAAATACATATACTGTAAATATTTTTTTTAACTTTAGCCGCTTATTATTTTTGCTACAAATTGGTAACATTTTATTGATTATCTGATAGTACTAATGAATACTTTACTATTGTATAATATTTTTTATTCCTTTTTTAAAATTATTATTTATTAACAAAATATGGATTAATATATCACTTAAATTTGATAAAATAGAATATTCATTTTTAGAATTAAGTTGTGTATTTTGTAATAGATATTCGATGAATCAGAATTTTAATCTGCAGTTTTCTAAGAAATATGTATAATGTTCTGAACCCTGGTAGTTAGTAAATATAATTTTACTATTTTATGTATTATAATTATATAATTGTTGATCTTTTAATAAGTAATGCATATAAATCTATCATACTTTACATACTTAAATTATTTTTATTTCCAGAGTTGAGCCATGAAACGAAAGAACAAATTTTGGATTACACAGAAAAATATTCTATGATTAAATTATACAAGTTTTTATTTTGTATGACTTTAGCTGACGAAGATGAGGATTTAGGTATACAAAAACGGTATGTATTTAATTAATAAAAATCACTCATCATTATTTAATACAACAATGTATTTATTTTAAAGTTAATAAAATGCAAAGTTACAAAATGATTTTTAAAAAATTAATATTTTTTATATCATCCTATTTTGTTACACAACTATTCTATGTTATCATCTTACTGTTATCTTTTTGTTTTATCTCAACTATGTGTTTGCTTATTTAATATTAATTTGAATTCTTTGATTTGATATTTTAAGGAAATTGTTTTAAATACTATAATTTTATTACAAATTTCTAACTCAGTATATTTTAATTATTATAAGCAGGGCTTGGAAGCTTTAGTCTGCTTATTTTCTTTGGTGAATCCTAGAATATAGTCAGTAAGCAACAAAATTATTTCATATTTAACTAATAGCGTACAATTTATTTTGCTTAATTTCCCATTCTTAATCCTATTTTGGGTTTTCTTTTAGTTTATATAAAGTACTATAACTTCCAAACCCTGACTAAGTTAACTACTTTTTTTTTTTAATTGTGGATATTTATTTAAGATGATAATACTATTTTAGGATTCGTCAGTTAAATTGGGTGAATGCAAAACATCTTGACTGTGATATTGATAAGACCAATGCACAGATTATTGAATTGGTGTACAAAGCTATTCTAGAGTTATTAGATATGGATTCTGCTACAGCTCCTCAAGACAAACTAGCATGTGTTGTTAGATGTTGTCGACATATATTTGGAGTGCTTCAGGGTGGAAATAATGGAGTAAAAGGTCCTGCATCAGCTGACGATTTCTTACCTGTTCTTATATTTGTTGTCCTCAAAGCAAATCCAGTTAGACTTAAGTCTAATTTGCATTATGTCACCAGATTTTGTAATGCTTCTAGATTGATGTCTGGAGAAGCTGGATATTATTTTACTAATTTGGTAATTTATGTGAATAATAAGTTTTTTTTTTTTCTAATATTTTCATGATATTATATTATTTATATATTTGTATATTTAATTACTTATATATTAAATCAAAACTAATACTCAGGTTATTTACACATTAATATACATTATTAATATATTATTTATATATCTGCAGAATATATATGCATACATATAGATTAGTGTATAGAGTAATCCCATTTAAGTGGCTACTCTCGATATTTCAAAAAGTAAATTGACTATTTAAAAAAACATTTTAAGAACAAACAGCTCTAAAATGATACATTAATATAATTTTTTATCACCCTTATTTTAAGGGTGAAACAACTACATACTTTTGATTTTCAAATGACAAACTATATCTAAGCTACCTAAATGGATCACCCTGTGTATATAATGAAACCAAGATTTTGTATTTTGTATTATTAAACACAACAAGAAATACATTAAACCTGTCTTAAAATAGTGTGTGCAAACTGAAAAGTTGCTGATGATCATACAGTCTTTTCATCTTTTTGATTTAATTTTTTTTAAATGGGTAGTAAAACAAATAATATTTTATTCTTAAATCTGGGCAATACCAGATAATAATCACCCTGAGTTACATTTGATTTCTATTACTGATTGTTAACTCTGTTTGTTTTACCATCTTTATTTTTATTACAATTTAATACAAATTGCTGGTTTTATCCTATAGTCTCTCAAGAACTACCTATTTTATTCATTCCTTTGCTTGTCTAATAGAAGATTAGGATAAATAAATAATCGGGTAATGTTGGGTAACTCAGATAGTTAAAAAAATGATTATACTTTCAATTATGCTTATTAAATGCAGTAAATTTATTATTTTGACAGTGTTGTGCTGTGTCATTTATTGAAAATATTAATGCAGAGCTTTTGAGTATGAACACTGAAGAGTTTGAGCAATATATGAGCGGGACTTTAGTATCAGATACTTGGGATTCTGCTTTAATTATATGTGAAGTAAAATATTTAACATTATATAATTATAACTGTTAAACATTTAAACTAAACTATATATTATTAAACATAGGGAATGCATCAAATGTGTGAACAGTTGGCATTATTAGCAGATTTAAAAAGAAGAAATATAATGATTGTAGAAGATGCATTAAAATTTAAAAAAGAAATGTCTAGTTTTAGGGTATTTATATATCTACCAATTTTAAATTTATAATTCTCAATAACTTTATATTGTTTTTCATAAATTACATTTAAAATAGGAAAATTTGATGGGACAATTTGCAGTGTTGAAGGAAGTGTATACTATTGTTGATGATAATGACCAAATAGAAAAAAAAATGTCAGTTAGTATTGATGATTTTGATCCGTTATGTTCAAATCTACCACAGTGGACTATGACACCTCAAGTTAGTGCTATTTATATTTTTTAAATAATTCTATTTTAGAAAATAATTACTTACAAAATGCTAATGTATGTGAAATAATGTATAGGTTGTACAACCTACAGAAAGAACTCGTACTAATTCTTCTTGTACGGATGGTGATTCTTGGGATATCCATTCTGCTGAGACAGTATCATTACATTCATTAGATAGTAATATGGTACCTGAAAACAATACAAACGTTGAACGTATTTTAGAAAATACAATAAACCCACAACCACATTTAAATGAAATACAGGTATACATCAATAAGATAATTATATTTCTATTTAACTGCATATTAATAAATACATTTAATTATAAAATCAAATTTTATTTAAGTCTTTAGCGAATGCCGCACATATTTCAAATACACAATATAGCCAATTTTTATTCAATTGAACCAATTTTAGGCTGTAGTTTCCCAGGTTTCCCAGATTAGGAAATACTGATGATCTACATTAATTTATTAATGAATATGTGATATAAATTATTACAAAAATAAGTTCTTAAGATTGCAATAGGTGAAAAATCCACCCTAATTTAAAGTTTACTAAAGTTGTATGTATTATATCTTACACAAAAAAAATCACTAAATACTTGTAAGACAAGACATTTTTTGGATTTTTTTATGTTATCCTAAAAATAATAATATTTTTAAAGCGATTAAATATTTATTAATTTTCCTTTTTTTTTTTTTAAATTAGGTGAACAATGCATATGTGTTTGTTTTCATTAAAGACAAATGTGTATAACATTAGTAATAATATTTTTTCCAGGAAATATCTATTCAAGGATGGCAAATACCTAGTATACCATGTGAAACTGGAGGAAAAATAATTACCAATACTGAGAATAATATATGATGAGTGTATTTTTTGATTAGAATCAAGTACCTATTATCTTACTTTATTATTTTTGAATTACCCTTTTAAATAATCAATTGATTATCACTCATGTAAAGTTATTGCTTTAAAATATCAGAAAAAGATTGGTTATTATAATATTTTTTAAGAATTGTTAGACTAAGCCTAGTCATATACCTATGTGTTATGTTTATTATTTGTTATTTTTATTACTTTACATAAAATTATTATAATTTGATTGAATTGTTGTCTTATAATACATTGCAATTTCAATTTGTTGAACATGTTTAGATATATATTAATTAAATTTAAAAATAAAAAAAATGTTAAATGTTATTCCAATTTGAAATTCACTAAATAAAATCTTTTATTATTTCTAGTGAATCAATTTTTTTTTAATCTTTTTATAGGCAATTCTAGGTTGAAATTTATCTCAGTAGTAGTAGATAAAAATAACTATTTATTTAAATGGGTATTAAATTATACTATAGATCTTTTAAATGTATTTTCATCTTGAAAATAAAAATATTTTTTCTTTTATTATTATTTAAGGGCTTATAAACTCTATGAACATTGTAATAGTAATACATTGTATTGTATATGTATTTGTGTTGAAATCAGAAAATTAACTTATGACAATATTGTTCATCAAAGTATCAAGTCCTGGTGCTATTATGAACAAAAGTTTTAATATACTGCCATTGTATGTCATGCAGGTTCTTAAAATGCTATAATATTATGATACTTTTAGTTTTATTAATATTTTAATCCTTTGAGTTCTTTTTAGATAAATTAAGGAAAAATCTTTTGTTTTCTTTTTGATACCTAGATACCTATAATACAGCTTCGCAAACTTCCCAAAATAATTATTAGTACCTATTTAAGATGGGTATCCAACCAGAAACTACAGTTCGTGTAAGAAAAGTACATGTACAAACTACAACACCAAAAGGTATCTATCCATTATATTTAACTCTTCTAGTATCCTGCCACAAATATAAATACCAACACCTGGTATCTATATCCCACCTTATGATAATTAGATGTATAAAACTTAGTGCCGTTGTTTTCATGATAAATAGACATATAGTACCTAAATGACCTACTACACAAATTATCAAATTAACTCATCAAAATGTTAGTGAATTAGTCAATATATTTTTTACTGTTTAGGTACAATATCAACTATCAGGTAGATATAATAACTACTGTATCTATGTCTGTTTATTTGAAAAAATAATAACCAAAAGTATTTTGCACCTACTGAGGTAATTCTCTGCGGTTGTCCCTACACATAGATGTTTGTTACATATAGTTGGGAATACTGTCAACCGTCACTAAATTCATGATTTAATTATAGAAAAATAGAAATAGTCAGCTAGTCAGCATTAAATACTTTTAACTAGGTACATTATGTAAATAAGTAGTATTAGTTATCTTTATTTCATAAAAATATAATAAACTTACTCAATTATTTTTGGTACGTAGCATCAAAATAATTTGCCACCCATATTATAAGCTAAGGACGTTTATACATATGTGGTTTATACACAGAATAAAGTTTATTTGGGTCGTGCAAAATACTTTAATTTTAATTTTTACACCAACTGACGCATATTCAAAATAATGAGAAACTTACTGACTAGCATATCAACTGATAGCCCAAACTGCCGGGTCTAGAAATTTGAAATGCACACAAAATTTTCCTTTTATTCTTATCTAGTAAGGATAGATTTTTGAATATTCCACCCTTAAGTTTGTAAAATAGAGGATATAAGTTTGTATTAAAATCCTCCATTTTTTAAATAAAATGCATACAAATTAATATTTTAGGTTTGAAAGTAAAATGTTAAAATTTAAAAACAAGTTCATTAGGATTTTTGAAAATTTCACTCCAAAAGAAGTAAATTAGGGAATGAGTATCTAACCCAATTTTTTCAAAAATGTCAAACTTCTAGAGTTTTTAACCTAGAGCGACCATTATTATACCTATAGATATAACTCGATGAGGAATACCAATCATAATTCAACCCCTGAAACTACTTTTGGCTGAAAAACTAACAACTATTATTGTAACTTGACCTACGCACAGTTCTACGTAAATAGTATTGGAACCAATAAAACAAGTGATCAATATATTAGCTTTTATATATAGCTTCATTAAAATAGTGATTTCACTATATTAGTGGATGCGATATATAAAATAAATTATAATATAAAAATGATTTTTAAAATCCCTATACTAAAAAAAAAGAGGGTAAGTAGGTACCTGGTAACCCTCAGTTACATTTTAATATCAACAGTTTAATCGATACTTAGTCTTTGTTTTGTTGCCAAGTTATTTAAATCATAGTAGCTATGTACCTCCTATGTCTAAATGTATATAAGTAGTACCTACCTATCTAGCTACTTATATACTTTTTCATTGTTGAATGTATTTATTTTAGAAATTATTCATAAAATATTGTTTAAATTCTATTCAATAGATCCACATGTATTTATATACAATATACATATATATTTTTTCTTATCTGAACCAACAGCAGTGGAGGATCTGTTTTTCACAATATTTCGTTGCTACCAGAATTTTTCAATATTATATGCTTTTTTAACACGAAATTATTTTTTTCTATTTTTGTTTTTCAAATCCACAATGTAATTGTGTAATACGGTTTAATTGAATACTTTATACTCAGAATGCATACAATTTATAGGTAAGTGCGTCATAATAACAAAGAATATTATGTAGAATTTACGTAAAAGATATTTATGTATCATGTCGCATGTAAATTGTACAATTATTTGTTTAGTTTTAAGACTTATAGAGATTGGTAAGTACCTATTATACCTACTTATATTTTACAAATTGTTAATTAGGTGACAACTAATATTTTTATAATTTCATTTTTAGTCTACATTAGGTATGCAGGCCTTGGGCAATATATATATGTATACATTATTATGAATGTGAAATTAAAATATTTCCAAAAATATAAGACGAAGACGAAGGTTAATTAAATTACACATTTAATTCAAATCACTTGATAAGTTGGTATTGTAATACAATTGGTAGGTATAGTATTATTGATTATACCAATATAAGTGCCTATTTATATTTCGTATAGGTAGTTGCAGTATTAAAAACATTCTGAAAAAAAAAAAAATAATGGATTATAGATTATTGTGGTTTGTAAAATGTATAAATAATGTATTCGAAATTGGTACCGAAAGTGAAACGGAAAATCTGTTTATGGAAACTCTGAATAAAAACGAAGGATTATTGAAACGGCAATTTATTCAGTTTCTTGAATCTTCGACAATCAATAGAAATATTAACACTAATATTTTCTACGTCTATATAACAACGGTAAAAAAAGTCATCAAAGAGGAAATTGAAGTCGAAGAAGAACGTGAGTTCCTGTATAATTTGTATGTATTGCGTGTTATTATTTATAACGTTATGGTCCGTATCTATGCTTATATACTTTGAAAATAACATAAAACTTTTAATAAAAAACTAGGTAGGTATTAATTACCTACTAAATCCGTGACAGACAACCAGGCTGTAGGTCATTTGGTTTTTTACAATATAAAAAGGTATTAATGCGACTACCCCTCATTTCGCGCATCGTGAAAGCACCATGAGCCAACAAATATCGGGTAGGTTAGGCCGGTTGTCTGCAACATTCAAAATTCAAAGAAAATCAAAAGTATAATATATAATTGCATTAAAAAAAGTATGGTTAAAAGTAAAGACTAGGTAAATAATCTATTTCGGCTACCCACACGTGTAGTGTACCTACCTATAGGTGGTATTATGTATCTGGTCTCTATAGAACTATAAACATGGTTTAACAATATAATAATTAGGGTTCAGATGTTTATGCACTGAAAAATAACAAAATATGCACTAAAAATGATAAAATATGCATTTTTAGATGAAAAACACCAAAATATGCGCAAACAATTTTATTTCACCTTAAGTATTTAACTGTCATTAGTAAGTAGTTATTTTTATTTAATATTTTTGTAATATTACATATACATTTACAATAAAAGCGTTACCTACACTGTGATACGATAGTTTTTTTTTTTAATTTGTTCAAATTTTATGCTTTTTTGCTTTAAATAGCTCGTTATTAATTTAAATTGTTTTTAAAAAAGTTCAAAAATGTACTGAAATATGCATATATATTCTTAAAATCCCAAAATATGCATTTAAAATAAAAAACCATAACATTTTTAGAAATAGGCAAAATAAAAATAGTATTATATGTTTAGTAGAACATGAATCAAATTCGTATCCAGGTTAGCATTAAATTGGATAAATAGAAAAAAATATTTAATCTCATAAACATCCGAAATCTAATAATAGTATTTATCTAATACAATTAAAGTGCATAGTTTGTTTAGTTTTTAGGTTTTTTAGTTAGTAGACCACCGAATTGTGGTCATAAGCTTCTCTATCAGAACACACTAGTTAAAAAGTGGTTAAATAAGTGTAGTGTGTACCAGGGACTGGTAAATTTTGGTTTTTACGGTTCCGGTACTTTATTATTTTATTAAGAGGTTCTGGTTCCTGTTCAGGTTTATGCCAATTTTTATTTAAGGGTTCTGGTTCCGGTTCCGGTTTTGAAAAATTAAGAGTTTAAATTAGGGTTCTAGTTAAAACCAGTATTGAACGATTCCAAAAATACATATATTTTTATTTATTCATGCACGGCCTCTTGGTGGTTTATTGGCGTTTCTCATGTTCCCTACGTAAGGGGACAAGGCCTGCGGATGACGATTCGATGCTCACCGTGAGCAACTTTTCCTTATACAGTCCACTATCGATGACTCCACAACTTGACAACCTGATGCAACTAGCTATTCGAATGACGGCTAAACTAGTATGTTGATGTATTACAGAACCCTAATTCGCTGCCGAAACAGTGTGTGTTTGTCATTTATTGACAATAGTCGATAAAGTAATAATATAACGTTGTAACTTATTAGTACCTATGTCCTATAGATTATTTTTATTTTAAATTTAATATACAAAAATAATGTTCATAAGTCATTACATTACTGTCGTTACTTATTATGATTTCACGAGAAATAAAAAACTCTAAACAAAAATAAAATAGTTTATTAAAGCAGTCGTATTTTAATCTGTGGTATAGTATTATAGCCGATAAATTGAGTATAAGCCACGGAGGAAAAAAAAATGTATCAATGTAAAACCCGTTTTATTAATTTAAAACTATGAGTTCCGGTTCCGGTTCCCAATATTTTTTTGGTTCGGTTTCAGTCCCTAGACTGTATACTAACCGTACGGAAAATTCGTGTTCGAATCTAAATTTTTAATTTTGACATTTAAACAAATTATAGATTGTAGAGTTTTATATTAACAATTGGTCGGAAGAGGGGAACTCAATTTTTAAAATAGTATCTCAGTTTTTGATTTTAGTTTAGTACAAAGAGAGAAAAAGGGTTAGTCACAAAAACTGACTTTTTTGAAATAATTTATAAGATTATTTTTTTCCCGGAAAATAATAGTTTATTTTAATTATATAATTTATTGAATTCAATTTGTAGTTTCTGAATTTGAAATTCAATCACTAAGAGATTCTGATAGTAAAAAAAAAAAAAAAAAACATAACCAAGAAAAGAGGAAAAAGAAAAGACATGTACATACAGAAGATACATTAACCAGTGGCGATTCGCCAGCAACTGATTCTGATAAAGAATCAGACGATGGAAAATCTAGAGATGGTTATTCCAGTCCAGATACAGGTAATTAGAAAAAAAGAGTTGATACTGCTGATGAGTGCGACACTGGTGTAGTCGTGTAGGTCCGAATTTGGGAAGTTATAGAATACATGAAGTTATTTAATTTATATCTATAACTTTTAAGCAACAATAAACCATTGATATTTAATGAAAAACGATTCTAAGCGAACTTGGTTTATATTTATATAATTTGAAAGACCGTAATATTTACCATTTTCATTAAAATTCGATTTTAAAACCATTATGAAAAAAAAATTACTAAATTACACTACTTTTTTTTCGACCACTAAGTACAACTTATAATAAACTTCCTGATGACTTTTCAAGCATTTCTATTCGGTTAAACAATTTTATCCATACAGTATCTACCAAAGAAAAACTATCTATGTAAAAAAATCTAGAAAAATATGTAAAATGTCGTTGAAAAATATTTTCAGAATATCTTAAAATTTTTACTATGTTTAGAAAAGACCAATATAAGTTATCTGTCAAATTTTCAAATCCCAACGAATATTTTCAAACTGAATTATAGCAAAAAAAAACAAAAATGAAATTAATGAAATCATTATTTGTGTAAACTTTCTTGTTCTTTCTGTGTTTTTTCGGTTTTGCTCAATTATTAAAAAAACTGCACGGAATATCAAAAAAACGAATTTCTAACTAACCAACTAGATTTAAATTGCAATAAAAAAAATTATTTACGGTATTTTATTAAAGTTAAATTTCTGATAGAAAACATAGTGCGTTAAAATTAAAAACAATAAAATCGGTAATGTCGCGGCTCAAGGTAAATTTTTACCGTTTTAACTATTATTTTGAAAACACCTTAGAAAATCAAAATATTAATATCTTTATTGCACCAACCAAATTGAAAATTCAACAAAAAAAGGTCACTTGTCATTTTTCGATTGGAATAAGTTTTATGTTAATAAGTTATTTACAAAATAAAACATACCATAGTAAAACCGATACAATATTTCTGTTACGTTACAGATTTAAAAAAAATAACTATATAACTATATAAACTGTATATATATTATAATATAGATATGTATGTTACTGTGATTGTCTGCAGTTGGTGAATGCTGATAGCCATTAGTAAATGTTGGTATATTGATTAAATTTGTACTATTTGTAGTACATTCACTAATGAATGTTGATATTTATGTAACGATTTTGGCGAATGTTGTTAATGCCGATACTGTTTCGCGGATAAGCCGCCACAATATTAATACAGTTATTATTAATCTAGACATACCTACTACTTAGCATCTATATAATAGTATAGGTAGTTTACAACTTGTTAATTGTTTTAAAAATGTTTTATTTAAAACAAAAGTTTCTTTCGAATAAAGTTGCGGAAACTGTCCGTTTTCGAGTCCCAGCTGTTGATCTTAGTAAAATGGATTCTCAAAATATTTTAGCCGTATTATTAGATATAGTAGATAATGATATTTGTAAATTACCATTTACAAAAATGGTGTTGTAAATCAATTATAAACCAGAAATCAGTTTTCGGTACCTGTATGTAAAGAAAATTTAATACGTACTAAGGAATCAACAAATTTCTTTGAGGCAAGTTTCTCAGTCGAATTCGTTTATTAGTAGGCAAAGATATACGCGATATAATTGCAAAACAAAGTGCACCAGAAAAAAATGTGGTTTTAAAAATGTTGGAATTTTATGTAACACAAAATGTCATGACAGTTTGTCATGTTATATTATAAGTAATAAAATAATTAATAATCAATAATTTTTTTATGTAAATGTCTAAATTTTTCAACATTTACCAATTTAGGAGGTGTGTGTCGACATTAACCTGTGACTGTTAGCATTCACCAACTGTGGACATTCACAGTAACATATATATATAAATTAAAAATATTTAGTAATCATATATGGCAAATTCTTGGTTGTAAAATGATTTCTTTTAATGTTAAGAGTTTTCAATCTTCCGTTTCCAAATGCAATTTAAAGTTAAGTTAAACATCTTGAAAAATAAACTTAAACTTGGTAACAATTTCAAAAATAAATTAAATTATACATGAAATTATTCATTCAATAAGTGTAGGTAATCAAAATTTTCAATATAACAATGTTTTATACACAAAAGTACACACAATTAAGGTTTTGTCACCTTCTTCTAATTCTAATCTTGCAAGGCTGGTTTTAGAAAATAATTTAAGAGATTGAGAGATTTTATTCCTTTCAAACGCTTTTCAGATAGAAAATCAGACTGAGGAGGTACTTTAGGGGGATAAGTAGTTATTTTGATTTTTCCAGTAGTTTTCCCGATAAATTGGTAAATAAGTACAATATTAAACAAATCTTAAAAAGAAAATATATAATGCATATGTAATTAATTCATTAATTAATAATGCATATAATTATCAGGGCTGGATTTTATAGCACTTAAAATTGCATAAATATGCGCTATAATATGACCATAAATACGGGTAAATATGCAAAAAAAAATTTGAAATTTATTAATCACTTACAAATTATTATAGGTCACTAGGTACCTATTAAGTTTTGAAATCATTTAGTCACTCTAGATCAGAATCCTGAAGGGCTGTAAAAAAATAAAAATACTTGTTTGATGAAAATTGCAGTCAATATCGATAGAAAAACACCCCAACAAAATCAGCAGATAACTCGTTTAAAATTAGAACCAAATAATATGAAATACTAGGAACGGTATATTTACTTTGACAATTTGACTGACAAGAATCTAAAGACATGTTAACTGAAGTATAATTTCATAAAATATGACCAATTTTGATTCAAAAATAAGTAAAAATACAAACAGTCTCAAAAAGTCGCAAAATATTCAAAATTAGAGTTTTAATTTGAATTCTCTGTATCATGAAACATATTTTTAGCTTACTCTACTATTTCTTAAGCATCTCATTAGAAATATGCAAATGCTATAAAATCCCAACTCTAGTAATTATTTTACCATAGTATGGCATATACATTTTTGACAAAGCAACACTATAAACTGAACTCCACTCAGAATCGTTTTTTCGTTAGCAATGGTTTTATCGTTACTTACAAATGTACATTCAATTTTCCTTCTACTACCTTCCTAACTTCTCACCTATAACAGTGACTGCACTCGTCCCTATTATCCTATGGCGGCTTTTATTATTACTTTATTATATGATTAACTTTTAGCTATACAAATGGCTGATGAAGATGGAATAAAAAAGCATTCTGAAAAATTTTACAAAAAAATTAAAGTATGTATAAATATAAGTTGATGTAAGTATTGTAGGTGGTGTTCAAAGACATGAATAAAGTTGTGAAATAATTTTATTGTTTTAATATAAAAATGTATTTATCAAAATAAGTTGGAACTGTTAACAATATTTATTTTAGTTTAGACATAACTACATATTAAAATAATTTTCTATAAGTCTAATTGATTTCAAAAGCTGCTAATAAGCTACATTCATATAAATGCAAGATTTTCGTAACTACACCTAGACCACAATCTAATCTAGTTCACTTCCAAGTGTACTTATCTATCTTGCGTGCCTAGGTATTGATTGATTTTTTATATAGGCATATTTTAATATATTGCTTTATATAGTATATAGTAGAACAAATTTTAGACAGCGTGTTTGATTTTCTAATAGCCTCGCAATAGTCGCAAAGAAAATGTATATATTGTCCTTCATAAAAGCGTAACTAGATCTTTTAGGTTACTGCAGGGGCTTGATTTCACTGGTAAATCGTCCACCTTCTTGGCCAAGGCAAGGTTCGGGGATGACCGAGACTATTCTCTCTGATTCCGTACAAAAACATTATCTCTATGATTCCTCCCAAACTTTGTTTTTACCTCCTATCTATTAAAATTTAGACTGTCGTTCAGTCGTCTCTCCGTCATCGCACTCGTTTCACCACCGTGGTATTGTTATTGTGCCATGACGTCGTCCGTCGTTATCGGCAATTCAAAAAAGAGATCAGAAAAAAATTAAATAACTCAAATATATAATGCATGTAGAAAATATAGTTGACATCAATAGGTTTACACATAACCTATACAAATAATTGAAAATATATTTTTTAAAAAATTAAAACAAACTTAGTTTGTGGTGTAATAATTACTGGGGGAGATCCGAATATGTCGTCTTAAAGTTTACCCTGACACACCGCCCCTGATAAAAATAATGTACGCAATATTTTTTCCATTATTTTCGATTTTCGTTTTTTGTTGTAATTCAGTACTTGAGTTCATATGCATACAATTATTTTTCTCAGAAGAAATAATGTTTGAAAATTTAACACGAGGTTCATCGTATGTTGTACTTATTGGTGAATAAAAAGTTAATCGTAGGCATTAGTTTTTTTAAGTTTAAATTTTTAAGAAATTGTTAAAATCATTTCAAAACATGTTCAACCGAACTTCGTTTTTTTTTTGTAATTCATTTAAAACTAATCACAGGGATCAGGAATTCACGGAATACAATTTTCACTTCTTTTTAGTCGGGGTATAATTTTCAAAATATTCTGGTAACTTTTGAGCTATTGTAGTTTTTTGAAATTGTCTAATTTGTTTTCGTTTTTATTTGAATGCTTCTCAAAAAAGTTCGAAAATTTAATACAAGGTTCATAAATAGTAAAGTTTTTTTTATGAAATTATAAAAATAAGTAAAATCTACAACCATAATCTTTTTTTTTTATAAGCGTTTAAAGTTGAAATTTTGATAAAATAATCAAAAATCATGACATTATTCGTACGTTTTTCGATGTTTAAGAATACAATTTTTTGGTCCAGCTAAAGTGCTTAAAAATTTGATACAGAGTTCATCATAAATTGTACTTAGAACTTAGAGGTTAACAGTATTGAGTGTAATGCAGTTTTTTTCCCCTGAAAATAGAGACTATTGATGCCTAGAATGTCTGTTATTAAGATTAAAGGGTGTTTTATAAACATAGTAAAAATGTATGTTTACAAAATTATATTAAAAACATTTTTTTTTTATTAAAATGATTGCATCAAGTACAAGTTAATACTCTCCCACTTACGTAAAAAAAATTACATCAGATATATAGGTACCACGACTTCGGCGACAGACGTTTATACGTTCAAGGAAGCTAGTGATGACTCACCCACAGGTAACCGCATAAAGTTCTGTGAGTTTGTCTCGAATTTGCTCCTTCAATTCTGTTATTATTCTAGACTGATTTTCATACACCTGAGTTTTGATGTGACTCTAAAGAAAGAAGTTTAGTAGTGTTAGGTCACATGACATGGGAGGCCAGTTTTGGTTACTGTTCCGCAAGAAAATGCGGTATTGAAATTTGTGCTGCCAACAGAATACAAACAATTTTTTTTCAAATTTATCCATTTTAATGAAACACCTATACTTAGATATTATATATACCTAACCGTTAACAGTGTTTTTATTATTATTTGTTAACAATTTGTTTTCATTTAGGTGATTCAAGAAAAAATCATAACTTTACCAGAACTACATGTTCATTTTGGATGTATGATTGGAAATCTTAATGCTGATCTCAGATATTTATATTTTGTTAAAAATACAAATTCAATTATTCCAGTTTGTGATTTAATAGAGGAAGCAAATTTTTATATGCCTAGTCAATTTTTAATTGGCAATAAATCTGGATGTTTAGTTAACAGCATGATAAAAGAATTGGAAAATATTTGGATACCAGCTGTAAAAAAACTTTTAATTGATCCATTTTTACATGATTGTACTACTACTCGTACTGAAAAAAATATTATTCAAACATTAGCATCAACAAGTACATCATCAACATTTGTACGCATAACTCGTGAAATCAAAGCTCAACATGATTACGAAATTTGTAAATAATACATATATATTACTAATTAATATTGTTCTAAACTTAAGTAGATTTCAATGTTTTCCGAACAATACACCTACTTATTTTATAATATTATTAGATACCTAAATTTTCAGCATTTTATTTTAGATTCTTATTAGATCATAGGATTATTGTACAATAAAGTTACTTTATTCCTATTTAAGCTCATTAAAACAGACAATTGGATGAGCAGGAAATTAAGTCCTCCTGAAGTTCTCTTCTAATCTGAAATCGTTAACTTATTTAATGATACAGGTATAAATGTGACATTTATGAAATTACAAGTGATGGACAATAATCTTTATTATATCTATGATATTGGTACTAAGATGTAATACTATTATTCTGTAAGGATTGTTTCAGTTATGACAATTTGTAATTATTAGTAGATATGGACTTTTTTTCAAATTAATAATAATTTTTACAAAATTATCACTACTTTTTCCATAAATTGATTAAATATTAAAATTAAAAAGACAAAAATATAAAATTTTTCTCATTAACAATTAGATCAAATGTCTCATTGTATCCCACTAGTGGGTTGCAATGAGACTATGGTCACATATATAATATACAACAGGTAATAATACAATTTATTTTGTTATTTTAATTTACATAAAACAGTAGACAAGTTGCAAGCTTTTATTTTAATTATTACTTTTAATTTTTATTTCAAATCAACATTTTAAAATAGTTTAATTAATTATTATAGTTTATATAATATAATATATAAAATATACAATACATAGTTTGTAACAACAAGGCAATAAAATATAAAAATAATGAACACTAAAAACCAAAATCTCTCGTTATCAGAATTGAATGATCAAATTGTTTATTGAAATGTTTCTTAATCTATAAAAACTATAATCTGTGATGTAAACCACTAGGAATAATTTCTTATCTATTTACATTGTCTCACTGTACTCCGTGTCTCAAAGGTTTTTAGTATGAGAAACCGCTTTTTCCTACTAAAAACCTATAATATTATAATACTACAAGTACCTATGCTTGAACAAATATTTTACTCATAGTTTATACTTGTGGTGAATTGTTCATTTTAATTAAATTTGCGTTTAACAAAAATCATAATTTTTTATTTATTTATAGTCATGGGAGAACGTCCTGATGATTATGAAAAGCGATTGGCTGTTATTGATTTGGAACAAATTATTTCACTTAGTGAATTATTTATGATTGAATCAGTCAACAAGCAAAGTTCGATAGAACCCTTAAAAGAGAACTTTTTAATGGAATTGCAATGCTTATTAGATAAATTAAAGGGGTATGGTATTTATTTCAATAATAAATAACAAAAACAAGAAAAAACACCGTGCCATATTCATTAAAGATATTATTTAAAATAATTATATGTTTTCTCTAATATGTGCTACACAAATCATAAAATTAAATTAAAATTAAAAAATAATTTAGTGTAATTATTATTTGTAAATAAAATTGGTAGCTATATAGTTGCATTTGCGCTATGAATTTCTAAATATTTTATATTGAGATAGGTGTAGAAATTGTATTTTATGTAAAATTAATTTTATACTAAATGACCAATTTAGTTTATTAGGTACCTATATTGTGTTTCAGAACAATAAATTATATGCAAAAAAAACAATCGTTGAATGCAGCTGAATATTTGAATGGCCTAACTAAAGACAATACAGATGAAGTCGCATTAACTCTTGAAAAAACTCCTGCATTGATACTACAATGTGTAAATATAATAGAAAATTGGAATTTAAAAATGAAAAATCTCTGTTCTAGTATTTTTGAGGTATTTAGAATTGTAATTTTGTTTATATTAATTTAATATATTACCTGGTGTTATAATTATGGCCTTTAAGTTAACATTAATAAATGCAATTCTATCTGTTTTTATCGTAATAAATTTTCAACTAGTATTTTGGATTACTCTGATAATAACTATCTACTGAAAGTTGACTTAATAAAAGATCTTTGAATTATTTTTAGATTCTGAATGGAGCGAAAAAAGCTTATGGTTTTACAAAGATATTTTTTTTTTTAACTGTAAACAACTTTTCTATCAGAAGAAATGTACCTTAAAAGATGAAATTAAAACGTTGATGGAAAAATATGGATAAAATGACAAATTATTTAAAATATGCCTCTAAACGTATAAAATGAAAGAAATATGTTCTAAAATAAAATAAAATCTCGAAATATGCATTTATATGTAAAATAGAATTTAAAAACTATTTAGCTTTGTGAAAACATGATACGTATTTATTTCGTACTGTACTATTTTTGTTAATGTAAAAAAAAAGTATGCAAATGTTACAAGTCCTCTGCCCTACTTATAAGTAGGTATTTGACATTTTTGATGTTTTTAAGTTTTTGTTTAGTTTTATGCGGATATAATTGTTTTAACTATGCAGAAATATTTTTTAAAATTTTACTTGAGGTTCATCATTATAAAAACAAATTCACTGTGGTGAAAACAAAATTAATTGTGTTATGAATGTATTAGTTTTTTTTTATACACGTTTAAAATTTAAATTTTAACCAAAATTGTAATAATATGTTAAATATTTAACTGAACTTCACTCAGAATCTTTTTTTTAGAAATAGTTTACCGTTTATCACAGATAGAATTGGACAATTTTATTGTATCGTTCCTTCTGTAACTTCTCGTCTACAATAGTGGTACATCCATCAGTAGTATCAGTTATTTTTAATTAGATATGTTTTTAATATTATTTTCCTTTTTATAAATTGTGAACTCATGGGCCTTCACAAATCTGTTCAATGAGGCCCATTATCTTTTTAAAAAAATAAACAATAATAATGTATTATTTTGATTGTTTATTATTAGCTATTTAAGTATTATTATTATGATTATTTAAAATTAATAGTTTAGAGAACGAGACACTATTCATTCAGAGTTCACATTTTGGAGTAATAGTGAAGCATCAGTTCGATCAATTATGGATGAACTTGAATCTGATAATACAAAATTGTTTCTTGCTGTTATAGAAAAAACTTCAATCACTATTGGAACAATTAAAAATATTTTTGATGAATTTAAAATTGTAAAATCACAATTTATTTGTTCTTGTGGATTAGCAAAAGACAATTTAAAATATATTTCACTTATCATGGAACATTATAAGGTATTTATGTTAACAAAATGTAATATGCCTATTATTTTTTGTCCGTCATTGTTGTAGATTCTGAATAGAGTTTGTTTTATTTTATAATTTACAATTTACAAAACATGCACATAAATTATAGAAATTATAGAAATATATGAAAAAATACATATTTTTTCTTATTTTAGTTTAAACTGTTTTCAGGTTTAATATATAATTAATTATATACAAAATGTAATATATTTAATAATTTTTAATTGACTATTTGAATATTAGGTAAATTACAATAATTACATACATTTAATTTAGGATTTTATATCTGCGGATTTTAATACAATAATTAAAATGATACCTATTTGGTTTGATGATTTAAGAACAGTATGGGTTTTATCATCATATTTTGGTAAAGATGTAAATATGTTACGATTACTTTTACAAATTTCAAATGGTCTATGTGAAAATGTTGGACGAAATTTAGGTGACTTGAAATTAATTTTTAAGTAAGTATCTATAATATTAATTTAAATTTAATATAGATTTGATTTTTAAACTGAAATTAATTTATAGCATTTTCGTCTAAATAGTAGGTAATTTAAATTTTTAAATTATTTTAGATGATGAATGATGAAATATGGTTTAATTGTATAACTATATATTTGCACTATCTAAATTATATTTAATTAGAAATATGGTTTAATATATGCTTTTAAATAATTAATTCATGTTTAATAACATTTTAGAAATAAAAATATTAAAGAAATATCAGAAATGTCTTTCAATGCTACAAAAATGTTGGATGTCTGGTCAGAAGGATATTTAGAAATTAGAAAATCGATTGAAAAATCAAAATTTCAAAGATGGGAATTTGATAAATGTATTCTGTTCAATAAAATAGAGTACATTAAACGTATAGCAAAAGATATTCATGAAATAGTTGCAGTAAGTATTTTGTTAACTGTGTTAACTTATTTTATTATTAAAAGTACCTAAGAATGAAAATAAATCGAACATTTTGAATTAATAGTAGGTATGTAATATTTGTTTCCTATTTTATGCACTGGAATACTTTATAATTGTATTTATTTAATAAAATTCGTGATTTTATTTTTAAACAAGGATTTATTTAATGCGTCCATTGTCTGTGTATAAAATTAACATAACATCTTTCTCAAACAATTTGTAAAAAAAAAAATGATTTTACTAAATAACCCATGCTATATTTGTTCGATTTACTAGACTAATGTGTAGCTATATTAGTTTTTATTTAATTTAGACAATCAATCAATTTTTGAGTATTTTGGGTCCAGAATTGAGATCAATCATTAAAGATATGATTGGTTTAGATGTTATGATAAGTAGAGTTAAATCTCTGTATAAAGTTTTCGATGCAATCGATTTTGATTTATTTTGTGAAGATAATATAGAAAACTGGAATTTATTTCTTAAGGAATTTAAATTGGAAGTATTAAGAGTTGAAGAAGAATGTAAAATTTTTATTGACTGGTGTTTTAATAATTTAAGGTAAGTAATAAAAATAATAAAAATACAAAGTAGTCATGAAAGTGTAGTGTGAATATTATATCATTTTTTTACTCTACACACTGCCAATAACTCCATATTTATGTATTAATTATATTAAAATTAATAATATTAATTAATTATTGTGTATTAATTAAATAACAGCAATCACTAAATTATAGGTAACTTTTTTTTCTTTCTAAAAACAAATTTAAATTTTTTAATTCTGAGCATAGCGAGAAATGTATTAGTTTTATTATGATGTGTTATACTTCTTCTGTCTGCAAACAACTTTTCTATTAGAAATTTTGCTCCGATTATCAAAATTAGAATAGTTTCTGTTAGTCAATTTAATTTTGTATAGTTAATGTATTAATGTTGTCATTTTTGATTTTCCTTATAGTTTTCTTAATAATAAGGAACTCGTTCCTTTGATTTTGTTCGCTTTTCAGGAATTTATTGGACATGGATTTAAAATGGGACGTATTGGAATTTCGTTAATTATTTGCTGGAACATGAAAAATGTGTATAAATTACTACTGTATATTTTAATCTAATTTAAGAAATTTGAAATATAATATTTTATTTTTTTAGAATTTTATTTATAAAGAAGTTTTTATAATTTTTTATTTGAAGTTTTATTAGATCATGATCATTAACTTTTTCAAATCAAATAATTACATTTTTTCTTGAAATTTATGAACAATGTATACTTATTAGAAAAAAAAAAACAATTATATAAACCGTTTATTATAAGATATTTTTAAATAATATTTTGAGAATTTTGAGAATATTTGGATATATGAGTTATTTAAATTTTAATACAATTATAACATTTACAAAATTTAAAATGAAAATGACTGACATACTTTGCATTATGGATGGGCCATTGTTGGAAGGTCAAAAGTTGAAACGGTAGGATAAAGAGGGGAATTTAATGGATATAATCTTCATGCAATGTTTGATTATTGCTAACTAAAAACGATTCTGATCAGAGTTCGGTTATACATGTTTTAACAGGTAGTAATATTTACGATTTTTGTAAAAATTTAAAATTCAAATTCTATACTCAACTTTTTTTTTGTTGAACACTAAATACAACTTACTTATAATGAACCTGTTCAATTTTCAGGCATTTCTGTTTGGTCAAACAATTTTATCCACAAAGTACTTGCCGAGTAAAAAACTTATAAAATAAAAATATTGATAAATAGCTCAAAAATGAACCAAATTTTTTCAAATTTAACCACATATATTAAAGGAAAATATACGTTTTTTCTCCAAATTCCAAGTTTCCACACACATTTTGAACTAAATTATACCTAAAAAAACAAAATTGAAAATAAAAACATTTTTTTTTTTGTAAATTTTCCAGTTTTTGATACGATTTTTCTTAATTATTAAGAAAATTGGTAGGAGAATCAAAATATGACCGCCCTAAAGTACCAACTAGATATAATTTCCTTCAGAACAGATGCTAAACTTTATATATCGAGACAAAATTTCCGGTAGCATTAAAAAAAAAAAAAACATCATTATAAAACCAATACATTCCTCATTCTGCTCAGAATCCAAAATTTATTGTGTTTGCATAAAGATCGTGCAAAGAAGCATACTTCATTTTGAAAAGGCTTCAACAATTTACTTCAAGGCCTGTTTTTAAAGAGCAACTTAAAACCAAATATGAAGCTATTTTGAGACAGTATGAAAATGAACTAACTACAATTGAAACACTGTTTTTGGTAAGTATATATAAAAAATAAATTATTTTCCAATTGTATTATTTTAATCTTAATTAATACAAAAAAAATTATTTTATAACAAATTTTTGTATTAAATGTTAATCTAGACACATCAAAATAATCCTCCAGTTTCTCGACATCATCCTCCTGTGTCTGGATCTATATTTTGGGTGCGAATGTTGTTTGATAAAATTAAAGAACCAATAACTATATTTCAATCAGCTAATGAATTTAATAACATGCCTTTAAAATTTACGGTAAAGTGCAAAATTATAAATTTAAAAAAAAATAACCATGATTATAAAATGTTGAATTTGTGTAGGTTGTAGAAATGTTTAAAAGTATTGGCGATCAAATGAAACAATATGAACAATTAAAATTAATGAATTGGACAAATACGGCAAAACTATTAGCTATTTACCAAATGAATAGTAATATACTTGCCTGTATTAAAATTAATGATGATTTAAGTAAGTGAAATTTGTTAGAAATATAATTAAAACACAATTAATAAAATAAACTTAAAAACAAAATAACACATTTTAAATAGAATTTTATTATAATAACTCTGTAGATATACTGCATTACATCATACAAGGGGTACAATTAACTTAGAAGGTTAGGGCCATATAAAAACAAAAAAGTAAAATTAACCTTAAAGAATAATTATCAGTTGTACCATATTACAACATTCTCCCATGTTCATGCTTATAATTTGTACTTAGGTTTCTTCTGTAAATGGTAGTGTAAGTCTCATATTGTCCCTTGATGTAATTCAGCTCAATTATTTTTGCTGCAATCTGTTCTTATATGAAGTGATATATTTTAATGTCTATGTGTTTTGTGCGTTTTGAATGTTCAAATTTGTTGACTAGTTTGATGCATCCCTGGTTGTCTTCATATATGGTTTTGGGTTGACTTGTGGTAATGTTAAAGGAAATTAGTATCTATTTGACCCATATTGCTTCTTTGGTTGCTTCTGCTAGACATATATTCTGATTAGGTGGAAGACAGTGTAACACAACAACACAATGTTGTTTTCTTGTTGTTCATGACACTGTGCAATTGAGTACTCTGAAAATGTATCCACTTATGGATTTCTTGTCACTTGTATCATTGGCCCAGCTTGTATCTGCATACCCAATTTCCTGTTTCTTGATTATTGTTGCACTTGTTGTATTTGATGCCCCAGTAACCACATACGGATCAAGTCCATGGCCGCCACCGGGGCTTTCGTTCGGAACTGAGCGAGGTTGGAACCCACTTGACTTACTTTTCATAATCCGTTAAGAGTTTGACATGTCTCGATACCCAGAGACGGACAAACAGGCGGCGAAGCTCACTCGGATGCCTCCAGGATATCTACCCATTCGTCATTGATAACACAATCCCCGTCACCATGGGTAAGTGGTAAAGCTGAGAACATCCCGCTAAACGACTGGAAATAACGGCCCTAATAGTCAGCGCGTGAAAAGATCGCCGACTGATAAGGCGGAGATAGATGCACGTGGTCTCTGGAAACAACCTCGGTGGGGGAGTTACGGTACTCGTCAGTCGTCGCTACATACGAATAACGCACGAAAAATCGTGCATTATATTTGACGATATAGTTCTGAACGACGCGAATTCTAACTAATATCTAACGCCACGTATATGACTGGTGGGCCGTGAAATATTTTCGGTTATTTAGTTATAAAATAATCGACCATATGATTAATCATTGTCGATAAAGTCTAATGTTAGATAACTGTTATTTAATAATAATAAAATTGTTATTACATGGAACAGCAGCAATGACTGGTGGAATATTAGGGTTCAAAGCAGAAGTGATGAAAGTCAGTCCTGATATAAGATTAAGATTTGTGCATTACATTATACATAGATAACATTTAACTTTTCGAAAAATTGGCTGCGAACTGAATTTAATTATGAATGACGCAGTATCAATGGTAAATTTTGTGAAGACCCATGATCTTAATTCGCGGCTTTTTAGGATTTTTTGTGAAGATATGGGGTCCAACCATAATACATTACAATTCCATACTGACGTTTGTTGGCTATCGCGCCGTTGGAAGGTCTCCGATATATTAACTCGTGTTTTATAAAACAAACGATTATCGCGCGATATTTATTTAAAATCGCATTGCGTCGCGTCGTCCTAGTCGCATTAGGGTCTAGTGTGACGAGGGCTTAGTGTTCTCGTTTTGGTATCCAAACAATAAAAATCGATACCCACAATTTGTAACACCACAAACAGTAATGTGTGGGCATCAACATTACTACGATTTAAATAGTTGAATAGTGATACGCTATGTTTCCCTACTTAAAATTAAAAATGGAATATCTCGTTGACATGTTAATGAAAATCAAAAATTTTAATACCAAAATGCATTTAAACTAATACTCCGTCTATTTATAGAATTTTTAATATAGAATAATATAGAAAATGCTTGCGTTTCATTGATTTTCTCTTAAATATAATAAACTTCATTATTTTTGATTTTTAAATTTATTTTTCGTAGAAAACTTATTCCAAATTTCAATAGTAGCATCATATTCGTTTTTTAATTCTTTGTAAAACGTAGGAAGGATCTTAAAAGTTTGTAGCAATTGGAATAACGGTTTCATTATTTTAGATTTAATTTGTTTTGTCGTAATTCGGGTGAAATTAATCGTAGAGCTCTAAAATGTTCACAAAATACTTATAATGATATTTTCTAGACGTAGAAAAAATGTTCAAAATATATTTTAGTTATTTATAGGTGTTTAACATTTTTAATTTTTTTTTAGTTTTTATTTAGTTTAATGTGGATATAGTTATTTTAGCGGAACGAAAATGTATTTACTGTCAGTAAAAAAGTTTAACATATATTAGTAGTTTTTTTATAAGCGTTTTTATGAAAATTGTAAAAATTCCGACTTAAAATATATTTCATCAGTAAAGATTTATTGTTGGGTACAGATATAAATTAAATAACTCTGTAAATATACCTGCCTTCTCAATTTCTCACTTACAAAAGTAGTACACCTATACCTATTAGCAGTCGATCTGTTTTTTTATTAATTTGGTTCTCACGGCAACCATTTAATTGAATTCCAATCAAAATCATTTTTTGTGTCCAATAATTATCTTTGTTTTTTGTACTTTAGCTCAATTATTAATAATAATAGTAATATTACCATATATTCCTATCTTCCCAACTTGTAACTCTTTAATTTGTATACTATTATAGTTTTCATATTTTTATTTATTTATAAAATATTATAATTATGTATTTACTAATTGAATATTTTTACTTTATTACTTTATTTTATAAAACTTTAGTTTAACAACTTATTAATTTTCAATATTTTTTGTAATTTTTAAACCTGCAGGAAAATCTCAAATTAACACACCAAAAATCGAAGATTTAAAAGATTGGAACAAATGTGTCGGAAGATCAAATAAAATACTATTAGATCATCAATTGATGTTCAAAATCAATTTTAATGTAAAAATATTTAATTTTTTAAGTCTTAAATTATAATTTTTTCACTTATTTTTTTAGTTCCTAATTATATTCACTTATTATTATAATAGGATCAAGTTTATGAATTAATAGAAGAAGCCGAAATGATGGAAAATTTGGGAATTATTTTTTCAGAAGAGATACAAATGTTATTAGCTAAGAAAAATAGTTTACTAGATGATATAATGAGAGTAAATAATATGGTCAATACATACAATTCATTTGTTCTATCTATGAGTAATCTAGAAGTAAGTAAAACAAATTATATATTATTATGAGAATACAATGAGAATAATGTTAGATTCAAGCAGACGGAGGAAATTATTATCGTTTTAGTTTATTACTTATTTGCAGTGACGAAGCTGCCTATGCTACAATGCGATTTCGTCTACCAGACGTTTTTTAAACTGACATTATGTATTGTATAATACATCTTTGGTGCAATAGAAGAAAGACTTAAGTCGATTTATAAAAAAAATTTTAAATTATTGATAATTATGGCATGTACCCAATCTTGTTAAGTATTCAAGTATTTGCGGGTATATACTTCAATATTTTTTTGATATTTTAAACACTATAGAAATAATTTTTAACTAATGTATTTTTTGAATACAGAATACTTATTCCGGAATATAAAATACTTTTGTAGGCATATCAAATGTATAGGATAAAACAATATTTTGAATTATTTTCAAAATTAATTTCAAAATCGAAATTTAATTAAATTTAAAAATTTATTCTGAATAAGATTGAAAAGTATTTTTATCAAAAGTGTAGATAACTACTTACTATTAAAGTATAATTATGGAAAAAAATTTCATGCAAAAATTATAAAAAAAAATGCAATAAATTTACTTTAACCTTCAGATCAAAGATATATAATATACGTTTCATATGTATCGTTACGGTTGCTTTATAAACAATATAAATAAAAACAATAAACAAATATATGCATATGGCAGCTTATGGGCTACGGAGCGATGATTTTAAACACTCAAACCCAGATAATGACTGCTAAAACGATGACGATGCGTCCAGTATCTCATATTAGTAGGTGACCGTTTAAAGTGGAGGTGGGGTAGTACATGCATGTAAAGAGACATGTTTCTCTTTGAATTGTAGGTTTATTTTAGACTGATAATAATTTAATCTTTTGACGACTATTTTTTTGTTTATTCAATTACTTAACTATGGAAAAAAAAATTGACCTACCCAATTTTAAAATCTAAGCTTTGTCATTCTGCTTTTATTGTATCTATTTATTTATTTACCTAGATCTCTGTCTATTTTTTTTAGCTTACAATATTAAAACACAAATTGAAAGACATTGAAGATTATTTTTATACCGGTCTTTGCCGTTATAATTGGCTTTCAATTAGTATAGACACATTTACAAATAATGGTTTAATTCTCATAAATAAAACGAAAAATCTGTTTAATAATCTTAAAATAGTAAGTGTTGGTATTAATATTAAGTTAAAATAAAATTTTTTTGTGTACCTGTTGTTCTTTTTAGGTGGAAATACATATATCTCAGTTTATAACATCGTTTGAAAATGTGAATTTATTTCCTTTCAATATTTTAATTGATAACGATTCAATGTTAATGGTAAATATTTAATTTCTTGACTATACGTTACTAGTATAGTAAAATAATACACTATTATTGTATTGCGACGAGTCATATTTTGATAAATATCATATTTTAAAAAAATAACTTGATAATTTAATAAAACGCTGTCACTGTCATGAGTCGTTTTGAAATTATTGAAACTTTAATTTTTATTCAAAGTAAATGTTTATTTATGTTAGTTTTTAAGATTTAAACCATTGGCAATACCATACTTATCTCTACTTCTTTAACTATTGACGATATTCTGTTCTCCATAAGATCAAACATAAGGAATCTAAACTAAACTACAATTTGTTCAAATCGTTTTTATTACCTAGAATACAGATACCTATTATTTCTAAATTGTACATTTGTAGTTTAAATATTACATATTATTTACATCTTATGAATAATTTAGCATTAGTTATATTTCAGTATGCAATAACAAATAATAAATAATTTAAAATGTTTGAAAAAATAGCTACACTATTTATTTTGGAACTTTTAGATAAAAATATTTATTTTGTTAAATTTGAATGCGTATTCCCAAAAGTCTATTAGTGATTTTGTTTTCTATAGACGGTGATAGTTGACAATATATATTAATATTAAGGTAATAAGTACCTATATTAATTAATGGAGAATATGTATTTATTTTGTTTAGAAATACAAAAGTTTACCTTTAATTTATGAACGTTATGGGTTTAAAGAATTTCGGCATATCATTAACAACTATCAAGCCATTTCTAAATATTTAGTACACTTGGAGTTTTATTTGTTTGGTTCAATGAGTGGTACTTGCACGCCTATGATAGGATTATATTTAAATTATAAAAATATGATACTAAATTGTATATTAAAGTGAGTTTTTAACATTCATAAAATGAAACAATCAAATTAATATTTACTATAATATTGTATTAATTAATCTTTTTTTTATTAAAGAATGTACTTAAACAATTTAGATTTGTATAATAAAGCTTTACTAAGTGACGGTTCACTTATCAAACTCACCGTAAACATAACTAATAAAGAAGTCACAATAGTTCCAAATATGTATGTAACATATAATAATATTATAAAAAATGTATCAAAATGTTTGATTTGGTCAAAGTATTTGACTGTTTGGCAAACAGAATCGTGTATACAATGTCTGACTGTAGAAAATACATGGGAAACTGATTATCACAGAACTACGTTATACGGAGAAATAATAAATAATAATGATATCCGAGAAAAAATTGAAATTATTCGGGAAAGCTCTCATAGTCTAATGATTGAAGTGAATAAATATTTAAAAAGGTACCTGTGTTCTATTAATAAATTAAATTTATAAATAATTTTCTTTATAAATACTATATAGAGTAAATTAAATTATTAATCAAAGTAATAAATGATAACTAGTTAGTTAATTATTTGATTATATTACATATTGCCAGTTCAATGGGACCTAATGACGTGACTCATAATTTGATGGTTGAGTATTCATAATTTAACATCATCCTTAATTAATTAATTTTTTTTTTTATTCGGACCGTAGCGAGAGATCTATTTGTTTTACTAAGGTCTATAAAATGTGTTTTTGTTTTGTGAGCAACTTTTCTACCAAAAATCTTGTTCCAATATATTAAGTGTAACATTTTTTTAAAAGGAAATTATATGTAGTTGATATATTGAGGATGTTAACTTTTAAATTTTTGAGAGGTTTTATTAATAATCTGAAAAACCGAAAAAAAAATGTAGACAAAATGGTAAATATTCACAAAGCGCCACGGCGTTACTGATTTCCTTGTTTTTAATTTTTGGGAATTATTATATTTTTTATAATATAACATATATTTAATAATATTTTTTTTATTGTTTATTGCTTTAATTAAATAATGTTTAGAAACCTTTTTTGTTGAATTTTGAATCTAACTGCTCACAAAATAAGTTGTTTTTTGATTTTCCAAGTAGTTTTAATAATAATTTGATAAAACCAGAAAAAGACGAAAAATAAATTTGAAAATGTCTTCAGATTTATTGTGAACAAAATTGTCGCGTACCTTTACCACTTAAAAATTGGACAGAGATACTTTGGCACGTTTCTTAGTGTGTTTTCAATAGTGTTTTTTTGTATCTTTGATGTAGATATTTTGGTTGAACGATGTAATATGTGACTCCTAATGTAGCCTTCCTTATTAAAATTGTATAGTAATGGATGCAGCATTATTTTTTTAGTCAAAAATAAAATACATATTAACTTCATATTAAGTCCAAAAAACAATTACAAAATAAAACGGTTTGTAGGCCGTATACAAGATTTTATAATTAATATAATATAAGTACCAAATATTTGAACGAAAATGTTTTAATTCGTTTAGGTGGAAACGTTTTCAATTTTTATGGAATGAGTCACAAATAAAAAAAGGAGAGGGTTTAACTACAGATACATCTATTCAAGATTATGAAAATATTTTTAATGACTTAAAACGACTTTTATTGTTTTTTTCAAATATGGCATTGCACAAAAAAATACACTGTGTCAAGTATGTATACTTATTTTACTTTCCATGCATTATATTATTTCAATGCTATTACCATAGGTAGATTTGATTTAATTTGTAATAGATTAAAAAAAAAATACGAATAAGACAAATTATAACTAAAATAATTTAAAAGATTTTTCAATATTTATATTGATGTATGGTAATAAAAATATTTTAGTTCATATAATTGTCAATTTCTATTAATAATTATTACATTAGTTTTCGTTCAAACCGATAGCAAGGATCTGTTTGCATAATGTTTCCCCACTGCTGCCATCGTTTATTATACTTTACAATATTAATATTTACAATTACAATTCATGTTTTCTTCTTCATAAAGCAGGCTCATATTATTGAAAATTAAGAATATAAACTTAGTACAATGTGCGGGCTGGCCACCCAAAACATCCTTTTGCATATAGATAACTTAAATTAACTTATCCCTATATCGATGATTTATAATCTCCGTCGATCCACCAGCCCCCCAATTTCTTATTGATTTTTGTATTCTGGAAAATAAATATTTTCATCATTCGGGAAATACTAAATAGTTTATGTGGTCAAAAATAATTTGTAAAACTAACTTTTTATTATTAATTATTTATATCAATTTATTTTTGATTTAGGTTAGATCTTAGTTCAATAATAAACCAAATGAAACTATATACAAGGGAATTGATTTTATCTTGTGCAGATCAACTAATAAAATCAACGAGGCATATGATGCATCTCCAAGAAGATATATTTAATGTAAGTATAATGAAAATATTTAATGTAAAGTATGTAATTTATAATATATAAATTAGGTATTAAAGGATATTGAGCTGAAAGTAAATAATCAAATTCATTGTTAAATCCTTCATATATATTGTTTGTTTTATCCCAGCATATTTTGTTTACATACTAAATTATTGTATTAATATTAAATTGATTAAGTTAAAATAATAATATTAGTTTGACTCATAATAAAATACACAGTGTACCTGTACAACTAATGTTTTTTAAATGTAAATTACAGACCTTTAGAATATTGATGGACAAAGAAATTAAAAATAGTGATGACTTTTATAATTGCCTCTATAAAATAGAAGAACTAAGAACAGAAAAAGTGAATGTTGAGATATTCTTTCAAAATTTAAACCATCGTATTTATGTTTTGGAAGAAGCAGAAGTTACAATGCCACTTGAAGATTTAAAATTAATTTCATACATACAGGATGACTGGATAATGTTACAACAAATGGCTTCAAAAAAGAAATTATATTTAGAAAAAGCTAAAGCTATTTGGTCACATACAGTTAAAATAAACATACATTTGTTTTCGGATATAATAAATACATTTTTGGACAATTACAACCAATGTGGTTTAAAGAAAATTAAAGATGATTTAGATTTAGGGCTTATTTTAATGAATGTTCGTATAAAAAATGTACTATTATTTATTGTTGTTTGTTATTTTAATTACTTTTCTACTATGATCAATATTTTAGGAATATAACACTAGTTTTACTGATTTAATGCAAAAAAAAGAAAAACTAGTTAGAGAAGAAAAACTATTCAATTTAAAACTATTAAATACCAATACATTTGACAAATACTACTCCGAATTCCAAAATATGAAACTGGTATACTTATTGTATGATAAACAAAAATCCGACATTGAAAATTGGTCAAAAATACCATGGTCTGAGATTAAAATAGAATTTGTTCGTGAAGTATTTGGTGCCCTTATGTTGAAGTTTAAAAGACTACCCTTTCTAGCTCAAAGTACACATCCAGCTAAAATTTTGGTAAACTATTTAAAAGAATTGAGACATGGAATACCCATTTTACTACAGTTAAAAAATAATGCATTGAAACCTAGACACTGGAAAGAAATGTTGGATGTTATTGGTAAGTAATTTGTAAACTTAACAATTTTGTTTTACTTATTTTTTCATTTAAATTTTTGAAGGAAAAGGGTTGAGGATAAGTGAAACAGAGTATTATAGTATACTCTATGATTATGAGTTTGGAGGATGATGATAAGTGGTTGATAAGACAAGACATGTAATGGAAATAAGTATAAGTAATATAAAATTACCTAATAGGCGAATTTGAGAGTTTAAAATGTATAGAATTTTTTGTATAAAAGAATGATGATTTTGGCGAGGATGTAAAACATAGGAGTGTATAAAAAGTGTGTTTGGAACAAGTTGCTAGAAGTGTCAGATGTTACCTACCTTATGTTACAAGAAAATGGAATAGAGAATGAGTGTAATTTAAAATAAAGAATTTTACTCGTTTGTTATATCCAAAATAGATATTTATAACATTATAAATGAATTAGTACTAAATAACAAATATTAGAATACATATTTTTACACCAATATTTATTTTTAATTTATAATTTGCATAGGTGTACAGTTTAATTCCGATAAAGACATTTTATCCTTTGGTACAGTATTAAAGATGCGAGCGGTAAAACATAAACATATTATACAAAATGTTTTAACTAAAGCTATTGATGAATACAATATTGAACAAAAATTAAGAGAAATAAATGAAGTATGAATAAAATAGGATTTTTATTGAAATAATGATATTTTTATTTTATCTTTTATGTTTTAATATAATGTTACAGCGTTGGAACACAATGCGATTAAATATAGAAAAATATTCAAATATTATATTACAAGTTGAACATAAACTGTGTGGAGTTCATGATGTGTTACAAATATTGGAAGATGATCAAATTACTATGCATAAAATGATGAACTCACAGTAATAAAAAAAACAAAACAAAAAAAAGCCTAAATTAATTTTTATTTAAAACTTGTAATAATACATAGTTATAATCATTAATGTTTTAGTTCAGTTGAACCATTTTTAATAGAAGTTGAAACATGGCAGAAAAATTTGTCTATTGTGAATGAAGTTTTAAATAAGTGGTGGTTTGTACAGCAAAAATGGTTTCATCTTGCTCAAATTTTTGGTAGAAATGACTTTTCATATATTTTACCCAAGAAAATTAAGAAATTAAATGAATTGAACACTTTCTATAAAGAAGTATATCATTTTTTTTATATCTATTACATTTATAAAAAAAAAATATTAAATCTTAATCGTTATGTTTTACTTTTATTAAAAAATTATGTACATTACACTGGTCCCCTTTTTTAGATTTTGGGTTTTCCAATACTGCCAGTACTTAGTAACATATTTCAGAATTTGTTTGGTCTATATGTAACAGTTATAACCATAATACTGATAGGGTGATGTAAAACTGTTTCACATAGATTTTCTGTAGGGCGGAATTCACCTTAAAGTTGATAGTGACATTATCCTTGTGGAAAACGATAAGTATATTCTTAAAGTCGTGGCTAAGGTTGAACCAGCGTCCAGATACAAGAGATAAGTATAAGGTAAGAATAGGTATGTGGAATGTTAAAATAATAACTGGTAGAAATAGAGAATTAGAAGAAGTGTTAAAGAAGAGAAAAATCAGTTTTTGTTGTGTACGGGGGACTAAATGAAATGGAAAGAAAAAATTAACGGGGTAACAAAATATTCAGGTAAGACTAATACAAGGTATGGTATGAGAGTAGTAGTATATGAAGTTTTAAAAAGTTATGTAGTGGATATATTACATCCACTGTGGATACTGTGAATCATATATACAATGATAAAATAATAGTGTTGATGCTGATATTAGAAAATAATTCTAGATTTTGTGTTAGCATATTATGATCTTGAGATTATTAACACGTATTTTAGAAGAGGGAAAAGCTCCTAATATAAATATTAGGAGTACAGAAAATAGATCACAAATTGATTATTTTTTACGAAAGAAAGAAAATGTTAAGCAGGGTTTTTGGTAAAAAAATACAATTTTAAATAATGAAACTTTTATTGCCATTTTTCCTCTACACTCGGGAAATAAAGCACCAGCCAGTTTTTTGTTTAATAGTTAGAATTTAATAAACTTGGTTACAATCAAATGGCGTACTAAATCGTAATAAAAAAAAAAAATTTAAAACCTGGGTGTTTGATATATTTCTACAGCCTTGCCCTCAGTAATTAGGTAATAAACTAATGAACGTCGTAGAAAGGTTAAATAAATTCTGTAATATGTCGAACTATTGGTTGCAACTAATGATAGCAGTGAAAACTAAAAACACAACATTTAAAAGTGTGATATACTTAGAAAAATAATGTTAATTTGTTAATTTAAATCTCGTTGGGTTCCAGCACTGGTTGGCCTCCCTCCTCATATCAATCATAGTTAAAATGTATATAAATTATTGTATTTAAAATTATCATATTTGCTTATTTTGATATTATAACATAGATTGTGAATATTCTTTTTCAATAAAAAAAAAAAAAAAAATGTATTAATTTATCATATTGTTTTATAATTCTGGACGTTTTTCTTTATACTTGTAATTTAATAATTTCATTAATATTAATTTGTATTCATCAACATTTTTTCCTATATTTTAATTTTTTATAATAATAATTAAATTATATTATCTCGTAATAATTAAAATATTTAATCAAAGTGAAATACAACAAGGGTTCTATTAAAACATAAAATAGGTCATTTAAAAACATGTTCAATACAATTTATGTATTATATATTTAGATAATGGCTAATGCAAATAGAAACTCTAAAGTTCTTGAACAGTGCTTGAAGCCAAATATTATGAATCAATTACTATGGCTGGAATGTAATTTAGACGTTAACCAAAAAGAATTAAATAGTTTCATAATTGAAAAAAGAAATTGCTTTCCTAGATTTTATTTAATATCAGACAATGATTTGTTATTCTTATATGGGAATTCCGATCCAATTGCTATTCAAGAATACATTATTCAAGTATGTAAACTGTGGAATCAAATTTATATGAGTTTCAATCAAATAAAACACGTAATTAGTAATTAGTAAATATATTTTTTCAGATATTTGACAATATTAAAAGTTTAACGTATGAAATCAAAAATGGAAGTTATTCAATTACAGCAATGACAACATGTAATGATGAAGTATTAGTATATACAAATTGTGTAGCTATTAAAAATGCCGTAGATAAATGGATGCTTGAAGTTATCGATCAAATGCAAAAGTCAAATCGTTATATGATAAAAAAGGCAATTTTAGATCTAGGAAATATTTCATATTTAAATAATAGAAGTGATTGGATTAATAATTTTCCATTATCAGTGTGTTTGAATGCAGACAGTGTATGGTGGACAGTGGAAGTAGAAAATATTTTTAACGAAATAAATTTAGTAAGTAAATGTTATATTTTTAATTAGATTATGCATTAATTTATAGAAAAATTTCATATTTTGAGAATTATGCTTACAATTTTTAATAATTTAATAGTTTTATTGTTGAAAAAATGATGACAAAAAAATCAAAAAGTAATTATTATTATAAACATAATATATTTTTCATTAATTTACGCATCATAATTTAAGTTCTAAAATAGACTATGGGTTTATGATTAAGTAGATACAATATAACTTATATAGCACCTATTTATAATATAAAATCTCATTTACGAAAATCAAATCTAGTTTTTGTAGGTTCTAAACATGTTCTATAGAATGCCTTTTTAATTTTACTATTGTAAATAGAACTAATATTTATTATATGTATGTTTTTTTAAGGTTCTGAGTATAATGATAAATAAATTGGTTTTTCAATGATATGTGTGTGTGTGTTTTTTTTATTATTTTGTATGTGTCTATCAGAAAAATTGTTCTAATCAAAAAACAACAAGAAAGCTTTTTTTGTAGAATTATGGATTTGATTGGTTGGTTTTGTTAATCAAGTATTTTTCATTAAACTTGGGAAAATCTGGTGGAAACTGTTAAAACGCATAAAAGAAACTGATAAATTCACGACAGTAAAAGTTTCATAAATCTCGATTTGTTCGTTTTTGTTTTTCTACCAACAATTTTACTTCATATTTCAATTGTAGCATCCTCGCATCATGATGGCATTAAAACGATTTGAAATGAAACCATTTTAATATTTATTAAAACGGTTTAGTTCAAGGTAACAAGTAGATATTCAACACAAAAAAAAAAAAATGATAATGTCATAAGATTAGATATTAAGTTTCAACAAAAATACGTTTATGTATATTTTCTAGGGTTGTCCTTATTTTTGAACATTATTATTTTTGATGACCAATACCCCCCCCCCCTATTTTGTTTCTTACTGTTTAAAAGTAATCTGTGTTAAATTTGGTCATGATAACTCACGGCCTTCCCGTGCCCTATGAGGGTTGAAAATGAGAAAGTAGGGTGGTTTTGTGGTTTTTCACAAACAATTTAATAACTATATCACTAATAATAAAATGATATAAGACTTTTTGGTAGCTCTTATTAATTTATATATAATTTAGTATTGTACAATGTACTGTAAATCTATTTTTCCCAAGAAAAATTATAAAATACAAAATATTTCACGTATTTAGCAAAACTGATTTTTTTTAATGCTATTTAATTGTATTTGTCAAATGGCTAAAGATATAAAATAATGTTTAATACAAAAATTATATAGAATTTAATTTCTTGAAAAAAGTTCTACACATTTGATATTCATCCTGAATCTTCGAAATAAGTTTGGAGATTGTTGATTAGAATACATCGAAAAACAATAAAAATTTGTATTTAGAAATACCATCTGCTGTATTCAAAATGGTTTTTACTTGATAAATTTCAAGAATCTGAAAGTCTGGTATGCACTATCTAGTGAGATAGATGGCCAAAGGGATTCATTCTTTGAAGATGTTTTTATTAATATCGAAATTTAAAGTGTTTAAAATTTAAAGAAGGAAATCCATTATCCACTAATATATTGACATAAATCCTAATGTAACATTAAATCTAATTAGAACGTTCTAATTAAGTTTTTATTAATAACCTTTTTTTTTTATAAAATTAAATTCTATATCATTTTTCTATTAAACATTGTTTCATATCCTCAGCCATTTGACAGATACAACTAAATAATCTTAAAAAAATTAGTTTTGCTAATTTTTCTTGGAAAAACCAGATTTTACTCTAAATTATATAGATATTAAGAAGAGTTACCAAAAAGTTTTAATGATTTTATGATCAGTGATATAGTTATTGAATTATTTGTGAAAAACCACAAAACTATCCTATTTTCTCATTTTCAACCCATTGGGAACATGGGAAGGGGTGAGTTATCATGACCAAATTTCATTTCATATCACATATCACTTTTACACGGTAAGGAATAAAATAGGGGAGGGGTTGGTCATCAAAGAAAATAATGATCAAAAATAAGGACCATCATTTCCTAAACTACCAAATGCAACCGTTTAAATTTTGGTAACAGTTTTTAAACAGGTTTAAAGTGTTCAGTGTTCATAAGAATAAGATTTAAATTTCAAACCATTTTAACGCTATCATATTTACGTGTATAAGGTTTTTATAGTTTTCTAAATAATTGGAAAATACCTAGAAATACTTAGGAAAACAGAATAGTTTACGACATGGACGGTTTTATTATCTTTTATTTTATTTTTTGTTGTAATAAGGTTAAAAATAATCGTAAAATTTTCACAGAATACTTAAATTAGTCTTTTCTAGACGTGGTAAAATATTTAAAACATTATGGCGATTTTTGAGCTATTTATAGGTATTTGACACTTTAAATTTTTATTTGGATAAAATTGTTAGCCAAATAGGAATGATTGAATATTTAATACGAGGTTTATTTTAAGTTTTAAGTACTAGAAAAAAGAAAAGTTGAGTTTATTGCAGTAGTTTTTTCAAAAGCTTTTTAATTTTGATGAAAAATATAAAAATGACGGAATTTTAAATTATATTCAACCGACCTTCTATCAAAATCGTATTTCGTCACCAATGATTTATTATTGCATTCAGATATCAATATAAATATACTAACTTTATATATCCTATTTATCCAACTTACCGTCTAGAATAGTAGCACAAAGTATTAGATCTTTTTTTTGTTTTGTTATATTTCATCTTCTTCTTGTTTTATTAATATTTAATTAATTATTATTAAAAATTATTTTCATTTATTTCAGGGTAATACATTAAGTATGAAACAGTATTTGAATCAATTAAATACAAAAATAAATGAAATAGTTGTACTTAGAAAAAAAGAAATGCTGGAAAGTAAAAGAAATAAATACAGTTCTGTACTCATTTCGGATATTTATCATAGAGATATTATTGAATCGTTTGTCGTAAATAAGTACGTAACCAATTAAAAATGTATTAAATACCTATTGAAAATGAATTAAAATTTGATTTTATAGGGTTTATCCCATTAAGTTATACCAAATGAATAAAATAGTTTTATAATTAAATATTGTCTCATGACAGGGCGTCACATATTTGGGTGAATTACCTTTTTTCCGCATAGTAAATCAGTGTGTTTGGGCAAGTTCCTTATAATGTGTTTGAGCGAATTTCTAATAACGTATTTGAGCGTGTATGATGAGTACAAAATAAAATATAAAAGATAAAATTGTAAACAACACATCATACTAAAAATGTCATGGAATACCTGTATATTATAATATTTTATAATAGGTTTTTCTATGTCATCAATCAGATAAGATAACAAAAATTGCAATTTCCTTGTGGGTAATAATATTATAATGATCTCAACTTAATAATTATAGTTTTTTAAACATCGGGTTTGCTCGAAAACTAGAAACGTGAACTCGATACAGTTTTTAGTTATTATTACTTATTAGTATTTAGTATTAGTTCATATAGTTATTAACTATTACGAGTTGTGTTCAAAATATAAATCATAAAATTAAAGCCGCATTTACTATAAAACGAAATAAACGATGCATTTCGATTTAAAATGTTTAATCAAACTCGTGGAATTCACAAATAGTCTCACAACCCCAAGTCTGTCGAAATGAAAGGGAAAATGGATTGTTATATAAGTTACCGGAACACATTACAATATTTTAAAACTACTACAAACACAATGCAATTTTTACAAACTCGCCCAACCGCGTTATATAATATTAAATATATATTTATTTATTTTTAGTGTGACTTCAGCAAATTCATTCGAGTGGAATAGTATATTAAAATCGTATTGGATAAAAAGCAAAGATAATTTATTCATTGCACAATGTTCAGGTAATAATAAGAGTTTAAGAACCTGCTTATCACTGATTAACAACCTTTTGTTTTACTATCTTGAATAATTAATATTTATATTTTAAATTACTAATATTATTTAAATTAAATAAATATATATATACACATACATGGCCATCCACATAAGTTACTACACTTGATATTAAAAAAAAAAAGATTTTAATCATTTAAGAAACAAGCAGCTCCAAAATAATACATATTATTTTTTTTCACCCTTATTTTTGCAGGTAAAACGAATACATACTTTTGATATTCAAATGGTATTCATCAATAAAAATGCCATTATACTTCTAGGTTCTACTAAATATTAATCTAATTAAAATATATAAATCTTAAAATATTGAATATTTTATATACATGTATGCATTTGTGTCTACTCCGAAGAATACACTATAGCCCATTTTCTGAAAGATAATTTTCTCTCATTGGTGCATTTTAAAGCTGATTTTTTGAATTTCTAAAAGGTTATCAAAATAATCGGGAAAAACCGAAAGAAAATTATAGGTAAAACGGTAAATATTTACAGCGGACCGCGACGTTACCGTTTTCATTATGTATATAATATACGGGAAAATTTATAAAAATAATTCTTTTATTCCTTTAAATTTTGTTTTTATAATCTGAATGTAGTGAAGAATGTCTTTTTTTATATTTGCATACTGTGTACGAAAATTTAGTTTAATGTAGTATTTTTTTTTTTTATAAGAGCTTTAAAATCAAATTTTGATGACAATCGTAAATATTACGGCCTTTCAAAACAAGTATAACTGAACTTCGCTCCGAATCGTTTTTTGTTATCATTAGTCACAAGTATAAATTAGATAACTTAATGTATCTCATCTTTCCCACTACTCACCTATAACAATGGGCGCACATGTCACACCAGCTCTTTTTAAAAATTATTTTGAATTAGGTTTTTCACTAAGGAAATTTGGTATCCTAAAAAACTTAAATAAGAACGTTATTATGGCTTAATATATTATTATATATATTTTAACTATTATAAAATACAAAATAGTTTAAAATACCTTATTACAGAGTTGTATTTATTAATTATTTTAATTTTTTATCTTCGTATGGCTAAATTGTTTATACAGTTAGTCTTTATTAAAATAAATTATTTGTACATATAAATTAATATTAATTGTTGAACAATTTAAATTATATTTAGATAAATGAGTACTAAACATTTTAGTTTTCAAAAATTTAAGTTATTAATATTTTATTGTTATTTTTACTATTTTTAATGGAAAATATCTATATAATCAATACTTATTTAGGTTTGTTTAACTATGGATATGAATATATGGGATCAAATAAAAGCATTATTATAACTCCATTAACTAATCGAATATTTTTGACATTTACTCAAGCATTATTAATGTGTTTGGGTGGTGCAACTCACGGTGAGGAATTTTAATTTTGAATTATTTACTTTTTAAAATTATAATTGCAATTTATTGTACTGTTTTTACAGGTCCTACTGGAACAGGTAAAACCGAAACGACCTTAGCAATGGCTCTAATATTAGGAAATTGGTGCAAAGTTATTAATTGCAGTGATGGTTTAGACCATCAGACAATTAGTCAGTTTTTGAACGGTATTTGTCAAAGTAAAATTTGGGGGTTGTTTACAAAATTCAATAGAATTTCTTTAAAAACATTGTCGGTTGTGTCAACTTTACTATTTTCTGTGAAATATGCATTATTTGAGAACAAAAATGAAACCAAAGTAAATGCCATTTTTGTTCGAAAACAAATTATATTTACTTAAACCGTAATTTTAATACAATAATGATAATTTTAAATTAGTTTCATGAATGTGACATAAATATTAACCCAAGAGTCGGTATTTTCATTACTATGAATGTTGACGAAATGAATGGGCAACAAAAAGAAATTAATGATATTATAAAAAATCATTTTAGACCGGTGATTTGTCTCATTCCCGATTTTGAACAAATATGCTTTACTATTTTATATTCTGAAGGATTTCTACAAGCCAAGGTTGTATAATATACTATTAAATTTTAAATTATTATTAAATTATATTATTCGTTCATTAGATCTTATCAACAAAAATTTCATTGTTATATAAGCTATGTAAAGAAGGACTTTCAAATCCATTAAATAGTGTATTTGATCTAAGATCATTAAAACTAGTTATCAAGTCTGCAAAAAACCTAATAATTAAACAACCTGACCTTGAAGAACATTTAGTTATAATGAAAACACTAAGGTTTGTAATTTAAATTAAACTATGATCATTTTAAATATTTTAAGTTATTGAAATAATATGATGTAACTTATCTGTATCATATAATTAAATTATTCAAGAACTTATCTGAAATATTTCATATTACTAGTGGTAAAAAGAGAATTAAGGTTGGGTAAAACATCGGAGGGCATTTATTTGTCAAGAGTAGGTCAGTTATATAATTTTCAGTCAACTTCCAAATATTTCTTTTATTAAACTGGGAAATGACAAATGACTATGATAAGGTGAAGGTACAGAAACATATTAAAATACATTTTTTTTGTATGAATTCTGTTTTTTAAATTTTCACAAAACTCAGCTTTTAAATGGTTAAAAAAAAAATGAGAATTAGTTGATATAGTTCAAAAAATTTAACAGAAAGAAATTTTCAGAACTGCCTAAGAGTAAATTCATGTAATGTAGCTAAGTTGAAGCTATTAATTTATTTTTAAATGTTTTATTTGTTCAAAAACGACAACAATAAGTCCATAATACATTTTTGTTTAAAATTGTTTTTAATTAGATATGCCATCAAGTTTTAAACTTAGTTTGTTAAACGTTTTCTTTTAACTAGGCATACTATGAAGTTTCTAAGTATCTAACTAATATTTTAACGACCTTTACCAAGGTGAGTCATCAAGTTTTAAATTATTCGTTTGTCGTTTGTCGTTTAATGTTTTATTAGTTTTTCGATTGTTAATCTTAGATTCTAAGTATAGTGAAAGATGTATTAGTTTTTCAAAGATATTTATTTTTTTTAATTTTGATTTTTTATGCGAATACTTTGTCTATTAAAAAGCATACTCCGATGTATACAATGTAGACATTTTTCTGAAAGGATATTTTTTTGGAATGGTACTTTAGGGAGGTCATTTTTCGATTTTCCCAAGAGTTTCCCATCAAATGTGAAAAAACGGGAAAAAACATGAGAAAACCGGGAAAAACATAGGAAAATCGGTACAACATTAAACAAATATTATCAAAGATAATATATAATGCCTATTTAATCATTTTACCACAATATGACATATATATTGTTGACAAAGCATCACTATCAATTAAGCTGTACTCGGAATCGTTTTTTCGATAGCAATGGTTTGTGGTTGCATAAGGTTAAAATCAAAGAAGTACTTTATAAAAACGACATCACCATTAAGGGAAAACCCAGAAGGAGCGAACAAAAGGAAATACGCTCACACGCTGGGACGTACCCAGAGAAAACTTACCACCGGGATATAACCTACCCTGGAAAATGTGGAAAACTCTCAACCATCTGAGAACATAAGTGGGAGCAACTAAAAAATATCTCAATAAATGGGGAATGGCAAGCAGTACAAATTGTGAATGTGGAGAGAAAAAAACATCAAACCATCTACTCGAGTGTACATGGATACCTAGTAAAAGTGGAATGAAAAATTTCATTGGACAAACAGAAATCACAGACGAAATTATACGAATCATTAAAGACCGAGGAAAGGAAGAATTGTAATTAAAAAAAAAAAAACTCACCGACACGAGAAGAAGAAGATCGTTGCTTACAGTTATACATTAAATTCCCATCTATATCTTACTTTTTCAACTTCCCGCCCGCAACAGTGGCTGTACCCGTCTTCATTATCCTAGGACAGCTTTTTTTTTAAAATATATATACATTTATTAAAACTATTATCACTTATCACTTATGACATATTTACCCTTGATTTTTAAAATTGTTAAATGTTCCTTTATTCTAATAAACCATTTAAATATTATTATTGTGTAAACATTTTTAAATAGGTGCATTTTTAGTTGTACACGGCGCTATGATTAGGCAAAATTGGTACATAACTGTAAAAGGAGACTTTAATTAAATAAGTGATTGTCTTTATTTAACAGCCGTTTCCATTAATTTTGTGAAGCAATATAATTTCTGAAAACACTTGAATTTGTCATAAAGTTTAATTAAGAACGGTTTTCACATAGTTTAGATTCTGAGTGAAGCGAGGCATCTATTTGTTGTACATTTTGTATTTTTTTTGTCTGTAAACAACTTTTCTCCTAGAAATCTCGTTCCAATCGAAATATGAAAAAGAGACCTTCTTTGTTGCATTTTAACTCTTCACTATTACTTTACTAATACTTTGGAAAGTTGATTTTTTAAAATACTTATTAATATTTAAGATAATGAGGAAAACTGGTTTTTTAAGTAAAAAAGATAAAAAATAAAATTGGCAACCGCTTTTATTTATTTAGTGTTATTATAAAATTTTATTTTTTGAAACAATTATTATTTATTGAAAACACACACTATTTATTTATTTTTTTTTATTCCTTTTATTTTAAATTTTTCTTTCGCTCAGAATCATTTTTCACTAGCAATAATTTATCATTATTTACAGGTATAAATTAAATAGCGTTATGTATTCCACCATCCAAACTATCAACCTACAACAGTAACCACACCCATTCCTAGCCCTTTTTTTTTTTAAGTATATAACAAATAAAGGGAAATTAAAAATATTATTATCATATTTGAATTGTTGAAGAAATAAAAATCAAAAAAGGACGGACATCTTCGCACATGGGTGCAGCCACTGTTGAAGGTAAAAAGTTAGGAAAGTAGACAATAGATAGGAATTTAATGTATATCTGTAAGCAATTGCAAACCATTGCTAGCGAAAAAACGATTCTGAGCCGAGTTCAGTTGATAATGTTGCTTTGTCAACAATAACAATATATATTATTATGTTATATTATGGTAACATGATTACAGCAATGTGCGTTTATATAATAAAAATAATTAATTAAGAAATATTAAGATAGTAAAAACTTAATAATAACAAAAAATAAATAAAACCGGTTTTTAATGGCAACCTTATTTTTAATCTTTCAATATTTTTTAACCTAAAGACCGAGGTTTTCCTCGTTGTCTCAAATATTAATTAGAATTTCAAAAAGGCCCTCTTTAAAGTACCACCCAGAGAAATTTCCCTTTCAGAAAAGGTGCTATATTTGATAATCAGAGTATGCTTTCTGGTAGAAAAAGTGTTAAAAAAAAAAAAAAAAAAAATAAACATCATTGTAAAACCAATACATTCCTCATTCCACTTAGAATCTAAAATGTGGGAAAATTGATCTTAGAAATGACAAGACCATTCTAATTTAGGAAATAGTGATAAAAATCCGGTAGCTGGATCGGGAATCGAATCCAAGTACCTCGTTTGTCAGGCGATTGCTCTACTACTGAGCTACCTGATACCTTATGTCTACAGTAATTTCTGCTAATGAATACTGGTACGAATAAATATTCCGGGTTTGGGCTATTAGTGGAGTGGCCTTGCTAGTGGACTTAAAGAAATACTGTCTACAGAGTTCTTACCAATTCACTAGATCAATCGGTCGGTACGTTGGATTAAAACATATCCAGATTTGAATGTTATACGTGTATAAGACAAATACAGAACACAACCACTATCAATTCTCTTAAATTAATGGATACCTAAGTGTTAACTATAATTATATGTGAACAAAATAGATCCCGTGTGAAAATGGTTTCTTTGAAACTAGAAATCATACAAACTATTTTTATCTAAAAAAAAGATTGTTTGTTTTCAAAACTAAGTATAAAAGGATAAAATAATGTATTTATTATTTATTACACAATTTTTGATAATTTCTTCATTTTTTTTTTCAGAGATTTTAATTTGCCTAAATTAATTGATGAAGATATTCCTTTGTTTTTATCGTTTATATCGGATTTATTTCCAAATGTTAAATATTTTAAATCAACGAATAATGATATCAATGCGACTATAGAAATTGTTTTAAAGCGTGAAAAACTCATAAAAATTGATAGCCAAGTAGAGAAAATTAATCAAATAATGGATGCTTTGACCACCAGGAATTCAATCTCAATAGTAGGGCCAACAAGTGGTGGAAAATCTGTTATAATAAATATTTTATGTGAAACGTTAAACCATTTAAAAATGTCAACGAAAATCATAACACTCAACCCAAAAGCCTTTACAAAATTAGAATTATATGGTTATGTAGATCCAATTACAAAAATCTGGAATGATGGATTATTGACAAATATTTTCCGAAACATAAATCAACCAATTGTTCCTAATAATCGGTCACGCCATTTTATTTTGTTTGACGGTGACATAGATTCGATTTGGATAAATGATTTAAATCCTGTTATGGATGATAATAAAATGTTAACATTATCAAATGGAGAAAAAATAAGGTTAGTACATTTAAATTAATTTAAAACAAATGAATAATCACTAATACTGTTAAAAGGTACAATTTAATACTAGGTTAAATTAATAATACAAATGATTTAAAAATGAATATTCATACATTATTAAATTTTGGAAAAATTTCTGAAAATTAATAAATATTATCGTCAGTCAAAAAACCAACTAAATATTTGGGTTAAGATTTAAATTTAATAGTTCATTTTTAATATTTTAAAATAAAATCACCTGATAATAGGTAGTAGATATACTGATAATGTTTGCAGATGATACAGTTTTAATAGGAAAAAGTCTGGAAGAAGTTAATTTTTATTAAGCCAATCGGCCTGAAGAATAGTAATTAAAAGAAAAGGAACTAAGGATAAGTAAAAGTAAAACAAAGTATAATAGAGTATAAGTTTGGAGAAACAAGACAAGATTAGCTAGTGACAATAAGGGGTACGTAATATGTGAGATTGAAAGTTTTAAATATCAAAGATCTTTTATATAAAAGAACGATGGCTTTGAATTGATGTGAAAGTGAAATATAGGATTTAATCTGGGTAGATAAAGTTAATAGAAGCGTCAAGTATTTAATGTAATAAAATAACTCCAATGAGACTTAAAGGTAAGTTTTACAAGAGAGTGGATGTGGTCTCACCATTGAGACCGGCTATATTGTATGTTTATAATTAGAATGCTGAGTGGATGAGTGGAGTGTCCAGAGAAAATAGAATAAGGATTAAGTACATAATAGGTAGCTTATATTCGGGGCACGAAAAAAAAACGCTATGCATCATATGTCTAGCAGCAGTTTTTCTAAAAGGGTTATCAAATAATCCCGTCAGCGCTCATTTTTCGTGTCCTTAAATACAACACATAACAATAGCGTGACAATACAATGTTGAGAACCTATGGCCATAACGCTGGGTATGTATAACTGGTCACTACTCGTCGTGCCCGCGACTATAGGTGGCTTCGATAGTAGACAAAATAAGAGAAAATAAACTGAGATTGTTTAGGCATGTTATAAGGAGAGATGAATCAGAAACATTGGGAATTGTTATGAAAATAGAAATAGTAGAAAAGAGGGGGAAAGAAGATCGAAAAATAAGTGGTTGGATCGAGAATAATATAAGCACATGCGAGGTGGAAGATCAGATCAAGTGGAACTTTAGGACCAGAGTAGTCGGCCCCAAACAGTTGAGATGAAGGTGACGGAAAAGAAGAAGATGAAATGTAATAGATTATTTGATAAGAATACAAATATTTATTATTTTCATTTTATAATATTTTTTGATAATTGTATATAGGATTAAACCACTGTGTAATTTGTTGTTTGAAGTTGGTAATCTTGCACATTCAGCACCATCTACAATATCTAGAATGGGCATAATTTATGTTGATCCATACAACCTTGGATATATGCCATTTTGGTTACGTTGGTTAGAATCACGAAGTTTGATAGAGCAAACGGCACTCGACCAATGTTTTCAAAAATATGTACCGGAGTTGCTGAACTTAATTTTTGAAAATGCCAATTCTTTTGAGAAATCATGTCCATTGAGGACTGCGGTTCCACAAACCAAATTAAATATGGTAAATTATATTTGTCAGATTATTAATCCATTTTTATTTTAATAATCAATAATTAAAATTTGACTATTTATTCTCTTTTAGATAACTCAACTTTGCTTTCTTCTGGACACCTTTTTACCTTTGGTCTCATCGGATAATGATTCGATTAACACAATTAAACGCAAAAGAAGTACTATGACCAACAATGCAGCCATTCCTTTGAATTCGATGATTTCTTTTATGGCTGGAATGGGAGTAATAGAAGCTGTATTCATACAAGCTTTATATTTTTCTTTAGGAGTATTATTAACTGATGAAACAGCTCGTTATACTTTCGACGAAACAGTAAAAAAGTTATCTGGTTTTACGGTTTCTCAAAATGCCTATGACCAGCAGCATAAACCTAGTCTAAAATATATACCATGTGATGAACCTACTTGGTATGATTACTTTTTAGACTTTAATAAGCTGGAATGGATTGCGTGGAAAAAGGTTGTTCCAGAATATATTCATAATGATATGATTAAATTTGATGACATACTTATTCCTACATTAGAATCGACTAGATTGACATGGATACTAACATTGATAAATGAAGTACCTATTTTGTATTTTTTTTTTTTTTTTAAATTACCAACACAGATAAATCAATACAAATTTTTATTTCAGTATTACTTTAGAAGTGCAATATTTAAAAAGGTAAACATACATTATGCAGGTAATAGTTTATAATTAATAATTATTATATAAATTATTTAATTAAATATTAAAACTATAATGGTAAATTGTTCAAAACTGGTTATTGAATAGGTAAAAATTAATATGAAATTTAAATATAATATTTTCTCTTAGAATTCCCATTTATTTTTATTTTTATTTATTCAAAAATAATATTTCATACGAGTATTGTATTTCTAAATTAACTTTTCTAGTAATTATCATTTTTGTTTTTTTTTTTTTTTTTGGTAATCAACAGGACTCTCACACAATTATAGAAAGTAATAAAATTATTTGATTATTTTTGTTTGATAGTTAAGTATTACCTATACTTATTAGATTATAGTTCTTAATTATACGTTTTAACTAATTAAATTATTGTTCATTTATTCATTCATTAACATGCCACTGTTTCTTTCAAACACTTAAACCTATGTAACATTATTTTAATAATGTCTTTAAAACATGTATTATTTATATTACCATTGAAAATGAAAAGTACTAGATAGTTATTTGGTTTTTAGTTATAATATAATGTATTCATTTTATAGGTAAAGCGTCCAACAATTATCGTTGGTAAAATGAGTTCTGGGAAAACAGCTATAATGAAATATTTCATGCGTAACTTGGAGGCAAAATATTATGTAAGCATTATTAATTTATAGATCTATTAATACATTTTATGAATACCTGTATATTTATTTATGAAAGTAAGCGTCTGTCTGTTTGTTAATTTGTTTGTCTGTGCGAAATGTATATCCGATGTCAATGAACAAGTCTGTGTGCACACAGTGCACCTCAGAGCCGGATTTTTGAAATTTAATCTCTTAATTAAAAATAAGCCCACACAAGATTTTAATTTTTTTTTGTATAAAAATTAATTATTTTTTTATGGGTTACTTTGGTGACACGAATGAAAAATGTTATTATTAATTAATTTGGTTGTTCCGGGCAAGAAAGTTCTATTTAAAAAAAATAGATTACCAGACGATAGAGTTATAAGTAACAAATGATAAGAACGGGGGTGGTAACGAGGAAACACAGGAAAAAGTCGTTTTATATTTTTCATCAATACTATTCTATCCTATTCCATCCTGGTGCATACCCGGGGAAACAATGAGGAGAACGCGTTTTTATTTTATTTTTGTTCAATACTGCCTATGCACAATTAAAGGTATAATTAATAAAATTGAATATTTATAATAAATCATATACACAATTAAAAAGATATATAAAAAAAAACCTACCTCTATGTAAGAAAACGAAATTATATAATAAGTATAAACAAAACATATTCGACAATAATAAATAATTTTTCCTTGAGTTTTAATTTACTAACATTCAATTTTTTTTTTTTGCATGTGTGTGGTTTTTATAAAATAATAAAAATTATCCAGATACGTACGAATTAATACCACTGACTAATTAAATTTGAATTTTGTTTAATAATAAATTCAATTTCACGGTTTGTAGATTAAAATGGCATTTAACTTCTCGGCAAGAACTTCGTCATTAGACGTTCAAAAAAATTTAGAAATAAATCTGGAAAAACATTCTAGAAAAACCTATGGCCCTCCAATTGGAAAACGATTAGTTTACTTTATTGATGATTTAAATTTACCTCAAGTAAGCATGGGTATTTTTTTTTTTTTATTATATTATGTAGTTAGGTGTTCAAAAAAAGAAATTTTATTTTAAATACTTTATAATAATATGTAATGTATTTCTTTATATGTTTTATAATCATAGCGAATGATAGTCGATACCTAAAGCATTGCGGTTTTTTTTTTTTAATTCATAATTTTTTACATGTAGATTTTGTTAATATTATCTATTATAATAGTCCTGTAATAACCAGTGCGCAGTGGGAGGAGATGTTTAGGATTATATTTCCCTCCCATTTGCTTAAAAATGCAACAACTATGGTATGTGAGTTTATAATTATTTAGCAGATATATAGTTATTATAATTATTTTGAAATTATATAATTACTCGTATTTCAGCCAAGTTAAAAGGAAAAAAGCTTGAATATGAAATCAAAATTTAGGATCTGGCTTTTGCATTCTTTTTGTCGATTTAAGTTTAACATTAGACAATTTTACAATTTTTTTATGAATACTGATTAATATTTATTATTTTCTCTTTTATTGAAAATTCTTGGGTGGTGGGCACACCACAGGTGATGACTAAGCAATTTAATAAGAATAATAATTTGATCTGTTCTACTATCGCTAGCGAGTCTATTTATTGGCCAACTCAGCTGATCACTATTGAATGGACCACTATTTTAGATTCGGAGCGTAGCGATACTGTTAATTTCTTCTTTTTTTTTCTTTGTTCTAGTCTGTGAACACGTTTTTTCTTAGTCAACTTGCTCCGATGTATAAATGAAGCACTTTTTATGAAAGCTCAAGTTGTCTAAATAGTACTTCAATGATGCAATTTTTTAATTTTCAATTCCATTTTTCAAATAAAAGCACTTAAATGTGAAAAAAAAAAGAAAACGTACAATTTCACGATTTCATTATTATATAAAACACAGATGACGTTTTCTACCAAAAAAAATGATTTGATCGAAAAATCACAAACATCTTTTTTGTTTTGTTTTTATTTACTTTCTTACGGTATCATTGCCAAAACTTATGAGCCACTTTTGAGCTTTAAAGGAATTTTAATTTTTGGGAGTTTTTTTGCTGTGATTCGGTTATAAATACACGTAGAGACTTGACATTTGGTAATAATACTCATATTAGATTTACCTAGACGTGGTAAAGTTTTAAAAATCATCGGACGATTTTTTGTTTTTTAATAAGTGTTTTGAAATAACGGAAATCGCAAAAAAAAATTGCGGCACTTCAAATTATGTGTTACCGAACTGCGCTCGGAATCGTCTTTCATCAAGCAATTGTTTATCGTTGCTTACAGATATAAATTAAATAACCTTATGTATCCTAACTTCCCAACTTCTCACCTAAAACAGTGGCCGCTCCCATCTTCAGTATCAGCTCTTTTTTTTTTGATTAAACTTAATATTTAGTATCCTTGCTTGTCTTAACACTTCTTCTACTGCTTTGTCATATTCTATCTTTCCTTCGGTCACTTATAAGTGTGACATCAAAGTATACAAATGTGACCATTGACTAAAATATTTTGATGTTAATTGTTGGAATATTTCTGGAGCATTAGCTAATACAAATGGTAACGTTTTAAACCGGTACGACCCAAAATATGAGCTAAATGCGCAGTACTTCCTCTAGCAACTGTCTCATTCGCACTGATAAAACCCGTCTTTAAGATCAAAAAGTGTACTTTTTCCACCTAATGCTTATCCCGTACATTGTCAAGTGTAGGGATTAGGAACCATCTCTCTTATTATACATTTGTTTAAATCTTTTGGATCTAGACACATGCGTAATGAATAGTCTGGCTTATGAAGCTTTTTTAATTTCCTCATTTATTTCAGTATAAAATTTGTTCAAATTTTTCAAACGAAAATAATTTAGTAACTTGCTTTAGTGACTTGGCCAATTACTAGCCTGTAAGACCGGCATACAAGATATTTCATTGTGGTCCAAAGATGATAAGTCAACCAATCGGTGCGCATTATGTAGTTGACAAACACTATCTTAGTATAATATAAACTTTCTACCAATCGCTAAACAAAAATAAAGTATGACGTAGTAAGAATTCGAAAAAAATAAAAATCTATTATTAATGAATGTTTGAATTTGAAAAATCAAGGTGTTTAGCATAAACTATATTTCTGATTGCTAATGGGTCTATCATCTATTAGTCATCAGTTATCGACACAAAGCTGCTATAGAAGTATAAACTATGAATAACATTTTGTGGCCCCTTTAAAAACGTATTGCAGCGAAATATTTTTATTTTTAATACCTATATTTATCTGTATTTTTAATTTTAAAGCTGGACGAATGCGGTTCACAGCAACCTATTGCTCTATTAAAAGGTATATTTGATAAACAAGGCATGTATGATAGATGCAACAATTTTGACTGGAAAGATCTCGTAAATATATGTATGTAAAACGTAATTTGTAAAGATCATTGAGGAAGTATTTAAACGTATAACATTTTGATTTCAGGCTTTTTTGCTGCTATGAACCACGTAGGAGGTGGGCGAAATGAATTAGATACACGTTTTTTGTCATTATGTTCGGTTTTTTCATTGCCTTTTCCGTCGGAAAATACAATTCGATATATTTTCAATTCAATTTTATCTGGTCATACAATATCATTTACAGACAACATTAAATGTGCAGTTAATAATATTGTAGATATGACATTGAACTTATACAAAGTAAGTATACTTAACTACATTTATAAAATTTAAATATTATATTTTACTTATTTCATAAAATAACTGAAATTAATTTGATAAGTACCTGATAATTTAAATAGGTTTTTATACTATAATTTTATTTTAAAGAATAGATTACATTCTTAATATTGAAAATGATTTCCTTATATTATTTCAAAAATACCTACTTTTAAGTTTCAAATTATAGCTTTTTTTTTACGTAAACAATTTTTCTAAAAGAAATCTTAATAATTAGAAAAACCTGAGAAATTTACATTACAATAACGGTTTTCATTATTTTTAATTTTTTTTTTTTTGTTATGATTCAGTGGAATTTTCATATCATATACTTTCTAGACATGGCAAAATACTTAAATGTTTAAAATATGCCAATGCAGTATTCTAAATTACGTATAACTTATGAAACTTTTTGAGTTTTATTAATATTCGTTGGTCTTATATGGATAAAAATTATTTGATTTTTTAATAACATTTGAAAATTTGATATCATCATAATATTCATCATAATAAGTTGTTCTTATGATAATATACAAATAAACGTTTATAGTTCAAATGTTGAGGAAAATCACAGAAATCATGGAAATTTTGATTATTATTTTCCAATTTGAATGAATAAACCGTTTTTTGGTTTTAAAAAAATGATAAATAATTTAGGAAAAAATACAACTACAATTTTAATTTATTTTGTATTTTTGAATTAATACAATATTCAAAGTTTATCAAAATATGTTTAACCGAATTTCGCTCAGAATCGTTTTTAGCTTTGCATTACTGTTGCGTACAGATATAAATTAAAACTATCCTATAACTATCTTATTTTCCCAACTTTCTACCTACAACAGTGGTACACCCATAGTGTGAATTTTTTTTTTTAAATAATACTTTTCTGAGTATCTATGCGTATAATAATATTAACAAATAAAATATACCTGCCTGCAACTGAATAATTATATAATTAATAATTTTAGGTATTATTATATAAATATACAATTAGGAATTTTGGATATTATTATATAAATATATAATTAATAATCTTGAAAATTATTATTCACATATTTGCTGATCTCGTGTATTTTTCACGTAAAAACGACTATGTATTAACATGATTTGTTTGTGTATTGTAGTTAGTACTTATGAAATTACATCAAACACCAGACAAATTCATTTATGTTTTCAATTTATGTCATATAAGTTGTATCATTAATGGAATGACCCAAATATCACTCAACAAATTTACAACTACGGAATCATTTGTAAGAGTTTGGAGGAACGAATTCACAAGAGTTATATGCGATCGATTAATTTATCAACAAGTACTACTTACTTATATGTTTTAAATAGTCTGCTTCGACTTCTTTAAAATACAATTAACAATTTGAATAATCAAGTGTTTTTTTTATCAAAGACATTTTCGGTTGTTATATTTGATACTTAGTATAAAAGTCAACAATATAAAAAAAATGACTAAGGTCGAATTTCCTCCCTTCCTCCACCCCAAAACATTAAATAACCGAATACTATAACTATAGTTATACAGGTAATACAAAACTTACTATAAGGATACTATAATACCTAATTGTACTTTTTCCAAAAATAAAACAAGTTTAAAATTGATCATAAAAATGGTTGTTGATAGGATTGAAAGATGAAATCCCTAAAAGACATATTCTTAATATTTATACCATACATATTCAAAATGTCATCCTCCTGATTTCATATGGATAGTCTATAGAGGAGCGTAGAAAACTTAAAAAGAAAAACCTACTCCAACTACAACATGGTGACATATATATTGAAACTAAACCAAAATTGTATTACTTCAATCCACTTATAAAATAATCTTAATTCTCGAGTTTGAACTTATATGTTACAGAGAGAACTGTTCATAAAGTAGAGGGAAAAAGATATATATAATATAGAGGTGTCCTACGAAAATATACTCATTTCAATATCTTCTGAGATGATAAACATTATTTATATTAAAGTTAAATTTTTATGTTTTGGTAAAAATTAAAATTCTAACCTTTAATTTTATTATTTTTGAAAAATTTAATAATAACTTTTTTATAAATTTTATTCTTCTGAAAATATTGAAGTTTTAAATTTTTTTTTACATTAAATTTTTGATTTTTAATGATTTATTAAAAGTCAATGAAAAATACCTATAACTATGCAGCAGGCTGTAATCACATTCACTATTACCTATTATTATGTACATTTGACTGAACATTTTTTTTTCTCTGAACTCTAAATAAATATTAAAAATCACTAATTCAATGAAAATAAAAAGTTCATAAGTCATAATGTTTAGAAGAATAAACTCTAGTCTATAAAATGGCTATTTTTAAATTTACAAAAACATAAAGAATTAATTGAAATGTAGGTAAGTAATTATAGTCCTTGTCCCTGTGAGTGACATGAAAAAAACGGTATTTGATTATTTTTATTATCTCCGGAAACATTACAATGGGTATATCTTCATGGGACACTGTATATATCAGACACTATACAGTCATTAACCGCTATTTTTGTGGAATTCTATAAAAATATAAAAGAAAATTGATCATTTTTTTTTAGGATCGGGAATTAATTGAACGTCATCTTATTCAAGAAGTACAATCATATTTTCCATTACAAGTAGACTATGTTCTTAGAGATCCTCTTTTATTTGGTGATTGTAGAAATGCTATTAAAGCAAATGATCAAATACGAATTTATGAGGACCTAATAGATTATGATTCTGTATTTTATTTATTTCAAGAAGTAAGAACTAAGTATATTTTGATATAATTCAATAATAAAATATTGTTAAAATGTTTTTTTAGATATTATTGGAATATAAAAAATATCACGGCGTGTTGGACATGGTACTTTTCAACGAGGCATTAGATCATTTAGTAAGAATTCATCGAATGCTTAGAATGAGTAGAGGACATGTTTTGTTAATTGGTATGAATGGAAATGGCAAGAAATCTCTTTCCAAGTTAGCTGCATTTACATCTGGTATATAAGATGCATTAATTATGATCAAATATGATTTTTAACTTCTTCATTTAAATAAAATATATAAATTATTTCTAACAAATGTATTATATTGGAATTTCTTAGAATCCTGTGAATAGTGCCTTTATGGTTATAAATCTAATTCTCAATTTTTTTTCGATAAATATAATCAAATTATTTATATTATTGAATGTTTATCATTCATTTTTACTAATTTGTGTTGTTTTCTTTATTTTTATTTCACAATAAACTAAAAATTATGATATATTATGTATTTAAATTTGTTTAGGTTTTGAAGTACGTATAAATAGTTCATTTTATACCAATCATAATGTTGGAATGAATAAACAAAACTTTGAAGATAATTTAAAAAATGTACTATCCAAAGTTGGAGTTGAAAATCAACCTGTTGTTTTCATAATTGACAAAGTTGATATAATTGAAGAAGGTGAATATTCATTGTTAAAATGAACTTCCTCTCCTTAGCTTCAACTATTTGTATTAGTCTATTCTTTAAGTTCCCCATGACTCGACCAACTGCATTCTTTTTTTGCACTCCTAATTTTATAACACTCATTACCACATCTCACGACCTATTTTTGATCTTTCTTATCTTCTACATTAATTTTCTTTGCTCTTTTTTACGACTGTCTTTCCTCTCCTTATAACATACAAAATTCATCAATCTATTTGTTTTTATATTATCAATTATTGCTGCCACTTCCATGCTTACTCTTATATATTTATTATCTTTTTTTTATTTTCTAATAGTTCTCTAATTCACACATCCATATTAGCATTTTCACCTCCTATCAATGCTCTCACACAGTCACACCAATACTTTCATCTCTAAATAATATGCTGCACCATGATCTCTATCCATGTAGCTATAAATGTTAACTTCAATACTTATAAAGCGCACATTTTTTGTAATTTATATTAGACATCTAGCTAAATAAAATATTACAAATTCATTTTTGGGACTGTTTAATTACATTATTTACATTGTTATTTGTTTAACTATTATTCAATAATTCTTTTTTATTATGTTATTTATCAAGAAATTTTAGAATTTATCAATAATATTTTAACAAACGGTTTTGTACCATCATTATATACAGATCAAAAGGAAAATTTAGAAATAATTCAACGTTTTCGGGATACACTGACAGATGCATCTAATGAAATAGCAGCGTAAGTATTTGATGTACACCTAGTTGTTCATTTGTTAGTATCATTATATTTATTATCATTTATAAACTGTGTATTTTATTTAGAGACTTTTGTTGGGACATGTTTTTGAAAAACTGTCTAAATAACCTTCGTGTTGTATTATTAATGTCACCTGGAAATAATCTTCGATTGATTTTTCGAAATTATCCAGGCTTTGTAAATAAAACTTACATTGACTGGATTCATAAATGGCCTCTGGAGGCTCTACATACAGTAGCTGAAAAAGTTTTAATTAACGTATGATATATCCTTTTAATTTAATAATAAATAATATTATTGTAATATATAAAAAACAGTTTTTACGGTATACTGTCACAGAAATTTGTTGAAAGTTATAAAGATTCTACCTTAACTTTTTAAACTGTATTTAGTATTCATAAATACTATAAAATAATAATAATAAAAAATAATACCTGTAAAAAAAAAGGTAGTTGTGAACTTATATGCATTACATCAACTAAAATTATTTTAAATGAACAATTATTAATGAATAATCTCATTTACATACATTAAGTGTTTTAAAAAGACAATCAAAAATATTTTGAAATATTATTTTTTACCGTAATTTTATCAATATATTTTATTAAAGACATTATGTGTTAAGAATATTTTGACAAGACACGTTTTTATTTTATAAATTTATAATTTATTTGAAAAGTTTTTTTATCATCAAAATTTAAAAAAATATAAGAACAGAACACTATGAAACGTTTTGCTTGTATAAAATGTGAACCCTATAATGTTCTCCACATTGCTTGTGTTTAATAGAAAAAGAAATCTATGGTAGCTATATAAATATATATAACTAAAAATACAATTATTTTTAGGATCAAGTTATTTCAGATAACTACATAAATAATGTAATCAAACAATGTGTTTATATGCATAAATCTGCAGAAAACTATGCAAGCACATTCTTTATAAATACATCACCGAAAATTTGTTTCACATTTAAACATTTAGTAGATTGTATACTAATGTATAAGAAATTAGTTACGAACAAACTGAATTTGTCACTAATAAAGGTATATTATATTATTTATTTATTTTTTAGTTATATATTTGTTTGAATAATAATTTATAGTAACAATAATAATATAATAATATCATAATAATATTAATAATAATAATAATATAATTATGCATATGCTAAGGTAGTCAATGGGAGAGTATGAAGGGGATATATTCCTCCTTAAAATATTTACCTTCAATATTTATAATTATATATATAATTTGTTATATTACTTATATTTATAAAAATAAAAAAAACACCCGTGCATATTTATAATAATGCAATGATAAATATAATTAAAGTTATTGTAATAAAAATGGTTTATCTTCTATTCTGATTCAGTTTCATAGTCATTTGCATCATCCATGTCTTTTTAATCACATTAAAAGTCATTTGTTTTGAACGAGTAGAGTTTTAACTTTATTGAAAAATGTTGAAATCTTTTTTTCAATGGTTCAATTCTGTATATTTGAAATATACTCTTTTTAGAGTTGGATTTAAATTTAAATTTGACTACCTTAACAATAAGTAAATTACTAATCAATAATTTATGTTAAATTAAAATATATTTTTCAACATATTTTTATAGTCTCAACAAATTCAGGAAGGATTAGAAAAAATTAATGAAAGTACTTTAGAACTTAGTAGGATAAGTAACACACTTCTTCAACAAGAAAGATCTATAGCACATAACAACGAAACATGCCAGAATCTTGTACAAGAAATTAAAGGTATTCAAATTCTTATAGAAGAAATAATAGGTATTATGAATGTTAGTTCCGAAAAATTAAATTCCAAGAATGAGCAAATTAAAAATACAAGAAACAAAATGACAAAGTTGATCGATACAACTTTACCAGTTTTAAATACTACTAAAACATTATTAAATGAAATGAATTTAGAAGATTTGACCGAATTAAAGTAAGAAAAAATGAGTGCTAATGTTTTATTTTTATTTATCTAAGATAAAATTATGTTATGTTTTAGCTAATTATAAATGTGATACATATAAATCTTTTTTTAGATCACTGGAAACACCACCTGAATCTGCTATAACTTTACTTGAATGTGTGGCTATTTTTAAAGGCCTGAAAGATATGAATTCATGGAAACAATTATCTGATATGACTGAAGATCCACATTTTTTAATTAGTCTACAAGAGCTAGATATAAATAAAATTAATCAAAAACAACAAACACAAGTACGAACAAAGTTAAAATTTTTAAAAAAAACAATCGATATTCAAGCGATAAGTAAAGTGGAATGTACTATACTAAACTTTATTGAATCTGTCCTAAAATACTGTTCTATTTACCACGACATTTTGCCATTAAAACATAAGGTCGATAAATATGAAAAAGATTATCTTGAAGCTACATTAAAACTAAAAGAACATGAGGATAGTTTAAAAAATACACAATGCACTTTATTCAATTTAGAAAAATCATTAGATGATGTATCTAAGGAAAATATTAAAATAAAAAAAGAAAATAGTTTGATGAAAGTTAAATTTGAATACGCTGATAATCTAATACAAGAATTAAGTTCTATACATGAAAGGTAAAAAAATAACTATAATTTATTAAAATAAAATATATTTTTCTGATTTTAAAGTCACTTGGCTCTTAAAAATACATTTTTAGGTGGATTTCTGATTTAGAAAATGAAAAAATATTAAAAGATGAAATAATTGGCAATTGTTTACTTGATGCTTCATTTTTAATCTATGCCGGTCCATTCTCTTTAGAGTATCGTAAACAAATAATTTATAATGACTGGTTTAATAATATTATACATTTAAAACTACCAATAGAACTAAATTTTAAATTAGAAAATGGATTAATTTCTGAAAAATTATTAAATAAGTAAGAATATCAATTAATCTTAAATCATAATCGTAAATTAATTAGAAACTATACATCAGAGAAACAAACCTTGTTTCAAGAAAAAACATCAATAATTTTTTTTTAAATTCAAATTAAAAATTTTAGAATATTAATCAAATCTTTTTTAGTTGGAATTTGAATGGTTTACCTTGTGATGAATACTCTATTCAAAATGGTATATTAATTACTCAATCAAATCGATTTCCTCTCTGTATTGATCCACATAATCAAGGATTTAATTGGATAAAATATCACGAAAATAATAATTCATTAAAAATACTTTCATTTGCTGATTTTGATTATAGAATACATTTAAAAAGTGCTATTCAATACGGACAATCTGTATTATTTATTGATTTTGAAAATATGGATGTAGATTTAAAAGATCTACTAAATCAAAGTATACAATGTAAGTAAATAGAGTAAAATATTTAAATTTAATCTTATAAAATATTTTTTGTTATAGGTAATTATTAAATCTTTTATACATTTTTGCATAAATAATACATACCTATGTATATTTATTTTTAGTGAGCTCAATTAATTCTGAATATATTAAGGCAGAAGATCAAACGTGTACTTACCATGAGAACTTCAGATTATATTTGATTACTAAAGAAACGAATCCAATAATTTCTACTTACATCTGTTCCAATATGACTATAATAAATTGTTCAATCACACAACAAGCAAGTATTCTGTATAATAATGTAAAATACTATGTACCATTTATTTGTATAAATGTACATACTAGCTCAATTATTAGTGTCTTTATATCCAAATATTCTATTAGATATTTGAAATGGGAATTGTGCAACAGGCCAAACGAAAAATACATTTTAATGATATAATTAAGGTTATGAGAATTTGAGGAATGATCATGCAAATGTATGATAATTCCGTGCTAAAATATAATGGTTGAAACATTTATTTTAAAAATTAAAATATTTCTATTATTGGGTGGGGTTCTACATAAATTGTCTTTTGTCTTTTGATTGTTGTATTTGTTATACATTTAACTAATCAATTTTGGTACCTACCTATAATTGTACTATGTATATTGTATAGTATGGTACAATTCTGAATTTACAGAATTTAATGATTAATTATCTTATGCTTTAGGGGTTGGAAGATCAATTACTCAATTTATTGGTCGAACACGAACTCAAAGAACTCGAAGATAAAAAATTATCAATACTAGAAAAAATATATCAAAATAAGGAAACACTTAGAGAATTAAAATGTTCATTATTAATAGAAATCATTAGTTGTACTACGCCATTGATTGATAACACACAACTTTTGAGCAAAATTGAAGATATAAAATCAAAGATCAATTCAAATACTGTAGAATTACAATTGTCTTTCGATTCAATGTCAATGATACACAATTCTAGAAATGTTTATGGTTCCATATCAAAAAGAGGAGCTTTATTTTATATGATTCTCTACGGATTCAAAACAATCGATCCATTATATCAATTTTCAATTGACTTATTTGTACAATTGTTTTTAAATTCAATAAATTCATCCCAAAAAGATAAAATTGTATTGAATAGAATATCAAATATTATCAAAACACTTACAAATGATGTTTTCGAATTTAGTTGTATCAGTATATATGAAAAACACAATTTATTATTTTTATTCCAAATAGCTTATACATTAGATAAAGATACTGGAAAACTATTGGATTCAGAATTATTATTTTTCATAAAAGGTAACACGGGTTTCAAGAAAAATAACATAGAAAATCCGACAACGTGGTTACCAAACAAATGTTGGCAAGATATTATTTATTTAACCACTAACTTTGAAAGTTTTTCAAGTTTGATTGACCTTATTTGTAATAATGTCGAGGATTGGAAAAAGGTACACTTAATTTTATATATATATAAATATATATAATTAAATGAACACTGGAAGAGTAAAAATATTGATAATTTGGTTAAGTTTTGTATTTTATAAAAACCTAATTGTAATTAATAACTATGGGTTTTTAAAGGCGCTTACTGTTAGTTCACCATTTATAAACTATATAGGTTTACAATTTACTATATACAGTTTATTCGCAATATAACAAATTTAAAAAGATCAAGAAAAAAGTTCGTTACATCGAGATTTAAAAAAAAATTCAGAATTTAAATCAACACACTACAAATATGTATTTATTAGATACCAGCCAATGTGTATCTTAAACATAGGAGAAAAAAAAGACGGGCATACTTCGCACGTGGGTGCAGCCACTGTTGTAGGTGGGAAAGTAGGATACAGAAGGGAATTTAATGTATATTTGTAACCAACGATAAACCATTGCTATCGAAAAATCGATTCTGAGTGAAGTTCTGTTTATAGTGATGCTATGTCAACAATATACGTCATAATATCATAAAATAATTAAATATATATTAAATTTTTTCTTTAATAAAATTTGATTAATATTGATCCGATTTCCCCGTTTTTCCTACGTTTTTCCAATGTTTTTTTTCCGGTTTTTCACATTTTCTAGAAAAACTGTTGGAAAAATCGAAAAATGACCTCCATAAAGTATCTTCTCGATTAGATTTCTTTCAAGCAAAGTTCTATCATTATAAATCGGAGCGAAATTGCTGGTAGAAAAATTATTCACAGGAATAAAGAAGGCCGTAATATTATTAACTAATACTTACAATTCGTACATTTTCAGGTTTTTTTTTCGGTTTTTCACATTTGATAAGAAAACTTCTGAGAAAATCGAAAAATGACCTTACTAAAGTATCTCCCTAGTCTGATTTCCTTTCAAAACACTTAAAACAGAGCAAAATCTCTGGTAGAAAAGTTGTCCACAGGAAAAATAATAAAAAAGTAAACATCTTTGTAAAACCATAAGATTCTTTGATCCACTCGGAATCTAAAATTAAAAATTTGTAATATCAAGCTCCAAAATTGTATACATTCGTTACATCGCGAAAGCTTTAGCCAAAATAACTTCGTTAAATCGAGGGGAAGAAAATACATTTAGTTTTTCGTTACATCACGTGGTTTTCAAGGGACCGACAGTTTCTTGTATCGAGTTTTTTGTGATATCGAGCTTCATTATCATGCGAGTTGAATGTAGTTTATTTTTTAGCACAGTAAAATTCTAAACTGTAAATATGACCATGTCAGGAATATTTTACATTTGTCACAAATAATTTTATTTCAGTTATTATATACGTATTATTAAAATGTATGTATTAAAATACTATTTAAGTATATTTAAATTTTAAATGATAACCCAACCCAATAATTAAAATGTTGTTTACATGTTACACATATATAGGGATGGTAATTAGGTTATATACAATTACATAACAATGACTATTTATTTTGAATAAAATATTTATACAGTTAAGTATAACATATTACAACTTGTAACAATAGGAACTAAATATGCATTCATTTTATAATTTGACTACCTACCTATATGATGTTTTTTTTCTTTCTTTATAGTGGTTTTATTCTGAATGTCCAGAATCTACAGGCACTATACCTATAAAATTAAATAAATATTTTGAAGTATTGATGCTGATAAGATGTTTTAGGATTGACCGAGTATATCAAGCTATTGATAATTATGTTTATAAAATACTGGGAGTAAATAATGACAGTTGCATTAACAAAAAGCTTATAAAGTAAATCTTTTTGTTTATTATTTAAAGTTTTAAAATCATAACATACCTATTTTAAACTATTAAGTTTAAATGTTCTAAATTATTTAAAGTAGGTATATCTAGGTATATTAAAAATGAAACCAATTAAGTAAAAATAAATATTATGAATTCTTCATAACATACATATGTATTAATAATAAATACCTAATATGTATGCACTTATTACTAATATAAGGTTATATTTGAAAAAAAAATATATAGTTACTTAGTGTTTCCTAGATTTGATAGTTGGTTATAAGTTGATAATTAATTAGTTGTCAACTAATACAAAAATGAAAAAAAAAAATCAAGTACTTAAATTAAACTTAAATATAAATTATGAAGACAGTAAATCAAAATACGCATAGAAACGGATAGAAATCATTGCATCAATATTCTGTTACTTGTTAATCACTGTTTAACCTTACCTAACCTAATCTATGATTAGATTCTATTTCGTAAATAACTTTGTAAATTGAAAAAAATGTACGACAATCAATTGAGTATTTTACCTTAGAGTCGTTTTGATATTAAAAGCATATTAAATATTTATAGAAATAACATTACAAATAATAGATATAGGTAATCTTTTATATTAGATATTTTATCCACCTAATAATTGTCCACTCATTAAACACCTTTTGAATTCTATCTTACAGTTTTTAACAAAAAATTTAATTTCTTTTGTATTTTAATATTTAGCTTTGAATTCATACATGATACATTTTCAAACTTGACTCCGTGTGTTCTTATATTGAATAAAGGGTCAGATCCAGCGAAAGATCTGAAATCTCTAGCCGAAAAAAATGACATAACAGGTCCAACATATAAAATACTTTCATTAGGAACTTGTGATGAAAATGTATAAGTATTATTATTCAAAAATAAATATCTATTTTATTATGTATATGAGTATAAAACAGCAATTTTACAAATTGTTTAAATATGTTCATTAGATAATTTATTTAGCTTTAAAATCAGCAATGCACCGTGGAAATTGGTTGATCGTACAAAATTGTAATTTTTCTATTCCTTTTTTGTGTGAAATGGAACATTTATTAGAACAAGCAAATAAAAGTTGGCATCTAAATTTTAGATTATGGCTTATATTTAATGATGATTCAATATTAAATAAATCATTTCCAATCTCTCTATTGCTCAGATCGTTAAGAGGTAAAATTATAATTGTTTTTATTTTATTTTTACGTAAATTAAATTAATTCAAAACGATGTTTTGTAATAGTGATCGTTGAACCTTCTAATTGCATGAAGATATGTATGCAAGATACTTTAAAAAAATGTGATGGAGTAACAAATTCTCATCCTTCTTTCAACTCCTTACTATACACATCATTATTTTTACATGGAATATTATTGGTAATACATTTAAAAAAACATTTTCTTAGCTTTTAGTTGTAACATTAAAAGTTGCATTATATTTTAGGAACGTAAAAAGTACAATAAAATCGGTTGGAGTTTACCATATAATTTTGAATATTCTGATTATGCTATATGCCAACAAATAATTAATATTTGTTTGAAAAAAAGTGAACAATATGAAATACCTTGGATAACTATAAAATATCTAATTGGTGAAATTATATATGGAGGAAAAATAATTGATAACTATGATCGCCGAATTCTCTTGACGTATGTGGAAGAATATTTTGGTGACTTTATTTATAGTTCTCATCAACAATTCAAATTTTACAACTGCAAAGAACACAATAAAATAATAGAATATATGGAAATGGAAAAAAAGCTGCTTAGAAGTAACACACAGAGTACAGATTTGAGTGGTGAGTTTTGTTCTTTGGAAATTTTGAACTTATTAACTATGTGATGAGCGAAATAATTTGATAATTTATTTTTAATGCTTGACTTTTATTTAATGAACTAACACCAAATTTTAATATCCAAATGATAATTAACATAATTATTATTTTTAGACAAATTGTTTAGGAAATTTTGATTCACATTTACTTTTACATAGTTATAATTTTGATTTATACTTGGGAAATAACAATGTTATACACAGTTTTGTAAAAAATATTTACATAAAAATGTATTTTACGATTAGGTACTCAAAAGTATTTGAATACAAACATAAGTATCTTTTTTTTTTTAAATTATATAGTATATAATATTCATGTTTTATAGACAGTGTCGTAGACCCGTAGCCAGAGGGGAACTGGAGACACGTGTCCACCCCCCTGAAATCTGTTTTTTTTTTCTTTTTTTTTGGTAATTCTGTAGTGTAACTTACATAAATTCGCTGCAATACAACGTTTTATATTATTAATTACTATGTATAATATATGAATCACTAGTTGCAGAAAGGGGACATGTACAATTTCTAACGAAATTGATTTATTACTGGAAATTATATGTATATCAATTTCATATAATATTATTAAATCAATAACTTGTAGTGTAATGTACGCCATACCTAGGCTAGGCTATGACCTTGACATAGGTAATCAAATATAACATATTAGCAATGACGTAAGTCATATAATTAATCCTATAGTTTAATACTTCAATAAAATATTTAAAAAATGAACCAATAATGTAAAAATATTAATTTTGATGACAATTTTTTTTTGGATTCGATTTAGAAATACCGAACATGATATGGGTCTGATATAATTTAGGAACAATAATATATAACTAAGTATAATACTTACTTCCATTTTATGAATTTTTTTTTTTCATTGTACAATGTTTATTATGTTATAGCAAATCATTTTTAATAATGTATTTTATTCCTTTATCATTACAGAAGCAATCAATACAATTCCATTATATATTAATCCGGAAGTTTGTGGACTAAACACAAATGTACTGTTAGAATACCACAGTTCTATAGTTAACCTTTTATGGACAGACATGATAAAATTGTATCCAAATGTTGAAACTGTTCAAGATAAAATTAGCACTGATTGGGATGAAGTTGTACAAAATACTACCGCGGACATATTAAATACGTTGCCTGAACTATATAACATAAATAAAGTGAAAATCTTTTATGGAGATAAATGTTCTACTCCTAGTATAATAGTTTTACTTCGAGAACTCGAAAAATTCAATGCGTTAGTAGAAGTCATGAAGAACACTCTGACACAACTCGCAGAGGTCGGTATTTATTCTAAAACTATAGTATATTAGTATCTACTCGTAGTTCATACCTATTTTTATATATATATACTCTTATATTTGAATACTATTCCATAATTGCAGGTGTTTTTAGGAAAAGTAGAAATGAATTCAACGTTAGAAGAAGTTTCCACATGCTTGTATATCAGATGTGTTCCAGCGTGTTGGATTAAATGTTCACCACAGACTATCAAATCATTGGCACGTTATATAAAACATCTCACTAAGCGCACCACACAATATTCAAACTGGGTAAATTAATATTACTATTTACTGTGTGTACATTGCAATAAATTAAATTGTTGTTAACTTTTAAAATTAATCATTTTAAATTTGTATGGATTTCTAGAGTCAAATCAGAGAACCTCTAGTCATGTGGTTGTCAGGATTGCACGCGCCTAAATCATACCTAACGTCTTTAATACAATCGGCGTGTAGAAAATATGGTTGGTCGATAGAACACAGTATGTTTTATACATCTGTTACTAGGTGGACTTGTGAAAGTGAAGTTCAACGAGAGCCAGACGCAGTAAGTAAATTATATAATACATAAAATTAGTTAATCAAATCTTAATATAAAACTTTATTTTGAAATGTAATGTATTAAACCAGTAGGTAATAACTAATAAGTAATGTTAAGCCCTAACCTTATCCATTCTATTTTCGTAGGAGAATTGATTAAGCTAAACAAAGAAAAATATAAGTTTTTTGTCAAAATTTCAAATCTCTAAATATATTTTTAACCTAATTACAAAAAAAAAAAATAAAATAATGAAACCATTATATCCGTAATTTTCCCCGTTTTTATCGGTTTTGCTCAATTATTAAGAAAACTACGTAGAAAATCAATCAACATTCTTACTCACCAATTAGATCCAAAATTCAACAAACAAGGTCTCTTGTCGTTTATCGATATGGAGACATATTTATGATAAAAAATATAAAGTGTAAAAATTAAAAACAATGAAGTTGGCACCATAAACATTTCCTGTTTTTCCTATAATTACTTATCAAGATTTTCCCAAAACTCCCAAAAAAACAAAAATTACCTCTTTAATGCACCAATTGGTTCCAAAATGCATTTAAAACGTCTCTTATCATTTTTTGATGGAGCAAGTTTTCTGTTCAAAAAGTTTCTACAGAAAAGAAAAACAAACACATTGTAAAACTAATAGACTCCTCATTCCACTCCAAATGTAAAACATAGAATTAACCTATGGTAGGTATATTTTAACCTAGATTGAATTAGTATTACCTATTTTTGAATAGGTAATAATAGAAATATTTCTATTTTAGACAATAAATATTTTACTTATTAATTCCGCGTTTTTTTTCTTTTTAACGTGTCATAACGTCTACAATGAATATTTATAATTAATATTTTATTGATCATTTTTTTTTTGTTCGTATTTTATCAAATATATCGATTATCGATTGGATAAAAATGTAAAAAAAATCATAGTATATTTATTGTTCATAGGTACCTACTTCTGTTTATTAGTTCACGTTCATTTATTTTTATTTTAGGGTTGTTACATTACCGGATTATATTTAGAAGGCGCGCATTGGGATATGGACAAACAATGTTTAACTGAATGTATATCTCATAGTATGCTCGAAAAGCTGCCGATTTTAGCTATTATTCCTGTTGAAACCCGCCTATTAAAACTGCCCAAAAGTACAATCACCATACCGGTTTACGTAACATCAAAACGGGGAAACTCGATGGATGAAAATTGCGTGTTTGAAGCCAATTTAAATGTGTCAACACACAATAGCTTTTGGATACTACGAGGAGTTTGTGTTGTTATGAATTGTGAATAAATAATTTTGTTCGTCTATTCTTAAAAACAATATTGGTAATTTATATTATTCGATCATAAATAACGAACTTTACAATATGATAAGCAAGTAAGCATCAATAATAATTAATTTTAGGTATATTATAAAATATTATATTCACGAACTAATTGTCCAATAACAAAATATATATTTTTTGTGCTAAACTATTCTACTATATATAATCTCCAAACAATAACATTTTCGTTTGTTTTAAAAAATAATTTATAAAATAATATATAATTTAGATTATAATTCTGTTACTAAATTTCCGTTTACAAATAAATTATGCACTACTCCGATTTTTTTATCACAGGTATGTTCAGTCCGTATCGTTACTAAAATGTTTCCGATCACAAAATGAGTTTCTGTTCCATTTTCGATGAATTCAGACTGAAAAAAATGATTATTGTTAGTTATGCTTAACATAATATTAAAAATATAATAAACTATTAGCTTTACTACCATTGCATCTGTAACTGGAAATCCGTTAACAACAATATCCATAGAAGCTTTATCTACAAAATATAAAAGAAGTCGAATAAATAAATTAGAAGAGCTGACACTGCTAATGGGTGTGCTACTATTGTAATCTACAATAATTTCCACTTCTCCAAGTTTACCCGGATAATTCGGTTTTACAACGCGACTCGCTATGAGCGCGTTTTACACTTTGACTGTGATATACCTGATGATGAGTTTTTAATTCGAAACCGGTCGTATAATACACTTATCATAATACTCCAAGTGACGCATTGATTCATTTTTTTTATTTTTATATATATATTTTTTAATTATATATTTATTTACGAATAGTAACCATTTAAATAATTTTGTTTTACTTTATTATTTTATCATTTCTGTTTAGTCTAACAATTTTATCCACAGAGTACTTACCAAATAAAAATAACGTAAAAATGTATCAAACATAGGTAACATGCCTATAAATAGCTTAAATATTTTATCACGTCTAGAAAATGCAAATATGAATTTTTTGTCGAAATTTCAAATCTCCACGAATATTTTTAACTGAATTACAACAAAAAACAAAATCGAAAATAATGAAACTATTATTTCTGTAAACTTTTTACGTTTTCTCCGGTTTTGTTCAATTATTATTTTTATTTGTATTTATTTTATTTTATTTATTTAACACCCAAAGGGATAATGAGTACAGAAGAATACTAGATAAATATATAATACATAAATACTTAATATTAACTATTATTACTTAACTATTTAAAACTATTTAAGACTATTGGAATATAATATTCCTTAACTCAACAAACGAATCAAAACAAAAATCAAAGTTCAATATACTATTATCATTAATCAAAAGTCTATACCCTAGTACTCCATTAAGTGAGAGTTTATTTCCAGTAAGATAGTACGATTCTTTGAACCAAAGTTAACCAAACGTTTACTGTGAATAATTTTAATATTTGGTAGGGATAAATCGTTTAATAAATCAACGCCGATACTTAAAGGAACTGGCAATTCTTCATGTTTAGAATCAGGTACATTAAACATAAGAATATTCTTTTCCCTAGAAAGTATATCTTTAACTTTAGTAAAGATATCAGAGTCATAGATTTAAATCGCATTATAGGAGAGTTACGTAACCTATCAATTGTATTTCGAAATAGATTAATCTCAGATTCAAGAGCTAATTTCTGTGATTTTAACTGAAATAATTCGGTGTATAGACCATCAATTGAAGTTCGCATAGAACAAAAATCGTTTTCTAAACTCCGGAGATTTTTATTAATATTCTTAAAGTGAGTATCATGAGATGAAACAGTTGGTTGCATTGAAACTAATAAATTCCATATATCGGAAATGCTAGGTTTTTTTTCAAATTCTGATTTTAGCTTAGAACTTTTTTGACAGGAGTAACTTTTTTGGAAGAATTACCACTCAAAATAGGAAATTAATTTGAACAAAAATATTTTTTCCAAACAGCAATGTAAAATTTCTTCGAAAGCCGAATACTGATTGTATATTAATACTAATATTAATATTAATACTCGGTAAACGATAAAGGCGATATAACGACACACGTCCGATCGATATGACGGTTCGCACTGCACTGTAATTGCAATATAATTACACTGAACATTAAAAAACGACTAAGCAGTCGATAATAACTTGAAATGAAATCCATTGGCTGTATATTTGATTAAATATAGAAGTTTCTAAAAGACAAAGTACGAAAATTAAAAGACTTTCAATATTCATACTCGAAGCAAAATTATGTATAATTATATACCAACGATACACAAATTTAGTTTTTCTATTCAAGTTAGATTCTAAACTTTAAGTAGACAATGGTGAAAAGGTGTCGCATTTATAATTCTGATAAAATTTAATTATTTCCATACAATTATTATAACTTTGTTGTCATTGAGGTCATACACATTTATCCAGGCACAACTAAAATTTTAGGTTTCCTATAGGCAATGCAGCATTTTGTTATTTGGGTAAGACGTGATCTTTCCAGTTATTATTAGAAATTATTTATCAAAAAAAAATTACTTAAAAAAAAAAAAGTCAAATTAATTTTAAATTATAAACGACGTATCGCCATAGACAATAAGTCATACACATTTATATTATTTTAATATGATTAGTGAGCAAAGTATTATATTACCAAGAACAATACGATTTTCAACGCCGTCCGCCGTAGTAACTAACCAGGTACAACGAGTCTTTGAAACATGCTCGGAAAATTCTTCCAAACTCTTGCCATCCACTAATAAACTATACGAGTACATAAATAAACCATCCGGTTCCACTTTGATGGTGCATTGTACATTGTCTATATCAAAAATTTCGTCGCCCACCAATTGAAACATCCAATCTTTTTGACGCACTATCTGTATAAAATATATTAGATATTACTATATTATTATTAATACGATGCATAATATAATGTATCTAATACCTATGCATTATTATATTTAAATTGATACATAAAATTAAAAAAACATAAGTTATATATTTATGGAACATATTATTATATCTATATGTATATGTCGCATCCACAAAGTGAAATCACTCATTTTATGAACTGGTTATCCAGATAGTAATACTAGATCTATAAAGGGTTAATAATTATAGGTATTGTTTTGAAAATGTGTATGGTTATTTTTAATTTGAATTGAAATTGAAAAACAAAATTGTAAACAACACAAGCTATAATTGCACAAGTTTCATAATTTTTCTCAATCATTAAAAAAATAAAATCAAAATACCAACTAAGAAATATTTTCTACTAGAAACTAAACCTCCATGGCCTCATCGGATTAAAAGAAAAATTATTCACAACTCAGATAAATTGTTTTATATATAATATACCTAGGGCGATTCTGTAATTATAGACTCTTGACTTTAGCCCAAAAAATGACCGAAACTGATAAGTTCAGTCACCGATTAAGTCACTAGCCTTAAAATACGATTCTGTAACTAAATTTTGTTTTTAAGTCAGTCTTTATGAAATCACAGCGGCTATAATAAAGTCATCTTAATAATTATGGCACGAATGATACTACGCCAAATCATATTTAAGCTTTAATATTTTATATTTATTACATAAATTGATTATGAAAACATTGATAACATCAAATGCGTATGATTATTTAGGTATTGGGCAAGTTAAAACTAAAATTATTGTTATTTAAAATTGTCATAATTTATTTGGTTTATATTATTAAAACAATAATTTAAGAATATTTAGATTCCTTTGGATAACGAAAAGATCGCAAAAGATTTTAAAATTTTCTTATGTTGTCGAATATGACAGGGACCTTATCCCCGACGTACATTTAAATCTCAAGGCAATAAAAAATTGACATAGATCGCATGTAGGTGCAGCGACTGCTGAAATTTAGAAGTTGGGAAGGTAGTAGAGGAGAAATTAAAAAAACGATTCTGAGCGGAGTTCAGTTTATATTGTTACTTTATTAACAATATAATTGTAAAATAATTAAATAGGCAATATATATATATATATTTTCTGTAATAGTATTTGTTTAATTTTGTACCGATTTTTCTGTTTTTCTTACGTTTTTTTCCATTTACTATGCAAACTCTTGAGAAAATTAAAAAATGATCTTCCTAAAATACCTCCCCAGTCAAATCAGTGCAAATTATTAAAAAAACCTCTGCCCAATAATTAAATAATATTATGCTGGAACTTTTTTTCAGTTTTCTAAAATTGGTTTTTTTTGCGTAATGAAAAATAGCGTTTTCCTTCATAAACACAAATACTAAAGACATATATTAATGGAAATTTCCCATAGGTATGCCGTGTTAGTACGTTTGTTTTCGTAAATCGTAATGCTCTCGGCAATAGTGGATAAAATTATCAATAGACTCAGTTTATCGCTCGATAACATTTGGATTTTTTGGCTGTTCTCAAATGAATCGTTCCCCGTCCTAACCGTTTCTTCATCAAAAACGACGCGCACATAAACACGTATAGAAACAATTATTATATTATCATTTATGACAATATCGTCATTTGCCAACATCAATCGCTGGACTTTAACTATAAATAATTACCTGCGTTATTTACCGTCTGCCTACAGATAATTTTAGATTCTGAGTGATGTGAAAAAGCTTATGGTTTTATTTGGATGTTTATTTTTTTTAATTTTTTTTTTTTTTTTTATCTGTGCGCAACTTTTCTACCAGAAGACTTGCTCGAATTTCTACGTGTAGCACCTTTTCTGAAAGGAAATCAGCGTCGAAAAGTTACTTTAAAGAGGTCATTTTTTGATATTCTCAAGAGTTTTCTCATCAAAATTGAAAAACTGGGATAAAAGATAGGAAAATTGGGAAAATCGGTACAACATTAAACAAATTTTATTAAAAAAAATTTATAAAGCCTATTAAATTATTTTTTTTACTATAAAATGACATATATATTGTTTTCAAATTATCACTATCAACTGAACTCCGCTCAGAATCGTTTTTTCGTAAGCAATGGTTTATCGTTGCTTACAGATATACATTAAATTCCCGTCTATATCCTACCTTCCTAACTTCCCACCTACATCAGTGGCAGCACCCGTCCCCACTGTCTTACTTTTTTACTAACTAACTATTTTTAAAATTAATTCAAATTCTATTTTATTTGTATTTTAACCATTTTATACCATACTTTTTTAAATGTTGGAGTCATAACTCCAAATTGTTTTCCTTAATGAACGGTATTATTCGGAACTCGATTTGTATGTACTTTATCAACGAAATATTATTTGTGGGTATGTGTGAGTACTGAGTAGTACTTAATAATTACATACAAAATGCACACAGTATAGGTATATCTATATACTTATTGGGCTAATGCACTTTTTACAGAAGACGATAATAATATGATCACCAGAACAATAGCAACGACTCTGATTCACATTATATTGGACAATTATTTTACACAGTTGTAAATGACCGCTTAGAAATACCAATTATTGTGTTAAATAGAATATTACTATTTAGCGGCATTATGCAGTATGTTTCATGGGGGTTGGGGAATATAAAAATAAATATTTGTAACAAACTTGTGGTTTATCCCCCGTTTTTATATTTTATATTTTATCACATATCAATATAATTATTTTATATTGCATGTACAAATTATTTCATTTATTGGGTATTAACCTACTAAAAAAGTTAAATTAAAATTTTTATTATATTTTTTACTTATTTGAGTTTAATTACTTGAAAGATTTTAGAGGTGGCTTGAACCGTCCTTTTTTTAGGAGTATATATTAGTTATAAGAGCTATATCATAATAATGTTTGTGATTGATGAGGAGAGCTGAAGGTCCATTCTGAACACTCTTTTACAATGTTTATAGTAAAAGATAACCATAAAACAAATTGGGAAATCTAGCCCCTTAAATTTTGGAAAATATATAAAATTTATATTTTAGAGCGACTTAGATCTCTCTAGTCCCCTCTATTTGTGTATATGCCCTTCCTATTTCCTAAATACCCTCTGGAAGAACCTACACCACAGGTTGAACCTAGAGGCCTACAAACATAGGGTAATTTTTAGGGTAAAAAAAATTAAACCAAATAAATTAATAATTCTAAAACCAATTTATAGCATATAGATACTAGTACTAACTTAAATCGTGGTATACATTATACTTTGTATAAGGTCTATGCAAGTATGGTATTAATATAAAACAAGTATATGGATTCAAAGTATATATAATTATTTTTACATACTATATTATTTTCCAGATGGGACATTTCCCTTCCTTCCCCCCACCCAATGAGCGCCCTTACCTACAAATCCTAAATCCGGCCTTGCCTAGGACACCTATAGGTATTGTATATTAAGTATTTGAAATTGCGATTGTGGGACATGTCACAAGGTCACATGAATATTGTTAGTTTATAATTTTAATTAGTGCAGTTTAGTCGTTGCCGTAAATACCAATAATGAAATATTGTTGTTTTTTTTTTTTTTTATTATTATAAAATTATCTTACTTTTCCGTCCAATCTAATGATTCTTTTACCAGTAGCTGTCCCATGTTCAAATTCTATTTCATGATCACCATCGGCTAAAGGGATTTTCCACACTGCCACTGTATCTTCGTTGTACTTTTTATTTTCAGTCATTGATCAATATGTTTTTTTTTCCTGGTTTATTATAAATATCTGCTTAGTACATATATAATTTAACAGTTAAAATTATTTTAACTGTTGAATGTATCGTATACAAAGCTGTCAGTTGCCACAATAACACTGGCCTCGTGGACTGCATTAGACACATTGATCACTATTTAGTCCTTGTAACTTAGTGTTTATAACATGTTGTCATGGAAACGGCCAAATTTGGTTAGGTCAATTTTTAGTTATTATTATTATAACATAATATAATATAATATGATGTGTACAAATTATAATTTAACTATTTATAACTTATTATTTATACCTAACTTATTTATTTATAACTTTTTTTTTTTATTGCAAAACTATTAATTTATACATATTATAATACCATTGTCGACACTATTATAATAGTACAATGCTGTTGTTATATGCACACTCTATAAGTCCTTATAATAGTGCAAGCAGAATTAATGTTAAATTTACTGTGGTGACGCAATGAGGAAATAAATTTAAAAAGTAATATATTATCTAATAATAATGCACGTCATTATTCATTTCGAATTACAAATGTAATTTTTAGATTTCGATCGGAATAAAAACATTGTTATACCTAGTTATTTAGTAAGCAATTAATTGTTTTCCGGAAAAATATTTTCGTTGAATACAAAAAATGATTTAACATTGATTTAAATTAAGAGTAATAAATGTAATATTCGTTTGGGTGAACGTACAAACCAAAATCAATAATTTTATTATACATATATATATCACAACAATAATGACACCTCAAAATTCATATTTTTAGTTGTTTCTAGAAATGTAACGGGTTTTTTAAATTATCATTTATTGAAAAAACGACATAACAAGGGCATCATTTCTATTTTTAAATTCAAAGATTTATGCAAACATTTGAATCAAGCCAATTTTTCTCTGCTTTTGGTCATTTATATATTCTGTTTATTTTGTGGAACTGAAAAAAATTTCTCGCTCGTATTTATGTTCCCGCTTTACTTTTTACCATATAAATATTGAAAATAAATACTATTACTATTTCCAAATAATATATTTATTCACCCCTCCCCTCCCAATGAAAAAAATCCTAGGTGTGCCCTTGGAATATATAGCCATATGATGGAAGTTTGATCGAGATTCGACAACCTGCAATTAGTTAGGTACTAATATTTGTAATTTTTAAGTAAAATAGATTTGACGTTTTTTTACCGATTACCATTCTTTTTACAATGTAGACATTGAAATATATATTCTTTAAGCTATTCCTAGACAGTTTTAGAACAATTTAGTCAGATTTGTAGATTTACAAATAAAAATGTTGGGAATGAGATTATTTAAAACTTTTATGTTAAAATGTCGAGGTGTAAATGACTATTGAATGTACGTGGCACGCATCCGGTGATCCAGAGCTCCCTAAAATTATTTAAGAAGTTTAAGAAAATATAAACGTGTTGTATGTTAAAACTAATTTGGACCTTCCCCCTCTGAAATTTGTTTTTAGTTATGGTCTTGTTACTATCTATGACATTAATTCACCCTCTCCTTAAATAAGCTTCAGATCCGCAACTGGTGGGAACCATAGATAAGGGGTATGACGTAAACCTTTTATTAACGGCTAACAATACACCACTGCCTTTGGAAAACGTACTGAATCTCTGCCATGACTCGAAATGCATATGGCGACTTCCTATCGGAATCATATTTTGATTAATACACGCATTTTATGTATTTAGTTTAATGCTTCAAAGAAAAAGCTAATCTAGATAGAAATGTTATAATTTTAGAATTCAAGGAAACAATTGAGTTTCCATATTTAGTTATAGTAACTTATTTGACCTCTTTTAATGTAATTAATATTGTTTCGATGTTCTCTATCAACGAAGGGATTTGATTGAGTGCAATTTCTAAGCCGAGATAGTTCACATGAGTCCTTCGATGGCAAACAATTTAAATGTAAGCCAAGCTTACAAATTGTACTGTCAATACCATTTTTACCCAACTCAGGAGTATCTATTAAGCAACTTGCACAATTAACAGACATCGTTAATTCAATATTAATACAAATGAAGCAGCTACGCAACTATAATACGAGTTAATTAAATTAAGTTACACTACTAAAACACCAAGCAGCGAATAGCAGCAACGTGCGATTGTAACGTCCGTTCAGCGATAATGTCGTAAACTTTCCAGTTTTTTCTCCCAATTATTAAGAAAAGTGAAATTTAAACTGTAAATCGAAAAACGACTTTCTTATATACAAGTCACAATTTTCTTTTAGAAAGGATACTACTAATTTTATTTTGATAGAAAAATAAAATTGAAAAATCGCAAGTAATGAAACTTTTTTGCCGTAAATTATTTAGTATTTTCCGGTTTTCCCAATTCCTCAATGCATGATTCATGCAACTAGATTCAAAATACTAAAAAAACTTCCGTCTCTTATTTTTAATTGGAGAAAATGTTCACACAATAAAGTAAAACTATAGTTTTATTTACCATAGTAAATTTGAATACAAATTAATAAATCTTAATTTTAAAAACTCCGATTTTCGAAAATAAAAAGATTTTGCCAAGTCCCTCTCTGACCATAGGATCGTAATCCGATTCTAGTGGACTTGGCGTCTATTGACATTTTACCAGGAGAAGCAAAAGTAATTTTAGACCATTGTAGTTGGTAGGAAATATGAAAGATTTAGGATATAGGGTAATTTAATTTACATAAACCAAACACTAGAACCAACAAAAATAAAACTGATGTATTAATCTATGGACAACTTTTTTTTTCGTCGGATATCTACTGCAGTGGAATAAAATTGTTGAATTCTGCTAAACTAAAGTGTTTAAAAAAATAATAAGAGAACGAATTTTTGGTAAAAAGTATTGGAAATGTCGGACAATTTTTCAAATATAGTACAACAAAAATCAATATTTTTGAAGGTATGCATAGAGTGAATGATCAAACATTTTTACTAACCATGTTTAAAAAAAGACGGATATACTTCGCACAATGGGTGGGCTAGTGTTGTAGGTGAGAAATTGGGATGGTAGGATATAGAGGGAAATTTAATGTACATCTGTACACGACCATTAATATTTACTAACGAAAGGATATTCTGAGTGGAATTTGGTTATAAATGTTTTAAAAAGCCATAATATTTACGATTTGAAAATAATGCATTTCGTACATTTTCCCGTTTTTCCTACGTGTTTTTCCATTTATTATGAAAACAACAAAATCACCTCCTTTAAGTACCACAACAGTCAGGTTTCCTTTCATAAAATGTACTACATTTGAAAATCGGAGCGAAATTTCCGGCTGAAAATTTGTCCACAGAAAAAAAAACACCATAGTAAAACTAACACATTCCTCACTCACCTCAGAATCTAAATAAGAAACACATATCTTAGTAACACGAATTTATATACTTATTACTTTATACTTTGTACTTAATTTATTTACACACTTCTTCACTATACTCAGAACTTAAAATTAATTACAGTTTTTTTTTAAATTAAATTAAATACTTAATTTTATTATTATTTATATCTATACTTCTATACTATCTACATACATAAAAATGAATCCCTATTTCCCTTGATCATCACATCACGTGAGTACAGCTTGACCGATTTTGCTGGTTTTTTTTTTTTTTGTATTCGTAATTATCCGGGCAAGGTTTTTATGAAAGAAAATTTCTAAAAGGTCAACTGGTTAAGTAGAAAAATCGCAAAAACTTTGCATTTTTGCACCTTGCATAACTTTTGCGTTTTTAAACATTTTTTTAGTGATTTTTTCAAGGCTTTTGGACTTTTTCGAGTGCTTTTTTGTTGATTTTAAGAACATATAAATCTGGTCTCTAATTATGACAATCGATTTATTAAATTTGTATTAATATAAATTGTCGGCAAATACGTACATAAAGATAAAAAGGAACGCCGTACCATCTGCAAGTTACAGCTATAATACAGTACATGCCTTCTCCCGAGCGTTCCTACTCCCCAATAGGTTAGGTAAGGCATCATTTTCTTTGAAATTTCCTCTCCCAAAATTTTATATTTAGATATTTTTAGTATAAAAATCATGAAAAAATGTCACAACAGAACACATTTAGTCCGCTGAAGGTAGGCTACCCACTTTCCACCTATTTGTTTTCATTCTATACCGACACAGTCAATACCAAAAAGTAGTATAAGTAAAACAAATAAAAAAAAAAGAGCTGATACTGGGGATGGGAGCGGCTTCTGTTTTTGGATGAGAAGTTGGGAAGGTAGGATACATAAAGTTATTTCATTTATATCAGTAAGCAACGATAAACCATTGCTTGACGACAGACGATTCCGAGCGCTGTTCGGTAACACATAATTTGAAGTGCCGTAATTTTTTTTTGCGATTTTCATTTAAATTTGATTTCAAGACGCTTATTAAACAAAAAAAAGTTGTCCGATGATTTTGGAAACTTTACCACGTCTAAGTAAATCTAATATAAGTATTACCAAATTTCAAGTCTCTATATGTAATTATAACCGAACAGCATACAAACTCCCAAAAATTGATATTCCTTAAAAGCTCAAACATGGTTCAAAAGTTTTGGCAATAATTCCGTAAGAAAACAAGAAAAAAAAAAAGGTATTTTGCGATTTTTCGATTAAATCATTTTTTTTTGTAGAAAACGTCATTCGTATTTTTTAAAATAATTAAATCGTAAAATTTTGTGCTTTTATTTAAAAAATAGCATCAAAAATAAAATAAAATGACCTTTTTAAAGTACAATTTAGACAACTTGAGCTTTCAGAAAAAGTGTTACACGTAAAAATTGAAGCAAATTTACTAGGAAAAAACGTGTCCACAGACTAGAACATAGAAAGAAGAAATAAACAGCATTGTAAAACAATAGCTTCCTCGCTACGCTCAGAATCTAAAATTGACACGGGCAACGACGGGCCAGACAGCTAGTACTTTATTACAAAGAGGAAAGATTTGTATGTTTGTAACAAATAAACTCAAAAACTACTGGACCTATTTCAAAACATTTTTTACCATTAGAATGCTACATTATTCTTAAATAATATAGATTATATTTATTACTAGAAAAAATTAGGGATCTCTACGAAAATTCCAATAATTAGTTTTTTAAGTATTTTCGGTACGAATATCTGATTGTTTATTTATTCGTTGGTTACCCTTACCTTAAAGATACGAGCGAAATAACAAACAAATGGGCCCCAGCGACGCCGAACGGAACGAAAGGGTTTTTTTAACCACTGAACCAATTTCTGTGGATTTTGTTATAGAGATAGATAGGACCTTGGAGAAAAACACAAGCTACTTTTTGCCGCGAAAATAATACTCGAAGGGAAGGTTTTTAGACGTCTTAAATACGAAAATTAAATTATTTTTGTTGAATCATGGACTATTGAACTATAGTAACACGGACGAAATTAAAGTTTAAAAAATAATAATAATAATAATAAACAGAAATAAAAATTCCATAAAAACTATGAGAACTTAAACTAAAGATTCTGTCTGACTGTATGGACAATATTAATTGGCTAACATTATTATATTATTATATTGGTAATATGGATGAAGAAGGAAATAAAAACCTATGCGCTGTACTGGGCGGGTAAGTGAAAACACGTAAAACGTCGTCTTTATATTTTTGATAGAGTAACCACACTAGAGTATAGTATTATTGTGTCCTCATAATATTAACGTTATTATAGTGGACATAATATAGTTTAATCCCTGTACTGTGCGAGTATCTATGGTAACATGGGTGAAAAATAGTATGACACACTATAATACGTTTAGTCCATCGGACTACCCTCCTATTTTCTTTCGTTCGATATACTGATACGGGCAAAGCAATACGGGAATAAAGGTAAAAATAATGAAAACGCACGGGAAACGCTGGGCGCAGGACGGCTAGTATCACATATAGGAATTAAAAACAAGACCGGGTAATTGGGTAAAACACCGCTTATTAACCGTATTACTAGGTTATCATTTTAAGGTTTCAAAAAAGTATATATTTATTTACTCGTATATTTATTTTTTTACTTATTCATAAACACAACTCGAACCATAAAGATACACTGTAAGTAAAAATAAATTTATAATATTTCGAAGCGAGTATAAAAAGTATAATAGCTTCGTATTATTAACTACACGGAACCATTACCGGTTCAAGGTACATAAATTATAAATCATAGAACACACGCAATAAAAATAGCAATATTTTGATTGTAGACAAAGTACGGTTTTCAAAGTAAATCCAATGGTTGCCTCTTCGAAATAGTTGATCCGGGATCGTTCAGCGGGTCGAGGTCAGCGAAAAAGTCTGACCAATTTGAAGAACCGGCTGATTTCTGTAAACGTATATACTATTTATACATACATATAAAACATTGATTACGGATCGGTATTCACATAATTATTAAACATGATTTTAAGTGACTTTCCTCTGGACCAAATTAACTCAAATTTGGGAATTGGAACTACCTATTTAATTGGCAAATTGAAGTGATACATTTTTAAGTAAATATTACATTAAACATTTTACTATGTAATTGCGGGAAGGGGAAGAGCACGTTTATTTAATTCAAAACTAACTGGTTTGATTGGTAATTATGAATATTATAATATTTCTTAACCATGATAATCATAAAGTACAAGTATTAATGAAATTGTTATCAGGAAATACTTCAGCTTAGATAATATTAAAGATTTAGTTACTCAGATAAATGAAGTTATCAATGAATTTATATTTTTCCCAAATATTTAAAAATCAATATTAATTTCAGAGGTGGAATAATTATGGTTAGAAAGATAAAAACGTTTAACATCTTAAAGTAATTTTTCATCAATTAGTATTTAAAATTGTAACCACTAAATTATAGGAATGATTGTGCAATTTACAAATAATCAGTAATTTTTTTTCATTTAAGTTAATAAATCTGATAACATTTGTACAGTTTTAGATAAATAAACTGCTGATATTTACCCAATTGTAAGATGTCTGCTTATTATGCTTTGTACTTTGCCTGTAAGCGATGTATCTGCTGAAAGAAGCTTTTCTACTTTACGCCGGTTAAATTGTTATATTAACATTTCCAAGAGGTTGTAGTTTGAAGAAAAATAATGTTATTAAATTATTTAAAAAATAATTATGCACGTTTATTATATTTAAATAAATGAGTAGCTATTGTTTTATAATATATTTATATACAAGTGTTTATTAGTAGGTAGGTACTATTATAGTTTGATCTATACTAGAAATTGTTTTGCAATTATTAGTTTGTTGCTTTAAGCTTCAATACTTATAGATTGCAAATCTGATTACGGATAGAAATGGGCTAAGAAAGATTTACTGATTTGGCGCTTCTAAATATCCATATGGATAGAGAATTAATTACCAAAATAGATTTGCTAAAGAAAAAAAAAGAACTATAGATTTAATTTTTTAAATGCATGAGTTCTTCATTTTAATTTAACTAATTATAATTTTGAATTTAAATAAAAATATTCATATTAATATGTCTAAGTTGTTTTGTCAAAATTGAATTGAACTAAATCTAAACAGGTAAGACTAAATTTAAGAAAAATGTACCACCTACCTCATTATTTAAATAAATTGTAACACGTTATGTATATAATTAAGTACAACATGAAAAAAAAATCTCACTTTAATAAAATGATAATTCGCTCCCCCCCCCCCTTGAATAACTCCTAAATCCACCACTAGGGAGAAATTGACTCTAATGACAGAGCTCTGCTACTCGTTAATTTTTTTTTTTTTTTTGATCAACGTACAAAATGTTTATTATAATATGCTAGACACCTATTGACAACATAATATTGCATAAAAAAAATTAATTTGTGTACACTTATGAGGTGTATACGCCAGTAGCACAACCAAAAAGGAGCGCTTGGCTCCGGATCCCTTTCTTTGGGTCGTATAAATTTATAGTGCGTATATACCAGGTTTTCTTTTAGTTAAATAGTTTAAAACCTCGACTCACTTTAATAGTTGATTCTGCTGATCCTGCAGATAGTAAATCCGATAACAGTTGGGACGGTAGAAATTCATCTCCCGTGTTGTATTGTTTAAGATCAAGATTGTTTTCTTCTTTATTACTGTCATAAGGATTGGACAGAAAATTCCCGAAACCATCACTCCCATCGAATAACGATAACAAAGCAGATTCATTAGTTTCTTCGTCCTGGTCACAAGTGGCTTCAATGCCCAACTCCGTGTATGAACTAATTACAAATATCAGATATGAATTTTGTTTTATGTTAAAAAGTTTTATAAATATGAGTCATACGAAAATAAAATAGTTAATTACGAGTATTATACCTAGAATCGTTATTGCTGGTGTCATTCGGGTTTGACGTGGACTTAACCGAATCCGTTCGTAATTCTTTGATCATTTTGAAATCGTATTGTTGGTACTCTAAATGCACACGTAAAAAACACGCGTTTAAACATTATTGTACAAAATAAATAAATATTTTAGGTATGTATAAATATTTTATTTTTATGAATGTAATTTGTTGAATACTTGATAAATGATCAGTAATTTGATGCAAGGTTCACCATAAGTTGTTCTTATGAGTTATAGTAATATACAAATATCGAAAATCTATATTCCAGATATTTTTTTTTTTTTTTTAACAAATATTTTATGTTAGGTAGTATTTTTTTCATTTTTTTTTTTATAAGTTTTAAAATCAAATTTTGACAAAAATCCTAAATATTACGGTATTTCAAAACATTTAGTACCGAACTTCGCTCGAAATCGTCTTTCGTCAAGCAATCGTTTATCGTTTCTTAAAGATATAAATGAAATAACCTTCCCAACTTCTCATCCAAAAACAGAGGCTGTTCTCATCCCCAGTATCAGCTCTTTTTTTAAATTTATATTTAGAGACAATATTTAATACAAAACTATTTCTTATTTTCTTATTATTCTAGGTACTTTATTATGGCATATTATTGTTTGTAATAATAGAAGTGCTATTTCAAGGAATAAATACCAAGTATTGTATTGACGAGATTACTAAGTTTGCCCGCAAACATGAGAAAAGACTGGATCAACACACCAATCCAGCAGCAATTCAACTACTAGACAACTCTCTAGACATTAGGCGTCTTAAACGTCGAAGACCATATAACTTAGTATAAAACTCTTGGACTAAGATCGGGGCCACTCCACTGGGAGTGAGATTCCACACGTTTATTTTTTTTTGTATATAAATACAAATAATACAATAATAAATATTTATGTACACCTTTGATAATGTATTGTTAAAGGTTTATTTTGATCGTTACAATAAAAGCTTTCGGGTGGTTTAAAAAAAAAAAAAAAAACTAGTTATAGGATATTCAGATTCCCTCACATCCCTTTCCATATTCTAAAGCTGAGCACACCTCTGAGTTCTGACTACTAAAGGTACGTTATCCATTTAGGCAGTGGAAAATTGTTTTTCTTCACAAAAATACTCAATAATTTTAAATAGGCTTCATCATAAATATTAAATTATACTAAATAATAAAAAAAAAGTGTAGCGTAATGTCATAATTTATGTGTACACGATTTAAATTTGACGTTATTCGTTATACTCACGTTTAAAATCCTTAGTAGCGTTTTCGAATGAAATTGCTACGGTTTCGGCGAATCGCTGCAAACTTTGTTGATAGAAAATAAGAACGTGTGAAAACATATTGCAGCGTGCGGCGGCGAGGAGGTCGACTTTTTGCAAGCAAACCAATTTATGGTGATCGAATTGTTGTTTGGACTTTTTCACTTTGGTCTGCACGTTTTTGAATTTGTCTAGCTGCGAATTAGTGTCTGGATCTAGTTCTTGGGAAACGTCCTTCATCCAATTCAACGCAGCCCTGTAATCCGTCCGGGCATTTTCCATACGTTTTACATCACCGCGAGTATCTTCCACAGCTCTCAGGCAAAACGTTTCTATTTCCTATCGGCAACACACAACATGGATAAAAATGATTAACACCGAATAATGCTTTTATTTAATATTCTGTTTAGTAAGTTTTTTTGTTTTTGATAATTTTTTTCTCATATTTTGTAATAGTATTTGGATCTCGGGACATAATAGGAATATAAATGGATTTCATTAATGTGGACGATGTAGACTCTTTTGAATAAATCTATTTTATATATATAGAGAGAGAGAGGTATTTGTCTATATCATTGGATTGCACTATTGTTATATATAAAAGTTGTTTACATGCATTAAGTTATTTCAAACTACTTACTATTCATTATTGCTATATTGCTATACAACCAACTATCAAAATTGGAATTCGTTTAGATTGTCTACATTTCTTTAAGGATTTTTTTGTAAATTGAGGAGGAGGATGGTTAAAATATTACGGCACAGACATCCAAAATTAATTTGTTTATCCTAAAAATGAATTCGTAAGTTGTTTGATAATGAAAAATAACATGCGAAGTTTTATAAGAAGAATCATATTTGATTGCATAATCAACACCCAATTTTAAATTATTACTTTTAATAACGCTAACCTTGATATTCTATAGTAAATACTTCATACTCATATAGTATCTATTTAATTTAAACATTTTTATTTTATATTTTAAGGAATCTATTCACCTGGTGTAATCTGGCCAAAGGAATACGTAAACCAAGGCGTTCCTGTCCCGATTGTGCCATGCAACTTCCTAGTATTTGCATCATTTCGCCAGCTTTAGTTTGATCACTGTTTCCAGATTTTCTTAAAAACAAACCCATTTGGTTTTCTTCGTAGGCCAAATCTTTAAAATTAAAATAAACAAAAAAAAACTATTTTACTCACAGTTCTCATTTTTATAATGACTCGGTCACTTGTTAGCAAATTATTTAATACACTTTTTTTTGAAATATTTTCATATACCTTTGTCTGTATATTTACTCGTATTATATTTATGATGAAGACATAGTTTAAGTTTTTAAGGACCATTATTACAATTGACCACTAAACCTTCCACTAGCTTAGCGAGCACATTTAGCGGCTAGATTTTAAAATTTCTTTATTACAATGTTTCACTATGCTAAATGTTAACTCTAACTACAAGTTAGCGGGCACATATTTAGTAGTAGGTTTTGGTGCCTGCTAACGTATTTAGCGGAAAAAATGTCATAGATTATTAATTATTATCAATTATTATTCAAACTTTTTCCGTTGTTGAATTATATTTAAATTCGGTAAACTTCTTTTTATTTATTTATTTTTCCTGAACAATGAATAATGTACATAATATTATTCAGTTTATTAATGATGTCAATAATATTGGATGTAAAAAACCTCAAGTTTATAAAGATAGGCTCAATGTTTATGAAATATTATCTGATAAAGAGTTTAAGTACAAATTTCGTTTATCGAAAATTTTCATAATTTTTGTATTAACATAATTGAAAGGAAAGCTGGAAACATCGACTGACCGGTAGATACACATTAACTTTATTTTATTAAGAATATAACACTTAAATTAATTTACATAATTTATGTCTAAATAAAATATAAATACCATAGAATACTCACTGTAAATTTTTTCGTCATATTTATTTACGATTCTTTGCAAATGTTGACAACTACCTCTAATAGATTTGAACAATTCGAGCTTAGCGTCAAGCTCTGCATCCGACGCTACAATAAACTCGTCGTCTTTCTTGCCTAATTTTTTACATACTTGCTGTTTAGTAACCCAATATTTGTGCTGCATTTTGGCCACAGTTGAGCCATTTGAATTGTTTTGCCATCTGTTCAATCCGGGAGCATCGTATGTATTCCTGTAAATTATTATTTATTATTAGCGTTTATTTCAAAGAATAATGGGCCCCACTGAGCATGTCCGTGTGATACCCCATAAGGGCTTATCTTACAATTTGTTCGTTTTTTCTTATAGTGAGTTAATTACAGACCTAATAGTAAAGGTACTCAGATTACTACTCATATTAGAGAACATAAAAATAAAAAACAACAGGAATAAAAAAAATAGAGCTGATACTGGGAACGGGTGTGGCCACTGTTGTAGGTGGGTAGTGGGGAAGGTGGGATACATAAAGTTATTTAATTTATACCTTTAACCAATGATAAACCATTGCTAACGAAAAACAATTCGAAGCGAAGTTCGGTACTACGTTTTGAAAGACCGTAATATTTACGATTTTTGTCAAAATTTGATTTTAAAATTTATAAAAAAAAATTAAAAAATACTACCCGATGTAGTTTTGCAAAAAAAATGTGATATGAAATCGACAATATTAAGTTATTTAAAATAACACATATAATATCCGCATAGTATTAGAACTTCAAAAAGCTATGATATCGAAACACAATCAGCCCGCTCGAGAAACCTGTGTCGTATGCTTTATCTACACCAGTGGTTCTCAACCGGGGTGACATGTCACCCTTGGGTGACATGGATTCAATGTAGGGGTGACATGAAATCCTTGGGGAAAAGTTTAAAAATATAGAATTTTTTTTAAAATCGTATTATTGTAATGGTAATCATGTGATTGCTACCACAGTAAAATAACGCAATAATTGTTTACAATAAACGGCACAGATACCGCAAAGTTCTTATCTTTGTATTATTTATTTCTATTTATAGTTAACACTATAGATCCGATAAATACATCCGTTCGACGTGCGACAACGCTACGTTATCTGAAACGGGACTTAGTCAGTTTTTCTACATATATAACTATTATTTTGATGTTGGGTTATCGTGGATGAGGGTGACACGAATCCAAAAAGGTTGAGAACCACTGATCTACACGAACGTTAATCGCGTTGTATGTTACCTACGTCTCGGAGATAAATGTGGGTCGGACATTGATGGTGTGCTCTTATGTCAAAGGTATAGTTATGTATATGGTACAGACCGAAACCGGCAGATTTCTGGGTAAACTAGTTTATCCTTTACACCAAATGTGTTTAGCCTATAAAACACCGATATACATACAGGCTGTCCCACGAAGATTTATCCCTTTAATATATCTCCGGAGATAGTAAAGAAAATCAAATTCTGTTTTTATATTATTCACAGGAATGAGGACTACAAATATTTATATTTGAACTAATTTTTTTTTTTTTTTTTTTAGTAAATTCTAATAATTCGTGTGAAAACCGATGTTATCTAGGGAATAACCTAACCGTGTTACGCGATGACATCGGTTTTCACACGGATTAGTAGAATTTAAAACGGCTGTTAATTAGAAACTATTAATCGGATATAAATGTGTGATACACTAAAATTTTCAGAAAAATAAACTCTACAGAATGGCTATCCTAAAATTTTACAAAAATAATAAAATTTAATTTAAAAAAAATTAGTTTAAATTTGTATATGTCTAGTCCTTATCCCTGTGAGTAATGTAAAAAAAAAAACAAAATTTGATTTTCTTTATTATCCACGGAGATATTCAAGGGGTATATCTCCATGGCACAGCCTGTATATAATACACATATATATATACATTCTATTGTCTAACCAGTAACCGATACAGAACATTAAATCTTTTTCTTTTTTTTTTTTTTTTCAACATTTTGTTTCAACAATAATAAGAATGAAATTTCGGTTTCAGACGTCAAAAACAAAAAACCTCGAAAGGGATTGTGTATATTTTGGTCACGATGTGACAATGTTTTCGGTGTAGATAGCAGTTCTCGCTCAATGTTGACTTCACCATCGTTCTGAAATCGGCAATTGATAAACATATAATCGAAACAAAATCATTGAAAAGTTTGCATGGACCAGCTGGATTTGTTCCATATATTTTTTTACTCGAACGATTTTCATCAAAATTTGATATTAAAATTCTCTTATAAAAATTAATACTACATAAAGCAAAATTTGTTTTTTTTTATCATAAAGTACGATGCTTAAGGAACCTCCTGTTAAATTGTCAAGCATTTCTGTCTAGTCTAACAATTTTATCCACAATAAGTACTTACTGAATAAAAATTACGTACAAAACACGCAAAATTAAAATATCATTAATTATCTCAAAAATGGCTTAAAGTTGTTGAAAATCTTAAGTCTCTACGAATATTTTTTTGTTTTCAAGCTTAGCAATTATTATTATGGTATTTGATTTTGGTATTCTTTTGGCTTCAGTTACTGTTAAATCAATGTTTAGTTTTTCCCTATATCAGTAACTATATTTAAACAATTTTCATTTTTTGTTTTCTGTGTACCAATTATTTCAATATTAATTCCCAGGTTCTGTTCTTTAAGGTGATTAATTTTTCGTTTCATTTCTGTAATTTCTTTTATAAGGTTTTGATTTTCCAATTTAATAAGATTATTTTCCATTCTGATTAAATTTATTTCCTTAAACATTGTTTTAATTTTTTCTTTAAATCCATCAAACTAATCACCCATGAAAATAATCGATTTGATGAGGTCTTCTATTTTATTTTATAGATTGTCTGGAGGAATTCACATGTTCTTATTAGTATAAATCATAGATTGACAATTGTGACAGACTAAACAAACTTTTGTGTTGTTTAACAATTGTTTAAATCCCGATTCAGAAATTCGATTGCAATAGAAATGTATATTTTTACTGCATATGAATACGTCGTCCGAGTGGTCTAAATTTTCTAGGCACTTGGCACACTCTGACATTACAAGTTTGATGGTAATTATTTTATAATAGTATGTACTTACGTAACACCAGTGACGAGCGACGAACAACCGTAAACTAAATCATTTGAAATTTTAAACGTTCTACTCTATTTGAAAACATCAATGTTATTAGATAGACATACTCAACATTTTCTATTATTAAAATTAAATATAATATACTCCTAATTTAATACTTAATCGTATCTAGTAATATGATCACTGAAATAAGTATGTCTATCATAACAAATATAATTTTTAATTAGGTATAAATGCATACATTTAAATTGCCTAACATAGGTATTAAATAAATATTTTGTCTTTTTAGCTATGTTTTCAATCAAGTAAAATAAATTCAGATAGTGATTATATTCATTCGTTTTAAAGAATTGTGTAGTTAATATTATGGTTATAAGTAGAGGTATCAATAGAACACGTGTCACGGTTACACGGATATCTATTTTGGATATCCACGTATTCGTGAACGTGAACGAGATGTAGGTAGATCAAGCATTTTTAATTACACGTGTCCACATGTAATAAATAATCCTTGTTAAAAGCAAGCTATTTAGTAATTAATATCAATAGTTTTTCACCTCAATTTCGGTACATCTCTCATGAAATAATGTTTTTATAGACGGATGATATTAATGTTCCGAAAACTATTTACCCTAACGCAATAAAAGAATCTAAACATTGTGGGTAATTAATAATTTGTATTATCTATTATATTATTTACAAATTACTCGTTATTAAATTATTGTGAGGAACATTATTTTAGTTGAAAAAAAATGAGATAGTTAGATCGTTAGATGTTTATATGTGTTTATAGGACATAGTTATAAGTATAACACTGCTTGAATCTAGTTTTCGTCAGAACCATTATTATTATAATAAAATCACTTATCAAAATTTAATACTACTGTCTATGTTACAGTATATGTAAGTACACGTCATACACAGTATAATAAAATTGCAATCAGTGTGCTGGTAATTACAAAAATAAAATGTAATAGGTACACATACAATTAATTGGTATACGTCTTAAATGAAAAGTAATATAGTAATATATATACTATACCTATATACTCGTATATGCATAGAGTTTAAGAAAAAACAAAAAAACAGAAAAAAAAATGAAAAATAGATCGAAGAAATGTAATTTTTATTTATAAATATGTATAATATATTTTTTTTTAGGCACGGGAAATATGGATCCAACATGGCCTGTACAAATGCATTTCCCAAAAGACCAATCCGCCCCTGCGGGTAGATACTAAATTATTGACTAAATTTCATTAGACATATTATATACATATATATATATATATATACTATTGTACATACATATATATGTGAAGTAAATGAAATGGCATTTGACAAAACGAAATTAGCTCTAAATAACATTGGGGGATATGAATAAAAAAAAAAAAACGCCCTAGAATAATGGGATCAAGTGCAGCCACTGTTATAAGTAATTTAATGCACACCTGTAAGCAACGATAAACCATTGCTAACGAAATAACGATTCTGAGCAGAGTTCAATTGATAGTGCTGCTTTGTCAACAATATATATATATATATATCATATTATGATCAAATTCATATTATTCAAATTCCAAAAGTAATGTGGATCCTGTGTTTTTTTTTTTTTACGTTTTTCCGTCTTTTCCGGTTTTTCATATTTTTTGAGAAAACTCCTGAGAAAATCGAAAAATTACATCTTTAAAGTACCTCTCTAGTGAGATTTCCTTTTATAAAAATTGCTGTCGTTATAAGTTGGAGCGAAATTTCTGGTAGAAAAATTGTCCACAGAAAAATATATCGTAATATTTTACTGATATATGTCGTACACTTTTCCAATTTCCTCCGTTGTGTTTCGGTTTTTCACATATGATGAGAAAACTCTTGATAAAATCGAAAAATGAACTCTCTTAAAGTACCTTCCCCACCGATTTCCTTTCAGAAAAAGTGCTACACATAAAAATCGGAGCAAGACCTCTAGTGGAAAATTTGTCCACAGAACAAAAAAAAAAATTAAAAATTAACACCTTTGTAAAACCTTTTAATTAAAATTAATAATTGGTTAATTTCAAATATACCTTATGAAACCGTGACGGACTAACATAAAGAAGAGGGGACGATCGATGGAGAGGGGAGATTTGCCTTCAGATGGAAGTCCGATATGAACTCGGATATTAGTACATTAATATATGTATAGTAGACTTGTCGTCATCGTAATATATAGGGTTTTTGTCCTAACTTCCCTCCTAAAACAGTGGCACGCCTATCAGAAGTATTAGCAACATTATAAGAGTACAATATTTAACACCAACATCAATTGGTATACAAACAAATATGAAATACCTATGATATTCTAAATTGCATCTAAAAATAATTACCTAGATAATTAACACATTGTCCGTAGCAAGGAATTATGTAAACAAATACTCATTACCTATTAATAAGTGCATGTAATAATATAGTAATTATTATTGTAGTTACCGTGACAATGAATTTATTGGATATAGACATACGTTCAATACGAACGTATAAGGGTTTTCCAATACGGTTTCTACTTGGGTTTCTATATCCTCACTGCACACTATACAGTATACATATTGTAATAGAAACCCTAAAAGCTGGCGGAAATAAACTTTTAAATGGTTCATATATTGAATGAACGAAACGAATGTTGCATAATATTTTGGATACCACTCCCAAATACGCTGAAACTAAAAAAGAAAATCCATCCGAAAAATGAAGTGCACCGTGTATCGTCATCGAAGTTTAGAAAATGTTGATGGAACCCCAAAAATTACGCATGCAGAAGGCCGGACAATTAATATGAAGAACGAAAATCTTGCCAGGTGGTTATTAAAAACCCTTGGGTTATGGTGATACATGCAGGATCGTATAGAAACGCAGTGGGGATCCAGGGGCTATCCAAGGGGTGGGTGGATTTTATTAAAAGCAATTTTTTCCTATCTTACCTTTTTGCAAGTAATATAATATGAGAATTACGTGAAAAAAACACGTACCAAAGAGGGAGGCGAACGCCCTGTCGTCCCCCTTGTGTCCGTAGAGATAAAATCGTAAAAAAAAGCACGGCGATTGTTTTTCAGAAAAGGATCCATAAAATCGTTGACGCCTAAACCTCGCGAATACTAATTGCTACTGTTAGTTAACTATAGACCAATTTATTTCCTGTATATTATTATTATTTTATACTTCTAGTATAGGTACTTACCATCCTGATTCTGAAAGACTCATATTTGTTTCCCGTTTTCAGCGCGAGAACAACTGCAGCGTGGAACGCGGAGCAGAAGCGAAACAAAATCAATACCTACGTGCGCATTCACATTAGACGCGGACGAATGTAAATAAAAAAAACTAAATAGTTTTGTTTATTGCTACGACAATGACGATGACGACGACAATAACGACGTCTGATAGCGTGCGCGTAGATACGACCGAAAACGATTTTTGTGGCCTGCACGACGGGGCGGCGGAGCGAGGCGACAGTGTTCTACACGGGAAGATAAGGCGCGTATTTCGCCCACCCGAAGCTTTTGCCTTTTTTTTTTTTTTTCTAGGTTAGGTCGGTGGTAAATAACAAAAATATTTTATTCCGCGAGCAATCTCAATAGTAATATTAATATTATCATGACGTGCGCTGAACGCGAAAAAACGCGATGTGCCGCAAAACACTGTTTCTATAATAATATAGGTAGGTAGTAGCCGTTATCGGTCATAACGAAATTTCACTCGTACTTTTAACAGCGGCGCTACATTTTATTGCACAATGAAATATCACACTGCTGTTTATATAAATTGTCGCCCGGGCGTCGACGACGTGAGCGGGCTATGTATAAGCGCCACCTGTGCAAACGCTGCGGCGCGGCGCGGTGGCGGCGACGGCCCGCCGTAGAAAATCGATAACGCGTAGCGGCGGCCGACGTCGGCCACGGAAGTAGATATACGCGACCGCACGGTCGCCGATAATATACACCTAAAACGAGAATAATACGAGTAATACGATTAATGTATTCTATATTATTGCATTGATGACTCAAAAATTGCGACTCATGAGCACGGTGGTGTGGCGAACTCAAATATTTTCAGAGGCGAGTATTTTTTCCCAATGTCCACCTACCAGCCCACGAACCCGCGACCCGTCCCTTAGCTATAGTACATGAACACTTAACGCTGTGTTTTCATCACTTCCTCGACAATTTAATATAATTAAACCCCTAAAAAAAAATCGAAGATGGCCGCGTCTAGATTACCCTCCTTCGCCACGCCACTGCTTATGGGTACACTCGAATTGTCTCCCAAATTCGGGTAGATAACTTTTTTTCACTCGAATCGCCTCCGGGTGTTTTCAGAGGCGATTCGAGTATACTCGAACCGTGCACTCGAATCGCCTCCTACACCATGCCCAGATTATTAATTAATATATCGATAGTTGTCGTGTACTATCGATTATTATAGTGACTTCTGTAATGTTCAAAAATATTTTTTTTGTTATTTATAATAATATGTATGTTACTGTGAATGTCCGCAGTTGGTGAATGCTGACAATCACCGATTGATGTCGACATACATCTTCTAATTTGGTGAATGTTGAAAAATTAAAAAAAATGTAGATATTTACTAGTGAATGTTGACATTTACATCAGGATTTTGGTCAATGTTGACATACTTATTTATACATAAACTATATTTTACCATACAAAAATTTGAATTACTTATTAATTATTTTATTACTTATTGCAATATAAACTGTCATGACATTTGTGGTACACAAAATTCCAACATTTTTTTGTGGTGTACTTTGTTTTACAATTACATCGCGTATATCGTTGTGTACCTATATATTGACAAATTCTATGCAGAAACTTGCCTTAAAGAATTTATTGATCCCTTAGTACATTAGCGGTTGATATTAAATTTGCTTTGCATAAGTACCGAAAACTGATTTCTGGTGTATAATTGATTTTCAACACCATTTTTGGTAGCTAATTTATAAAATCATTATCTACTATATCTAATACTACGGCTAAAATATTTTGAGAATCCATTTTACTACGATCAACATCTGGAACTCGAATACGGACATTTTCTCCAACTATAGCCGGAAAGAACTTGTTTTAATAAATACAACTTAAAAATAAAACATTAAAACATTAATAAAACATTTATAAAATTATTAATAAGTTGTAAATTACCTATACTATTGCCTAGACTTACATGCAAAACAATATCGGCATTACAAACGTTCACTAAAATCGTTATATAAATGTCGACATTCACTAGTAAATTATTTACAAATAATACAAATTTAATCAATATGCCAACATTTATCAATGACTTTGGTGTACATCAACATTAACCGGTGACTGTCAGCATTCACCAACTGCGGACATTCACAGTAACATATACATGTAATATTTCCCAGACAGATTAATTTGTCAAACGCAATAATCGTGTCGATAACTGATTATCAGTAGATTAGTTGACTATCTAATTTTTTTTTTTATTGATTTTTATTACGTGAAATTTTTACGCAATACATGTACCTATTTTCTTTTTTGACATCGACTTATTACCTAATACCATGTATTAAGGTCTATTAATGACATGTATACTAATGCCATGTACCTAATACCTATCTATAATTGTTTTTAGTTTTAAAAAAATTGAAATAGAAATCGATTCCAATAAAAAAAGGACACTACCTAAATTCAGTCAGTTCGAATGAATGATATTTTTGAATTATAGTTATATAATAATTATATATTATAATTATATTTTTGATAGTTTTGAATTTTATTCGTTTTCCATAGGGGGGAGACGGGGAAATATCCTTTCAGTCCAAAAATTATACTTTTATTTATTGTGACCACTGACCGCTTAATGTGATAGCGCAGCTGTCTGCAGACGCCGTGATTATAACTTATTAACACTCTGGACTTGAATACAGATTTCTGGAAAAAATTATTGTTTACAAGTGGTTTTATGTCTAGGATAGGGGGCATAGCGAATGTTTAAAAAAAAAAAATGATCAATCTTACATACGTTTGTCAGAAAAGAAAAATATTTCCAAATTGATACATATTTGGCCGTATATATCAATAGATACATTGATATTTCAAAGTTCAAACTGTTCGTTTTCAACCATCGACGCATAATAATTATAATTATTCGAGTTTTATACGTTGTAAAGTAAGCAGTAGCTGTACGTAAATTTAACATTGACACTTCGAAACGCTCGCAGTCGAGAGCGATATAAAATAGTATGGCATATGTTCGCAACCCGCATAAAAAAAACACAATTGTTGGACAATTTAGGTTCGCGGGCAGATATGCGATAACGCAATTAATTTACATACTATTATCATGTTCTAATGGTACGAATAAAATGCGTTACCTTATTCTGTTGGTGAAAAAAATACACGCGTACGCATGGAAGAAACTATAGAATCAAAATTCTGGGATACCAAATAAAATTAGGTATCTACACAAGTTTGTATTCTTTTTATTTTTCGAAGGTGAAAAAAAAAATTATCGCTCACTAATATACGTCATTTATTGTAAACAGTGCATGAGGCGGATATGTTTTCGCCCAAAGTAATATTATTAATCGTGAACGAAAAAAATATTTTGGTTACCACTGTGTTTTTTATTGAAAATTATATTCAATATTTTAGTTGATAAACATTAATGTAAGTATATAACTAAGTGTAAAAACAGTATAATACTTAAAAAACCAAATTATATCTCAAAGTTATTGCACATATATTTAATAAACTCGTAGCGTGTGATCTAATTACGTTTAATATAGCACCAACGAATTGAGCCATTTGTAATATTTTCCGAACCAAAACGTCCAAAACTATACTCATAGTTATTAAAGGCAACCATTTTTTTACGTCTTTTACTTAAAACACAGCCATGTTAAGTTTTAAGTTGAGTCCATTTAAATAAATTGTAACTCGATTATACTCGACTAATTTATCTGATATATCAGCACGACTGCGGTATTGTAATTTTATCTAAAATTGTATCCGTACATTCAACGCAATCTTCGATTATAAATTATCTAATTTATCTATGAGATTACAGTGCAGTATAATTTAGTTTAGAATCTAGATTTCCTCTATCAGCTAAATGCATTTTATTATTTACGACTCGTGTCATACATTATCATACACTCGTTTAATGTGGTATTTTTTTTTTTGTTTATATCAAATTTTGACGAAAATCATAAATATTACGGCCTTTTAAAACAAGTTTAACGCCGAACTCTTCTCAGAATCAATTTGCATTAATCATTAGCAATGATTAGAGCGTGGGTTTATATACATTTACATATTTATTCTGGTTGACCGTATGATACGTATGATATGCTTAATGAGCGCGAAATGTGTTCATGACATAACAATTTAAAAAATGAAACTTTTTTAGTGCATATTTTTGCATAGTTCAATATTTACCCTTTTTTTTTTTTAATTGAATGACTTATTTTACAATTTAATTTGCATATTTTATCTTTGAGTGCATATTTCGATGTTCTTTTTAAACATTTTGTAAGCGTTAACTGAAAGTCTGACAAAATGCTGTTGTCGATTGAAGTAATTATCTACATGAATTATGTATATAAAAGGTAAAAAAAATCATAGTTAAGAAATTGGTGGTCCAGGTCTATTTTTCGAAATATATGAGTTTATTTGTGCATAAAAACATAATGTTGGACGCCAGGGGCCGATCCAGGACAAGATAACGAAGAGAGCGATTTGAAAATGCATTTATGATAAGCACAATACAGATAAGAATATATTTAAGAGTAACGGGGTCTCTATCTCCTCCCCCCGGATCCGCCACTTCTGGACGCATTTTCCAACAATGGATGTTCGATCGGGAAACCAAAGCACCTGATTGATCGGAGAAAACATTATTACCCATCATACAAAAATGTATAAGACCAGGATCAGGGGCATACCCAAGGGGGGAATGGAGGGTCCATCTCCTACAAAAATGATAGTGAGCTCTTCTAAAAATATGTGTATGTGTGTGTGTACTAGTGTAAATATTATGGTTATTATAAGTGATTATTAGTAACAGTAAGTAGATTATTTGGTGATGATGAATCTAACTATAATTATAATTATTAGAAAACAAATAAAATAATAATAATAAACCCCCCCCACCCCACAAAAAATGCCTGTGTATAAGTGGTATTACGCTGACCAAGGTCAATAATTTTGTCAGTTTATTGGAAAGCTTACAAAATTTGCGGCAAATAGGATTCCAGCATAACATTTTTAAGCCTATAATTTTGTTAATTTGGACGCAAGAGTACGCACTCAAAACATCAAGAGATTGTAGGGTTCTGCTAAATAGGAACTGAAAAGCTACGTGGAATGAAAAGAAATCTTTTGAAATTGTACAAAGCAGAATTTGTATGGAGAACACGACTTAGAAAACAAGATGCGTTTGAAACTATCATAAAAGATACCTAGATATTTCAGAGTTCCTCCATCCAAATTTATAATAATAATAATAACTATAATATATTCTCATAATTTTATTTTACAAATAACACATCGTTTTAATCATTTTAGAACCTAAGTGGAGTGAAGAAGCTTATGGTTTTACAAAGATGTTTATTTTCTGTGGAAAACTTTTCTACTAGCAATTTTACTCCGATTTACAACGATAGCACTTATTCTAATAGGAAATCTAACTGGGGAGGTACTGTAATGAGATAATTTTTTGATCTTCCCAATAAATGGAAAACCCGAGAAAAACGGGAAAATAGGAAAATATAAGCAAATATTATTAAAGAAAATATAATTAATATAATATAATGCTTATATAATTACTTTACTATAATATGACGATAATCGTATATTGTTGACAGAGTAAACCTATCAGCTGAACTCCGCTCAAAATCGTTTTTCGTTAGAAATGGTTTATATAGACAATATTATTATGATTGTTTATAGATAAAGTGATATTCGGAATACATAATTTGGGGGCCACGCCACTAGCCACCCCCCCCCATCCCTAGAGTCAACACTGCCACCCACATGCGAAGTTGTCCGACTTTTTAAATTTTGATTTTAATAATATATAAATTATTATCTTATTATTTATTTGTACGTTTGGCAGGCCTATAACACATAAGAACATATCTTGTTTTTAGTTTTTTAAGAGGTTTTATAATGCTATACCAGCATGTGCTGTCTCAGTTCATCGATCGCTACACAAAACTGTAATTAACATTAATATTCTCCACTCTCTAAACCAGTGATACCCAACTAAATATTAAGCACTGACCACTATTCCACTTAGTTCCACTCCCCTCATCACTTACTTCTTTATAATTTATAATTTACACATAAGTACATAATAAAATCAGCAATACAGTAAACCAACCAAATGAGATGAGTTTAGATAGGTAATAAATAGTCGACTAACCTTCTTCACACTTTATCATACTTAAGATTGATCTAGCCGATAAATAAACTGTTCCAACACGTTTGAAATTCATTCATCCAATTAATGATTTTCAAACTTGTATCTTAAAAGTTCACTTTCAGATACCTCTGAGATAAAGTTTGAAAAGAAAGTTGTCATGAAAAATCAGTTTACTTTGTAATTTGGTTTATTCTGGTTTTTTTTTTGCATGATTTCATAACAGAAATTTTGTACACAGTCCAGTTTCACTATACACATGATTAGGTACTTAAATCCTCATCCATATTTTTTATTTTTTTACCAATACAGACTGAGGCCTAAAAATATAGTGGTATAATATTAACAATAAAAAACCCAGTTAATAAAAGTTTATGGATACTTAGTTAAAAGTGGGGTCTTCATTAACAAGATATAATAATAATAGACATAATATTTTAAACAAGTAACTAATACTTCTTAATAATTTTGCAAATTTTTAAATTTTTAAGTTTTTGTGGTACTTGTTTAGGCAATCCACGTTTTATTTCTATTTATTATATTATATAGCTTATGTAGGTATTGTATACTGTATAGGTATATATTCACTGGATAAAACACAATTTTACACATTAATTTGCTAAATGTTTGATTATACTTAGATTTGGGTTGGTTGACCTTTCCAGTTTTCGGGTTATCAAAAATTTGCCTAACCCAAATTCAAAAACGTCATAGTCCAAAGAACAAACCATTCCATTATATAATAAAATCATTTTTACTTAAAATTAAATTTTATCTATCAATCTATATTTAAAATAAATAACTTGATTCATATTATTGTAAAGTTTAAAATATTATGTATTCTAATATAAGTTTATTATACTTAATTGTCGTTCAGTTATATGAATTGAAGGAATTATTTTCAAATGCAAGTTTTTATGACACAAAATGAGTTAACCAAATCGCAACAAATACACATTTAAAAACTCCCAGGTTTAATAATTTGTGTACAGCAGAAAATGTTTTCTAGAAACAATAATCACAATATGAAACATTTTAATAAGTAAAAACTATACATTATTTTATTTTGCCGACCAAATTAGTAAGGCAATCAAATTCTTTAATGAAATGATTAAGAGTTAACTCAGATTTTTAATACAAATCATATTGCAATTCCTTATCTAATAATATTTAATAGTTAATATTTTTAAAACCAAGATACACCTAAAAATATGATCAAATTGTAGCAAATGAATCACAACTATCAATATTTATAAAAATGAATAATCATTACCAGTATTTGTTAAATAAATATGAAGTGTATTTCAAGTCAAGAAGCATTATAATATGCATTACATATAAAATAATGAATCAAGATCAATTCCTAGTCAAACAAAGACTATAGCTTAATAAAATATCATTGAAAGGACTTATAATAAATACAAATAGAATTTCATGTGCTTGAAAAATAATTTCAAATAGTTTAATCTCGTAAAGCTATATTGTTCATTATTATAATTCAAAATAAAAAAAGCAGTGTTTTTTTAGTATGAGGGGAAATGTATCAATCATGGAATGAAAAAGCATTAAGTATAAATAAAAAAAATTGATGGATTAATATACAGAATTTTCATTTAAATAAAAATTAACAAAAATTTAATTTTAAACAATTCTAGTTCTCATCAACTTCTTGTTCTTGTTCTTCATCAAATTCAGCTTCCTCGTCAGCAGTGGCTTCTTGGTATTGTTGGTATTCGGATACAAGATCATTCATGTTAGATTCAGCTTCAGTGAATTCCATTTCATCCATACCTTCACCAGTGTACCAATGTAAGAAAGCCTTACGTCTGAACATAGCAGTGAATTGTTCTGAAATCCTCTTGAACAACTCTTGAATGGCTGTAGAGTTTCCAATAAATGTGGCAGACATTTTCAAACCTCTTGGTGGAATATCACACACTGCAGTCTTAACATTGTTAGGAATCCATTCAACGAAGTAGCTGGAGTTCTTATTTTGAATGTTTAACATTTGTTCGTCAACTTCTTTCATGGACATACGGCCTCGGAACACGGCTGCTACTGTTAAATAACGTCCATGTCGTGGGTCACATGCGGCCATCATATTTTTAGCATCAAACATTTGTTGGGTAAGTTCAGGTACAGTCAGAGCTCTGTATTGTTGACTACCACGAGAAGTAAGAGGAGCGAATCCAGGCATGAAGAAATGTAACCTGGGGAAAGGAACCATGTTGACAGCGAGTTTACGGAGATCAGCATTCAACTGACCAGGGAATCTGAGACAAGTGGTTACTCCAGACATGGTCAACGAGACCAAGTGGTTTAAGTCACCATATGTCGGGGTTGTGAGTTTTAAGGTACGGAAGCAAATGTCATATAAAGCTTCATTGTCAATACAGTAGGTTTCATCTGTATTTTCAACCAGTTGGTGAACTGAAAGGGTGGCATTGTATGGTTCTACAACAGTGTCTGATACTTTGGGGGAGGGCACAACAGAATAGGTGTTCATAATCCTGTCTGGATATTCTTCACGGATTTTGGAGATCAATAAGGTTCCCATACCGGAACCAGTACCACCACCCAATGAATGTGTCAATTGGAAACCTTGAAGGCAATCACAGCTTTCAGCCTCTTTCCTAAAAATATATTGTTATTAGAAACTTGTTAAAGTAGAAAAATATTTAAACAATTAAAAATTGTTCAAATATTAACAAATTTCTTTACCTCAACAATTATAATTTAAGGCCATATTAATTATTTAAGCGTGGATTTATTATACAGGAGGTCCTACAGTGTTATCTGAATGCTAATAACTCAATATTAATTATTATTCGGGCATTATATCAGAGGAACATAATAGTAGAGAAAAATTAAATTTGTATTTTCATACCTTAATCACTGAAAAAACTTCATATTTTCTATTTTAAACAATTTTCAAAACAGCGTATTTGTAAGATGTATTATACTAAAAATTATAATGCATCATAAATTCATACCCAATCATAATAGTTTCTTAGTAAAGCAATTTTTAATTTCTAAGAAATGTGTAAATAATGAGACTACAATGTTACGTAGGTAATTGTTAAAAACTAAAACGACAATACCAAGAAACTATTGATAAGATATGAATGTATGATGTATTCAATTTCTGTTTTATTTTACAGTGATAAAAATAATAATTTAATTCTTTTTTACATTTGTAAAAATGTACCCTTACACAAAATTTAATAGAAAAAAAAATATTGAAAAAGTTAATATTAGTTACATTTGGATAACAATAAATAATAACACCTTGTATAATTATTAAAAAAAAAAATTAAATAAAAGATGAGAAACGTTCATTTCATTAAAACGACATACTGAACCCGAGCAGTTTTTTAAGAAAAGGGTGGCTGGTCCCAAATAAGGGATTAATGTGACTTTATCACCCAAATTACGAGTGACCAAAAATCTTTTATTCTAGTCAATCCTAATTTTAGAATAACTAAGTGTGGTCAAACAACTTTGAAAAATAGAAATTTGGTATATTTATAGATAAAACATTGTAGTTTTTAATAAAATCAATTTCGCAAGTAATAATAGTTACCTGACAACATCTAATACTGAGTCAACTAGCTCTGCACCTTCTGTGTAATGACCTTTGGCCCAGTTGTTTCCAGCACCAGACTGTCCAAAGACAAAGTTATCTGGTCTGAAGATCTGTCCAAAGGGTCCAGATCGGACAGAGTCCATGGTACCCGGTTCCAAATCCACAAGGATTGCACGGGGTACATACTTTCCTCCTATAAACAAATAATAAATAAATACATACTTCAAACTTGTTTAACAAAGATAACAATTATTTTTTTAACAAACATTACCTGATGCTTCATTGTAGTATACATTAATACGCTCTAATTGAAGATCAGAGTCTCCGTGGTAGGCTCCAGTTGGGTCAATGCCATGTTCATCAGAGATGATTTCCCAGAACTGAAAATTAAAGTTCAATAATTAAAATTTAGTTTTTATATATATAAAATTTAAATTAATTAAATAAATAAGAAAAAAATAATTGCAAAATGTTTTAATAGTTTCCCTAACAGATTTCTTATAAATATTGATTATATAGCACTTCATAAAGCAGGGGTCAGAAACCGTCAGCTCCTTACAATGCAATCTCCAGGTTTGAATAAACTACATTAATAATAATGTATTAATGAAATAGTTTTTCTAAATTTAAGAGGTATTATTATTTTTAATGCCTACTAATTCTCAATAAAATTGTTTAGTAAAATGTTTTAATCTTTTTTTTCTATCTTAACCACTATAGCTCTTTGAAAATTATATTTTGCAATTTTTTTTAAAAAATGGCCTGTTTCTATAAAAAGGTTCCCGACCTCAGTCCTAGAGTAATTTAATTATCAAAACTATGAAGGCCAAATTGAGTTAATTTATGTATACTCAATTAATTACATTCATAGTGAATACCTGCCTCTATTTTCATAAAGATTTTAAAAATATCTGTTAGGTTATTTTATTTAATTGGAACCTTAATTTGAAGAGAATTATAATAAACATAATAACCAATTATTAGTGATTTATAACTAAAAAAAATTCATAAAATTCTAGTTTTAAATAAATTTCTATCGACAATCTACGTTATTCATACAACACCAAAGAATTGCGTCTTAAATTCAATTAGACCTTCCAAATCAAATAACTACGCAGATAGTAGGTACATACAAATTATGTTGCGGTTGATCAATCATGCGTAGAGAAAAAAACCAACAAAACAAACACAATTTAATCGGAAAAATATAATAAGATGTAGATTTTAAATATTTTTAATTTTTAATTTACGATATCTTGTAGGTAGGTATAAGGTTTAACCCCGTTGCTTTGAATGCAAGATTTAAATAACACGGGAAAAAAATCAGCGAAGCATAAAACAAAAAATTTAATAGTTATACGGCTACAAAGTTAATTAATTCAGTAACGTTAATATGTTTACGCTCGGAGTAATGGCAAGCCGTCATCATAAATATTATTACCAGAAATATATTTACAAAATGTTATTACCTACCACCGAGTACACCGACCGAAAAACATTCACATACGCATAATAATCACATAATATGTATTTAGAAAAAATACGACAAGTCTTCTAATACAAAACAAAAATAACTGGTGAAACAATAGGAGCAAGAATGCCACGCCATAAGAATGAGTTATTTTCTCACGGGAACGTTCCCTTTGTTTACGCGTCGTTTTGGCGGCGAAACACATTAGCGGCGGCGGCGTTGGTGGTGGTTGTGGTGGTAGTGCGGGGAACAAGAGTCACGACAGCCGGCTTCCCAACAGTTTTTCGTCAAGCAATTTGAAAAGAAAAACAAGTCGGGAACCCCCCAAAAAAATCCAGTAGAGTTGCCAGTGATAGGATTGGATCGTACGAACCGTCTTCAGACTACAGTAATATTAGTCGGATGAGAAGGAAACGCTACGCAAAAAGTAGTGAACAGGTACCCCTAAATAGCATTTATCCGTGTATCCGCCATTGTTTGGCTGCGAAACGTCGTGCCAAACACGTAAAAATAAATAATATATTTACCTTGGCTCCGATCTGGTTACCGCACTGTCCGGCTTGAATATGCACGATCTCCCTCATAGTTGTGCGACGGAATGAATGAGTATTAAAATGAAAAAATTAAAAACTGTGTGCGTACGAGCTGAGTGAGTAGTGAAGTGCTGTGTGAGAAGTGTACAGACACGACAACCGTCTCGAAGGCTACAGTGAAATAAAATGGCTGCGACGCTGGTTTTGTCGGTTTTGTGGCGTTGGCGACTCGCCCCCGCCCCGCCGTCCCGGCTGACGCCCTGGCGGCCGGGCGATTGGCCACCGGGATACAGTGCTGCCAACGACGGCATAACGTAATAACGATTTTTTCACGGCGTTTCCGTTTGTTACCCGTCGGCCGTCACCGTTTCATTTCGAATTTGAATAATCGTTAACCGTGTGCCGCCAGACCGTTTTTGGGCGTCGGCCGCCACCGCCGCCACCGCCGCCGCCGCCCAGCCACCGACACAACGATTGTCTGGAACGTCTGCCAATGCCGCCCATGCGCATTGCGCACGGACGCCGTACGCATCCGTTTGGCCGGAATCCTTTAACGGTCAGGATAATAAAACCAATCGTTATTGTCGTCGTCGTCGTCTGCCGCCGACCAAAAACGTTGCACTCATTTCATTCTATGATCGTACAACAATAATGATATTAATTGTTATTATTTTATTGTTGTTACGTCAATGACTAATAAATCTTCGATATAATTATTTTTATTAAAAATAATACTGTTAATAGGTATTAATAGTAACTACCTTTGGTGTTATTTCTTTTTTCCTGTTATCGTAAATCCAAACGGAACGCCCGATTGTCAACAATCGAAACGGCAAACCTTATAAGTGCATACCTACCTACCTACCTACCTATATTATATAAATTGCACTCGTTCTGGTTATGTACCGATAAAAGTAGTCTTTGTAACAATAAATTTTATAAAAAAAAAAAATTACCCGTTGGTAGGTGGGTACCAATATAATAATAATAGTACCTATAAATAGTATAAACGATTATTACGCGTTTTCCGTATGGCGATTACGATGGAATCGGTTCGAAGTTAGAGATATAGTTTAGTTATTTAATTTATTTCGTTAACCGTTTTACCCACCTCTATTATAGTTGGTCCTACAGTAGGCAAGAACTAAAAAAAAAAAGGAACGCTAACGGTTGTTTAGGTAATATTGGACGTACAGCGTAAAATATTATTACATACATTATCAATACGACGCCTATAATAATATTAAAACGTTTATATCGCTCTATATCGGTTCAGTGTAGTGGGTGTGTGAGTGTAGTACAACACGAAATAATAATAATGTATTGTACTGCGTATCGAGACCGTATCTGAAGGGGGGGAGGTCGAACCCTTCTCGAAATTTATCCAAAAGCAATCTTTATTATTTACGAAATAAATGCTAATGTTTGTGAAAAAAACAATAGACGATTTAATCGAAAACCGCTCCCAAAAATTTGATCCAGCTACGGCCTTGCTGCGTATAATATTAGGTAGGTAGGTATTGTTTAAGGTGCCTATACGAAACGGCTAAACGAATCAACGTAATATTATTATAGGCCGAATATTATACCAAATTACTTGGTTACGTCAAAATTTCCCGTCAAAAATCAATGAGTCGTGTTTATCGAGTTAATTGACCTTGAGTTTACACCGAATTACATGTTTTGAGATCCCCAGGGTTCAAAAGAGCGATGGTTTTTAGAAATTGGTCTGCGGTCACAGCGGCGTACAAACTATACTTGGAGTAGAGCGGTTGCTACACATCATATTTTAAGTGATGCTCCCGGTAATTGGGATTTGGGATCGTTCGGTAAAATGGGTACGAACACTACAAACGTACAAGGTAGTAGCTGGTTGTAGAGGTGGGAAAGTATATATTTGTATGGGTAAAATTGTTTAGGTGGGCGTTGGTTTTGAATTTCAAATTCTACCACACCATAGTTTGAGCGTTACTGTTTTAAGCTAAATTAACGAACCGATAAAAACAATATTTTAAATTTAAGTAAAGCGCCCTCTGAAAAAAAAAATTAGAATATGAATTTCTTTATTCCTTATAGGTTCACATACAAAAGTGTCAAAAGTATTAGGCTCATTTTATGACGAAATAATTGTTTTTTATATCATACCCAGTATCTACATATTATTATGTACCTACTGTTCCATATAAATGTCTAAAACTAAATAAAATATTATCTAATACCTTTATATTATTTAATAATAATATTATGATGTGTCATGTGTGATGCATTGTTTAAATCAGCAGTAAGCACACAGTACTTTTAATCAGAATAATACATTATAATCGCGTCGGTGTTTATAAAAATATGATTGATACAACTAGGACTAATTTCGCTTTTTTTTTTCTATGGATACTATTCAAGGTCAAGAACCTACACCGTTTAATAATATATTTAGATTACAATTCTTTTTTTAAATTTAATCTTGAGATTTTATGAATGGGCCGACCAATATATATTATATTATATTAATACCTGTATCGTGTAGGTTATTTTTAATAATAAATTATTATAATATCGTTTCGAGTGGTACCTATTTACACTCATAAAATGTTAAATATCTAATACAATGCAATCAGTACACGTAATCAATAATTATATATCTATTAATAAAAATAGACGTCGTGTAGCGTATAGCCTCGATTTTCCACACAAACACTGACTGTAATAATTCACTGATGGTTGTGTGTGGTAGCCTGGCATCTCCCATTGACAATATGAATCTGTTCGGCGTAGGTTCAGGTAATAGGGTACTGGGGTGCTACGAGTGTTTGAAACGGTTGAAATGCAAATGTGTTTTTCGCATCTATGGTGTTTATATTATGGAACTACGATTATCTATTATAACATCTTTGGTCCCAGGAAAAAAGTGCTTAAGTAAATTTTATACAGTTTTCAAGACAAGCAAATCAAATTTTGAATATAAAATTTAGACAACATTTTTTAAAAAAAATAACGAAAATTAAGCCTTTCTTCGCTGGGGCCAGAGTTATAAAGTAGTGCTGTTTTCAACGTTCCGGAACGTTCTCGAATATTTCTTGAATCATCTAAAAATGTCTATATCCGATACTTATATCCATAGATGTATCCAATATTTTTGTTCACAAGCAGGATCGGTTGGTATTATATTATATAATAAGTATGACCGCGTTATAATATTACAACGTATTTAATTATATTTTATTAGCAAAAATAATTATAACAAAATATTCTTATTATAGTCATGTCATAATAATATGTAGATGCTTATATTATAAAAGCATTTACATATTATTAATCAAACAAAACTGTATCTAATCGGCAGTACCTTAATCTGGTACGGTTTTGAATAAATTCCGGAGAATATGCCAAAGAAATTTTTAACATTTTTTAGTGGAACGAAGAGTGTATTGATTATACAAAGATCTTTTTTTTTTTATGCAAACACTTTTTTACCAGAAAGCTTACTCCAATGTATACAATATAGACTTTCTAAAAGGAAATTTTCTTGGGGTGGTACTTCAGGGAGATCGTTTTTTGATTCTCCCACAATTTTTTCATAAAAAGGAAAATATACGAAATATATTAGTAAAATAATATGATTTCTTTTATTTCTGTGGACGACTTTTCTACCAGCAATTTTGCTCCGATTTACAATAATAGCATTTTTTCTTGAAAGGAAATTTAACTGGAGAAGTACTTAAAGGAGATAATTTTTCGATTTTCCCAGCAAATGAGAAAAACCGGGAAAAACGTAGGAAAATGAAAAAATAGGAACAATATTAAAAAAATATTTTTGAAAAATACATAATGCCTGTTTAATTATTTTACCATGATATGATATATTATTATTATACTATATATTGTTGAAAAAACATCACTATCTACTGAACTCCGCTCAGAATCGTTATTTCATAAGCAATGGTTTATCGTTGCTTAAAAATATACATTAAATTCTCTTCTGTATCCTACCTTCCCAACTCCTCACCTATAAAAATGACTGCACTCACGTGTGAAGTATGTCCGTGTCTTTTTTATGTCGCATTTATATGGTTATCGTAAGAAAAAAGACAACAACAAAAACGCAATATTTTTGGCAGAAAAAATTTAGTATTCAGTTAGATACATTTAATTTCGAAACACGCACTTTATAGTTTATACTCTTATTCGATCTTTTTTTTTTAAGTAAATTTGTACGTGTATTTTTTCAAATATTGATATATGTATAATATCGATTTTAGGAAGTAAAATTCATCCTAGAAATAAAACACTATAGTTATTCATGAAAAAATATTTCGAATAACATTTAAAAACTAAACAAAATAATAATATTCGAATGACTTCTTATCCGTGTACGTTTGTTTGAATATTTGTGTCACAATGAATAACATTCAAATATTATTATTTTTTATTCCGTACACGAAATAAAATAATATTATTCTGTACGATACTGCAGTACACTCACAGAAAACAGCAATAATGCCTAGTCCTTCACATAATATCTACCTATGGTATACAAGTATAACCTATTCAAATGCTATAAGCAAGGTTCGGGATTTATATTATAATACTAAAAATCAACGAAATAAAAACCTCTTAATAGGCATTTTAAGTACTTAAATAATCACTTAATATATATTTTAAAAAGCCGAAAAATTTGGAACCATGATTTTTTTGTTTCAAAATCGGTCGAATAAGCCTAAAAAAGTATTTTCAGATTTTATATTTGACCTTGTTGAAACATAACAAACAAGAAGGAAGAAGGGAAGGAAATAATTGATTTAATTTAATTATTGATAAAAGCTATTTTTATTCTCATACAACCAATATAGTCGACCGCCGTTATCGTTATGCAATATGCGCGAATATCTGACCCGGCTGGCAGATATTTCCCGTCCCCACCGAACAACACGCGCAGGATTGCCAGCGCCGCCGCAGCTGTTGTAACGAATGTTATGTAATAGTTATTAGGTATTAGAGACTTCTTTAAAGGCTTTCTGGCTAACGGTGCATAATGTAAAATTTGGCGGCTGCCACTTGGCTTGGTCTCGATTATCCCGAAAATTATCAACACGAAAAACAAAATGATCGCATTAATTTATGAATACGTATGTTACTCATTTCCGTCGAATCGGAAACGGAATAAAATCACTTCTGCTCGCACGCATATAATAATATATATATTTTTTCGTAGGTAGTCATTATAAGGCCGTCGTAACGGTG